AGCCCTGGTACTCCCGGTGCTCCCGGAACTCCTGGCTCTCCTGGCTCTCCTGGCTCTCCAGGCAGCCCTGGAACTCCAGGCAGCCCAGGCGCTCCAGGCACCCCAGGTTCTCCAGGCTCCCCCGCAGCCCCCGGCGCCCCCTCATCCAACACCAACAAACCCACCCGCCTCATCCCAACACCGACACCGACACCCTCAGCCTCCCGCGGCAGCTCCGCCCCACCAACCGAGTACACCGGCGGCGCTTCTAGCTTTGCCATCGGCAACGTCGGGGCCGCGGTCGTGGGTGTTGGCGCGCTTGTTGTTGCTGTGTTGTGATTATCATAGCCGTGGTCGGTTGACGTTGTAAATTTGGGCTGGGGATGGTTTAATTTCGTGGGGGAGAGGGAGAGAGGGAGAGCTTCGTGTATATATTAGGGAGCGAGGTAGATGAAGATTAATATTATCTGGCTTTTTTTTTGTGAATGTGGCTACAATGGGGTTGTTGTGTTTGTGATTGGTCTGTGTCTGAATAGCAAGGCAAAGGATATACACCTCCTTATCACCCACCATACACTGAAACATCGAAACACTTCTTCCTTTCTGTTCATCATCGTTGATCTGCCTAGCTATTATCTACCCGGATCTGCAGCTCGACAAATAAGGTGCCAATGTTAATGTACAAACAAACATTCTTCCTAGTTCCCATCTCACTCCGCTATCCAGGGTTTCTTAATTTCACCATCTAGTAGTCCCACTGTCCTGTTTGCCCGTTTCTGGACCTCTTGGTCGAGAGTATGATACTAGCGATGTTTTCTTCGGCTTTAACGTGGGATGACTGGCTGCTTGGCTGCTTGGTCGCGCTGGCTGTGCTGTTGGGAGCGGTTGTAGATGCACCTCTTGTTTTTTTGTTTACGTTGTTGATCGTGTGTCGCGGATCGCGGATCGCGGATCGGTGCGGGCTGTGGTGATGTTGATGGTCCAGATGATGAGATGTGATTTGATGTAGTGAAGCTGAGAAGCACGATGTATTACCCTTTCATTTCGGTCTACCAGCTTTATTCTTGCGCTTCTTGAACACCACACCAGTCGTCGTCGTGGCTTCAGGTTCAGGTTTAGTCTCTTCAGCTTCAGTCTTGACGACAGGCATGTCATGCTTTTCGCCATGCTCCTCCAATTCCAACGACGCATCATCCACAGGCTCATTCTTAACCACTGCCTCCTCCCTCTTAACCACCCTCTCTGCCTCCACATCCGCCACCTCACCCTCACCCTCACCCCCAACCCTAACCTTCTTCCCCGGAAACAACACATCCAAATCCACCTCATCCCCCACCTCCACATCCCCCACGCCCCTAAACACACTCCCCCAATTCCTCTTCCGCGACAGCACATGCCGCGCCAACTCCGCCTCCTCCTCCTCCTCGTCTCCCATGCGTCTCTTGCGCACGCCTCTGTTCAGCTCTAGCCCCGCGGCGGCAACGCCCTTCTTCTCGTCTTCTTCTTCTCCTTCTCCCTCTTTCTTGATCTGCGCGGGAGGGATCTGACGCACCGTCTGCCACTCCCCCGGCATCGCCATCTCCGCGCGATACTCCTCTGGCACCGCGACGCCGAGCGCGGCGAGTTGTGCGATGTGTGCTTTTACGTCTTGGGCTGTTGCTTTGCGCGGAGCTGTGGCCGTAGGTTGTGCTTGTCTCGGCGTCGGTTTCTGGTCTGGTGCACTACTACCACCAGCAGCAGCAGCACCAGCACTCCCTGTATTACCAGCAGCACCAGCACTCCCTGTATTACCAGCACCACCACCACCACCAACCAAACCATTCAACCGCGCAACCTCATCCCTAGCACGCTGCTTATCGCGGTCCTCGCGCTCCTTGTCGCGATTGATGGTGCGGAGGGAGCGCTGAATGGCGCCCTGGTGCCTGCCTGTTGCCTCGTGCTGTTGGCGTTCGAATTTAGTGTCGCGGACGAAGGTGGTGCAGAATTTGCACCAGTATTTGGGCTAGAGAGAGGGATATATTTGTTAGTTTGGAAGGGAGTGTGTTGTTGGGGTTTGGGGGAGATGCGTACTGTGGATTTCCAGTAGTCGGCCATTGGGTGGGTGGGGGATGTAGGTAGGTAGGTAGGTGTGTGTATGTTGTTACTTGTTGTTTGAAGGAGGAGAGGTAGGGAGGGAGGGAGGGAGAAGAAGAAGAAAAAGAAGAAAAGCCACAGACCGATCTATTTACATGACATACATACATACACACATACGTCAACCTTCAAAGTTCAACACGCGGAGACTAGCGTGACGAAGAGTACGTCTACAGCACCGCGTGCTGTAATATACCCATAGCCACTATCATTCACTCACATGTGAACACGTCCTTCTAATTAAATTACTGTATAGCTTCACTCAAAAGACAAAGAGGGGAATCAATTATGCAATCAACTCAACATCATGAACAACTCTCATCTCACCGAAGCCACAACGGCAATTATCCAAAACATATAATCCCAGCGATGAGCAGCAGCAGCAGCGACCAGACGCCTCCATGCACATACCTACATAAACCACCTTAACTCATGTACAGCTACACAACATCAAACCACTCACTTCCCCACAGCCACGGCACAGAACATAGCAATAGAACAAAGACGGCCGTCTCCCAATGCACAAGAAAGCCAAAAAAAGGGAGTAGCATGATATCAGCAGCAAACATCTACCCCGAATCGTATGCGTCTCTTGGCCCGCCATTTTCCTTTTCCACCACCATAAGACGCTCTGCCGCTTGATTACATCCTGATCGTGTGTCAAGTTTCCCCGAGACCTGCAGCCCCCCCCTTTCCATCCTGTTCATCCACCTTCCCCCACGCCGTTTGTATCCATCGGACTCACGCCCCCGTTCAATTGTGCCTTCCGCGCCTTCTTTACGCTCGCCGCGATCGCACTGCCCTCGTCCGCATCGATCCCTTGCTGGCCGTCCATGGCCTCTTCCTCCATTTCCGTGCCTTCATCTTCGAGCACTTCTTCTTGATCTTCCCAGAATCGTTTGGCTTCGTCTAGCTCATTTATGTCGTCAGGTCTACTGCGTAACCACTTCATGCGTGGCCCGGAACGAGCTCGTTCCGAAACGCGAAAGCCATAAATACGAGGCTCGTGTATATTGCCCGTACCCAGACCTGGAGCGAGGTTGTGTGGCGCGACGCCGTTGATAATGGATGGCTGCGGTGGTAGAGGAATGCGTGAAGTCGCCGGTATGCCGTTTATTATCGTCGACGCGGAATTTGTATCTGATGCCATGCGGTCATCTGTTTGCACACGCATCGTGCCAACGTCGAGTTCGGGAAATGTCATGAAGAAGAGGCAACCAAAAGTCGTCCCAAAGAAGGCACCATCGACGGACTGAAAGCGAGAGTTAGGTGGTGTGTAGACGTCGAGACAGGAGGGACAAAAAAGCTTGACGGTCTCTTGGCCAGGAGTATCGCTGCAGCCGACTGGTAAGACCTTTACGCCATTGCAGTTGACGCGCGGACAGAGACCGAAATGCTGCAAGTCGTACTTTTCGGCCATCTGCTGGATGCCAGGGCGGGAGATAATGAAACGTTGATGTATCAAGCCGTAAAGCAGCTCGGCTGAGCTTTCTATCATGCTCAGATCACTAGCCATGCGCATGTGTCGACGGTCTCCGGCTCTTCGGTAACCAGTAGGCCGATCACCTTCTCCCAGCATATCCTCTTCGTCCTCGTCCTCATCCTCCTCATCCTCCTCGTCCTCGTCATCATCTGGCTCCACGTCTAATATCATCTCCAGTGCTTCTTTGTACATGGGCACTTGTGATTGCAGGCCTGTGAGGTTGAAGTCGTCCTCTATAAAGTCTTCGGATACCTCTGCAAAGTATTCATGGCCGAGCAGACTGCAAAAGGACGATATCCAAGACTCCGCGACTTGTGACGAAGACGACATGTTGAAGGAGAAGACAGATGCTCAATCAAGGTACTCGTGCGTCGATGCAGTAAGACCGTAATACGAACTGAATCGGTAGCTTTGGTATATATTCCCAACCCTTCCGCAGCTACTCCGCGTATACCTGGAGAGCTCTTGATGTTCAGGCTGACTCTGCGAGCAGACTTGACGTATGAGTTGTGGAGACACACCGTGCCGTCAAATTCGCGACCAATATTCAGCCCCAACTGCCCAAGCTTCTCCACGGTATGTAGCCCGGATATATCTATCTCGAATGCGCAGGCGAATGAGTGAGGAGGTCGCAACGAGCGTGACGGCTGCCAAGATGAACCTCGTCGGTCGTGTAGGTAGTAAGATAGTAGGCCTCGAGCGAGGAATCTCAGGGTATAGGATTGACGTCAAAAAGGGTTCATACGCGGTGATCGACTAGTTCGTATCTATGAAGCCATGATAGGTGATCGAGGGGCGGGTGAATTCAGGTAGGTGCGGGGCTGACAAGTTGTGGTTCTGTGAGGAGGCAGGTAGGCAGTGTTAAAGAGGCTGAGAGGAGGATGAATCAGTGTACGGCGGATGTACTGAGATTGCAGCGGCGCCAACCTGGCATGAGGTCGGGAAGTGAGAAGGGTGTGAATAGTGATCGAGAGCGGTGCGGAGGTTTACCTGTCTGGATGTGTATTATGCAGCCGAGATGGGCTCAGCGCAGTCGCGTTCTGGTGTGCGCTAAGCGACTTTGGGCTGCAGAGTCACGTGCCAAGCATTTGCAGAAGTACAAAACTGGAGTCGACAGCCAAGAATGCTCCTTTCTATAAGCTGTGCCGGTCAATCGTCTGGTCATGTTCATTTCGTTCATTCAGAATAGATCTCTCATAATCCTCGCAAGCTCATCTTCCTGCCCAAATCCGCCGTCTTCCTCCGGCCGGCCCAGTACATAGGCCCCCCTATTGTTCATCACGCCGTTCCCATACTGCCCTGCTGCTTCAAACAGATTAGTGAGATCATTCGCCATTCCATTCGGACTATAGCTCATCGGCCCTTGCCCGACCCCATTAGAAAACAAGGCAAGCTCATTAACCTGATGGCCTGCTAGTCCCGCCATAGCAACCGCGGCAGACGAGTGGGCATCCGCCTCCGGGTTTCTCACATTCAGCCCGAGCTTGGGCGCGACTTCTTTCAGGACCTTTATCGTTTTCCAGAGTCGCTTCGACACGTGTGAGTTGGCAGACAGGCCGCGCACGAGGTCGAGTGCTGCGTAGAATTCCTGCCGACAGTAGTCGCTGTACCTGGCCGGCGCGTGGGAGACTGCCAGGAAGAGGACTGCCAGGGCGGATATGAGGAAGTAGTTGAACATCATCTGCTGGGTACGGTAGAGGTCGGATGTCTGGTTGGTGTGAGCGAGGACATCGATTGTGTCTTTCGCGATGGCAACAACGCGGTTGGCCGAGTCGATGTTCTCCATGATACTGGTGGCCGTGTGGAGGACTGGCCTGTATATAAGTATGCGCATCTGGTTGGCGCGAAGATACAGGGCGACCTTTAGGCGATGGGTGCCCCTGCTGCATGCCTCAGGGGTCGCATTGCTTCTGGGATGAGTGAACTTGAGCGATGGCGGTATCGATCGCAACCACTCTAAGATCTGGTAGTCGAGATACCCGATATCTTCCTTGTTGACATTGCTCGTGCTGTCGACATTGGCAACCGACTTCCAGACCTTTGAGCCAATCTGGCTGTAGGTCACCATGGCGGTCAGATACGGCGTCGAGTCATCCTATACCATCATTAGTGAAGCATTGCTGGACTCAATCTCTACTTACAGGTCTGGGAAGCAGGGGATCTATGTCTGCATCCTGCAACGCGAATGGCATGCCAGTACCAAAGCTCCACCTACGGTCCAGCACATATATAGACCAAAATAAGCGCACACCTTCATCTTTTTCCTCCGGCGTCTTGAAGAGAGTCTCATACGTCTCTCTCCTATGCAGACCCAGCTCCATACACAGCCTTGCAGCTAGTCCCACAACACGCCAGGCAAGCCCCTCATCATCGCGATGGAAATGATACATAGCCGCAAGCGCCAGCATCTGGATCCCCTTCATATCCACCGGCCCCATAAGTTGCGCATCAACCACAGGCGAAATATTCTCAAACATCTTCTTCCCCAGCTCACTCCGTCCGGTTCCCTCCAGAACTAGCGCAATCGACAATATGACCTTCAACAGATTCGTCTGATCATCATGAATCGCGTCTGCACCGGGAGCAGCAAGCTGCACGACTCCACTCCGGTTCGCAGCCTCAATGAACGTGTAAAGTAGCCGCGCATGCTGGACCACCTGCTCGATGTCCATGAAGGGATACATGATGCCCATCTCTTCGTGCCACACGCGACACAGCCGAATCGCCTCCTCCTTCTCGACGCCCCATACGGGGTCTTTGGAATGATGCAAGACTTTTTGCAGGACGCCCTGTTGATGCATCATGTGCGGTGGACTGGCAGCCGGTGTGCCGTTGAGCGTCGCCAGCGCGTCGTCTAGGCCGTCGTCTTGAGACGTAATGCCCATAGTTTGCAGACTCGATTTCGCAACCCCGATATTGAAAGTTGCGCTTGTAGGACCATGGAACCGCGGAAGCCTCGCCATCTGCGACCGACTGCGTACAGGAGAAATAGGAGGTAGTCCGGGGGTGTGGGCGGGTGCAGACCCCGAGGACCGCACATATTGTTTGCCGCCGCCTGGGAAGGGTTCGAGGGGAATTGCTCCGCCGGGGTCGATCTGCGAATGGAGACTGGAGAGGTTCTGGTAGAGTAGGTCGACCTGTTCTTGCAGATTCAAGAGTTGACTGTTCATCTGCTTAAAATCGCTGCCGTAGTAGTATCAGCCACAGGACCTGCAGACCTCATTGCCTTCCACCGTGTACGTACTCTGTATCTTTGAAATTATTGCAGCAGTTTGGCGCATACAGGCATTCGAGCGAGAGGCGACCGCATCGCTGACACGGCGTCTCGCCATTGCACTTGATCTTCCTTCTCTTGCACTCATTGCTGTACGTCGAATTAACCCCTCAAACTCCAGCGTCTTTCAAGTTCAAGTCCGAGAAGCAGCTTACCAGGCGATGGATATGTATCTGTTGCGCTTCGCCCGGGTCTGAGGTTGCGCGGAGTCGTCGGCTTTACGCTTATTCGAAGCAGATGGTGTGTCCGGACTATTGCTTGCGTCTTCGTCCTCGCGGGCCATTGTGCAAGACAGGGCGTCGACGACGCTGAGCACGAGTGTGCCAACCAGTGCGAGTAGGATGTATAGAAGAGAAATGAGAGCAGAGGATCGAATGACAAGGGAGAAGATTACCTCTAAACCATGATGAGTCTGGAGGTGTGCATGCGCATGCGGACGCCGCTAAGAGATCCCTTGCTGGGCCGGATTGTCTCGTTCTGGTTGCAGACTGCGGGGAAACTAAGTAGGGATAATCAGTCAAAAGTGTCGAGGGAGTAATTGGCCGTCTGAAACTGGTATGATTCATCGCATTATATGTTTTACTACAGTCATACTACTCTATGTGCATCTACACAGGCATCATGAACGCTTCCTCGGCTCTCTAACCGTCATCTTTCAAGCCTGCAGGGAGGCTTGTACTGACTTCAAGGAAGATATCCCGCGTGCGACCCCCATCTGCAGGGCAAACCCAGCCACTGACTTGATACTCTCCAAACTATCCAAGCCCATACTTCGCATCTTGAGCAGCACAGCAATCGTGCTTGTAATCGCCAGAAGCCTGAAGATGGCCTGCAGTCTCAGCTTCCACAGTCCCTTGGTCGTGTACTTGATGTTCCAGTCGCGCCATCTCGGAAACATGCAGCGGTACGTGAACCGTATCTGCGACCAAGGGTACACCGTCGGGTTCCATCCGTTCTCCATGAAGTACCAGCTATGGCATCCCCCTGACTGCCACACCATCGTCTTCAGCTTCTTCTGCAGTTTCGTCGTGTAGTCGATTTCGGCCTCTTTCTTGATCTCGGCTTGCTCGATGTCGCCGTTGAGGATGCCCTTGATGAACTTTAAGCTGTAGTTTACCATGTTTTCCGTGGCCAGAATGACAGAAGTGTGACCCGTCGCGGCTAGATTTCATGTTAGCGTGCGCCGAAATCCATCTATTTTGTGGAAACTTACTGTTTGGTCCGAAAATGGCAAAGAAGTTGGGGAATTCGTCCATGGCTGTGCCTTGGTATAGTTGTGGGCCACCGCGATCTTGCATCTGCTGTAGAAGATCGACTCCGTTGCGCCCCTTTACGACCAACGGATGAAGCCAGACTGTTGTATCGAAGCCGTTCGCCATGATAATCATATCAGCCGGAATCTCCTTCTTATCCATCGGAGCCTTCGATGAGGTGTCCTTGGGATCAGGATAAGTCCGGCCAGGCCCGATAGTAACAGTATGCTCGTGCACATGTGTCAGGGGCTGCGTCGTCACTTCAATCTTGGGATCATTCAGACCCGGGTACCAGGTCGCGTCGAAAATCCTCCTCTTACACCCAACACCGTAATTCGGCGTCAAGATCTCGTGATACTTCTCCGGAGTCGTCTTCTTGATGTGCCGTCGCAGTCTCTCCTCATACCTCGCTCGCTCTTTTGCCGCGAAGTCGTCTCCGCGGAAGTACCGGAAGTCATACTCTACTACGGCAGCTACAACCTTCCGCAGGGCGTTCTGTAGTCCCGGCACGTTATTGAACAGCTTCGGCGCGTACTTTGCGAAGGCCTCGTTGCCGCCCGGAGGCACAGTGCGGGGACTGACCCAGGGAGGACTCCTCATGAGCTGAGTGACGCTCTTCGCATTATAGGGCTCCTTCGTGAGCTTGGGGACCAGCTGCGCCGCGCTACATCCCGTGCCCATAACAATGATATCCTTATCCTTGAAGTCGTGGTGCTCTTCCCATCGTGCCGAATGGAAGACCGGGCCCTTGAAGTCCTCAATGCCGGGGATATTCTCAGGCCACGATCGCGGCTCCACCAGTCCTCCAACGGCACTGACAAGAACCTTGCAGCGAACAGTCTCACGCCCAACCACAACTGCCTGAGGACCGTCCCGATCAATGAGCGCTTGTCTTGCCTTGGCGCCCAAATCGCCCACGCCGGGGACGAGGTGCTTCAGCTCAACCTCCCAGAGCTTCTCTTCCTCCAGCCACCTGCAGTACTCCACATCCACGTTGCACTGTATCTTGTCCTCGATCTGAAACTTGGCGCACACGTCTCCAAGATACCGCTGCATCTCCGGGCCCGGGGGAAAGAAGGAAGTCCAATTCGGGTTCTGCGCGAAGGAGAAAGAGTATAGAATGGACGGACTTTTGTGCGTACCACGCTGTCAGCATCGACTCTCTCGTCTGCCTCCTTTGTTCTTCCAGGCATGTATTTGCAGAACTTACATGTCGCAAGCCACGCCCGGATACCGATTGATCCACCAGGTACCTCCAACACCACTCTGCCGATCGTAGATGCGGAACTGGTCGAATCCCAGCTTCTGCTTCAGCCTACAGCCCATCGCAATACCACTCTCGCCACCACCGACCACAACGACGGGAATATAGGTGTAGCTATCCTTGCCATAGCCATTGACCCTATGTATAGTCTCTGGATTCGTTCCCTTGAGCGTCATTTTCAAGGCGGGCAGACGTGAGGTTTACTGACTGACTGAAGTGAATCGACTTCCCTGAGGCTGAGGGAAAGAGACGGGAGAAGTTGAACGGAAGACGGTGACAAAGCAGCCTAAAAGCGAGCGATGTCTACATATGGTCCATTAGCGCGTCACGGCGTCACGTCCGCAACACCGTTAGCACATGGTTCGCCGACAGCTCGTGGACCCAAGCCCGCCATCGTAGAGTCGGTTCTTGGGGGCGGTATCCACTTCGAACTGCAAAGGGGGTATTAGCTTGCGGGTGCAGATACCGGGATTCACATCCATGCCTCGGTTCGCTTCCATTACTACTTTCGGTAACGCTTGCGGGGATGTGGAGACGGGAACAATGTGCATGCAGCCTGCACTGCAGGTGGACTATTATTATTGTAAGATTATCATGGTGATTTGTGATGATATTTTAGTAGCCATCTCACTCCATGTACGCCTCATCTCAGCACCCTTCTACCAAATAACGCATACATCACATACTCAATCCATACGCACGGGATGCAATTCATATATCTGAATCCTCGCGCTAACATCGGCATTGTGTCCCCACAGATCCATCGTCGGCGACTCCATCCATCAGATCTCACCTGTGACCTCATCCCTGTCCAGAAGACATCGATATAGATGACCCCATCCAATTGCACAAAAGAACGCTCAGCACAGTACATGCAAACAGCATTCTCATATTGATTGACACAACATGACAGTATCCAAACAACCGAGGGAGGTCACCAAACCGGAGCATCACAACAACGCATTCCAGGATGTCAAAGCGCGCCGATTTGATATATGTACAGTAGGCAGCCCCACGTTAGGAGTAATGAGGACTGAGTGAAACAAGATCCACCTCCACCGTCGCAGACATCAAATCCCCCATGCAACCAACACATTCAAAATCGCGCAAGTCTATACCAACATGAAGTCAGAGTGTTACTCCAAAGCCAATTCTAGCAATGTATATTGGGCTCAAGACAGGAAAACATACCACGTATCGGCAACTTTTTGTTCTCTCGAAGCATCAAGAGGTAAAGACAAGTTATAGTAGTGATATATACGTGATGGGCAGGGCAGGCATCCTTCATCCATACATCCGATCGATCGATTGCCCAGGATAAATCCCATCATCTCCGCTCCGTCGAACTCTAGAATAGTATATTCCTATATTACCGACTCCTTCCATCTCCGGATAACACTCACTACCCTATACACACGTCAAGTAAAAACCCATCAGCACGATGCATGCCTGAATAATGAAAATGTAACACCAAGGGACTATGACGGCGACAGGACGGCAGGTCTAAGTTCGCATTAGTCAAAAGGTACTCGCACAGCTATGAAGTGAAAACAGAAAACTCACCCAGCAAGAATCTCCGAGTCCTCAATCGACTGCGACTTCGTAACCATCATATACACCTCGCCCTGCAGGCCCTGCGGCACCGTACACTTCCCGCCCGTCAACGGCGCAAACTGCGCTCCGCCCGGAGCGGCAAAAGCACAGAACTGCGCACCGCCAGGCTGGTTTGCGTCGGCCAAGATGAGATCGTTGCCCGGGATCGCAGCAGCCGGGTTCTGCAGCGCAATGGACGGGAACGGTGTAATGGCAAGATTGGAGCCGGGCGGGCACGATTGGATGAATGGGGCGGCGAGGGTGAAGACAGCGCGTGGCTGGAGAGGCGTGTCGAATGCGGCGGGGATGGGCTCCTTGGATGCGGCTGAGCGGATGAAGGTTTGGTGACGGGCTTCGACTGTTGCGATGGTGGCTGCTTGGCCGAGGATGGCGGAAGAGTTGATCAGGGGTGCGGCGCCGAGATAACTGTGTGGAATTGAGCTCAATGTCCGTTCTGAACTGAACAAGTCCTTGTTTGTGCAAACTTACGCGGATACTCCGATGGCTTCTAGGACTTTCGCGGTAGCTACCATTGTCGCTGCGTCAGTGAAGCCGAAGTTGTAGGTGCATTGTTGCACCGGTTGGGCTCCCGCGGCGGCGATTGCAGAGGTGAGGAACGATACGTGTGTTGCTTCGGTCTGGCCGACCATCTTTAGAGAGGCGATGCTGGCTGCACTGAGGCCCAATGCCATGAAGTCGCTGTCGGGAAATTTGGCAAAGCCTTGTCTGTAGAATTCCGATTCAAGGTGCTCGGCAGTCAACGCACTACACACACTGTTAGCCTTTGCTTCAGTGTCTTGAACGACGGTGCTCACAAATTAAGAATATCAATATCTGAGAGTCCCCCACTGGGGGCGCCAGACTCCTGCCTAGCCTCCTTGACCGGAAGGGCATGGGTGACGACAGGTCCAAGGACGAAGATCCACTTCAGAGCTTGCTTGAAAGACGGCATTCTGGCGAACTGAGCAGAGAGGTACTTTGTGAGAGGATGATACACAAGTTAATCGTATTAGATCTGCTGTGAAAGAGTGTACAGATGTCCGACCAGGGACTATCGAAAGCCGAAAGAATGAATGTGATGATTAATTAAAGTGAACAGAAAAGCGAGAAGAGAAGGAGTCAGCTGCGAACTAATGATCTGTTGACTGCAACAAGAAAGAATCAAGAAAGGAACGCATGTCCGATGAGGGAACGAGCTGTCCACCTTATACTACACTGACCAGAGAGCCCAATGCTGAACCTGAGACAGGTTTGGACGCCACACAGTATCCAACCTTCAGGAGTCGACCGAGTGCCAGAAAAAAAAGACCCGCCTTGGGCACGGAGGAGGCGAAGTACTACTACGTGCAATTAGATAGCACACTCCTTCCGAACGGTTGTGTCGAAACTGGTTGTACACGATGGTGATGATGAAGGCCGTGGTGTTGCAGGTCAGGGCCGATGAGACGCGATAGCCAGAACTTGAAACCCGAGCAGCTTCAACGTCGCATCTTCATACCCGCGTCAGCAACAAAGCCCCACCCACCAGCGCTGGACAGCAGAGGAACATGGTACATCCGTTACAAGGCATTGTCCATCGCTAATGAACCTCTTGTCGCTTTTCTTCCGGGTGCTGAGCTTTCCGAGGGGCGGAAGAGGAGTATTGATACTACTAGATGCTACACAGTCCCAACTTCTACATTATGTGCCATCAGCCAAGCTCAATAATTGAATAAACAAATCAGTGGCAGTCAAAGGAGACAATATCATCCGCTTTCGAGACAGGGCGTCAAAAACTTTGGTGTGAAGTATAGTATGGGTTTCTGGATCCCAATCCCAGTGTAACCGACCGCGAACAGTGGCTGACCAGTTCACTGAGCCCCGGGTTTACGGCTGCCAAGTTAACTTGTCAAATACCCAAACGCTTTTGCCGCTGGATGCCCTTTAATCTTCTCACCGAAGATCCTGTGGTGTTGTGCAGCTCGGTCTCCATGTGATCATATAGGGACGGCTACGGCTGAAAGAACATGCCTGTCCAGGACACAAGCGACCAGGTGCTCGCTATCTTCATACTAAACCTTTATTACTACTGCTAGGAAGGAAATTACACGTAATTCTAATAAGCTATGTCATGTCTCAAGACCATCATCCACTTTACCGCTCTCGCTGGTCAATGGTACATAGCAATATCATGTACTGACTCATCTAGCGCTCAGGATTCTCGACTTTTCTCTCCTCTCTTTCCACCCGCCTACACGCTGAACGTATTGCTTCGCCTGGTGCCGTTTGTCAACGTTGACAACGGACCATTTGGTGCTCAGCCCAGGACCGTCACACGACTCCTCAGGTCGTTATAGTTGTAATGATTGGACGCGGCACAATTTGGACCGCTAAGCTTATGATTTCTGCTGAAAGATTCGTGCTTACTAGCCCGCATAGCTCGAAAGAGTGGCGAGCTATGCTGTCAGGAATGATGGAAAATACAAAGCAACCGTGGCTGACGATTGGTAGTATGGCTTGTCCTCTCAGAGAGCGTAGGGATTCATAGAGCGTATGGTCAGGCATCTGTACACATTTAGCATCTTTAGTGGCCCTGGCCTAATCATGCAAAAACTTACGGGGGACTCTTGCTGAGGTCCGTCTTTAGGATAACCGGTACGCGTGTCATCTCTCTCACGTCCTGGATATAATCGCCATCTACTTCTCTAAGCGAGAACAATTTGAGATACTTCTCCTTGTTCGTCAACTGTGTCTCGGGGGCATCAGTAGCACTCTGCGCAAGGCGAGAATCGGAATTGGTGCGATGAGGTGCTTGGCCGGATTCGAGGCTGCCCCTGGTTGGTGAAGGCGGCATGCTCTGGGTTGGACGATCTGCAGCACTCAAAGAGACTCCCGCAGTCATCTCTGTAATCTCTGACGCATCATCGTCATCATCGAAAAGCGCATCAACATCATCTGTCGACATGGTACCAGTGTCCATTTGTCGCCGCTGGGCCTCCTCGTGCTCTTTCGCGCGCTGTTTAGCTGCTTCTGCGTCACGAGCGGCAGCTACAGCTTGGGCCGACCGAGAGTTGCCAGGCTTGGGGCGCTCATCCTCAGGAACATAGGCGGAAGACGGCACACCTTTCTCCCAGTAAAGCTCGAGAAGGCGCTTGTTCTTGTCAAACTCGGCCTTCTTGAGCGGTAGCTGATCGCAGTGGACACGTTTCTCAAAGCCAAACTCGGGAATCAGGACATCAAACGCAGATTCGTACACGCAAAGCACCACACCTTCACTGATCAAATCACCACCAGCCTCTTGACGGAGCTTGTCCATACGGCGGCACGACTCGATATGTACACTTTGTTCCTGGGCGGCATGGGCCGAGTCCTTCTTGGTGTTCGCAGCTTCTGCAATTTTGGCAAGTGTATCTGCGTCCTCCTGGAACTCAGTCGCGCCTTCGGAGAGAATTGCCTCGAGCTGGCGATGGACGACGATGTCAGCATAACGGCGAGATGGGTTCGTAAAATGAGTGTACACTGGAAGGTTTAGCGCGTAGTGTGCTTGCTGATCCTCTGGTACACGTCCAGCGACGTAGTACTTGGCACGTGACATTGATTTGACAAGTAAGGTTTCCATGCCTTTGCGAAGATCGTCCTCGTCGATGGCGAACAGGCTGTTTTGTAGAGTGCCACTGCTTGTTGTGTCAATGTCGTAGCCAATGGCGTTCATACGATCAGCAAAGGTCTGCAATCTCCTGGGGTTTGGCGAGAGTTGACGTCTGAGGAAAGCCTTCTCTGGAAGACCTGCTAGAAGCTTTTTGGCAACAAAGGCGTTGGTCTTGTGGCTGATCTCTTCTATCAATTCATGAGCTGGGGACGAGTCAAAGATGTTCTGTTCTACAGGAACATTCTCGTCGTCCAATTGGTACAAGAGGCGTAGAGGTGGGATGTCAGGAGACCGGTTGCCAAAGCGAGCCTGGCGGAACCGTTCAGTAATCTGGTAGAGCATTTTGATGGCTTGCACTCTCGATTCCGCCAATCCAGAGTCGCCGCGTCCTCCAATGATCTTGTCGACCTCATCGTACGTCAATTTCCCAGAGCTCTTGATAACAGCTTTGCCAACCCAGGTCTCGTCATCGATGACATTTCCAGTGTCCTTCTGGATCTTGAAGACCACACTGACAGTGTATCTTTCTTCGCCAGGGCTTAAACAGCATATGTCGGTAGCCAGCTTAGGCGGTAGCATATTGACAGCTCTGTTCATCAAGTAGACAGCGGTACCTCTCTTCTTAGCCTCGCGGTCGACCAAGGAGTTTGGCTTGATGAAATGGGCCACGTCGGCAACATGGATACCGACTTCAATATGACCATCGGCAAGAGTCTTGACATGAATGGCATTATCCAGCTCTTTGCTACCATTCGGATCGATTGTGAAAGTCTCTTCCTCTCGGAAATCACGGCGATTTTCAAGACCTCGCTCGCCGTCATTCGCGACGGACCAATCATCAAAACCGACATTCTTGAGTACAGCATCCGAGAAGTCGTCAGGGCCAAAGTTGTTGTCACGTAGCAGAGCATCAGTCTCTACTCTCAAATCGCCCATTTCGCCAAGCTGCTCAACCAGCGTTCCGAATGGATGAAGGGATGTAATTGGCCAACGCTTGATGCAAGCCACGAAAATGCGATTGGCGTAGTCTTGGTGCTTCTCAACGAAGTCTCGGGGTGCCTGTTCAGTTGGAATGGCAATCAGGGGCACGCGCTTGTCTGTTGGCTTGAACCACACAATTTTGGGTTTCTCTTGCTGTCGCTCATTTTGATGACGTCCGTGGTTCCCTTCGCGGGCTTGACGTTCGGCCTCCTGCTTCTCTTTGGTGGCCTGGCTGCTGGGACGAAGAAGTCCGAGAGTACCCGAGAACATCTGGCCTGCGACACGCTCTACGACGGCAACAATGTGACCGGCATAGAGTGGCTTCTGCTCATCGTTAATCTCTTCTTCCTCCATAAGCAGTAAGCTTTGTCCTTCGACTTCAACATCATCGTTCTTCTTTTGCGTAGGACGTTGTCGCAGGCTACCACGACGACGGAGAGAACCGTCTCCGCCAGACTGGCTAGATTCAGGCTGCGTAGTAGCATCATTGACTGCCATACTACCGCCACGAGTATCCGAGTTGTCCTTGCGCTTCTTTTTCTCTTCTTTCTCGCGCTTCTGGCCCCATACTTCATCGACATCCAGGAGCTCAACAGCTACGAAGTCTCCTTCGAGAGCACGATTACGGTCCTTGCTACCACAGATGAAAATGTCTGCATCCAAATCGGTCGTCGTAACGTAAGCATCGCTGCGGTTCTTCTTATTGACACGTAGGATACCGGAAACAAGCTGGCCCTCCGACAGTAAAGTTGGCAGAGAGGCCTGAGGCAGGTAGGGTGTAAAGAGCGTCTTGCGTTGCTGTTGTTGCTGCTGCTGAAGAGACATTTGAGGCTGAGCATGCTGGCTAGCTTGTAAGCCACCCATCTGGCCATTCATTTGTGCAGCCTGGAGGGCCTGAAGGTGAGCAATCTGCAGGGGATTAATGTTCTGTCCATACATCTGAGGAGGAACGAGCATCTGGCCCTGGGGGAGCTGCACAAGTTGCGGCTGTTGAGGATACTGGAAATTGCCGATGGAGCCAATGGATTGATTCATGGATCCACGGGCGCGGTGTCCAGGCTGGAAGGGCGCGGCACCTGCTGACTGATTCAAGTTGAAGTTACCCATGTTGCTATTCTGCTGGTCTTGCGGTTGCTGCTGCTGCTGGTTGTTAGGCTGCCTCCAATTCCCGTCAAAGTTGCGAGAAGAAGCTCGGCCATGCCCACTGCCTCGGCGCTGGAAGTCCGATTGAGCTGAGTTGTCAGGTTGGGCGGGAAATTGGAATGCAGGACCCCCGCGACCTCCTTGTCCAGAGCCGCGTCCACCCCCTACGGCCATGCTCTGGCTGCGACCGTGGCCGCCGCGCTGAGCACGGCCTGCCGCTGGAGGCTGCTCGCCTGTTGGAGCTCCGACAGGGCTGGCGTCTCGGTTGCTCGAGGTTGTGGAAGTGCCAGTGGCTCCTGGAATAGGAAATTGAAAGCCAGATGTCTTTCTTTTCTGTTCAGCCAATTCCGCAGCCTTTTTGGCCTCAGGTAAGGCTAGCGAATGGCGACGTGTATGGCCAGATCCCGGAGGACCCTGGCCACGGCCACGTGGGTTTACATTCTCACGACCTTGCGGCTGCGAATTGTTGTAATCCTGGAATCCAGAGGCACCCGAGGACGGAGCTGGTGGGGGACCCATACCAACATTGGGTAAGGCGGACTGGTTGCGTCTGTGAGCAGACGGCTGCGAGGGCGTGTTCAATGACACAGACATTTGCTGTTGCATCTGTTGTGGAAATTGAAACTGGTTCGTATGGGGCGATACATTGGCCATTTGTCCTTGCATCTGGTATTGGCCACCTTGCATATGTTGCTGGTTTGGAATCATGCCCATGTTGAGATACTGCTGATGAGTTGCGGCGATCTGCTGCTGCTGCACCTGAAGAGCTTCAATCTGTTGTGCAAGAGCGAGTTGTTCCACTGAAAAATGTTGTCAGTAATCCAGTATCTCGAATGCAATGTCAGGTATGGACTTACTCATAAGAGGAGTCAGCTCAGAAGGGCTGCGGCGATGTGCAATGTGCAGTCTACGTCCTGCCGGTCCTTGCGGACCAGTATGTCCTTGTTGATCCATGATAAAGGTTTGACAGGAGAATTACAGGTCTCGACTCTTTAACACTGATATACGATGATATATACGTATGACGTAGGTAGGTAGGTAGGTATGTCGGAAGAAGACCAAAGTCTCGACAGAACACTATGAAGAGCAACAGCCAGTTAGTGATGTCCATGGCAAGATGGCCAATCAATATGGGTTGATTGGTGCTCACCAAGGGTGTTACGGACCTTGGACTGATCAACAGTGGGTGAAAGTAAGCTGTGAAGGAAGTGACCAAATGCAATCCGCTAACAGAAATCTGCTGAGGAAGATGCGCAAGTATGATGATGTCAATGCTTCATGCAGATCGTTGCGTTGTGAGGAGCAGACGAAGGCTTGAAGGCTTGGAGGTTTACAGTCTCAGAGTAGACTGGTTGCGGACGGGAGCGATTGTTATTGAGGGGGCCGGAGGAGATGCAGATCAAAGAGTGCACTGCACCTGCGCGGGTAACACGTCGTGACTGCGGCAATGAAGTAGAGGAGTAAGCCACGATCAAGTCAATTGGGATAGAGACTTGAATGGATCGAGGTCGATGGAAGAAGCTGAGGGTGGGATGTCGGAGTATATTGGGCGATTGCCGTGCACGGTCTGTTACTGAAGTAGGGAAAGTGAATCCCAGGTATAGTTGGGAAGGAACCGAAGCAAAGGAGGGTGACGAAGAATGACGGGACGACGCTCAACGACAAGGAGGGCGACGATGAAGGATGAGGGAGAGAGAGTGAGGGAGTGTGAAGATGAGAAGAGAGAGAGAGAGTGTGTGTGGTGTAAGAGGAGAAGAGAGAGAACAGGAGAGAGTGACGACGATGGATGGATGCTCGCTCGCACAACTGGTGGTGGTGGAGCTGCTCGTTGAGAGCGCCTGGTGGTCTGTGCGTCGGGCTCGAGCGTCGGGAGCGTGTAGATCTGTTAAGGAGAGACTCCCAAACATGAAATATCTTCTATCGCGCTAAACTGCTATTAGACTTATACTACTGCTCCATCAGTCTATCTTGCAATCTATTTTACTCTTCACTAATGCATGCGTCGAATCCGGTGGCTCGTTCTCCAGCTTCGTAGTGTAACCTCCTGTCGACCGTGATGACCTACCTACCCCTCCTCGATCGAAGGTCGAAGCTCCAAAACCAGGTACGAGTCAAGGTAGGTAGGTAGACCAGCGTACATAGACTAATGACCAAATGAACAATGACCCAAACCTTTGACATACATACACCACGTAAATAGCGCGCTCTGTCACTCTCCTTATGGTTATTCACACTGCCAAGCATTCACACTTCCTGCCCTTAAACCATCACATGATACAGGTAATATGTCATTGCGTCTACCGCGTCTGCTTTACTGATTGTGCTACTAAGTTGTGATCATGCCACCGATACTGGTATTCGGTGACGCCATGTGTACTTCATGTTTTGAAGCGAGAGAGGAATTATTCGAAAACAGAGAGTGGTGTTTGTACATATGATAGTGCGTGTGAACACTCATACATTTCATCCATCACCAACAGCCATACATACCTTAACTCATACAGATCGGTCTACTTGCGGAGGTCTTATTGACAGAATGCTGCGTTCCAAATAGAGTATATGCATTCAGTCTACCTTCCGCTCCCACTGATGAAGCCTTGTACTATCTCCCAGGATGCGCGCTAAATTCTATGGTTAATCACCGACTAGACCTTTCAATCCGACTCTACCTTTATCCTCCACTGTCGTAAGATCGAAAGTCTATTGTGCTGAGCTCATAGCCCTCAGCTTCTGTTGTTCCTCGGGCGTCAACGCGTTGAACAAGTCATCAAATCCAGGCTTCGTCGAGGCGCCTTGGAAGAATTGAAGAAGATATGTCTGCGTCTCATCGTCCTTTCCGCGAGTCGCTGCGTCGGTGTCGTAGCCCATAAGGTCTTGTTTCGTCATTCCCAGGCCAAGATCGATAACGTCGTCATCTTCCCATCCATCGTCGTCGTCAGCTTCATCATCAGCGGCCTCCTGTGCATTGCTGCCATCGAGGTGGCTAGCCATGCCAGAAGCCGAGAGAAGCTCTTGGACAAGGACTTTGAGAATCTTGAGGGGGGCGGGAATGATGGCGAATTGGTCTGGATCTGAATCGTTGTTGGTACACGGAATCTCATCGCTAAAGCTGAAGACATTCGAAGGAAATGAGGATGTTGAAAGTGGCGTATTAGGAAAGTCTGGTGTGTTTGGAGTGCTCGCAGAATACATAGAAGCCGGGTAGCTAGACGGAAAGCTTGAAGAAGAAGTGGGCGACAACAACGACGGTGTAGAATTGTTGTTGCTGCCATATTGTGCATTTTGCGCAGCTAGAAAGTCACGGTAGACAGGAGATCGAGAAAAGTACCTACTTTGCTTTGCACGCGACCGAGTCATGATGCGGTCGCTGGTGGGAACGATAAGATCGCCTTTAACCTGTACCTGCGACAGTCTGGCATCCTCAAGCTCATACAGCTTCGATAGAGCAATGACACTAGCAAAGTCAGCAACACTTCCGAACTGTACAAAAAGCCAGACTCACTTCTGTCGAATCTCGTCGTATCCCACAAAGTGGATCGAGTTCTCTAGCCACTTGGCAAGAACCGTCTGGAGCCCCGTCTGCGGCCCTTGCTCCGTTTGTATCTCAACCTGTGCTAGAAAGTCCACTACCTCTTTGGCACTGACCAAAGACAAGCGTGCAAACACCAGGGTCAGACTTTGAATAAGCTGGATCTTTGAGGCGCTTCCCAGTCGTATAGCGACAGCCTTCAATAGCTGTTCCAGGAATGGACCAAGTCTCTCTGAGCCTGCCTTCTCTACAACTTCTGCAGCCAAAGCACCAACCTCTGCGGCCGCATTGTCATCTACATCAGGGCCCAGTAGGCGATCAATAATGATCAGCACTACTTCCAGACCGCCCTTACCGGACTCATCGTGCCATTCGAACAGCTGCTTGTAGTCATGTATGATCATGTTCTTGACAGCGAGAGTCGCAGCTTTGAGTAACTCGTCGTCATTTGAGCCAAGTAGGAGCCTGTGTAGTTTTGGCATGATTGCAGCGACAAATCCTTGCGGAAGTGGTTCCGAGCCATGTTCAGCGAGGGTAGCAAGAAGACTGGCGGCGAGGTTTGTCAAAGTACTTTCTTCTATCAGCGTACCTACATCGAAAGCTCCATTGATTGTTGGGAGGACTTTATGGCATAGCTGAGTGTACGCGTCCGGGCCGAGAAGCGCGGTCTGGTTGACAACGTCATCGAATGTGTCGTTGACAATCTCTTCAAGGTGGAAATGAGACCCTTGGCTTGCAACCGTAAAAAGGAGGTCGAGACCGTTTCCGGTAAAACAAACACGGATATCCAATAGAATCGCATCCCTGAGACTCTCAACAAAAGTGACGAGGAGATCTTCACTTTCTGCCATGTCTGCCATATCATGTGCTGAGATATAGTTGGACAAAGCCGCAATCATTGCCTCCTGCAACGGAGCGGTAACGCTGCGGTCTAGAGTCTGAATGTAGTGTTGCATAGCTCGAATGCAGGAGACTTTGACGACCTCGGAGTCGTCACTATTGATCGCCCGGATCGTAGCCTCGAGGAACTCAACGCCAATCTGGCCCAGCCCCTGTGATGTACTTCGGACCAGACTTCCAGCCACAAGGTAGCCACGAGCTCTCAAGAACTCTTCGGGCTGCTGCATTGCATACTTGACGTAATCGATGAAGCCATTGCCGACTTCAAAGTTCAAGAACCGGTCTCTGTCTTGATAGTCGCCCAGGAATTGTCCCAGTATGAAGAGAGCGGACTCTTTGGCTTTCCACGACTCCGTTGAGGAGTAGAGGGTCTGTGTGTACGAGAGAAGACCTTGTATGGTGGGATCATTCAACCACTCGCCCAACTTGATTACGAGGTCGCCACATCCTGTTCTGGGCGTGTAGTTCGCAGTGACACTGGTCTCCTCAGATAGGAAAATGTTTACATCAATGTTCCACAACCCCTCCTCCTCAGTGGTGATCTGCGCGAAAGCAACGGAGAGCTTCAAGAATTCAGTGACCCAATTCGCGTTGCTCTGCAATTGTTTCTCCAACTCCTTGCGGACTGGTGCAGCACGCAGACATGCCTGCATGAAATCCAGCTCTTCGAGGACAAGAAAGTCCAGAGTGTAAGGTAGACCGTCCGAATCTTCTAATCTGCTTTGGCGCTCATCGTAGATGTACATATGGTGATACGCAGCCTGGATCGATGAGAGTTCGTCCCATGTTGCGGAGAACAAAGCCGTGCTGTATTGGGCTAGAAGGAAGGAGAAAGCAGACCTGATGCGCATCAAACACTGCCATGATCAGTACGTTGTCATACTCTGGTCTGAGAAGAGCCTACCTTCACCACCTGTAGTTTCAAAGCCAATAAGCCGCGGTATGCTTCAGCTGCAGGAGTTTCCGACTCCTCGTCCTTTTCCGAAGGAGGTTCCGGCAATTTAGACTTCATGACATCGAGGAAGAAGGGCAGCCACGCAGCCAGGACTTCGTCAGCAAAGGATCTGACCGCCGCCTTGTTATCTTCGGCCACAATCTCCAGGGAGTCAAAGCATCCGCGCAGAACGTTGACAGCCAATGCCCTCAGCATGTTCTTCTTACTCTCATCAGCCACGACGGCATGGATGGCGGTGATCAGATCCCTGGCCACAGCGAAGAATTGGTCATCGCTGAGACTCTCGTCGACCATATCACCCAATACTTTTAGCGCGCCATGTAGTTGTGAATCGTTCGCGGTAGGGATGAGGTGGAGCAGGGTGGGCAGCAGGTCGGGCCACTCGTCTGGGTAGTCGGCGCTGGCAATCTTGCTGACGACATAGCTAGCAACGGCCTTGATCTTCCTATCCGCGGTCGGGCTTGTCGCAAGCTCTAGTAAGGACTGTCGGATCCGTATCTTGCTCTCATCATCGACCAGCACTTGGCCCTTGAACTCGTCCAGACCGGCCGACCAGCCAGCAAGCACAAACGCCCTGAGCGTCAACAGAGCGGACTGGCGGATACCGATGTGCACACTGTCGTGTGAAGCGATGCTGATGAGCGACAGTGGAAAGGCAGGATTGGTATAGGATTGTAGAATCTGCAGTTCGGCCTGTTTGCGGGGACCCTCGTGGGGAGACTGCGTCTCGGCAAGGACGCGAACCAGTTGCTCCTCCATGGTTTAGAAAGGTTTAGTGAGCCAGGATGCTGATAGAGGACGCGTGACCAGTGGGATCGAAGGAATGTTTAGTGTGGTAACACGCGTGGATCGCGACTTGGGGGAGTAGTTTGCGGCTTTGTTTTGGTGGGGAATTATTTTTGGCGAATCCTCTGGAGTCCGGGGCAGAGGAGGGGGAACTTTAGGTTTGAGCTGTGGCGCAGGCGAGGTGGCTGGCTGAACTGTCTATGGATCGGATTGTGGCTAGTGACGTAGGTCTATCTGAACTTCCTCATTCAATTTGAACGACCGACGACGTTAAAGTCACTGTTACTGATGACCTGGGGCAACAAGTCCCAGCAATACGAATCACACTCACCAGTCAGCAACTCGTGGCAGTCCAACAACACAAGCCTGAAATCCGCGTCCAAGTCCGCACCCACTCACGAACAAGATATCAAAAGAACTCTGCGAACAAAGTGACGGTCGGCAGGCAGGAAGAAGTAGCAGAAGCAGAAGCAAACACAAAGCAAGAAAACTCTCCTCTACAAATCCCAACACCACTCGAGCCGGGAACGTCTGCATATAAACACTCCCTGCCCCCTCACCTCAAACCAAGGCAGTCCGTTCCAGCTCCCCCAAGACGCGCGCGGAAACCCACATCGTGGAAACATCACTCTACTGATCAAACACGCCCACAGTCCACTGGAATGTTGCACGAACGCTGTTCTCGCGACCGCGACTGATAGGACCGGCCAAGCACATCCTACCTGCCGTGCAACCCTTCGCTTCTCTTCCCTCACCCACCTCCTCACCCACCACGTATCCAACACAGCATCCTGCCAGGTTTGCCAGGGACTATTCAAAACAATCCGTCACACCCGGTCCGCGAAGCGCACCGGCAAAACGTCCACCTGACCCAGTCCTGGACCTGACCAGGGGGCCAGCCCAGATTCCTGGCCGCCGCTATCTATCTATCCACATAAGCAGCACATACCGCCGAGTGGATCCCCATCCGAGCGCCCCTTGTATCACACACACACACACAACCAGCCTGGCCCGGTCCCTCCCTATCTACCCTGTCTCTCCAGAGCAAACCCCCTTTCTTCTTCTTCTCCGTCAACAACAACATAAACAACAACAAAATGTCAACCCACATCCACCTCACAACAGCCTTCACCTCCCTCCTCACCGCCGCCATCCACTCAATCCTCTACACCCGCGCCCTCTACCCACGCGCCTCCTTCCTCGCCACCCGCTTCCACAACTACCCCGTCCACCAATCCCGCCACCCCCTCGTCTGCACCTGGATCAACGACGCCGTCGCCGCAATCACCCCTCTCCTCGCCTCCAACTCCCTCGCCCACGTCGTGGTGGTCATATACTCCGCCCTGCACGTCCCCCTTGAGCGCTTCGTCTTTGACGTCTCTCGCTTCCCCGTCGTGGCGCCTAGAGATAGGGAATTGGTGATTGAGCGTGCGGAGGCTGCGGGGGCAGGGGCAGGGGCGGTGCCGCCGAGCGACGCGGAGCTGGAGAGGAGGCATGATCGGGTTAGTGTGGAGCTATCGGAGAGCTTCCGGGCCGTCATGGCGCGGCTGAGCAGCGTGTCGACGAGGCTGGCGCCGTTGCCGCCGGACTGCAGTTTCGCGGTTGCGGTGGAGTTGAAGGAGGAGGCTGAGGCGCCGATTGGGCATCCGCAGCCGTGGATTCCGGCGGAGCCGGGATTGCAGGTGAGTGGGCGGGTTGGCGATGGGGACCGGAAAAGGGGTGGGCAGTTGGGTGGTGCGAGGACGGTGCCGGTGCGGGCGGTGGAGGCTGGGGAGATGGTGCTGGAGGTGTGGGTTGAGGAGGGGAGTGGCAAGATGGAGGAGGCGAGTCAGGAGACGTTTCCTAGTAGTAGTAGTAGTAGTAGCAGTGGGTTCCAATGACAAACGAGGATGCTGAGAAGCTTATAAGCGATTAATTCACAGCGCGAGTCTCAGGGCTCAAATCTACACTAATATGTACATATAGAAAGTGCGACCCCCATGGATCGTTGACTGGGGGAAAAAACATATGGGTATTCGGAAATGTGAGAATAGACTTTGTAACGATAGCAAAAGCCCGCCCAGTCGAAAATGCTGCAATGTGCTAACCAACCCCCCCGCGATGACAATAGGCTTTGCGTTTGGCGGACCTTTGAATGACGGATTCACGTAAAAGAAATGATGCTAACAAACCCCCCATTCACCACCCCCTTAACAACGAAAGAATGACAAGGAAAGCAGTTTACACCACACGTTATGCCATTCTGGGGAATGAAATTAACATAAAGCGAGGAATCTGCTACTCAATGAATGGGAGCTCGACAGGGCCAAGCTGTCAATGATCCTGCCTAGGATGTCTAGCCAAATATAGCTGCCTTTGCTGCTCTCTGATCAGTTGATCGCGTATAAGCTGTCTGTCACGCACAGCCTGATCGGGTTGTGGGTTCGGAAAGCCGTTGGCAGGAAGCTCCCGGGCCATCATCATGCGACGTCGGTTCAGATCGTGCATGGCAGCGGCCTGTCGTGCGTGCATGCCAACAAGTTGGCGCTCATGCTCTATGAACTGTAGCATTCGAAGCCTGTTCATCTCCTGATGCTGCGCGATATTGGCGTGTGTTCCCGCCGCCTGGAAGAGTGGTGGTGGGTGGTTCAAGACCGGGAATTGTTGCCACGCGTCGACCAGACCATATGGATTTGGTACTTGTGGACGGTCATTCTGTGCTACTCCAGGCACGGCATGCTGCGGATTGGCACGTTGTGGTATAGCTGCCTGTGGCTGAATGCCTGCGTATACTTCCACTTGTGGTGGAGCGCCTCGCTGAGCCTGAGGTACGATACGCGGTGCGGCAGGCCGACGCTGAATGTCCTGGATGTCCTGTATTGGTCCACCACCCGGCTCCCTGTGATTTCCCATCGGGTTTATCATGACATTTCGATTCTGGCGTGGTGGTCCTCCAGGCTCCGCACGGGCGAGATAGTCCGGTAGCATCAGTGCACCGTGTGGATTGATGCCAGCTACAGGAGGAGCATTGTTTGGAAGTTGGACGTGGTGGTGATGGACATGGTGATGGTGTCTGATCCCTTGGCCAAGATAGCGTTGGTTGAGACGATCGAAATATGGCATTCCCACCGGATCAAAGCCTGGTGGTACGTAGTCGGCGAAATGGGCGAGATTGGGGACATGGCCCGCTACTCCCTCGGCATACGCTCTTGCAATTCGTTGTCTATTTGGAGGGTGCGGTCTGCCCTCTAACTCTACCCTTCGGGCATCTTCTAAACGTTTCTTTTCCGCCTGCTGCACCTTATCTGACACCTTGATCTTTAGATCTGCGTCGCTTAGGCCTGGGTTCTCTGCGCGGAGCTTCTCCAGCGCAACTCTCTCGGCTTTCTCGACGTCTTTAGCATGTCGTTCTTCCGTATTGTCGTAAAGAGGACATTTCGCTTCAGAGGAGCCCATATCCAGGGTATTGGAAACGCCACTAAAGTGCTGATAGTCCGTTACATCTTTGCCACAACAATAACATTGCTTATTGTGACAAGTCGGACAGGATATCTTGTTGCATCCTGAGTCCTTGAGAAAGGTTTTCTTGCATTTGTTGCATTTCCTGGTCAAAGCATTAGTGAGGGCTTCCTCGAGAATGTGACGGTGAGCCAGCTTGTTGTCTTTGGCGTGCTCCTCGCAAGATTTTGGAACGTGGGTCTCCAGCCGGCATAACCGACAGCTTGTCTTCGAACACTCAAAGTTGACGCAACGAAACTCTTTGTTAACTTCGACTGGCGGGTATTCTGCTTGGAAATCGCAGAAGGGGCACTGTTCGAGGCCTTCTAGACCTGCTTCCCTAATATCCTCAGCTTGCTGCATCTGCTCCAGTTTATCCAAGATTTTTGTATTGCCTCGCAGCGCTTTAAGCAGTTCTAACCGCTTGAACATGCCTCCGTTCTTCCCACAACCGGACGTATCCATGCAGACAGGTCTACATTTGCCCTGAGACATCTCTGCCATGACGTAGCTGGACACGCAATCGTAGCAGAATGGGTGCGCATCTTCGCTGCTGCAAAAGGCCATGCGGTTAAGAGGGCATGACGTGTAGCAACAACCGCAATCTTGGATGGAACCCGATGCTCTGGCTGCCCTCTCATTCTCCTGTTCCTCCTGCTCTGCCTTTTTCTGCTTCATGCGCTTCGCGTTATCCTTGTCACATTTCTTCTTAGCTGTCTGGAGCATAGCCGTGAGATTATCGTCGGGGGGCGCTCCACCCGACGCCCGGTATGGTTGTCGAGGCCTGGGGAGTTTTTTGAAGGGCATGTTATTGTCGTTTTGCTGTGAGTGTAGCTTTAGATATGCGTGGTATGGGGTTTGCTCGTTGCGTAGCACGTTCTGGATGTGGGGTAATGGTACGTCTAAGAATTCGTTTCCCAACAAGCGTTTACTAGAGAAACAGTAAGTATACTGCACAAATCTCCGCGTGATCTCGCAGTGAATGAGTATGTGCGATCCGAGAAAGATGCCGGCACATCGGCTTCATTGCAACTATAAGTAAGAATCCATAGGCGGAGTGACGCACATGTGCCCGCCGGGGCATCCGGGGCACTGGGGGAAAATAATTCAAACTTACGCGTCTTGTATATATCTGGGACTATTTCCCACGGGCGAGTTCGGTAGCACCGGCTCTTTAGTGGCTTCGTCATCACTACTTGATGTATGGCGTTTCCGCTTCAGTTCCTTCAGTCGATCTTTTTGCTTTGGATACGTAGCATCATCTGCAATCCGACTGATAACTGTGTTACACCACTCTTGTGTGTAGTTGCCGCCGGCCTTGCCTTTACGAAGACGTTGCAACACGTGATCATGAGCTATGTCTGGGAAAATCTGCAATACCAAGGCGAGACCTTGCTCTTCTGTCAAGGAAACGCATGATCGATCACTTGGGGCTTCATCTAGGGAAACAGGCGCACTTTGACGTTGATCAGGGTTGTCTGGCCGAGCGTCCAGATTCGGAACGGCTAGAAGAGCCTCCCAGGCATCGTCAGCTGGCCATTCGTTGGGCTCCAAGTCAAATGAGTTACCTGGATTGTCGTATACGTCCGGTACGGGGGAAGAGACGCGACGTGCTAGTTCGTGAAAGACATCAGAGCGGTCATCGTCCTCGCTGCCATTGCTTTGATCGTCGTCTGGCGGAAATCTCCAACCGGCCAGTGGAGATGCTCTCGACGGAAAATCCTGCCTCACCGGTGCTGTATCTTCTTCAGTGTCAGAGGAAAGGTCAATCACGACGGGGGCTTGTTGATCGGGGTCAGGCGGCATTTTTGTGGTGATTGCAGCATGAACGCGAGGCTGGCGGTAGATGAAGCTGTTAGAAACATACAAGCGAATGCCGTCTCTTTGAATACTGTAAGGAACGAGGGTAAAGTGAATGACGAGTACACGAGCGAGCAAGTGAAGCAAAGCTGAAGAAATATGGCAGACCGTGACTGCTGGGCAGCTGTGAGCGAGCTGGAACACGCCGAGTGCAGTGCAGCTCAGACTCGGAGCGACTCCAAGGGAACGGCACCCACAGCTCTACGGACTGACTGCTCGGCGAGTCGGAGCCGAGGGCGGCAGACACATAGGTACATGAATGAATGTAGTGGATTGTTGTCCTCTACAATGTCCTGGATTCACCACGAAGCGGCGAACAGCAGTGACAAAAAGCAAAAAGCGCGACTTTCAGCGATTTGACTTGATAAAGGACGGAACAGTGGATCCGTGGATGCTTTCACGCCCCCAGCGAACCGAAGCGGCAGCTAATGATTTTGAGGCAACAAGGCGTCAAGGCATCAAGACATCAAGGCATCAAGGCACACAGGTGTCAAGGCATAAAGGCGGCAAGGCGGCAAGGCTAACAGAATCCAACCTAGGAAGGAGCAGAGCCTCGGACGCTAGATTCAAAGCGATTGCCGCGTGCTATGTTGCTATGTCTGTTATAATTAGACCTGATTAGTTCCAAGGCCATCGAGTCCGTCACAAGAAAACAACATCCTCACAACACCACCACCACACGCCCTCCTCCACTGATTGATCGTCGGGGACAAGAAATGGTCAGCCCCTATTGCTGTATTACCATTGTCACTCCCAGCATAACGTCAGTTCTGGTCTGCAGACCCACCACTAGCACTCCACGTGAGGAACGGCCTGGGCGCTTTACGGCGGCTGTCATCGGTTGTGCGTACCTGCATCGCTGGTCTGGGAAAAGGGAAACTTTACCTACCTCTCTCTCCACTGCCCAGAGTTTCTTAGTCAAGGTTCGGGGCGGCACTGCAGGCCAGGGGGGAGGGCTGTTTTATAGTGGGCGTGGCTTCCGGGCTTCGCTGACTGGGCTGTTATTATATATGTCTTGTCTCGCGTGAGAGGGCATTTGAAGCTATTGCTCTCCTCACACCAGTCCACTTTTTTCTTGGGTTACCTATCTACAGCCTACCTCTGCAGTAATTGATTCTCTCGATCTGCCTCCTCAACACGTTCTATTCCTATTAACCCTAGCGTTGCATTCCAAATATAGTGTGGATAGTCTGTAGAAGACTGTCTATGTGAGAATCGGTATTGGCCCTGGGACTCCGTTTAGTGAAACGCCAGCACAAAGAGCTTGGAATCTCTAGTCAACCACTTCATTACCATGTCCTCCACTCCTCTCCCGTCCGGCGACTCGCCCACCCTAGCCCTCGTCCACCCAACTGCGGCCGAAAAAGCCCACCAATTCTCACTCAATGGCTCCGTCTGGCGCGGTGCACTCACCCAAGATTCCTACGAGCGCCGTGAAGCACATCTCGCCAAGACGGCCCTATCCTCCAACTCCGGAATCACCTACTGGGTCCTCGTCGACACCTCCGAGCCGACTGCAACACGCCGAGTGCTGTGCGGCTGCGAGTCTCTCCGCAAACGAGCCCTCATCTCACACCGAGGACGCACGCAGGATCTCATCTGCCATGGCATTGGCAGTGTATTCTGCCCCCCTGAGCATCGTGGGCGTGGGTATGCACAGCGCATGATGCGCGAGCTAGGGCCGAAACTCAAGACGCACCAGGTTGCGGAGACGGGCTTTGAGAGCCTGTTCTCGGTGTTGTATTCGGACATTGGGAAAAAGTTCTACGCGTCATTCGGATGGAAACCGTTTCCTTCGAGCCATATCTCCGTACCGGCGTCTGCAGTCCAGCATAAAGGCCCTGTGACGGCGTCGGAGCTACGTGCTGCCGATTTAGAGGATCTATGTGCTGCAGACGAGAAGATACTACGCAAAGCGCTGGAGGAACGATCTGAAGACGCGCCACCCGCTGTAGCGTTGCTACCAAACATTGAGACAATTAGATGGCATCATGCCCGAGAGGAATTTGTGGGCTATGAACTGCTTGGTCGCTCACCAGATGTCAAGGGCGCCATTGTATCGCTGGATGCAGGTAAACGTGCGTGGTGCTACTGGACACGGATGTGGTACAATCCGGATGTGGAGGCGAGCAAGGGCAATACCTTGCATATCTTGCGCCTTGTAGTTGAAGACGAAGGGGCTGCTCCGACAAACGGCACTGCCGTCAATGGGACACACCACAATGGTACAAACGACCGTGTACATGGAGAGCAGCGCAGGCAGCTGGCAGTCGAAGCTCTACTTCGCGCTGCCCAGCTACAAGCGGCACAGTGGAATATGAATGAGGTAGAGGTGTGGAGCCCGACGTCAATCACAGTAGCCGCAGCAAAGCAGATAGACGGCAAAGCCAAGGTCGTGGATAGGGACTGCGAAAGCATTGCGAGCTTGATGTGGTACGGGACGAAGGAGGAAGAGGATGGGGTGGAATGGGTGAGCAACGAGAAATATGGCTGGTGTTGAGTCTTGCGGTTGTGAATCGTATATCAGCTAATAATTGAACAACACTATACACACGATATACACATTTGCACAGGTGAGAGGATCAGGATTGAATGAAAATATTTTATTACTCTATAACCACTATATAAAAAAACCCAGTTGCAAGTGTCCTGTCAGACGACCACCAACACCCACCCCAGCCCAGACACGACGAGCGTACCAAAGACCAGGGTCGAGATCATCGCCACGCGTATCTGTAGCAAGTACAGTGCGCGCACCATAGCGGCAGTCACTCTAGGGCGTCGGGGTTATACATCATCACCCAGGTTCAGCACTGAAGCTTTTTTCTGTGGTTAACAGAGGGTCGTTTACTATAGAGATGATTCTATGAAGTCTGCAGGAGAGATGATGTTAGTACATGCTAATGAATAAACCTTTCCATGCCATAGAAGCAGAGGTAGAAAGTGTAGGTAGGCGGGGAGAACTTACAAAGTCGACTGAAGAAAAAAAGAGAGAAGAGGGTGGGAGGCTGTCGTTCTTATAGAAAATAGAGCTGGCCCGCGCACCCTCGCTTACCTTGCGCTAGGCGACTTGCGGCCTTCCGCGGATCGAAAATTCTGCTCCGGCACGTGACCGCATCAACATCGAAACATGGATTCGATGAACATGGACGCACCGTGCGGCGTGTGCACGAAACACTCGGAATCCACTGTGCAACCACTATGCTCCTCATTTGGTACATCAGCATCGCATTCATAAGCACTGACATATGCACAATCTACTCTCGACTAGGCACAGGCTTGTTACCCTTCACAACATGGCAGACAAGCTCTTCACCGTCATACCATGTCAGTGATGGAGCACCATGGCATAGTAATATCATTATTTTGTCACTAGCATCGAACTTGCCACGAAGTCCTGCAAGTCGTGATACTGCTTAGACCTAGGCTTCGACTATTGTGCAACACTGGAGACAATTTTTTTTCATTCTCAGTCAACAAGACAGGTACGCACTCTTTCTCGTGAACAGATTCATGTAGATGGAGTATTTCTTTGACTATGCAGCTAATGCGGGCGGGTATCTATTCGAGATGGGGTACTGTGGAATTTTTGAAAGACATGTCATGAGAGGCTCGATTCGTGCTGTGTCTATAGCGTGCAAGTAACGGACCCAACGAAACGACCCAGTGAAGGTGGTCTCGTGTATATGCAAAGCAGACGCGGACGCGTCCGTGATGGCACAAAAGCGGCTTTATGGTAGGCCCATGGCTAACTTAGACTGCTCGTACACAACATAGGTCTGCTCGAGATTAGCACCTGATGCGGAAGCAGAAAGGCGGAGCACTTACAATGGAAACAGCAGGGACAACCTTGAACAGATTCGGTGTCAGTCCTTTGAACAGACCTCTGTACCCTTCACCTTTGATAGTTTGCCGTGTAACATCCATAATTCCAGTGTATGTTCTAGGGTGAAGAACTGTTCCTTGGCTCTGGAGACGGGTGCGAAGTAGGTTCAGAGGATAGACCATACTAGCACCGAAAGCACCGCTGAAACCTCCAATGCAAGCCGTGGCAAAGCTGCTGGGCTGTGCTTGTTCTTCGTGGCATCCGAGTTTCTTTGCCTTTCTTCTGGCGAGAGCACGTTTGAGGTACTCAAATGTTCCAAGGTCAATTGCAGCATAAGGGAATATGCCCACCAATCCCATGGGTAGGCCGCGATAGAAGGCCACCACACCGTTCTTAGCCCACATCTTTTTCGCAGTTGTGATTATTAGCTGATTGCCGTGCAGTCCACCTTTAACAGTTTCACATTGCATACGGCTGCCGAAGTCAGTGAGCATTCGGAATCGACACGAGTGAGTCTTACAATTTCAATGTGTCCATTGGATACACGGCGAACCTTTACAATATTAGTCCCTCAATTCAATGATGAACGTAAATGTCTAGACATACTGTGACACCATGCCAGCAACACCGCCTGCCATGAACTTCGCATACGAATGGATGTTGTTCGGGTCTTCAATGCCCTCAAGAGTAGCAAAGAATCGTTTCGTGGCCTACATGTCGTTAACGGTGAAGGTCTACCAAATATAGCCAGGAAGCGGACCTCATATGAGCCGAATTTGATTGCAGATTCTGGCATTACTTTCACCACATTCAAGCCGTTTCCTTCACGGATTAGCCATCGCGAAAAGCTGTCTGGGGGTACACAGACCTGCATAGAGACTCCTGATTCCACCTGCCTGCCAAAGATCTTTCATCGCGTTCGCAATGGGCCGCCATGCTCTGCCTATTGCAGCAAAGGGATTGCCCGATTTTGCTGCTTGGACAGCTTCTGATGTGACCGATGTTTGGGCGATGAGGTAGACTTTGAGACGATCGAGGGGGGCGGTAGCAGTACGAGAGACGATACCGGAGATACCTCCCGCCACGAAGTAGCCTGAATAAGGAATAAGAATCAGCACCGGCTTTGTCTGTTCAAGTTGCAAGACTGCAGAGTCGGTCTCGGGTTCTGAGACATCTGGCGAAAACTCGACGGTGTCTACTTTCGGAGGGAGGGTGAGTGTTGCCTCTTCTGAAGACATGTCCAGGTGCGGTGCGGTGAGTGTAATGGACGAATTGTTTTGGACAGAAGCGGGCGGACGCGGCTTTGGGGGCTTTGCTATCCTGACAATTTCGCCGAACAAAATGTTAAGAAATTGTTGTTGTATACCTAGCCCATCGATAATATCGTCACTTATCTGCGCATCTCCCTCTGGGTTCATTCGAAAGGTGGAAGTGAAATAGGATAGTACAGCTCGAAGATCGGTTTCACCAGAGGGAATAAAAAGAAGGAAATCCCTGGGGGTAATCACGTCAGCCGAGATCTCTCTGTTCACTTTTATTGAAGTGAACATACCGCCATTCGTCGAACGTTATCACACCGTCTTGATTAGAATCGACTTGCTCAAAGAAACGCTCAAACTTGGAGTCTGGCACAGCTAGACCTGCTGTTTGAAAAGCTTGTTTGAGCTCCGCCTTATCAAGCTTGCCGTCCTCGTTATGGTCTATCCTCTTGAAAAGGTAATAAAGCTCGCGTTCGGTTTGCTTCACGAAGGTCTGAAACTCTACAGCCACTGTTAGCGAAGCGGTCCTGAACAATGCCGACAGTCAAGGTGTAATACTGACCAGCAAATGTGATGCGGCCGTCCTTGTTGGTATCTACAGATTGCATGACATCTTCTACAAGGGAGTCTGCATGCTTTAGGGCTGGATCTCGGGTATGAGTATTCGGGACGGTAGTTGTGATCGCTTTGCTCACGATGGTCCATTTTCTTCAGGCCTCTTTTTAATCCCGCGAGGTCCAGGTGACCAGTTTTCTTCGCGTCCAGCGTTGTCCATAGCTCCTCAAGCCGCATAGCTTGGGCGTTGGGGGTTTCACCGTCCATGATCGTGACCGGATGTCGCAGCCGCTCAGATGCCGTTATCTGCCCTCGTTCATGCTGTGCGTGGTCGATTGCGGGGGAACTCGTCGTCAAAGGCGCGGACCTGTGCGTACACCCAAAGGAATTATCTACGCTGGTATCATAGGAATGGATGGAAGTGAAACAAAGTAGCCGTGGGGCTCCCTGGCAGCCAGCTACTGAGTTGTTTTGCTGTGACGCTGTCGGCAGCTGGTGAGGCTCGGTGACCATCTAGACTCAGAGCGGGTTAGCGTAGCTATGGATGCACCAGATGCCCAATCTATGAATGGTTCGGAAGACACCTTGCCTTGACCTTCTCCCCCAAACACTCGACCTAGAACACATATTCGCTCTGAATTTGACCAAAGTCTTGATAGTCCTCTAGGACTTGCTAAACAAAACATTCGTCCTATGCTGCTCTTGCAGCCGTGCGACGTTCGTGATCAAGGCTACTTTTGAGACTGGCGAACTCCAACCATCTGCCTAGAAAGGCTAGGATGCGTGAGACCATTTGAAAGCAACTTCATCCCAGTGTACAGTCTTGAGCATGGCAGATTTACGTATACTCTGAGTATCAGGTTCACATCATGGCATCCAGTTACTGGGACTCAACCCAGAGGCGAAACTGGACATACACGAAACCAGAGCTTGCGGATATCCGTAAGAAACTAGAGGACTCGGAGCGAGTACTGGTCTCCCAGTATCCGTTACCAGATCGCCGTCTACTGAGCCAATACTTTGCTCAACGTCAGGGCCATCTCCTTTCGTCCCGTGTCCGCAGATACTAACTTGAAACAGAGTTGCAGAAGCTGGGAAAGCCTCTCTCTGTCCGACAACAAGCTTTAGCTACAGCTCAAATCTATATCAGACGCTTCTACACGAAAGTCGAAATCCGCCGGACCAATCCGCTCCTTGTCGTAGCGACAGCCCTGTACCTCGCCTGCAAGATGGAAGAATGCCCCCAGCATATCCGTCTGCTCTCAGCTGAAGCCAATCACAACTGGCCAGATTTTGGACCCAAGGAGCCCTCTAGGATCGGTGAATGCGAGTTTGCCCTCATCGCAGAGATGAATTCGCAACTCATCATCCACCATCCTTACCGAAGCATGACCGAGCTTCAGTCTAGTTTTCCCCTCAGCCAAGAGGAGAACAATCTTGCCTGGAACATCATCAACGACCATTATCTCACGGATCTTCCTCTCTTACATGCTCCCCATCTGATAGCAATCACAGCAATGGTTCTCGCTGTCGTTCTGAGGCCCCAACAAAGCACGCACCAAGTTCATGCTGCGAATGTCGCCAATGCATTGCAGGCATTGAGCAACCCTAAGGCAGCACCCGGAGCAAACGGGCCTGGTGGAGCGAACATCCAGATCAGGATCCAGAAGCTGATCACTTGGCTGGCGGAAAGCTCTGCAGATATCGAAGCCATCGTCGACTGCACCCAGGAACTCATCAGTCTGTACGAGGTCTGGGATCAGTACAACGAAAAGGTCTGCAGAGAGCAAATCAACCGATTTGTGAAGGGTAAAGGTTTGGAGAAATAATAGTCTTGCCGCAAGTGTAAATTTTCAACGAAGAATATTACTCCTTAGGAAATAATGTTTGACTGGTGGCGCTACGGCTCGGCACAGCCACAGCCAGCTTGAGTCACAGCTACTAATGTCGATCACGATGGCTACTTGCGCTTCAACTATCACCGTGTCAGTCCCCCTAGCCAGCACTAACCTCGTATTCCAGCTGGCAAGAGTGTCCGCAGTTGCGGTGTCCCAAACTTGTGCATCGATATCTGGTACTATTACTCCGTCTTGGTGCCACTCATCGCTTTACGCCAACAGCATATATATACCCACACTCCTTCTCCCATCATACCAAACAAACAACAACAATGCACACGACAAGAAATAAACAAGAAACCAAAACACCAGCATAGCTCACGAAAAGCAGCACAACCCATCAAACCCACCCAAATCCCCACACAAAACAAAACAAACCCATCAAATCACAGCAACACCACACATCCCAAAAAACACCACCAATCCACCTCAAAACCCATAACAAAAACATGCCCCCCCAAAACCCCCCCCAACAATCCCCACCCCAGCGCCAAATCCGCGCCCACACACCCTCCAACACAACCATAACCCTCTACCAAGCCTACCCCTCCACCATCGCCACCCCCGCCGTCCAAGCCCAGCGCCTCTCCGCCTCGCCCTCCTTCTCCCTCTCGCGCATGACATGGATCAAGCCGTCCTGGGCCTGGATGCTGTACCGCGCCGGCTACTCGTACAAGGACCCGGGCCAGGAGCGCATTCTCGCGCTGACGATGCAGCGGGAGTATCTGTGGGGGATGCTGCGGACGGCGCGGCTGAGCACGCATAGTGCTGCTGGGGCTGTGGATAAGGGTGAGGCTGGAAGCGAGGTTGAAGGTGGCAAAAAGGGGGGAGTGGTGGTGGTGCAGTGGGATCCGGAGCGGGATGTGTGGCTGCGGAGGCTGGGGTGGAGGAGTGTGCAGATAGGGGTGCCGAGGGGGATGAGTGGGACGTGGGCGGAAGAAGGGATTCTGGAGATTGAGGATGTTACGGATAGGGCTAGGGAGTTGAAGAGGGTTATCGATGAAGGAAATGTGACGATTGAGGCGTTGGTTGAGAAGGGCTTGGTGCCGAAGGAGGAAGTGATTGATGTCCCAGAGGATATCAGGAAGATCCTGGCTATGGATTAGAGAACAGGGGCAATTGAACAATTTTTAGATCATGTAGATGATTTGATCTATCCTGATTGCTTTATAGTGTCAACAGGACCCGTACGCCGTCGGCTGCGACCCCGCCAACTCTATATACACAAATGCCCCTTAGCGCCAGCCAATGCTCTGTACAAGGGAGTACAACTAGATGTAGCTTCGCTCTGCGAAACTTTGGATCCTGAGATATATGTCAGTGTGAATGATACTCGACTGAAACAGAACTATACTCACATTCCCTCTGGAGTCGGATCGTACTCCTTCAAGACGGCCTTGTTGCCCTCAATGAAAGTGCTAGCTTGCACAAACACTTTCCTGGGCTGTTTCGCCGCCAAAACGGCTGGCCGGACTTTGGTCTCGTAGAAGGGCTCCACGTCTGTGATCTCGTTATACATACGGGTGCCATGCTTGACATCCGCAGTAGCCTTGTAAATCTGCAGCTTCTTCAGATACTCCTCCACAGCTGGACGTCCCAAACTGAGAATCTTGGATCGCTCAAGTCGAATGGTGAGATCAGAGAGGTCATCTTTGGTGTATTCGAGCTCACAAAATTCAACTCCGGCGTTGAGGAAAGTCCGGAGGATAGAGAAGCGTGCTTGCATGTGCGCTTGGCCCCATTTGCGGCTTTTTGGATCCCAGAATTCGAGAGCAGCGATACCAGCGCGAGCCATGCTCAGATAGCTGGCATAGAGCACGTCACCTGCTGGACCATCGATGTCATCCTTTCCATTGCCTAAGCCAAAGATCTCAAGGATGTCGAAGTCGCAGGTCAGGGCCATGGCGACGCACTCCGCTCGACACTCTTCATAACTTGCCGCGATCGGACCGAACACACTGCCCCAGGTCTGGCCAGGACCGTACCAGGTCTTGATCTCCTGGCCGTCGAGCGGATTCTTCAGCTTCCTATCAAAGTTGAACTCTCCAGGCTTTGTTTCTTGCAGGAGCTTGCCACAACCGTGTCCAAGTAGTTCGTGTAAGCCCACCTGAACCTCGAATGCTGCGTCACGGTACTTCTGATAAACCGCCAGATCACTCTCCTTGATGAATGGTACTTTTTCGTTGGGGGCCTTTGCGCCAAGGACGTTACCTAGACTGACATTTTTGAAGCCGATGTTCTGGCGAATGTCGTCGTAATTGGGAATGTTGATGCCAGCAGGAATGCCTGATCCGGCAAAGGTAAGTACCTCGAGAGAGGTAAAGTCTGGGCTCAAGAACTTGTCCTTTTCAAAATCCGCGCTCCAAGGTAGTCTTGGTATGAGATCGGGTGCAGCTGAGACCAGCTTGCCAAAGGCTTCGGTTCGCTCTTTATTGACCATAGCAACAAAGCCCTCCCATTCGCCACGAATACCGTGGGGGTCTCTGTAAGTCTCGACAAATCCGATATCCGTCTCCACCATTGGTCCTTTGTCTTTGATCCACTGCCTCTGGCTCTCTTTGTATGCCTCGAGAGATCCAGTTTTGTATGATTTCACATACTCCTTGTGCATTGCTTTCTCGGTGTCGTTCGAAGCGTACTGGCCTGCCTTCTCAAGGGCATCGGCTATCTTCTTCATCTCAATAGAGTAGTCTCCAAAGACGAGCTTGACTTTCTTTCCGTCTAGAGTCCATTCCGATTCAGGGATATCTCTCTCCGAGGGATCGGTCTCAGCAGAGGCTATCAGAACCTCGAAGCCTTCGGAAGTCTTCCGGATACGCGTGTTTTCGGGCAGGAGCTTTTTGCTCTCCATAAAGTCACTGACTTTCGTAATCTCCTCTTTCGTGATATCGGGCGATTGGGGATAGTATGTGGAAAGGTGGCCGGCATCGGGATAGCCAAGGTGCATCAGTCCAACGGACTTGGTCTCGTATATTCCATCTTTTGCCTTTTCGTACGATTCTAGGGTTTTTGGGGACAGCGTTGCAAGTGCTTTTGTCTGGCGCGAGGGTAACCTGTAGTTCAGGTCAGGCACGAGATATAGCTGGCAGAGTTCGATCGAGATGACCTTGGGATAAACTTTGAGTCACCAAAGGACTTGTAATTGCCCAGGTTACCGAGGAACTGAGCAGCGTAGTTGAGAAACTCGGTTAGCTCTTCATCCGAGAGACCAGCTTCTTTCTGTAGGGCCTTCCAATCTCCCTTGCCATGCTGATACAGGCCAACGATGAGATCGTAAATGTGTTCGGATTCGGGCGAGACTTGGCGTAGAACGATGCGAGAGCCGGCATAACAGGCTCTAGACTGACGTTAGATAGATCCATCAAAGCTCTGAGCTCAGCAGCATACACAGAGATATAGTGAGCGTAAAGCTTCTCTTCGTCGCTTAGAGCCTCGAAATGAGGTTTGATGCTGAGTGGCACGACCGAAGGCGGGCTGTCAGCCAGATATTGCTTGATGGTATCTTTGTCCATGGTGGAGAGGAAGTGGAATCTATGCGGCTGGCTGGAGAAGAGTCGAGATGTAGGGCTGTGGAAGGAGAGTGAATGGAGGAGAGGGGTCCTGGAGGGAGGGAGCCTGAAGCTGGAGCTGGAGCTGTAGCTACATGACTGGCGCGTTCCCCGCACTACGACTCGGAGGCAGCGTAGGTAGTCATAGAGACCAGGGCGCATTTGGAATGGCAGATATAGTGATGGCGGTCTTGAATCGGGGAGTGATGGTAGCCCTTCTCAAATGGATAGATCTACTCTGTCTATGTTCTTAGTATAGTGATCTAGCACTATAGCAGCATCCTTGCGCTTCGGTAGTAGCGTCACTCTGCAGAGTATGCATGTCTGAATGCTGCCAGCCATACCGCAACAGGAGACATTGTTGAGTATCGAGAGTGGCCAGCGGCTCGAGAAACCTTGTTGATCGCCAGGGCAATATGGAGACTAAAGCTCGCTCATATTCTTAACCTACTACCTCCTCTATATTGATGTATGTCTGAACAGCCTGATCTCGAACGCATCTTGTGTCTCACCAGAACTTGCGGGCATGACATGAATTATGTGATACACTACAGTACTTGCGGCGGAGTGTGTCTGTGTCTATGCCTGGGATCATTGTCGTCGTCGTTACTGTCGTTATTGTTGCCCCTGGGATATCCACGCCACACAGCACAGCCACACTCAGCCACAGCAATACGAGCCATACGAACATCTTTCATTTCCCCCACGCAAGGTCAGACAGGAGCCGAGCGAATAAACTAATGATGGTTTCGGGCCTATAGACAACACACAACCTCGCTGTCGGTGTTGGAACTAAGCATAATGTCAGAAGAGTGGAGAATAGTTGATACTTCGCCGCGCGCAGGTGTAGACAGTGGTTGAAGGGCAGGAACGAATGCGTCATGCGCTAAACGGGGAAGCTGTTCACATGTGACTGCGTAACCTAAGTTATTTCATACAAATCAACTTATCGATCTCACTCTCTGACTTCTTTCTTACATTCTCTTCTCTTCCGGTCACGTTCCCTAACTTGTATCAACCATGGCGCTCTCTAATACCCACCTATTGCTTCTCGTCATTACTATCCTCGTGCTCCTCCCCGCCCCCGCTGCCGCATTCGGTGCCGGTAACATCGCAAGCCTTTCCAAGGTCGAAGGTCACAACTGGCGCCATGGCGACATCGAGGATGTGTTGGCTACGATCGCATTTCTGAAAGGTCGAAAATGGACCTCGATGCAGATCAAACGGACCTATTTTGGCAACTGGCTTAGAGACTACTCCCAGGCAGTCGACGTTGGGACATTAAAGGGCGTGCAAGCAGAGACTATCAGAGTTCTTGTGTGGGTTCTCGCCTTCATGTCATTTGGCTATGCGACCGGTGAATTTGAAGTCACGGCGCAACGTCTTGGCGTGTACCGACCAGAGGAGCATATCGATAACCCAAAGGACTACGCCGACAACGTTGACGCTCGACAATATGATCAGCGACTACGAGGTCCAGTCAGTCCGCAAGAGCTAGCTGTAGATCCTCATACTGGTGGGTTCAATTCCCTGGTGGACGGTAACTACTTACTAATGCGCAATGATAGGCATGAAGAATTATATCGCCAATGAGCAAGGAGGATGGGCCACCAGTGTTGGCTATATCAAATTCAGCTTAGCACGAAGTATTCATTTCGGTCGCATGTATACGTCCAGTCGGCAGAAAGGCAAGGAAGAGGACTTGTGTGAAGCACTCCGCTGTCTCGGACAGGGTCTCCACTGTCTAGAAGACTTTGGGGCCCATACTAATTACACGGAGCTCGCTCTCCGCGAGTTGGGATATGACAATGTCTTTCCACACACCGGATCAGCGACACAGATCAATCTCCGTGGCAAATATGTTTTTCCCCTTGTTACAGGTACCTTTGGTGGTGTGGATTTCCTTCACTCAGTCTTGGGTGAGGCAACCGATCACGTCACCCAATCCGAGCTCGATGAGATGAACTCAACTCTTGGGAATGCATCATCGTCAGGAAAGAAGGGCAGTGGTGGCGATACTAGTGCTCAAGACCTTGTTAGCCTCCTGTCCAAGATCCCTGGTACCAGTACTCTTTGCGACGAAGCATTCCAGTTACAGACATTGTCGGAGCAACAAGCAGCAGCAAACGGCCATCACGGATCCCGAGGTTTCGATGGCACATCGAGCTCCCGAGACGGTCCAAGTCAAAGTCAGGGGACTCCGAGCTTCCAAGCGCCTCCCGGCTCTATGGGCGGACCTCCGGGCCCAGACATACCAGGTACTAACATGGATCCAGCACAGATCATTCCTAAAATCTATCCTATTCTCGAGTTTCGCGACAAGGTCGTTCGTGCAATCAGCACAGTCATCTCCAAGATTCCTGGTCTAGAGAAGCTGATTGACAACATCTCTGAGCGGGTTACCTTGTTCATCTTTGGTCTTCTGGCACCTTACATCCAGCCCCTGATCAAGGCGGCTTCTAAGTCATTGAAGGAGGGCTCGTCGACGGTGGTTGATGCGTCTGCGAAGCAGCAATACGGGGTGTGGAATGACCCTCATTCCACAGATCCAACCCACTCGATGCTGTCGAAAGATCACTTCTCCAACGTCCTCAACTCACCAGCGGGCGAAGTAGCCGCCCAAATCGTCAAATACGTTGCGCCGCGCGTCGTGTACGCATGGGAAAACCCAAACATACCCGTCGATCAAGTCGTCGACGACGTAGCCCGAGTGTTTCATCATCCGGCCATCCGTGACGAGAACATTGAGATACATAGGAACATGTTCCGGGTGGTGGAGAAGTTTGCCAGGAAGTCTCACTCGTTCAACATCAACGACGTGCTGTCGTCGCAAAGCGTAAGAGACGGAAAGAACCACCAAGGCGGAAACCCTCACCTCACTGGCAGTGGTGCTGGCGCATCGCATTCCCACGCACCGCAGAGCAGCCACCACCAAGGATACGACGGCACAGCCACAGGTCACAACCACTCATCATCAACATCATCATCAGCAACGCACGGCAGCCATCAAGACCCCTTCTCAACACTAGCAAACGGCCTCTCATCAGCCCTCCCGTTCAAGCTCCCAAGCTCGCAACTCTCACGCTTCGACATCTTCGCCTCGTCGCGCGAACTCGAGCCTCTAAACGACGGCTTCGGCTCGCGCCCGGCATCCGCCTTTGACAACCACAGCAGCAGCCCATTCAACCCATACCCAGCAGCAGCCTACGACGGCCCTCCCAACGAGCCCTACTCTACTCCTATGGCTTATCAGCCAGAGCAAAGCAGCTACGGGCAGGACATGTACTACCAAGCCCCGCCCTTTACGCAGGGCTATAATAACAACAATAACAACAACAACAATTACTACGACGCCGGTCGACAGTCGCGTCAGAGCTACTACGATCCCGGCGGCCGACAGTCGAGCCAGAGCTACTATGACGGCGGTCGACAGTCGAGTCAGAGCTACTATGACCATGCGGCAGCGCCCCCCCAGTTGGCAGAAGAGTATGCGAATCGGTATCAGACGAGCTATCAGACTGGGTATTATGACGGTGGTGGTGGTGGTGGTCTGTCGCAGGGACCGCCACTACAACCGCCTGGTCCTCCTCCTCAGGGCGGTGGTTATGTTCAGGGACAGGGACAACAAGGACAGGGGGAGGAGTCGGATATTGGGTGGTTTCGCTAGTTCTGGATTGGGGGGGGGTGTTGAAAAAGTTATTTGGGGGAGGTTCTTTGTGATTATGCTGACCTGGAGCAGTACTCATGACCTATATAGTAGGTGAGAATGAAATAATGATGCCAGTAATCGAACGTGCTACATGATCGATTGATGATATCATATCTCCCGTACATACTTTCTTGGGTCATGGATGGACCATGAGAGATAATTGCACGTCAAGACCAAGTCAAGATAGAGCCAGGTAGCAAGGTAAAGTCGAGATAATATTGCCATTCATATATAGCCATACTGGCAGTCGTAGGATCGCTTTAGATATATGCATTCCACGTTAAGATGAGCCCCCCGGTAATTGACATCACTCCGTCCCAAAATGACAATTGACAATCCCGCGCAATAGCCAGCCGGGTCGGTATACCAGCCCAGCGTCGAACCACCCCACCAAGTCATCAAAACACCGTCAACCGCGCGCCCAGAATCCCGACGATCAAAAAAAGAGACACACACACATACACACACCCCATGAGGCTCCGCCGCTTGTATAGATTTCCAACAAAAGAGAACAAGTATCTACCCATGATGACATAGACCGCTGCGGTGGAGCACGGCCACAAGATTGATTTGAAACATGAGCATACAGAAGGGTAAAGCCGGGATTTATCAGTACCAACATTTTTTGGAGAATTCTTCAGGTTTCGTCGTCGTCAGAGAGATGGAGCCCAAACACCGAATGCGTTACGATTTGAGTGGAAGATGAAAAGGGAAGACCGCCGTGATGCGCATTAAGCCGCCAAGTCGCAGCAAGAACAAGAAACATGGAAGCCAGATGCGAATAGTCTAGTTCGCTAAATCGTAAAGACCAAGGAACTATGTCGCTACATTGCAAACGCCGTTGCCCGTGATGGTGTATGGTGTGGAGGGGCCCCTTTGTACGAGGGCGATATCGGGGTAAGGTGAGATTTGATTTGTACAGAAGTGGAGAAAGAGGCGGATACTCCTGGGGTATTGGCGGTGTATTAGAAGATCCGCAAAGAAAGGGCACCGACCAGTCTAGCAACGAAGCACGCAGGAAATGCAGCAAGTCGAATTAAAATCATCAGCTCAGGTTCCACTCCTTGCCGGCAAGGGGGTTTACCACTGGCGGTTGTTGTTGTTGTTAATGTACTGCATCTGCCTCGCCGGGGAGACCGAGGGCGGCGGTGAGGCGACAGTACGGGTGGAAGGGTTGACGATTGGAATGGCGTTGCGTGTTCGTTGAGCTAGAGGCTGGTGGATGTTTGGTTGCGAAGAGGGTTGAGACTGGTAGGATGGCGGAGTGTAGGTGTTGTTGGACGAGGCTGATAATACAAAGGTGGGGGTGGGCTGCAGCTGGTGTTGCAGGGGAGAGGAAGCAGGAGAGCCGCTCGACAGCGAAGAGCGGTCAGAGCCTGACGAGTGGATGGATTGAAGCTATTCCAATGCATGTCAGAATGGATGCGAGCAAACTTGACGATGCGTATAGCTTTGGTTGGGGGGGAGAACTGGATAGAGGTTCAAATACTTACGTCGTCCTCGGTTAGGAGATGGAATGGACAGAAGAGCTCGTCGTCCTCGAGATCGAAGGATCGAGCAGCCTCAAAGTCCCGTCGGAAAGAGATGATATTTACAGTCTCGACGACTTCTTTTGGGCTCCGGACGGCACGGAACTGCTTGTGGTTGTTTGCGGCGGATAGGCGCGGGGCTCGGCGAGAGCGGCCACCATGGTGGTTGTGTGACGAGTGGCCATGCATGTGTGATGAATGGCTCTGGGCGCCGTAGTAGTAGCTCGCCATGATTGTAGAGAGGAAGTATATATGCGTGTTTGTTTATTGTTCTCGAGGGTGCGATGGAGAAGCGGTCGAGTCAAAGAGGGCTCGTTGTCGAAGTGAGAGAGAGAGGTCTGGGCTGACAAACAACAGAGGCGGCCAAACAAAGGGGCGGTGTGGGTTGTTGTTGTTGTGAGGAGAGCAAGGCAAAGAGAGCTCGGCGGAGAAGGCAGACTGGTCGAACAGAAGGGCGAGAGTTGCGATTGCGATGAGAATAGCAGAAGCAGTAGATGGCGAAGATAGAAAGTAGAAGAGTTGAGGCTGGCGACGAACTGAATGAATAGCAGTGAATCTGGATTGATGGATGAGTGGACGAGTGGACGAGTGGAAGGCGAAAGACGAGCAGAGACGACGGAAACGAGATTTTGGGGCGGACGGAGAGAGAGAGAGGGGGGGGGAGGGTCCGTGAGTTGGGCCGGAGAGAAATGGAAGGAGCCATCGACCATCAACCATCGACCGTGTTGGCCAGTTGACTCTGTTGACTGCCTTGCGACCAACATGGAGGAGCGAGGAAAGAGCGAATGAGAAGCGAGTGGAGATGCCGTGATTGGAAGGCGGGGGGCCGACGCAGCAGGCATCACGGCCTCTAATTGGTTGTAGGTAGCCCGCTAGACTCAATACATACTAGTTGCCTCACCCGAGCGTCCTCCAGTTTGCCACCCGACTAACGACCCTGGACATTCAACCAATGACGACGCAGCCCCTTTAACCAATCCGGTGCCTGAAAATAGTGGGTCGCCCCTGCATCTCTCAATCCCTGTACCCTGTACCCTGTCCCCGTATCACCACACCCCTATAGCACTAGTCCATTTGTGTACTAATAGTACAGAACCCACGTGATCGACGCAGTAATCGCAATGTTAGTCTGCTGACCGGCCATCCACCTTTTGCCTTCATTATCATCTTACTTTGAATGCTGCATTACTACTACTGCTGATGCTGAAGATCCGCTACCTCATGTCGGATCCTGAGTGAAGACATTGAGGATGAGAGGACGAGGACGAGGAATACGACAATGCAAGTGAAGCCTGCTGTGTCACGGCTGTACAAGACTACAAGTTTCAAAGCTTGTCCACGTTCCATGCAAGGTCGTCAGTCGAGAATTGGCTGGAATTGGCCCCAAAGGTCGTCCGCGCGCCTCGCCAAACTCGTCGGTACCATACATATACATATACATACAGTAGTTAATTAGTTGGTTAGTTACATGCTGTGTATAGAGAGACTACTGTCGCAGAGAAATCCCTGCCTTTTGCTTAATTAACGAATCACCTGGTCTCGACGTTACTGCTGCCGCCCGTCACACTCGAGACTGAGGCGGCTGGGAGTGGCTATCAGACTGTCCAGTGTCCAAATGCTTTATCCTGACTGCCACCAAGTCCTAAATAATTGGTATGGACAAGAACATATCCAACAACAACACATCGTATGCAGGTCAAGCATGCCATGCGGTGTATGTATGGACTGACTCCCGCTGTGGACCGACCTGAGGGTGAGTGAGGGGAGGGAGTAGTGGAACCTGCTGCGCCGCCCCTCGACCTAATATGCATGCGAACAGACGGCGCGCTCTGTGCTGTGCTGTTCTCAATGTGCTTTGCTGTGCCTCAACACCGCCTACTTCTTCTTCTCTACATAATTAATTAATAATTACACACTACATCCATCCATCTATCCTAAAGCGTGAAGCCAGGGGGGGCTGGGATCGAAGCTTATCCTTGACCTTGACATTGACCTTGACCTTGACCTTGGCCTTTGCCTTCTCGGTACTTCCCTCCTGCGTCTACTGTATGTAGTATGTAATGAGGGACAGGACAGGACAGGACAAGATGAGATGAGATGGGCTGAGCTGAGATAAGATAAGATTAGCACCCGCATGACCTCCAGACGGAAGATCTACACTCTCTGTCTTGTTGTGTGTGCAAATGATGCTGTGAATCCTGCTCGACTGTCTGTCTGTCATGTCATCAGACAGACAGACGTCAATTCCGAGACATGCAGGATGTAGTGGCATGGATGTAAATGCATGCCGCATCCTCACTGTCGGAGCCGTGGCTGGTGTACAGTATACTCGCCCTAGAACCAACCGCCCAGCCTCCTCCCTCCCCTTTCTTGGAATATTCTAGCCTCGTCAAGTCCTCGGTCGTCAATACATACGCAACTTCATTAAGTCATTAATTCATTCATTCATTCATTCACTCAAGACAACAACGCAATACTACCTAACCCGTTTCTCCAAGAACCCCGTCGTCTCACCCCCCTCTTGGCGCATAATCCCGCTAGTATCAGACCCCAGAAAAGGTCTACTAGTAAGTATCACATTCTTCGTACGACTGTCCTGTCTATATATCTGCCTGTTCGTCTTGTTCGGAGGCTTGCTGTGCTTGCTGGCACCACCTGGCGCGTGCGTGCTGTGCTGGAGATGGAGGTCGAGGTCGGGGTGGAGGAGGTAGGTGGAGGTGCAGTGGATTGTCCGCATCGACCCCTGACTGGGGTCGAGAATGCCGTGCGTGCGTGCGTGCGTGCATGGCGTTGTGTATGTGGATGTGTATGTATGTCTAGAGGTGTGTGTGTGCAGCAGATTTGACTGGATCTGGGATTGTCAGCTAATTATAACGACGCTGCTGTGAGGTTTCCATGTTGGTAAGGGATGACTTGGAGGAGACATGGCGATGGCAGAAACCTATGTTCACGACACGCTACTTCGTAATACTGTCTGCTATAATGGATAGATGACTTTGCAATGCTCTTCTATCTTCGAATGTCTCAAGGCTCAAGTCTCAATTAACAATACCAACGCCATCTACTTCTCAAAAACACCGCTGTTACGCCCTGACCCCCTGACCCCCTATCGTCAAACTACACACATCACCACCACCACCACATCAATCCACCCATATACCCAAAACACAATCCACGCCCATCACAACCACAACAACACTCACAACCCCGCCCTCTCCCCCCCAATCCGCCTCCCCACAACCGCCCCAAAATACCCATCCAACGCCTCCACCGTCCCCCTCCCCTCCACCAACCCAACCACACACCCAACATACCCATCCGGCCTCACCACCACCACCGCACCCTCCTCCGTCCCAACCCCAAACTTCGCATGCGCCGCCGCCCCCGCATCCGGCACCCGCGCATCCCACACATCATCCGCATACACGCTATCGCGATACCGCGCCAGTACCCCCGGCACATCGCGCGCAATGTCGATATCGCGCCGCGCGGCCGCCAGCACGATCGCAAGGCTGAAGAAGGGCGAGTGCGGCGTGTGCCGCTCGTGGTATGATGCTGGGGATGCGGCGTACGCGGTGCTTGCATCATCGGCAGCATCACCAGCAGCAGCAGCATCCAAAGACGAGACACCAGCACCATCCGTAGACGAGGAGACACCAGCACCATCCGCAAACGCACCGGGCCTCGCAAAACAGCGCAAAAACGAGCCCTTTGCCGCCACGCAAGCCGCGAAATCCGCGAGCGCGGCCCGCGCAGGCGCACGGTGCACGGCGTCGCCGGCCATGACGTAGAGGCGAAAGGCGCCGTTGAGCGGGATTTCGTGCTCGAGGTGGCGCTCGTTTGCGTCGACGACGCGGGTTACCGTGGCCGGGGGGAGGATGCGGCCGGGGCGGAGGAGGGTGGTGGTGCCGGTGCCGGTGCCGGCGCGGGAGCGGAAGAGCGGGTGCTGGAAGGGGTGGTGGTCGGGGGACCAGTTGAGCGGGTTGGGCGCGTAGGCGACGCCGTAGCCCGAGGTGAATTCGCAGGATTCTTTGAAGGTGGTTATGAAGGCGTTTTCGGGGGCGGCGGGGGGGGATGATGTGGATGTGGAGGATGCGGCGCCGACTTCGCCGGCGGACGGCAGGCGTTCGGAAAAGAGCTTTGCGTATTTGGCGTCAAAGGCGAGGAGCGAGTCTGCAATCTCGCGCCGCTCGGACTCGTAGGTTGCGAGGAGGGCGCGCGATGCCAGGCCGGCCTCGACGTGGTGAATCTTCCAGGCCAGGTTGACGGCGTCGAGAAAGGCCGTGTTCATGCCCTGGCCGGCCTTGGGCGAGTGCGTGTGGCAGGCGTCGCCGCCCATGAAGACGCGCTCGTCGAGCGTGTAGCGCTCCGCGATGCCCTGCCCGATCGGATAGACGGAGAACCACTCGATGCGGTCCCAGGAGATGTGGTAGGGCTTGAAGATCTGCTGGGCGTGCGCCTGCACTTCCTCTGCCGTTGCCGTCTTGCGCGGGTTCCAGTCCTTGTCTGTCGACGAGGCGATCTGGATGTACAGCCGGACCATGTTGTTTTCGCGCGGGATGACCATGATGGACCCGGTGTCGGAGTGGATGGTGCATTTCATCTGCGGTGAGTGAGTGAGTGAACGAGCGTGGATGTCTTTTTTGTTCTTGTGGTTTTCAGTGTTTGCTTACCTTGATGTCGGGGAAGTTCGTCCGGACGACACCGTCCATCACACCCCAAACATGCGCGATAGGGTCTCTGTAGATCATGGGAATCTTGAGCTGCTCGCGCACAAAGCTCCTGGCGCCCTCGCCGCTGAACAGATACTTTGCTCGCACCGTCTCCTTTTGAGAGCCGTCCACGTGCGCCAGGCTGACCTCAACAGGATACTTGGGATCCTTGCCGTCGTTCTTGAAGCCAGTGATTGTCCACGGACGATCAATGTGCGTGCCGTTCTTCTCAATGTCCTCGATGAACACCCGCTCTATCAGCCCCTGATGCAGCAGCGTCGTGAACGGATATCGCGCATCGATGAACTTTGGACAGCTGGGCCACGTGCCAGTCCTCTCAATCCCCTTGGATGCAGGGTCCCAGAAGGCCACCTCGTAAACTTTCGCAGGCTCGTGTGCCATGATCTGTCGTTTGAGTCCCATGTTCCGGAGCAGGTCCAGTGATCGGGGCTGGATGCCGTCTGCGCGGCCGGTCGCCGTCGGTTCTGCTCTGTTGTCGATGTGTTTGATCTTGTATCCCCATCTTGCCAGACACGACGATAGCATCAGACCCACCGGCCCAGCACCAACAATGACGATGTCATAGTTTGACATGTTCGAAGAAGCACGCGCCCCGTTACCGCGCCGCGGAGACAAGATGACGTCGGTAGATGCTGACAATGAATTAATAAATAGATATAAAAAGATATTTATGTCTTTGTCAAGCAAAAGCTGTTTGATTAATGAGATGGCCCAAAGGATTTGGTATTATATGCGAGGGTTTATGTGGTGATTTGAAGGTGATGGTGAGAATATATACGCGGTGTAAAAGGACTTCAGTATCACTACTCACGGACGGCAATGCTCACCCTCGAATTCGGATCCTATACTGGTGGACTGGAAACCGACGTGGGATTGGTCGAAACGCGGGGTGCTGGACGGTGATTGGTCAGACTACTTTGTGGGACTTGGGGTGTCGGCAACTCGAATGTCGGTTTTAGGCAATTCGTCTTTGCTGACCTAACCCCCTTTCACTTTCCGACACTCATCCAGCTACCGCATTAGTCTTTTAGAAAATGCATCTTCGTCAACACTCCTTGTCGGTGCACTGATATATACACAGACGTCCAACGGCCTCGTCCGAATTATCTCCGTAGCCAGCATTCTTCTCACAGTGACACAGCGACACAGTGCTCTGCATGAGAGGGGTTTTACGTAAGAGAGATACCTGGACGCTGACAGCCGTGAGACGTGGTGAATCGTGGGTTGTGACAGATGATTATAAGAACAGGATTAATTAATAGTCGGAAGGGTATGCTGTTTGCGGCGAATGCATTTAAAGAGGTCTGCACCGGACGGCGTCTCTAGTAAGGTCCGACTCCGAAATAGCGACCAAGCCTTTATATACACAACCAAGAATATCGTATATCTAAAGATAATCACTAAACGACCCTACCATCCTTCTATATCTCTAGCGTAGAGAAATCTTATAATAGTCAAAACAATGACATGTCTTCCTTCTCCCAAGGATGGATATCAAAGTGCGAAGGATTCCATCGGCCGAGCCGCGCGGCATACTCCGCCGGCTCCGACGGAGAGACTCTCGGCCCCGACTCCGACCGTCATCTTGGATATACTATACTTGCTTCATCATGCTCGTCAGGAGAATTCCAGTAAGCCCGTCCGTCTTGCGTTATCACAACTCTTCTTTCCCTCTGGACTTTTCGACTTCTCCGTTTCCGTACCGGTAGTCAGCAGCCATCATGAGCTCTCCTGAGCAGATGGACGACGTGGACGATGGTGTTGATGGTGGTGATGATGGTCCGGCCCCTTCCAACAACACAAGACATCCTCGAGCTTGCCGGCAGTGCGCCGTCACAAAAATAAAGTGTACTTTTCGGCCCGGCAGTGGCAGTAGTGATCCTTGTGATAGGTAGGTGTTCTTTTTATATGTCTTCAATTCATGATCAAGCTCCACGGCCTGATAACTCTCTAAGTGATAAGGTCTGGAGTGCCAACCCTGCATGTCTTTTGACTGTTCAATTTCTGTTCTCCCCAATGTAGATTCCTTGCACAGCTTGTTTCTGCCCGATATGTTTTTGATATGTCACCTCCCGCGTGCACATCACACCAGTCTGCTGTCTTCTCTACTTCTAATGTACCTTCTTGCCTGTCAATTGTTTCTCTGGTCACTGTATAACCGCTTTACATGCATTATATCTATCAATATATGTGCCTGTGTCTCTCTTCTGGCTAGCTCTATTAAAACGCTTATACTAGTCTCATGTTCGACCGTCACTGCAACGAATCACTAACTGAAGCAGATGCCGGAGACTCAACAAGACGTGTATGCCCCAGCAACCCGCTCCAGGTCCCAGGAAGAGACGAGCAAAGGAGACGAGGGTTGCACAGCTCGAGAAGAAAATCGACGGCCTCTTCAACCTGCTCAACCAGAGGAAGGACAGCGGCGAGCACATGCAGGTTGCCACGCCAGCCACCTCCGTGTCTGCCTCGTCGACAACCAGAGATAGGGATGGTCGAGATACGCAACTGCCGGAACCCGACTCATCATCCATCAACGTCATGATGCCTGTGGATGCTTCTGTCGAGACGCTCTATAATCATTTCCTCACGCAGATGCTACCGCATTTCCCCTTTGTCTACCATCCACACGACAAGCCTGCGGGCGAGACGAAGCATGTCAACCCATTCTTGTTCAAGGAGATGGTTGCTCTTGCGTCGTGGAAGAACCTCCACGACCAGAGGGAGATGCAGAAACGTCTCGTTGCTGAGATGGTCCATCGACTCATGTTGAAAGGAGAAAAGACTTTGGATCTTCTCCAGTCCATTCTTGTTCTGGTTGCTTGGTACCAGCCCTTCGTCTTCTGCATCCCACAGCTTACGAACCTCCTCCATCTCGGATTTGCACTGTCCGTTGAACTCGGCTTGAATAGAGCACCACAGTCTCGTGAGAGGAGAGGTGTAGACTCATTCACACGACGCATGGCACACGGCGAATCTGCCAATCGGACGCAAGACTCTCCTGATCACATGAGAGCACTGCTAGGATGTTTCTACCTCCATTCAGTGTGAGTCAAGGGCAACTCTGTCAAGCCTTCCAGCTGCTAACACTTCATCCAGACTCTCCAAGTCGTTCAGAGCCATGGATGGACCGAGATACACAACATACATGGACGACTGCTGTAAGAAACTCCTCGAAGCAAAGGACAGTCCATTCGATGCACGACTCGTCCACCTCGTCCGCCTGCAGCAGTTCTGCGAACAGATAGGCTCAAACAGCACAAGCGACCTCGAAAGTGGCGGATCAGGCAGAGCACCTCTAGGCTTCTACGTCGCCTCCATGGCAAACAAGCTCCACGAAATCAAGACAGCCCTCCAAGACTCAACCCTAACCCCCGAACTCAACGAGTTCGCCGTCCCATACGTCGCCCAAGTCGCCGCCGGCACCGCCGAAATCCACCTCTACGAATACGCCTACTACAGCTCGCTCAAAACCCACGACCACGAAGCCCGCGACAGCATAGCAGCCTCCTCGGACTACCTCTACAAATGCTTACAAGCCATCTCCCAGACCATGGAAGTCCACTGCAAGATCGCGCCCGCCCAGTTCTACGACCTCCCCATGACGCACTGGGCCTACCTGGGCGAAATGCTCATCGTCATGTCCAAGCTCTTCCGCGCCGACGGCGACCGCAGCAGCAAGTCCCACATGTACCAGGTCATCGACCCCTCCCACATCATGGACGAGCTCATCACCCGCTTCAATCGCGCCCCCAAGGAGGCCGGCCTCACCGAAAACGACCTCTTCCTCTACATCTCCCGCCGCATCACCATGTTCAAGAGCTGGATCGAGGACCGCCCGTTCCCGTTCGCTGCGTCGGCGAGTAGCGCCGCCAGTGCCTCCGCGACGCCCTTTCTGCAGAGCAATAGCACCCCTGGCGCCGGGTCCGCGGACTGGGCGTTCATGGATGACTTGAGCGCGCTGAACGGCGGGCTGTTTGCCGATATCGATAATAGCTTCTGGCAGAGCTACGTTGATAATGCCACGCTTCCGCCACAGCCGCAGACGCAGACGCAGACGCAGACGCAGACGCAGACGCAGCATCACTACCGCACAAGCTGGAACCCAACCCAGATATTCACTCAAAACAGCACTCTATGAAGCTAGATCTAAATGAGCCTCCCCCCTTTTGATCGGCATGTCACGTGCGCGAGGCCGCGTCGGCATCTTGGAGCCTGAAAAAGGATGACGGAGCCCGTCGTCTGCCTGCCTGCCAAAAAAAACCAATCCATCCAACATCACCCTGATATGGCCAATAGAAATAAAAGAACGCTATAAAAGCACAACCCACTCCCTCCCTCCCTTCCCACCACAAACCCAAATACAACCCTTCCAACCACAACCACCACCACAACCACAACCACCACCACAACCACAACCACAACCACAACCACAACCACAACCACAACCATGCCCATCACCGAACTCGCAACCCTCACCCTCGCACCAACCATCTCCCCCAACAACCCAACCCTAAAATCACACCTCCGCCGCGCTAAACACGCCATGCAATCCTACACATCCCACCCCTTTTACTACTACACATCACCACCATCACCACCCTCACCACACCCACACGCACCACAACAACCCACACCAAAAATCTACATCCTCGGCCAATGGGCCTCCCTAGCCCAGCACACCTCCGGCTTCATCCCCTCGGCGCAAAACCAGGAACTACTCAGTCTCCTAGGCGATTACATGGCCGTCGAGTCGCTCGTGCATATCGATGTACCGAGTGCTGTGCTGCCGCTGGGCGGGGATGGGCTGGGTGTTGTGCGGATGCGTGTTGGTGGGGAGGAGCGGTGTAGGGAGAGGGTTGTGGCGAGACTGGGGAGGAGGGAGGATGTGGGTGTGGGTGCGGAGGGGAAGGTGGGTTTTGGGTGGACGGTTGAGGATGGGGCGGAGCTTGTGGTTGTGTCGAGCTGGGCGACGGGCGGGGTGGATGATGGGAAGAGGGTGGAGGACTGGGTTGAAGGGTTGCGGTTGGGAGGGCTAGAGGGCGTTCAAGACGTGCGGGTTGAGCGACTTGTTCGGTTTGATGTTGGTAGTGAAGAGGTGGGCGAGCGAGTTGCTGTCGAGTGAAGAAGGGCAGAGTAGTACCATGGATATTACGTGGCGGGTTGTATTTGGTAGCAGGTCAATATTGAACGTACGATAACACGGGTCTTAACTGAACAGACGAAACAAGGCAGTACGTTCGTAGTCTCCACATCGTAGCGATTTCCCCCCCCCCCCAAAAAATATACAGTGCATCTTTGCGCCTGGTTCCAACACATACATGTATCGCACGACGTTAGGAGAATACCACCAAAGATACCAGAGCCTGCCGCGCCGGAATACTACCCTTGTACACGAACAGAAGCGCAAGGAAATGGTATTGACAGGACGGTTCATCTAGCAGGGCCATCAAGGCTACACAAGTCTAGGAGAAGGATTCCCATCTTCACGCGGCTTTGGCCACTGAAGGAGCGTCGTGACCGAAGGTGCTCTTGAAAGATTTGTAATACGCCTGTTTCTGGGCTTCTGCGCGTGCCTCGTATTTCTAAATAAAATCGAATTAGCTGTTTGAGCTTCGACGTTATGGATAGCAATGTCATACCTGTTTCTCGGAAGCGTTCAGTGCACGCCATTCTTCGCCCATCAGCTTACCAGCCTCGGTCATTGGAATGGCGGTGAAGTCTCCAGAGGAATATCGGTCCGTAGCAAAGGACGTGTAGGAGGTCGCAGGGCGCTTCGGGGCACGTTCATCGTGTATCAAGCGATATGAAACAGGCTTCTTGCTTGCCTTTGCAAGACGACGAAGACTGCTTCGCGCTGCATTGGCAATGCGGATTTGCTCCGGAGTGTAACTCTTGACCCATTTCTCGTACGCTGCGGTATTGTCCGCCTTGTTCTGGTTGACGGTGTGGTTGTACGCCTGTTGGGAGTGATCAGCGATGTGGTTCAATATGGTTCTCTACAAGCAATGTACTTACCTCCCTCTCTGAGGGCGAGAGGCCATTGTACTTGGCCTTCGCCTCCTCTACCAATTTCACGAAAGCAACTCCAGTCTTCCCTGCCGTATGCTCCTGGATAATGAGCTGCCAAACGGTCGATGGCTTGCCCTTGGGTGGCTCCAGGGCCTCAGCTTTCAGTGTCTTTACCCTCTCCCGCTGTTTCTTCGCTGCAGCTGCCGTCTTCTGCTCGTCCGTCAAGACCTTAGGAGCTTTCTTGGTCTTCTTTACTTTCTTTCCGACCTTCCTCTTTGCTGCTGGCTTCTTCTTCTTCGAGGCAGTCTTCTTTTTGGGGGCAGCCTTCTTCTTAGCCGCCGGCTTTTTGGCGGTCGTGGTCTTTTTGGCAGCAGGCTTCTTGGTAATTTGCTTGGTTGCGAAGGAGCGCGCCAGGGATGGAGAGCAGAGTTTCAATGCATTCCGGACAGCAAGAATGAAGCGTGCCTGATTGACAGACTGGAAGCTAATCGCGCTGTACGCAGCATTGTTTGTTGTTGTTTTGGGTACGCAAAGCGTCACACGACGGCCGAGAAGGCCGCGGGCAAGCATTGAGGCGGCCAGGTAGTGAGCAGCGAGTGTAGTAAGGCGAATGCAGGAGTGACAGAGCGACACGAGAGAATTGGCGCGCGCGAATGTGGGTTGCGATGGTAATAGGTGATGCAATGGACGTTGGGACTTGGGAGCTCTCCAGGGCTGTGTGTGCGGTACCGTCTGCTCCTGGAAGCTTGGGCTCCCGCTTGCGCGTTAGTAAGCCTGTAAGATGCGGCACGATGTAGGGTTATAGCCAATCAAACGTGTCGGACCAAGCATAATGTTATGTACACAAAACGTGTAGTATTATTTATTGAAAGTCAGTGGCTGTCCTCAGGTTGGTACATCTATATACCACCCAAGTCGCGCTACCTATCGTACAATGGGAATGGGCCATCAGGTATTCGCATGGAAAAATAACACTCAAGTAAAGTCCTGCTTACACTGGTCTGGTATTCATGTTCGCAATGTAGAGCCCTCTGAAATGCTATGCCAAGGGTATCATAAGATTGAGGCGGCGGATGCTTATCATTATCCACAACTTCGTTTTACAATAGACTTTCATACTTGTCTATTCCTTGCTTCTGCCCTGGCTGTACACCGGGTGTCTGCTGCTGTAGGGGTTGTGGTTGCACAACAGTTCCCATGCTTCCTCTTCCAGGTCCGGCATTCGATACCATACCCATGCTATGCGTAGTGTCCATACCAATGCTAGCATTATTGCGGATTGGTCCTATACTCCCCTGGTAGCTTGTCTGTCTATTGTTGCTTGGAGGCGGCGCGATGTTGAAGTTGGAGTAAGGGCTTGCGGGTGGAGGAGCAATAGAGAAGGATGCATTTGATGTGGATGAAGGCACTATATGGCTCTGTCGCACGTTGGTCGAGTTTGACCACATGTTGGGTGCATTAGAAGCAGCAGACCAGTCTACAGCCCTCCCTTGCGATGGCGTAGGCGACATTGTGGAAGTTGTTGGTGAGAGAACCCCCATACTCGGAGCTCCGGGGCGTGAAGGTTGAAGTGGTTGAGAGAAGCTTGGGGCGAGGTTACTTGGCTGCAGTGGAGTGAAAGAGCCCATGGTGTGATCTGGAGTAATTGTTCGGGATGTTGGAGGAGCGGGCTGAAGGTTGTACGACTGGGGTGCTTGAGGAACTGGAGCGGGTGAAGGTGAGGACCATGAAAATGATGCTGCTGCGCCTTGGCTTTGGGTACGTGAGCCGACCGATGGACGAGAAGGTAGTGTTGTCGAAGCACTACCAGAACCCCATTGTTCGCCAAACACATCTGAAGCACTTCCGCCTTTTCGGCCTGTGACAAGTGTCTCAAAGTCGCCTTCATCACCGTTCGTAGGACTGTTTAATCCATTCGCACTTCCCACTGCGCCAAAACTCATAAAGTCATTCCGCACCGCTGCTGGAGATGAGTTACTCGCCGAGAGCTCTTGGAGTTTCCGGGTCTGTTCTTGTTCGATCTTGTTCGAAAGTGACTTGATTAAAGCTATGAAAGCTTGGAACTGTTGAAGGTTGAGAAGCGGGCCCAGTGAAAATGTCCATAATATGGGCAGGACATCCATTGCCAAGTAATCGGAGTCAGCAATCTTGCCGACTTCCTTGAATACATCGAGAGCGGCCATCTATACGCGGATCAGTAAGATAAGTTGAAGCAAAGTGCGCTAAGCAGGTATAAAAATGAGTAAAAATCTACTAACCATGACTGCTGGTTCTTTAGTCTTGATGCCCTTCATGAGTGGAACCACTTTCTCTTGAATCGTATATTTGTCTAGAATGCAAGAAGTGTTTTGCTTCCCTTTTTTCTTCTCAGTGAAGCCATTCAAGTCATCTTCAGGCTCAACTGCATTTGGTGTGCCGCCGCACAGGGTCTGGAATGCCTCGAGACCGCGGATCTTGATACCCATACTGCTAGTTTTGCTGAATACATTGGCAATCACAGGAAACAGGTCATTCTTGATGGTCGAGAAGTCCAAGGCTGGTAAGATGACAGACAGCGTCTTCAACGATGCATCGACAAGTGAGTGTGTAGTCGATTCAAGTGACTGCTGTATGATAGGAAGAATATCTATAGCCATTAGCTCATGTTGTGCGTGAAACACAAAGGAACTTACCATCTTTAAATTCTTTCCCGGTCGTATTGTCCGCGACGACCTGCATATTCTCCAAGAGTACCATAAGTCCTGCATCTCTAAGACTGTCCTTTTCCGGGGCAGGGGTACCCTTCTTGGCTACAATTATAAATGTTTCTCGTAACTTTGGAGTAACCTGGTCTACAAATGCTCTCTTGCCGTTCGACATGAGGGGCATCATTTTGAACACATTTTGCAACACGAGAGCGAGGAGCTCCTTATCCTTCATTTCCTCGAGTAGAGCTGGAAGGATTTTCTTTTCCAGAACTGACTTCGGGAATTGATTCAGGATCCGAGGGAGGCCTCGCATAAATTGTGACTTTTCGTTTGGCGTCTTAGCCGGGAGTGACTCCAAGAAGCGAATGGTGGACACCAGGATGTTATCAAAATATTGGGCTTGTTGCATCTCCCGAGCAGAGAACCGCTGAGCCGGTCGTCGCGTGATGAGTCGAGGCAGTAGACTAGATACTACATCCCTAGGCGGCGATTTCGAAGATAAGAAGCTGTTATTCGGAGTTGGGGTGGTCGATGGAGCGCTGAACAATCGTTTATAAGTTGTTGTACTCCCATTTGTTTCGAGTGGACTTTTATGTGGAGAGTTATACAGCGCTACAACAATGAGACCGAGAGAGAACATATCTGCGGCAGAGCTAACATTGTTGTCCATGACGAAGTCTGGTGACGTGTAGTCAAGGTTCAGTTGGGCACAGCGTGGAAGTCGTGCATCATAATTCAGGACTTCGGACAGAGCAATCGGTGTCACGGATGTGGCTGCGTTGGAGTTCTCTGGAGGGCTGGAGTAACCAAGCCCTGAAATCTTCCAGTCACCCTGTCACGGCAATCAGCTTGAAGACGCGGAGGAGGCATGGTTGCTTTGCCCTACTTTCGAATTTATGAATATGGCCTCTGGCGTGAGATTACAGTGAACCAGACTTGCGCTTTCATGAAGAAACTCAAGGCCTTTGGCGATCTGCAATAGACCTTTTTGTATTTCAAGCTCGTCAATTTCCAATTCACGTCTCCTTCGGGTGCCGTCTGCTTCCTCAACGACATATCTGCTACCTCGGCCACCAACACCCCCAGCTCTCTCTTGTTCGTCCTTGTCTGACAGCAAGCCGGCAAGGGAAGCCGTGACGGCTTCAGTCGCAAACATTAGACCTCCATTTCTGGTTTCCTCCACCGGCTCGGCCAACTCGAGAATGCTTGGGTGCCTCAGTCTTGCCAACGAACTAGCCTCTTTCTTCAACCTTTCCAAAACCTGCTCATGAGACTTCTTGAGGTTGCGGTCATTTGAGCGAGAGGAGCTGAGTCCACCACCAGCAGGCTCTAGAGACTTCTTGTCAAAGATGAAAACTGAGGCAGCTTTGCCTGTGGTCCTCTTCTTGGCATCATGTATCTTCCATGGACCGGCTGTTGATGACGGTTGCGGCGACCAGGAGTAATTTGAGGAAATATTAGAGCTGAACGACTTGAGGGCAGCTGAGAACATGGTGTGTCGCGTGCTCACCACCGCGTCCGCGGGATGTGCGTAGGGTCCGGAGGCCCACGCAGGCGGAGATTCGTCGTCGAGGTAGGGTGCGAAGGGATGTTCACGTCAGAGTTGCTCGTTGTCGCCGCGGGCATGTCCGGTCTGGCTTAGTCGCGATGCGCAACTCGACAACGACAATATTACACCGCCCGTGTCTAACCAGAAATATCCGGGGAGTGAGAGGAGAATGAGCGGATTATCAGCCCCGACAATGCAGAAGTTAGCCGCACCTTGCAGCGTATGCATCCATCCATCGCGTCGGAAGAGTTTCGGCCATTTTATTCACTTTCTTGGGATGACTCTTCTTTCTCCCACCGACAATTGACTGTTTTCTCCAATACAAGACCTGTCGCATAGTAATCCTAGATGCGACAGTCCTAGTTCGCAATGAATCAATCCATATCGCTCCTGCGACAATCGCTCAATACCGCATCACGTCGCTTTCACACAACTTCGAGCTCACTAAGTTCGCAGCGATGTCGGAGGCAATATAGCATTCACGTTGATGCTGCCAACGCCTCAAAGCTCGCGGAGCTGGACTCGAGAAAGCTTTCCATCACGAAGACTACAACACCAAAGGAACTTCTGCCCGCTGAAGAGCTTGTATTTGGTCGTAACTTTACAGGCAAGGCAATGAATACGTTTCCTGAATCCCAACATCTGACCACTCTACCATAGATCATATGCTTTCTGTCGAATGGACAGCTTCTGAAGGATGGCTAGCACCGCGCATTACGCCTTACCAGAACCTCTCACTGGATCCTGCGACATGCGTTTTCCACTATGCATTCGAATGTTTCGAAGGGATGAAGGCTTACAAAGACACAACTGGCAACATACGCCTGTTTCGGCCTGACAAGAATATGGAAAGATTCAACAAGTCATCAGCAAGAATAGCATTGCCTACGTTCAACTCAGAGAGCCTGATTGACTTGATCGGTCAATTCTGCAAACTGGAAGAGCGTTTCATCCCATCGTTGGTTACCCGGTCCGTATGCAGATCCTCATACTGATATATGCAGTCCTCGTGGTTACTCACTATACCTTCGCCCCACAATGATCGGTACACAACGTACACTTGGTGTAGGTCCTCCGGGATCTGCCCTTCTTTACGTTATTGCATCTCCTGTAGGTCCCTACTACCCGACTGGCTTCAAGGCCGTATCGCTTGAAGCTACGGACTATGCAGTCCGAGCCTGGCCCGGTGGTGTTGGTGATAAGAAGCTTGGTGCCAACTATGCACCATGCATTGTCCCCCAAATGGAAGCTGCGAGCAGAGGATTCCACCAGAACCTTTGGCTGTTCGGAGAAGAAGAGTATATTACAGAGGTCGGCACTATGAACCTGTTCGTGGCTCTCAAGGACAAGAAGACGGGTCAAAATGAACTGATAACGGCACCCCTGGATGGCACCATTCTCGAAGGTGTCACACGCGATTCGGTACTGGGCATTGCTCGGGAACGGCTGGAACCCGAGGGATGGAAGGTCACAGAACGGAAGTGTACTATGAAAGAGCTGGCAGAAGCAGCAGACGAGGGGAGAATGCTGGAAGTGTTCGGCGCTGGGACAGCAGCGGTAGTAAGCCCGGTCAGAAAAATAAGTTGGAAAGGGAGTACTGTTGAGTGTGGTCTTAGTGAGGGTACAGAGGCAGGACCAATTGCACAAAGGATGAAAGATTGGATTGAGGGTATACAGTACGGCGAAGAGCCGGAAAACCCCTGGAGGCAAGTCTCATTATCTTATTATCCACATTTGTACTAACCTTAATGCAGCGTGAAACTAAACTGATTCGAGATAATTCGGATCTCTAGTAGAACCACGGCAACGGATTACATAGCAGAGATTATACATCGATAGAGGTGTGTATGAGGAACGTGCAATTAATTGTAAGAGCGACATTTATGATTGCGCTGCTGATTTCACGCTAGCATCTTCAAACATTTTTCGTCGTCGCGTAAACTGCTGATGCTATCCTAGTCTATCTCATTTGCTCTTATAATCTTCACCACCTCTTAAAGGATAGTTCTCTCCGCCAAACTCGACCGCGGCATCCTCGAACCGGTCCTTCTGAATCGACCTCCAAGTTCCCCACCACGACCTCTCATACACATCAATATCAAGGGTCCCTTCAAAACTCTCCGCCAAGAACTTTGGCCGGTGCCCATCCGCAAATGGTGCACTTAGTTCAAAGAAGGACCCTTCTTTTGCCGTGACGCTCACTACAATTTTCTGCCTCAACCCACTAACACTCATACAAATCGTTCTGTTTTCCCAATCATGAACTACTGTGTTGAATGGCGACCATCCACCAACCCTTAACGTCCAGGGCGGCCGGAAATTTGCCACCAGCGCTTTCTCTTCAACAACATAACCGCGTTTCTCCCTAACACTCCCAACCTTCCCGTTGACATATCCCAGAAGGTACGCCTCCATCCCAAGTATGCGTCCTCCCGCACAGCAGAATCCACGCTTCGTATCTTCATCCCATGCTTGGATCCAGATGTGCGACTTGGGAAAGGACTGGCCCCAGTTCTTTTCTATATGCACTCTAGCATTGCCAGCTAGGTCTTCTGGGAGCAACTTTACAGATGGTGGGAGAGTCAGTTCGTATCTGCAGAACGACGCACGGGAGTGCACGTGCCACTGCAATGGGAGCGGGAGGCTTGCGAAGCGTCCAGCAGGCGTGGAATTAGGGGATGAAGGGATCCAAGGAACGCGCCCTCCTGATTTTGCGGAAAATTTGAAGTCGAGATCTCGGCCGCATACCTCGTATTCAACACCATCCATTGTTTCGCTGGCGAGACTGGCGATTGAGGGAATAGAAACTTTGAACGGATCTGCTCTCGTGAACCATGGGAATTCTTGTCGTTCAGGCAAAGGTATTGGAGTCATGTGTAGGTTGTCCGCCCATATCTCGCGCTGGAATATATCCTTCTGAGAGGCATGGTATGGTATGTATGTAAAGGAGAGCATATGAGGCCGTGTGGGTGCATTGCGGACGGTGCAGAAGATTAGAATGATATGGGAGCCGGATTCGAGGGTGAATTTGGAGTAATAGCCTTCGAATGCGGCGGAGGGATGTGGGCGGAAGAAGTCCATGGTAATGAGGGTTGATATTGGCTGCCGTGCAAAAACGATGGTCAGGATGGAATTAGCTAGAGAACGAGAGGCGCGGATAACGCTTGCAAAATATCATGACGTCATTGTGCTACATACTATAAGTAGAAAGCTCTATGGATCGAGTTCATTTCTACCACGGGCATGCACATACCTATGTACTTTGTTTTCCCGAGTAGTACTTACAGCGGGGCGATTTGAGTAAGAGTAACCAACGGCCGGGCTACGGCAGTACTAGTACAAATACCAGAACAAGTGCCACGTAGGAAGGATCTGGTTAGATGATGTTTCCGCCTCCAGATCATAAAGACAATATATCTTACTCTCTGAAAATATGAGCATGCTATACTCCCTCGATACTAGATAAAGAATGTACGATAGCTTCAGATTGGTGATTGCTATAAATGCTACCACTATTCGTGTGTTGGGAGTACCATAATCACAATTCATCTTTGGTTACAACACTCGAGCTTTTCCGGACTTTCGCTTGATCGATCAAACCACGTCGAACCATGCTAGTGAGGACTTCAAACCCGACTTGAGCTGCTGCTAGTGCTGTAGACTCATCGCTACCATCGTAGCCAGGGCTGACTTCTACGATATCGGCTCCAACTACATTCAGTCCTTCGATACCACGAAGGATACGAATGAGCTCTCGCGTGGTCCAGCCACCGGGCTCAGGGGTTCCCGTGCCAGGAGCCAACCCAGGATCAATGACGTCGATATCAATGGACAAGTAGACCGGCATCTCAGTTCCCACACGGTTCATGATCTTGTCGATGATTCCTTTGACACCAATCTCGTCCACATCATCCGTAGAAATTTGGACCCAGCCTTGGGCCGTATCCTCTTCATAATCCATATAATCATCACCGGAGAGTCGCGTCCTAAGACCTGCGTGAACGGATGATGCGTTGGCGATGAGTCCTTCCTTGGCAGCCATCCAGAACATGCTACCATGGTTGAAGAACGACTGCGTCGTTTCATCGGTAGCATCGATCCAGCTTGATGGATACTTGATTGGATCCCAAGTATCCAAATGAGCATCGAAATGTACCACAGCAACAGGCTGGCCATAAGTCTTAGTAAGAGCTCTTAGGGCCGGAAGTGCGATGCTATGGTCCCCTCCTAGGGTAAGAATCTTTGACTTTTGCTGATATGGAGACGCAAAAGCGGGATCCACAGCAGGTTTCCTCAAAGTCATTTCTTCAAATGCCTCGCTCATTTGACGAAGTGCCAGCACGTTATCGAATGGCGTGATGGGAATGTCGCCGCAATCCATCATCGTAGCCCACGAACGATACGGGTTGAGACCTGCACGAGCATTGAAGCCTCTGAAGCTTGTCTGACGACCAGACGCGGCGCGAATCGCTTTTGGTCCGAACCTTGCTCCTGGTCTATAGGATACAGCTGTGTCGAATGGAGCTCCTAGGATAGCAATGTCAAACACAGTTTCGGGATGCGTCAGACATTTCACGTGTGGTAAATGGGCAAAGGTCGATATTCCCGAGAATCCCCACTACAAAATGTTAGTCATCATGAATGTTAAAGATGTTAATGAAGTATACATCGGTCCCCCATTTGTCGATAAGACCTGGTTCTTCTTCGCCATATACTGGCTTGTGCGCAGTGGCTAGGCCACTGCAAACCAGGGCTATAGTAGTGAACAAGCCGAACATGCTGTTTTTTTGTTCGAGCCAAAGTCTATAGTATGGGAAACCAACGCGGAACCTGTTGCATTGATATCTGGAGCCGACGTGCTCTTATGTAACAGGAACATCTTATCAGTCGGCTGTTGTAGACTACTCGCTAAGGTAATGAGCTGGCGAGACGTCTGTTCTGTATTCAAAATGAATAATCTTCCCGGCAGGCAAAGTATTGGGATGTAAGTAGCACTGAATCATGTGTATTCACACTCCTCGCATCTGTCTACATATGATGCGACGACGTCTTTGGCATCCATTGGGATCGGCCATTTTGATTACATAAAATCCATTTAATAGAATCCCGTGATCACGCGTAAACGCATTGAGCTTTGACCGTCCGACGTCGACGTCACAGCTAATCCCGTTGGTACTTCCAAGCACCATAATTGCAATTACTTCCAAGCACCACAATTGCAATTATTTCCTTCGATTGTCATAGACTATTTGAGATCAGAATGCCTGAGGTAAGCAAACTTTGGTCAGCATCTTCGCTTCTGCTCACGTATCGAAGATAGGAGAGATCGCGCGCGTCGTACACTATTTAAAAAAGCATGCATTAGGCAAGACTATAGCAAAAGTCCAAGTGCAAGAAGATGATATCATATACGGCAAAGTAGGCACGTCTGCTTCAGCCTTCCAAAAAGCCATGACTGGAAAGAAGATTATCGGAGCGAGGCAACAAGGGAAATATTTCTGGCTCGAGATGTCTTCTCCTCCACACCCACTGATGCATCTCGGCATGACTGGATGGGTCAAATTCTCCAACGATGACAGCTCCTACTACAAGCCTGCGAAGGATGAGGAGCAACAGTGGCCACCAAGGTTCTGGAAGTTCATACTCGAGCTAAAAGAAGACCAAGATACGCAGGTTGCATTTGTAGATCCGCGTCGCTTAGGTCGCATTAGGCTCGTCGATGTCGATGCCACTAAGATGCGAAATACTACTCCGCTTAAAGAGAATGGACCTGATCCGGTCATTGACAAAGAAATCCTCACGGTAGAATGGCTCACTGCCAAGCTTAGGAGTAAAAGGGTGCCCGTTAAAGCATTGATGCTGGACCAGGCTAATATCAGTGGTGTTGGCAACTGGGTTGCGTAGGTCGTGCTCTATGTATGCCTTTTTTCAAATACTGACTGCTGTAGCGATGAGGTTCTGTATGGAGCTCGCATCCATCCAGAGCAATACAGCAACACCTTGTCCGATCCTCAAATCAAAACGCTACACGAATCACTCATCAATGTCTGTACTATCGCTTGTGAGACACTGTCCGATTCCAGCAAATTTCCGGATAATTGTAGGTGAAATTCGAGGTCTACTTGCAAGCATTTACTGATTCATGTAGGGTTAATGAAGCATCGTTGGGGCAAAGGAAAGAAAGATGGCGGTAAATTACCATCTGGTGAGAAGATTGTGTTTCTCACGGTCGGCGGAAGAACGTCTGCTGTCGTACCAAGCGTACAAAAGAAGACAGGCCCTGTCGCTGGCGACGTCGATGGGGATGGTGACACTAATGAGAAGGAAACAAAACTTAAGGGAAAGGGTGCAAAGCGAAAAGTTGAACAGGATCAAGAAAAGGAGGAAGACAGACCTAGTACTACACAGGCGAATAGGACGAATAAGGCATCGAAGAGTTCAGAAACGCCCGACAAAGCAGCAAAGAAACAGAAAGTAAAGTCTGAAGCAAAGACCGAGTCGACGAAGAAAGGGCGCAAGTCGAAAGAGACAACCAATGGTTCCGAAACTACGCGACGAAGGTCCACAAGACTGAGCGGCGCCTGAGATCGTGGAGAACATGACCGTTGCACTTCGATTGATGGAAGGCATTATGTACGTGTTACTGGATTATGTAACAGGACAGCGTTATTCGAGCTTCTCTTCTCGAGTACACATCCAAACGACGAACTCATAGTCGCTTTGGAAAGTGTATGCTGAGAATATTGGTTCCAGTAGGGTCGAGGCCTTGTGTCGTCCCGAATAAAAGTGGTACCCACGATTTTCGAAGAGATCAGCAGTGGTACAATACCGGCATATATCGTGTGCCAGTGCCGGGCATGATGGACTGCACCAGTCGCAGTCCAAAGTCGCTCATCTATACATATGTATATATATAAATACCAATCTTAGACTGACTTTCGGGGCCAATACCAGGGTCACTATATGCCTCCACGCTCTTACTATTGCCTTAATTCCGCCTCACCATGTCAGCGGCCCAATCGGACAGTGTTTACATAACATTACCAAGGTATGTTTGAAGGCTTCATGGTTTGGTGTGGATCAAGAGAGTAGTTAAGCTAGATTGGGAGGTGTCAAGGGGATTAACAGAGCGTTTTTGAGGGGTACTATTACGACAAGAATGATTCACATCTTGAGCCCAGTTCCCAGGGGGCTGAAAGCTCGAACGACCAGGACAATATAGCACAAAGACGGAGAGTATCAGGGTATGGTGTGGTCAGGTGTATACCATTTCAAGTGCATCATGGCAGAACAGAGAAATGTAAGTATAGATACATATCATGGATAGAATAGAGTACAGAGCAGCTACTACAGCAACGGCATTGTCAGATCCTGTTGCTTTACCTTACCGGGGTCGCAGTAGGGTAAGATGACACTGAAGAATGACTTTGACTAATCACAGTCTAGATAGTACACTAGTCACAGAGCAGACGGACAAGTTGGGTTGTAAATGAATGATATTGCTTGGTTGCAAATGCTAACTTCGAAACAAGTATGATGATAGGGTGGAGAGTACGTTCGTGTCCATGTTACGGGTATCTCGGCATTCCGGTTTGCTCCCGCTTATTCCAACGACCAAGATATCAAAACTCCTCCTCATAATTATCATTTAGGTCCCAGCAGCATGCCGCAATAGGATAGCATGTATTTCTATCACAACTTGTCAGCCAAACTCCTAACCACAACCGTCCAGGTGCACTCACAATTTACTCTCTCATCAAACCCCAGGCCACCATGACTGCGACCGGCGCAACAGCCAACAGCGCGTTCGGGCTCGTCATCGCGCCAGCACCCTCCTCGTCACCACCACCACCGCCTCCAGAGCCACCCTTGCCCTTCTTGGCCTCGACGAGCGGGGCGAGTACTTGTAGGACGAGGAGAAGCGCAAAGTAGAAGCGAGCTTGGGTATTTGCGGAGAGAGACATTGTGTATAACGTTGATGTCAACGATGTAGGTCGTTCGAATATGTATATGAATAGGTGTTTGTGGCGTACAAGGTTGTCAGGAAGTGAGGAGTGGAGGAAGATACTTGTTGTTCAAAGGGAGGCACGCGGGCGTATATATATCCTCATGCTTGCCCTGCGCCGTGATCCTGGGGCCGTAAGATATTCCACCCATTCATGGAAAGTGCTGTCTTTGTGACAGGCCGACAGCCACACCGTGACATCGATGCGCTCATTCCTGCTTGGCAGATCGTCAGGCAAGGAGTCGGTTCGAGCTGGGGGCGGAACAGCTATGTCGATTCCGGCGAAGCTTCTGGCGTAAACCATTCCGCAAGCGTAAATCGACGGCTCATTTCCCTGTTGTTCATTTTGTTCACGCCGCTTGAATGGCGATGTTCGCAGTATCTGTTGGCACCTTCGTTTCCCACTGTAAGTATGTAGCTTGGTATGAACCTTAGATGCAACTAAGCCCTCGTATCCCTGACGCCTCGGGCGTTCTTGGCGGGGGCGGGATTGGCATGCTTCACTGCCTTGCTTTTGGCGCAACGCAGAGTGATGTGCGAGCGGTGAGGTAAGTTTAAGCCTTGCTCAGCCTCGACGACCGGTTTTGTCCTGGTTCTCGTGTGCGGAGATGAGAACACGAATAGAGAACAATCGAGGGTCTTCGAACGAAAGATCTTTGTTGATCCTCGGCTCAGCCACGACCCCTTGTGGCAATGTGTGGCTTGTGGCGGTGCATCGTCATTCTCGATGGGAGGCGTGGAGTCACAGTACAGTTATCTATTGATGAAAGAGATACTGGATACACTATCTCGTGCGAGCTACGCAGATCTTCGTAGAGTTGGCAAACGTCCTGAAGAAGCACAATCTGATATGTTTCTATTTTGGGCTACAAGCCAGACGGCCGTATTAGCTAGCGACGGTCAATCTAATATTCCGCTCTGACGTGGAACATCAACCAGAATACAATCCATGACTAAATTGTTCATCATCACAACCACTCATCCTCATTCGGAGAATCGACCACTCGATCGATCGCGCCAACACATCTGTGTCCCGGAATCCGCCCCCGGAGTCGGTAACGTGTAAATGCTGTGTGTCTTCCGCGTGACATGCCGTTGATTGACAACCCTATAGCAGAGCTTACTATAAGGCACACTGTTGCACATCAACTGTCGTACGAGTCATTCGTGCGATTTGTGTATAATGCCACCTCTCTTCTGGACCGTCGGCTCGCTGTACGGCGCGAGTGCGGTGATGCTAGGCGCGTTCGGTGCGCATGGACTTAAGAAACGCATCACGGACCCAGCGAGGATAGCGAATTGGGGCACAGCAGCGCAGTATCAGGTACGATCTTACAATTTCCTATTTGGGGGTGCAATCTGTTAGGTTCTCCGGGAGCATGTATCTCAAAAGAGTACTATCGCGTGTGTTTGGAGATGCATCATGGAACCAGACAGCGCGCTCTTTACCGGAATGAGCTGATACAGCTTTAGCTTATCCATTCAGGAGTCCTTCTTCTTACCACAGCAATCGCACCGCGTAACAAACTTGCTGCGGGCTTGTTCACTGCTGGTATGACCATGTTCAGCGGTAGTCTGTATCTGCTTGTCCTCGATCCGCAGCGATTTGGCAAGATCGCTGGTCCGATCACCCCTCTTGGAGGACTTTGTCTGATCGGAGGGTGGGTTGCGCTAGCCTTTGGGAAGAGAGTGCCCATTCCAGCTGCTATGAGGTAATCTAGAGGTTTTGACGCGAATTCATTGGCGTGTAGGATAAGAATATAGTGCAGAACCTTTTTGAGAAGGCTTCTGAGTGTACAAAGCGCGAAAACTCATCTCTTTCGACTTTAGATTTCCTGGGCTCTGCTCTGTGAATTGTAAATTTGCTCGCCGATGAATAATTTAAATCACGTTGTAGTACTTAACACCCATTCTTGCTTAGATATACACTAAACCTTTTCCATATCCAGCGGAGCAAATGTATTGGAAGAATAAGTCTTATGGAATGGTTTACCTACTCAGGAGTCTTTGCTAATGAGCACTGTTAAGTATCATTACTTTGCGAGGAATACATGGCCTGAATTTGGAAAGATATTTAGGTCAGGAGCTATCATAAACATTGATATCTATAAATTGCTCTAACCGGATCTACAGACCTGCCAGTCGGTTGATGAGACGCTCACTCCGTATGCTCCCATACCATCTTTATACTCCTTGCCTTGACCATGGCCACATCTCATGTCTTCAGGTCATTCACGATCAACTTCCAACACAGCAGGCTTCGTTGTGGTTGTAATTGCCAGGTCGATATCAAAAATCGTCTCGATGCCTGGAATCAAACCAATCTGATCGTCCTTTGACAAGGTCGCTAGATCCACAATCTAGATCTCACTGAAATTCGTGTCTACCTTGATATTCACTGTTCGTAATAGCTAGTCTGATCTAACCCATGCCATGCATGATATCAATGGTAATGCTCGTAACAGCCCTTAAGTCATCATATTCTACTCTCGCTCGAAATATGTCGCTGATCAATTAGTTTAGATGTGACATTCACATCGAAAGGTACCGAATTAAGGCATCACTTGAAAGTCAGGCCGGAGAGAAAAAAAAGAAGACCTTTATGTGCCTCAGGCATCAATTGGTCGACTTGCATGACTAAGCATACCCCTTTTCCCTTGCCTCTATCCTAACCAAATCTTTCAAGTTTGAGTTCCCACGATAGATCCTATTCAAGTATCTCTTGGGGTCTTTACAATACATCTAGGTAGTACGTACGCCAGTGATCGTCGTACGGAGCTGAAACCGTGTGCAATGAGCTTTTAGTCAGACTTTGTATGCTCGCATAGTCCTCGTATACAACGAGTCGTGATTGGCTGAAAAGTAGCTGTTCCTGATCTAACCTATTCATACTATAACACCGTTTATACTACTGGGTAGTGTAGCTTACACTGTCCGTGCGGGATATCAGATTACAAAATGGTCTCCTTGTCCTCCCACTAATCTCCAAATCTACTTGGTTGTTTTCTATTAAATTAATTCATGAGTTCGTTCTTTCAGTAATCCTCCGCTTTGACAATGGTCTTCGCTCGACTGTTGAGAAATCACATCGCACTTGTCATCCTTACCAGCTTGACTAGTGTCTCTAGCAGTACTTTAAGACTCAATACCACATCAGGCATTCTGCAAGGCTTCTCTCCATATCCAGGCGTCGACGCTTTCTTCGGCATTCCATTCGCTCAGCCACCAGTAGGAGATCTACGTTTTGCTCCTCCCGCTCCTTTCGAACCAAAGTCTCCAGATGAGGTCCTAGACACCACACAGACCCCACCAACATGCTACCAAATCTCATATATCACATCTGCTTCCGATAAGTACTCAGGCGTATCAGAGGCCGAAGATTGCCTCACAATAAACCTCTGGAAGCCCTCGAATGCAACTGGCAATCTTCCAGTAATCGCCTGGCTCTACGGCGGTGGCTTTATATCTGGTGGAAACTCTCTCGCACCATATGATGCACGCCGCTTCGTATCTGAGCAGAGAGACATTATCTTCGCCAGCATTAAGTACGCCTGGACTCCGCCCTTAAAGGCTTTACCACTGATCAATTCTCAGCTACCGGGTAAACATCTTTGGCTTCCCGAATACACCAGCCCTTACGACAAAGAACATCGGTCTGCTCGACCAACGTCTCGCTCTTGAATGGCTGCGTACAAACATCGCGTCCTTCGGCGGCGACCCATCCCGCATGACACTCATGGGCCACTCGGCAGGCTCCATCTCCGCAGCACTCCTATCCTACGCACATGTAGAGGACCCCATCGTCAGCTCTCTAATCGAGCTGAGTGGCCAGCCCGGCCTGATCCCTTCGGACGACGGCTCATCGTGGGAACACGTTGCCAACACCACAGGCTGTGCAAACACTGAGAATAGACTCGCTGAGGTAGCATGTTTACGTGCCCTGCCACCACGCTCGCTCAAGCGCGCCATCACGCCCAATAACACACCTACGATCGCAGAGGGTGTTGCTGCGGGAGCGCCAGTCGTAGACAATGTGACTGTGTTCGATCCGTCGGAGATTGCGCGACGTGGGCGTGAGGGCGCATTTGCAAAGCTACCTCTCCTAGTAACGCACACAACGCACGAATCTGACAGTATCCTCCCGGCGGATCCGGTGGTGGGAGTGAATCATACTCTCTCAGATCTGATCACGTTGACAGGTCAGCATTGTCCGGTTGCAGCGGCGGCTGGGTACTGGGCTGCGCAGGGGGTGCCGACGTGGCGATACTTGTTCGATGGGGTGTTCGATGCGACGAGACCCTACGATTGGATCCGCAGCTATCATGGATCAGACAATAATCTAATCTTTTCGGGAGAACAGCTTTTTGCTTGGGAGGAGCCGAGTAAGGAGGCACTGGAGGCCGGCAGGTATCTGAGAGCGGCTATTGCAGCATTTGTGAGGGATCCCGTGAATGGGTTGGAGAGGTTTGGATGGCCGAGGTATACGGGTGAAGGTATGTTTTTTGTGCACCGAGAGCGTTGTTGATGTTGCTGACTGTTGTTGTGTCGTAGGAAAAACTCTCGTCCGGCTGTTTTCGAATCAAACCGCAAGTGTGGAATTTGATGATCCAACCGACTACGACGCTCCTTGTGCTCAGCTGCAATCTTCATAGATTACGAATGATACTATATCGCTAACTATCCAGGCCTAGCCCGGGAAATCACTCAAGGTGGTATTTCGTATGAAAACTCGATTAACAACCTCCACACACTTAGAATCAATGTAAGTCCTTCTGTTATAAGAACATTCTCACAGTTTACCAAAGAGGAATAGTAGCGTCTGTACATAGTCGTTTGGACATTGTACAGAGGCTGCAAAGGTACATCGAGATCAGATGTATAGCTGTATGATAAACTTCTCACAACACGTCCTCTCAAAGGGCGTTCTACTTAAGTATATTCATCAAAACGCGCCCTATGGTCTAGTAATTGATCTATCCAATCTGCCTCCCGAAATTTACGTTTCCGAGGAATGAATTCTGGTCTGATCTCGACTAGATACCATTAAGCATATCGTTGGAGATATCGTACTCCGCTGGAATCCTATAGTGTTGCGCAATGATCGTGTCCCAAGTCTATTCCGTCACGTCATTGACGTAGTTGTCAACCTCGGCATCGTATACAAATGAGTAAGTGTCGTCTCCCTTACGCGCATCTGCGGAGATGTTTTCACGATAAGGTTGAAAAGTGTTCCTAACAATGATGTATAGAAGGAGATATTTCTGATGGTGATATTAGCTCACTGTTATATGTACTTACACCCATAGTGGACTATTTCATGTACCGCTTGAGATCATACCATTTCCCACTTCACTCCTTGCCTTCAGCGACCGCCTTCTGAGCCTCGACGTCCTCCTTCAGCTTCGCCCCCTCCTCAGTCCACGGCTCCAACTTCTTCACTTTCTTCACAACTCGAGCCGGACTACCCACAGCAACACACCACCCCTCGATATCCTTCGTAACTACACTCCCTGCTCCAATCGTAACTCCATCCCCAATTTTCACACCAGGCATAATAACCACATGCCCGCCACACCAAAAATCATCACCAATCACCACACTCCCCGCATACTCTATATCGTTCCTTCTAGACTCCACCTCGACCTCATGCGTGGCAGCAAAGATGCTCACATTAGGCCCAAACATGGCGCGCGCCCCAATCGTGACGAGCCCGCAGTCGAGGATTGTGAGGTTGAAGTTAGCATAGAAGCGTGGACCAATGCTGATATTGCAGCCGTAGTCGATGCGAAAGGGGGTCTCGATGAAAGGGTCTGGTCCGACAGAGCCAATGATGTTTTCAAGCTGTGTTTTCCGCTCCGCGGCGAGAGAGTCGAAGTCTGCAGCAGGATCGGTGTCAGGAAACCAGTTGTTGTATTTGTGGGCCCAGGCGCGGGCCCTGAAGCGTGCCGCCTTGAGTTCGGGCGTGAAGGGGTCGTAGCTGTAGATGACGTGAGCGTCGGAGAGGTGGGTCGATAGGAAGGGAGGTGAAGAGTGATATGGGAGGATGGGTTGACGCGACGTACAGCATGCCTGAGATCATGCGCTCATAGTGATCACACCAAGGGACGTGATTCAATGTTTTTGCCAGAGCAATCTGCTCCGGGTCCTTCTTGGTTGAAGCCATGGCGGCGGCTCAGCTGGAATGACGTATAGGAGAGACAGTGATGGTTGAACTGGAACTCAAGTACAACTTCTCCAGATCTCCGGGTCACGGTTTATAAGCGCAATTGCATATATATATATATACGATTTTAGCACTACAAAGACCGGGAGTGATAGCGAGGAAGCTCCTTTGATGTTTATATAAAGCCTTCGGATCAGTCGATTGCTATCTATACCGAACTGGGCAAGGGCTGAGATAATTATTACCTAAACGGGCGTTTTAGATGACCTCGTGATTGGCCGGCTCGATTGCTTTGACTATATGGCGGGGTATTAAGTGGTAGAGGCGGTTCAACATCGGAGCGAGCGAGAGAGCGACAGTGAGCAAGAGAGGATGAAGTGTACTGTGTTCTCCTCCTCTTGGTATTGGGAGAATGGCAAGGGAAGGCGGTCCACTGTAGAGGGGTATTGCTGACTCGCACAAAGCGCAGAGAGTCATCCGGGCAGCTGAAGGTGATATCTCAGCTGGCTTACATAAAATATATGTGAAGTTCAAGGGAAGCAGCTAGTGCTCTTGTTTGCTGCTTTCTTTTGCTGCCTACAAGAGATTGTGCCTGGCTACTGTGGATGTGAGGTTGATGAGGCAGAACAGTTCTACACATTTCTGGCACCAGTGAATTAAAGGAGGGGTCGAAAGGCCCCCGCGATAACGGGCTCCATAACAGTTTCAGCCGAGCTGAGGTCATAGGACGGCTCCATACAAGGCAGGTCGCGAATCGAAGCGTCGCTTCAGATAGCGTAGCTGAGGCTGCGCTACGATCATCCTACTATCGTATGTATTGTATAGCGTGATCGTGTGCCCGTTCTTGAAGAAGGCCTATGAAGCACAAGACTTGGATCAGCGAGGAGAACAGAGAGCAATGGTTGAGAGTAACCTTTAAACCCATCTCCAGACTCGGGGGCAAAACCCCTCGATTACTATAATGTATTGATCATTGCCTGGTTATCGAGCGTCCATTTGCCAAAGCCCCTACAACGGTCCAGAACATCCGTAGCTGTATATCATTCCGTCTTAGGTCGATAATTCATTGTAGATGTTGACGTGCCAGCTATTGCTGTTCTACGAGAAGACGAGCAAAGCCAGACATCAGACCAACAGAAAGGTTGGATATTTGAGGGTACTCGGCGAGATCCAGTCCTTCTACACTACTATACGAAGCAGTAAAGATGACTTAGCTATGGTCACTTCGCACTGGACTACCTACACAGAGCTGTACCGAATTGGAAGCCCCCCTCCTCTACCTTCGCCGAACCAAAGATCACCGGTATCCATATCGAGTATGGAGGTTCTCGAACGGATCATACAGATTAAATGTGGCGACTTTGACATTGACGACCCGTGGGCGACCGGGGAGGAATTAGGCACCGGCTTTGGTGTTTTTCTCGGTGTGTGGAATGGTGAGCTAAGCCTCAGTGCAACATACAACGATGCTTTCCACGAAGAGGGTAAAGTTCGTGGATTTCTTCGTCGTTGTCAGAGTATACTGGATGTGGTCTGATGACAGAGCGTGAGGTATGTGGCTACACCTTCGAAGCGTGTAGTCGATATTGTGCGATATTCGAGCCTGATGTTGACGAGGGCTGAGTTTCATTGTTTTTGCTTGGCAGTGGCCTCTTTCTTTGCCTGAGCCCGCTTCAAAGCACCCTGTTTTTCCAAAGTTTCGATTGTCTTCTCACTAGCCTCCCAGAGCTTCTTCTGTATAGCCTCGTCGAATATCTCGTTCTTCAACGGCAGCATCTCTCTACACTCTTTCAAGAACTTGCCGCCTTCGCCCTTACCCCAATTTGCTTCCATGGCTGCATACAAGAAAGTCTGAGCACCTTGCTCGGGGCTTTTCAAGACTAGCCACCAAACGGGCCAGGTCAATAGATATAGGAAGAGACCTAGGAGACTACCATTACTAATGTGGCGCCTCATGCCTGGTGTGCGAGACCAGCCCGGGTCCACCATAACCACACGAGCATTGTTGGCATGCTTATCTGGTCTCACATACGCATTAAGCAGCTTTTGGAAAGCAGTTGCAAAGATCATAAGCGAGAGCTTTGAAATCTGGTACGATGATGATGTGTACGTAGCCACATTTGGGCTCTTGAACTCCTCTTTCTTTGATTGCTTCTGCGATACCCCATCCACCGCAATGTGTTCCGCAAAGTTTGGGAGAGACCCTCCCAGGTATGAGCTACATGTGCCAAATATGATGCGAACGTCTCGATCGGGGGGTTGAGCTCGAATAGCAGGACTAAGGATGCTGAGGAGGTGAAAGTTTGAGAGGTAATTTACGGCCAGATCATATTCCAATCCATCCTCGCTGAACACCTTTCTCTTGCCAGGGGAAGAATTGTTCGCGCAAAGTATGATCATGTCCAATCTCCTGGGAGGAGCATTGTCTACCCATTTTGTCGCGAACTGCCGAATGCTGTGGAGAGATGCCAAGTTCACGCACTCAGCAGTGATGAGCTGATTGTTTGTTCGCAGTCGGAGGTCCATAACGTAGTCGACCATGAAAGGATCGGAGAGTGCATGCTGCGTCAAAAGAACAAGTTGGGCGCCTCGTTTTGCAAGACCTTCAGCTACATGAGCACCAATGCCTGAAGTTCCACCCTACACCGAGTGGTTAGTTGGTATATATCAAGTCGTTAACAGAAACTTGCAGTAATCATCACCACTTTCCCGTGCATGTTCCTCTCGGATTTGTTGACAGCTCCTCCAAAGTACCATTTCATTACGAAGATGACCACGAGCCATGATACGTACTTGAGGACATTAAAGAGAGATGGAACGCCTGAGATGCCCCTGTTGAATATTTCGGCGATGATGGGTATCATCGTGGGCTGAACGCGCTAAGCGTGTTTGTAGGTTTGTAGGGCAGAAGTACTCTTTGTCGTGTCACTCTTTGGAGGCGTTGTTGCTTGCGGAGAATGGCGTGGAGCGATTGGCTAGCAGCAGAACTCCGGTTGCTAGGACTAAGCCGGTAAGCGTGGGTGTTCCCGGATGGATCCACGGGCGGGTGGCTGACGTCAGCTTTCAATACAAGGTAATCGCCTTGAGTTCTTCGGACTTCCCCTGTCTATGCTGTTCCTATCTAGATATGTATCATTCATGAAGCCATTATCAGGCAGGCAGCTTCAGCTCTTGGTAGTTATCACATCGCCATGTCCTCCAATTCTGATGCGTATGAGGCTATGAGCTGCGTTCGACCATCAAGAGCTTGTATGCATTGGCGGATACATTGCGAGCGGGATGGTTGTGCCACCTTCAAAAGACGATGGAGTACCATCTCTAGCCTCGCAGACTTAGTATTGCATGCTCTCAAGAAAGCCAGACTATAAAACCCTTCAACGATAGTACCAAATGATAACACTTCTACATCATGTAGTCAGACTATAAGCTCTACAATTTTCTTGCAAAGTTGTACATTATCACTCAAGCTTTACACTTTTCGTGCCTTGCATACTCTGCTTGACTCATTTAACCTGTCCCAGACTTTGACATGTCTTTCCAGTATGGAGGCGGTGGCTCATCTTTGATTAGGCTATTCTCTTGTTTACTTTGATAGAGGCCTAGCAAGATGACTCCGTTTCTTCACTGCTCTGCAAATCCACTTAGTTCCATATACTGTCAATCGCGTATCGAAGTCGCTGAAACCTCTTCAGAGTCTACGTAAGAATATCTTACACTACCGAGACTCCTGCCAGTACCTGTATCAGTTGCCACATAGACCCCTGACACCAATGACGTTTAGCTGGGGCCACAGCGGTTTAACACTCAAGTTATTGCTCCTACTCGTTCCATTCATATCATTAAGAACTCCTACAAAGGACCGCTTGATCGTCTGACGAGGGTTTTGGGGACCACAACCCAATCTGATGACCTTGAATAACATCACCGGGTCATTCAAATGCTACAAGGGTTACCACTTTGATACTATACCTATGATAGCAACGCATTTCTTCGCAGCTCATGTCAGCTACTCCATCTCAACGTAAACAGTAGGACCATCATCAACACCTCCACTTACATCAGCTTTGGCCTGAATGATCCGATCAATATACTACTCTCAGTCACTACTACCACAGACCTCAAGCTGCCCCAGCGCAGTACATAATCTATACCTATAAGCTCTACGCTTATTGTCAGAGATGGAAAACAGGATAGCGATACTGCTGCTCGATGACAGATGTGTTACTCGAGTGCTACAAGTCTTTGGCTATCTTTCAGCGCTGGCTTGAGTGCTGCATGTGCATACTATTCCTGACCACGTATTGCATGGATTCGATCGATGCGGCGTCAACTTTCCGCTATAATGGCATTAATTACACACTGCATCGCGCGGACACGTCCTTGACGAGTCGTTCTCGATGTGAGCGCAGACGGGGGGTTCAGTGAGGCGAAAGTCGAGAAGGTGGCGCAGACAAAATTGAATGGCGGACAAATCACATTTGTGCGGAAAGACCTGCAAAGTTGATAGCGAGCACGTAGAAGAAGCCGCTGGCGTCTGAGATCGTGGTTGTGGTGTTATGACGGAGTAAGGACATCGAGTGGAAGAAGTCAGGGGCTTGAAGTAGTATGAGAAGCACGGAGGTTCGTCTGTTTGATAATTACTCCGGAGTGGAATACCCCAGTGATAGATGTTTTATAGCATCATACAAGGGGCTAGAGAAAGCAAACACCTGATAGTGTGAAAGCTGAAAGTTAAGCGACAGAGGTCGTGATATATGATTCTAAAACATGTCACATCAACAAAAGGTTTAGTGCGTCTGATGGTGGCAAGGGTTCTCCGGTCATCTCTAGCCATACAAGGAGTACTGACTACCGGCTTGCACGTTACCTGCATATATACAGTTGAAACTTGAACATATATGTCTTCATACCCTCAAGGCATCATCAAACCACCATCCTAGAATCCGCGATCGGAGTACAGAGACTTCCAGAACCACTCAACCTCTCACAAAAAGTCAATCTCATCTCTCCATAAAACAAACTTTTCAATTCAACACTACAAGAAGAAGTCCGAAGCGGTCATCGACATGTACCTGGATCGACAACAAACACATGCACAATAACAGGGGTATCCTAAACATCGTACACCGCTGCTTCCGAAATGCAGTTCATGCTCACGCTTCAAATTGCCGGCATGGAAAGCTTATCTGTCAAAATACACCAGGCATACCAGCTCGGAAGACGTCAAAAGTAAAAGCCAAACGCCGTTGGAGTTTGTACGACATGGATAACCCATCTATCGTGTTGATGCATCATGCATATCGCTCCGAAAAGACAAACTTCGCACGCGGCCCTCTACACAGAAGGAATGGTAAACCTGCGGCAGCTTGATACTCATCACTTCTTCTCCCCCACTCATAGGCCACGGTCCTAGTTGTGAGCAACTAGGATAGTGGTATTTCGATCTTATATCCACCAGTGATGCAGTCAGCAAGAAAGAAACGACCCGAGCGAAGAGCTCACATGTTTGTCCCAGGCTAGGCTACAGCAAACAGCCTATGCCTAAACGAGGGTATACGAGACAGTTCTATGCCGGCGGCAAGCAGGGATCAGGGGTGTGTGAACGGCGAGCCCAACTCGGCGTGCTTCCGCGGCGCGTGTTGGACCCTTGCGAGGTGCGACGGTGCAGATGGCGGGGTAATGATAAAATTTTGACTGCACTCTGCAGAAGTCAAAGTGGATTGTTGACTTGTTAAGGATGAAAGTGTATTACGTCTATAGAAGTTAATTAGCTTCCAATTCTACAAGGCGTCATTTAGTCTTTGTTGCGACACTTTCGCCTGACACCTGTCAATCGTCAACGCCTCATTATTTTTCACTGCGGAGTCCTGACAGTCTCAATGGCTAAACTCAGTCGGACGTCCGGCTCGAGAACTAAACGATATCCGCGAACTTAGGTTTGATCAAAATGGACATGTATCCAGCCGATCGCGTAGGGCAGCAACGAAAGCCCCGCGGCACCGAGGAAGTGGTTGTGAGCGTATGGCGCAACTTCCTGCTGTCGATGAATGAAGTAGTTGATCTTCTGCGGCGATAATGTGCAATCCAATTCGTGGAAGTAAATCATTAGGAAGAATCTGCATCTGGCTCCGTGATGATACTGCATCGCATCGAGGCTCTAGCCGTATGGAGACCTGCCATTGACAACTTGATTGGTTTCGCCCGCATGATTAGCTATTGGGATCTTTGTAGGTGCGTTTTCAGTGGAAAATTCTTCATACGATCCTAATCAATAGACTGGTGGTACCTCTGAGTGGAGGCCAACTTCAGGTAAGACGACTGTAAGATTCTTATGTACACTGACCCTGTGCATTGTCAATCCCATGCAAGATCGCGCAAAGCCATTTACTGCAACGGCGAGCACATGCTGTTCAGGCTGTCCCTGAGAGACCACATGCCTGCAGGTATTAGAGAGTGTCAAGTATGTTCGAACATCGCCGAATGCGCGGTGCAAAGCATGTAGAACTCGAGTCCACTGGGTTTCATCTTTTGAAATGGATATTTCATGCGTGCAGATGTTGTTATACCTGTTGAGGAGATTTTCACGAGACAAGAATAAGGCCTTCTTGTAGTATCCAACATTTAGTGCTCTGTAAGCTCACCCTCACTCATATGCCAGGGAAGGGGTGAGGATTCCAAAAGGTGTGATGAATATTTTTAGGCTCCGTTCAGTACGATGATGCCGCCAAACGCATGGCTTAAGAGTTGATGAGGGAGTGTCAAAAGAGAGTTCCACCAGTCTTTAGGGCGAGGGATGTTGGCTGAACTCAGATAGGCAAGGTCTCCAGGGGTCAAAAGCTTCCGCGTTAAGTCTTCTGGAAGAGTGAGGCTTACCAAGTTGGCATTAACATTGTCCCGTGTCCGTTTATGTAGACTGGTAGGGATGATTTCGACGAAGCAAGAGCCATAACAACCTAAAACAAATAGTCCTGAAAGTTTGCGAATCTGGGTTGCTTCAGATCCCAAAGCGACTTAGCACATGGTGACATGCTTAGTTCATTTTAGTTGAAACGTTGATAGCCGTTCCACGCGCTCGGTGCCATTATTAACTGGGGAGAGTGGTCGAGATCTTTGGGCACGGTTGTCGTGCTCTGAAGCCCAACGGCCGACATAAAGTGAATTATCATCATCATCTGTGAGGAAAAAGTTTATTCAGAGTTGGAAAGAGTGTATGCTCTATATTGTCCTAGCGAATGTCAAATACTCCAGTGTCTCTGTGATATGCAGCAGAAGAGTAAAAGCAGAATAAGTGTAACGGTAACGGACGAGCTGCTAATTAAGCGAAAAGGGATAGTGACTGTCGCAGGCCCAGTTCAGTCTAGAGAGGATCCAAGAAATGACAGGAGCTAATGGCGCGTATTTTGGCTCACGACGCCGTTCAATCCTTGAGACGGCCACGACTGCATTTCGCAGATGAGTTATCGAGATCTCAAGAGGTGACCCCAGTGTTAATGATACGAACAAGAGCTGTGATGATTTTATGAGCGGACACGACTGTACCTCGGAATCATGCCCGATTCCTTTTGTGAGGCGACGCGACGTGACGCGGGCGTCTCGCGCTTGACTCGTTTGATAGGCTTGGTAAACAGACCTGAAAACCCGTCTCCACTACGCCGTCGGTTGCACGAAGCGCTGGTCGGAACGCCACAGCCTGCAATAGGAAGTGGCTGCTAACCCATAAGCCTCCTGCTTTGCCTTTGCGTCCGCGAGACTGTGAGGTCTGTGGTAGGTAACCTGATATCTCCGTCCTGCCCCAGCTGCCGAATGTCAAGACCGTTGCTGCGTGCGTGCTCGCTCCTTCGTCCAATTGTTGGAAGCACTCGCAGGAATTGCCGCACACCCTTGTAGATAGGCGGCCGAGGAAACGGCCGTGATGTGCCGCCTGGTCACGGCAACATGAGGCATCGCGCACAGAAAAGAACTACAGATGATGGTCAGCAAGAGAGGTATGGCATGAGAGAGAGAGCGATACGGACCGGGAGATTTCGTACCGGCGAACGCGTGGTAAGTAGCGCTAACGAATGTGATGGTGCGTAGTATGCACGAGCTTCAAACACTTTTCATCAAGCATGGGGAAAAAGGGCAGCATGGATGGTCACTGGTGTGCAAGAAGTTGGTGACAATAGGTAAGTTGGACCAACAGACTAACTAATAGTAGTGAGGGGGGCCGTCAGGGGAAGAGTTGACGCTAAAAACGTGCAGGCTGGCTGGTTCCTCGGTCGCGCCCGCCCCTTATCCTCCCCCCCCCCAAAATAAAATAATCACGCCTGTATATGGTATGCACAGGTGTATGTCCCATGTTGCGCCCCCCCATGTCTCCCGCGTTGGCTTGGTCTTCTTACTTTTGCCAGCCCACGAACGGTGCTCCCGGCTCGCCGCCCAAAAAGCACTTACTTACCCACCGTGGTGCCCGGTCTTGTGTACGTTTACGTCTGCCCAAAATTCTCCGCCCTGACCTTTCACTTGTCGCGCTCACTCACGCCTCATCCTCCCAGTATCATCATACTCCTCTGATATTCATTCACTTTGCTACTTCTCCGACTGCTTCAGCGGTTGCCATGTTACGGCGGTCGTAACCGCGTATCTGATACTACGCAACGCGCCCACCTCCCGGTTACCAAGCCTGCCATTGCGTCCTGCAGGAACAACTCCAGGGTCCATCATCAATTGTGACTGAACTTGTTTCTCTCACAACACCGCTTTCACGCGCCAAACGCTGCTCGTACAGTCCATTTCATTTACCAATATTCTTTCACAGGCCTCTCTGGCTCGCTGGCCGTCATGGCCTCTCCTCCCGGCTCACCAGCCAGTGGTGGTGGAGGCGTTTCCAGACCCATGAGCGCCATGATACGTCCAAACAGAAGTTCAAGTCGGATGAGCGTCAGCAGTAGACCAGGCGGCAGCAGAGCTTCTGATGAAGACGCCAAAACCGCCGTAAAAGTCGGTATGTATGCGTTGCTTTCCCGCTCGCTCTACTCTTTGCATATTTGCTGACCGATGCATCTCTTGTAGCTGTGCGCGTCCGTCCACCACTCAAACCAGATGATCCTGGCTACGAACTCATACCGCAGCGATTTAGAGGATCAACGTGCCAAGCCACAACCCCAACAAGCCTGGCTGTCGAATCAGCGCAAGGAAAGAAACTCTTCGTCTTCGATCAGGTCTTCAACGAGAACACTGGCCAGGAAGGCATATGGGACTATTTCAGCGACAGCGTAAACTCTTTTATTCAGGGATACAATGTCTCTATACTTGCGTATGGACAATCCGGTGCTGGAAAGTCGTACACCATGGGGACCACAGGCTCCACTGAGCAAGGAGACCAAACATCGATGGGTGGGTTAAATGCTCTATTATCATTTCGTATGAATGTCGCTCATAGACCTTTCAGGTGTTATTCCGCGTGCAGCAGTTGCACTTTTCCAGAACCTTGCGGGGGGCGCAGCTGCCCATAGCAAGACTGCGTCAGCATCAGGAATCCGTGCGCCCTCACGGTATTCCACGCAGCAACCACTTTCGAGCCTCGCGAACAAAGAGAAGAATTGGCAGATGAAGGCTTCATACGTGGAGGTTTGTGCTAGCAGATGGTATGACAATTACTGGAAACTAACGAAATTACAGATCTATAACGAGCATCTACGCGATCTCTTGCTGCCAGATACAGTGCCGCATAATGAAAGAGCGCAGGTGACAATTCGTGAAGATGCAAAGGGGCACATACTATTGACTGGACTTCATCAAGAGAACGTCAATTCGGTCGAGGATCTAATTAATGCCCTAAACTTCGGATCCTCCATTCGACAAACTGATTCGACTGCGGTGAATGCGAAATCGTCCCGTTCGCACGCAGTGTTCACCTTGAACTTGGTTCAGAAAAGGGCACAAACCACCCCGGCGCAGGAGAAGCGACGGTCCGTTCCTCTGGAAATGATGAGCGGATCAGACAATTGGGTGACCGTCGATAGTAAGCTCCATTTCGTGGATCTGGCAGGAAGTGAAAGACTCAAGAATACGGGTGCGCATGGAGAGCGCGCTCGGGAGGGTATCTCGATCAACGCCGGACTTGCTAGCTTGGGTAAAGTCATTTCTCAACTCTCATCGCGCGCAGCCGGCTCTCATGTATCCTACCGAGACTCGAAGCTCACGCGCCTCCTCCAGGATTCACTTGGCGGCAATGCTATTACATATATGGTTGCGTGTATTAATCCGGCGGAGTTCCATTTGAGCGAAACCCTGAACACTGTTCAGTACGCACAAAGAGCTCGCGCCATCCAGAGCAAACCGCAAATACAGCAGGTCAACGAAGACGGCGACAAACAAGCCGTTATTGATCGTCTCAGAGCAGAAGTCTCGTTTCTCCGGGACCAGATCCGGCTTTCGGAGAAGACTGAGCGCCGCAACAATGCTCCTCAGGAGCGGGCCGAGAGACAACATGAGCGTGAAAAAGACATGCAAAATCAACTACTGGACATCCAGGAGAACTATAACGCCCTCAGTCAACGTCACGCGAAGTTGATATCGGAAATCTCCAAAGCTAGAGACGACTCAGAAGACACGCCAATGCTCAAGGATGCCATTGGTGACAGTGCGCTAGAGCGATTGAAGAGGTCAAATTCTTTCGCCGAAGCTGTTGAGTCCGTGGTACTGGAGTACGAGAAAACTATCCAAAGTCTGGAATCGTCTCTTTCTACGACTCGATCGTCCTTGTCCTCCAGCGAGAGTTCATTGCTCGAACGGGAGACAAAGATCGCATATATGGAAACCGTTCAGCAACAACTTCACGCTCGTATACAGAAAGCTCTCGATCGCGAAGCTAGTAGCGAACAGTATCTTCGCGATCTAGAGGCCCGCGTAGACGGCATCACCTCAGGGGAAGAGAAGAGCTCTGCTATTATTCAGGAACTTCGCAAGGAACTTACCCGAACTAAGGAGAATGAGTCGAGTTGCGAGGAGTATATATCGACATTGGAAGAGCGACTGGCCGAATCTGAGCAAGACCATGAGATGATGCAACGTGAGATTGATCGACTCGAACACGTTGTAGAACGACAACGTAGTATTGGCAAGCTGGATAACCTACTTTATGAGCTCGATCATATTCGTCAAAATGACCCGAAAATGGATAATGGGTTGCCGGTCAATGGCCACGCAGAGGAATCGGAAGTTGATAAAGATACCCATATTAATGGCGTAAAGTCCCATGAAGAAGAAGACGTCGAGAAGAGCTTCGATTCAGGACTTGAGGCCCAACGCACCCTCGACGAAGAAGTGCACGAAGAGGCCGAGATTTTCAGCAATACCAGACCAGCTCAACTCAAGACTGTAGATGAGCTGAGTGAGCCTCTCCAAAGTACCGCACAATCAAAATTTGTTGCAGACAAGCTAGAGAACGTCACCCAAGAGCTTTTTGATCTTCGCGTTGAACACGAAGGCACAGTCAATGACTACGACGAGCTAACAAGAAAATATCAAATTGCTCTAAACACCTTGGCCGAGCTTCAAGATGCTGTTGAAGAAGCTCGGGTTGGGCGTCGTGCAAGCAAATCTGTCACGTCATCCCGGCCAGATTCTTTTTTAGCGCATGCGGGGATGAATGGGCTGAAAGAAGAGGATGGACAACATTCATCTTCGCGTACGTTATCTGCGGAGTTGTCCTCAGCTGGGGAGTCTTCCAATTTATCCAACGTAGACGAGACGACCGTCTCGGATATTACTGAGGAAGGCCCTACGCAGGAGCTTGAGAATGGTTTGGGTAAGGAAGAGGTTGAAAGACAGGCTACACCTGTTCCTGTCGGGGCTTTCCCGGATTCGACTGAGAATCTCAGCAATGCGAAAGATATAGCCTTGGCTCAAGAGGTCGAGGAGCTTCGAAAGCTCAACACCGAAAAAGAAAGCCATATGGACGAGCTAAACACTCAGTATGGCCTTCTTCAGGACGAACATAAAAAGATGTTGGATTATGTGCAAGAGTTGAAGGGCGAAGTGCAAAAGGCTCAAGCAAATGGGAGACCATCCTCACCTGCCCAGGTCATTCGACGAAAGTCAAGTCAAGGGTTTAACAATGACCGCGCGACACGTTCGATCGCATCACTACGCAACATGGCCCTCGAGAACTTCGAAGATAATCCTGAGGTTGTTCAAAACTTCGAAATCAATCTCAATGCAGTCATGACGGAGCTTCATATACGTTCAGAGCGAGTGCAGACTCTGGAGACAGAGCTTACTTCTGTGCGCAAAGAAATGGATGGCAAGATGCAAATCATCTCTGGACTTACCCGTGAAAGATCCAGTATCAAAGCATCATCACCACTCGACCTATCTGTGGTTGCCTCGATGCGTGACCAACTTGTCGAGAGTGAGAACCAGATGCGGGTACTCCGAGACACCCATGCTGTACGCGAACGTGAGTTACAGACCCAGATTGAGACTTTGCAGGCATCCTTGGCATCGAAGCCAGAGTCACTTGCTACGAACGATGAGGCCCGTGATTTGGATACTCACCCAGACGCTGCGCACAACGAGCAGGTCGCCGCTCTTCAAGCCGAGGTTCTCGAATGGAAATCCAAGCACCTTGCCGCATTGGAGTCTATGAAGACCTCCGAGGCTCATTTGAACGAGACGATACAATCTCTCGAAAAGTCATTGCACGATTCTGAACAACTTCACGCTGCTCAGGTTGCAGAGCTTAAGGCCACCACCGGCGCGGACCAAGAGCTCTCTGAAAGTGTTATGGGTAACACAGACCAGCATTCTGAAATGGTTGTGGCATTGCAAAAGAATCTTGAGGAGCATAAACAGTCAGCCCTTGAAAGCGCAGCTCGTGTCCAAGAGCTTGAGCATGCTCATACCAGTATTCTCAAGCAGGTTGAGGAAGATTCTTCTGCTAGAGAGCTGACTTCCAAAGAACTGGAAACGCATCGAAGCCTTGTGTCTAACCTGGAGAGACAGATTGACGAACACAAGGCGACGTTGTCTCGTTGCCAGGCAAATCTCGATGAACTGCAGATATCCCACACTGCAGAAGTCAGTCAGCTCAACGAGCAATTGATTAAAGCTCAAACGGATTCGAATGAGCGTCTAGCTGCACAACTGGCCCAGCATGAGCAGGCCACGGCAGCGTTGCAAAGTGACCTCACAAAGAGTCACACGGAGCATCAAAGTGCTAATGAGGCTCTTCAGGCGCAGCTCACTGCTGCGCAAACTCAGATGATCACTCTACTCAAGGGAGTGTCAGCAGCTCTCAATGAGGACACCGACGCGGAAACGCTACAATCTCAGGTTGAGAATCTCGTTTCTACAAGAAGAGACCTGACAGCTCAACACACTGAAGCATCGGAGAGCTTGTTAACTATACGGGCCGAGTTGGAATCGGTCCAAGCGAGAGCGCTTGGTATGGAAAGCTCGATCGATGAACTGAAGGGAATTAACGAGGAGCTACTGAAAGAAATCGAGCGCGTGGGTGCCGAAGAACAGAAGAAGGCTCGACTCGTAGAAGAGTTGGAAGATCAGCTGAGTTCGAATTATGATCAACATCAAGCCGCCAACAACAGACTATCGGCGCTTCAGACAGAGCGCAACGTACAGCTTGAGGAAGTGGTACATGCCAAGACTGGTATTGAGCGAGAGTTGGAGGAGTCACGAGTCAAGATTGCAGCTCTAGAGGTGAGTGTCAGATGCTCTCTGATGTGTGGCCATGATACTAACATCCCCCAGGCTCAACTCGGCATTAATCAGCGCAACTCTGTAGATCCACAAGGCATTGAGCGCTCTGGTTCAGCCAACTCCAACATTCGCAAGTCGCAATCCACGGCCTCATCGCTCCCATCGCCACCTCCTGCTATTCCGCTTCCTCCACTCCCTGGCAACAACACCTCCCCGATGAGCCCGACCAACAGCCAATTTCCGCCTTTGCCTTCTCCGCCAACGTCCCGGCATCAGAGCAAGGACATTGCCCAGGCGCAGCTTGTGGAAGACCAAGAAGCTCGTATCAGGACCATCGAGAAGCATCTCTTCGCCGAGAAGCAGCTGACGGCAACGCTAGAAGAGGCTCTCACAGACCTCGAGTCCAGTAGCACAAAGGTCAAGTCCGAGATGGAGAGCTGGAGGAAGAAGTGCTCAAGCCTCGAGGAGGAAATGGGCCAAATGCGTAATGAGCGAGAGCATGCACGACACTCACTGCAAGCAGTCGAGGAAGAGCGCAGTAAGAGGATGAGGGTTGAAGCCGAGAGAGCTCATCTGGAGGCTCGCATGGCAGTCATTAACAGCAGCAAGAAGAACAAGAAAAAGGGAACCCTGAATTGCTTCTAGACACAAACATTCTTACACTTTTACATCTTTTGAACGGCGTTGGAGTTGATGGTCTCCCCAATGGGATTATGACCCGGGCTGGACCTTTCTATACCCAACACACATTGTTTTGGCTATTTGTGTCTTCATTCTGCTTCTTGTCGTTGTTCTGTCTTCCTTTTCCTGTTCCTTTTCCAGCACTTCTTAGGTGCTGAGCGAACGATGTTCTTTATGCTGACTTTTCCTCCCCCGAAATGCCTGCTATATAGTCTCCGCCTTTTCTGCGTCTCTGTTGTTCTTATACCGACCTATCAGCCATGTGTTTATAAAGGCGGCGTTTTTGCTTTCAGAGAGGAAACAGATTGAAGGGAAAGATTGGACGGAAATCACAAGCGTGCACGCCGTTACGCGAGAACGTAGTGACGCAAATCGAATATTGGCGGAAGAAGAAGAAGAACATATTCCGGAATCATATGGACGATGAAAGCTGCGAGCCATTACTCGACAACAGTTCCATTTTCCATTACTTGTACACCATGTATGACACACCCTCTGTATACCTTTTTTCACAACAACTTATTTTGCGGGGGCCGTGTCGACCTTCAAGGTCGCCCGGTTCTGCGGTTGTACAAATTATGATATTCTTCTATCTTCGTATCCCTTATCTTTTCATGACCGCTCCTCTCACATAACGATTAGCACAACACTCAACCGCACATCTGCCAAGAGCAAGTATCATTCGTCCCAACTTCCAGAACGCGCCATTACCACGCCCTTCCCATAACAGCTAGCAATCTTATACGGAACGTTCCTCCATTACGCCACTCCTCAACGGCGCATCCAAACCGTTCCCCCTGAAACGACACGTTTACTCGTCTAGACCAAACCCACTTAGTGAAGACTAAGCATCCTCGAATCCAAACTTTCCATGACTTGCAAGCCGTGTCCGCTACCTCGGAAATTTTCTTCTCCTCAATCATGAACCAGGTCGCTCTTTCATCTTTCCTGCCGCCTCCCGCCCGTGGTGTACCAAACGGGGAAATTCCACCTCCCCTACCACCCACCCACTCTACTGCCGAATCGAGACGGCTATCGAGATGGTTAACAGCCCAGCCCATCTCCCCCAGAAAAAGCAACCTGAAACAATAGCCCGCTCGGCAAATCCATAAGCACAACTTGTGCCGGCAGGAAAAAAGAACAACTGTGCCGGCAGTCGATCTGCCGAAACGCCACACATGCAACAGACACAATCTGTACATTTAGCTCAAATTAATAGCATAGATTTCGTTATTTTTGAGTTCTTGTGCTTGTTCCGGGACCTGATCCTTGTTTTTGCGGCCTGGTGGGTCTATACCACCATGTCTTGGCGGTTTCATGATGTTGCTTTTTGTAGACGTAGAACGTAGACACCTTAAATCATCAAAGAGAAGCGATGATCGACTATACTGCTTTTTGGCGGGGCTATATCGTACTATATAGACGTCACTGGTGGATATATCCCAATCTTGTTCTTTCTGGTGGGTTGGTGGGTTGCTTGGTTAGTAGTGGGTGCAAGAAGGATTTCATATAGAACAACCATACACAATTAATTCAATACTAAACCATTTTCATTCATTTTTCTTTCTTCTATCGCCCTACTCAAGCAGCCTAGTTGGTATTTTTGCCCGCCTCTTTTTATTTCTCTTAGTCCGTCCCATGTTGTTGTTCTTTTCTTTGGTAGATTAGTTAATCTGCCTGTTTCTTATGCACTTAGGTTAGTGTAGGGTCGGGATGGAATCCTGAATCCTTCTGGCGCAAAATATATGGGTCTGATCGATGATGCAAAAGATGTGTCTCTCTGGCGGCTATTAGTATCCGATGGCGCAGGAAAGGAAATAAGAGCGCTAGCGCATAAACGATTGGTTGACTAATTAGAGTAGTACCTTATTCTTGTGTGCACAGGTAGTCAGTGCAGACTATCATAATATGGCTTTGTCGGTTTCAAAGATCACATTATGTATGTTTATATGCACGCATGTATGTATGTAATTATGTATGACTTCCAGGATATAACGAAGCCGAGGACCAGTGGCGCTGGCGTGACGTGGAGTGACATCTGACAGCAATTTGACACTGACAGCAACGCGCCACATCTTTCACTAATAGTTGACACTGACCACCGCTGATTACGGCACGTACACGCCAAGTAAGATGGGAAGATACTAGTGCTATTAGGTTGATGAAAGGCCGCTAGATTGCGATTCTCTTTGCTGTCTTGACACTTTATATGGCACAATTGGATTTGTTGATACGGAGTTAGCAACGCGATCTAGCAATGTGGCGAAGAGGTATGAAAGGGAGATATCGTTGTCAGGCAGATTTATTTGGGTGACGACCATATCTTGAAGCCTCGGAGGCTCAATAATGATTCTAGCTAGAAGCCGTACATCATCAAACAGGTAAGTCCGTTTCTAATACTCTCCAATACTAAGCCTTGGAACATCGGACATGATGAGTCCCAGTTGTAGATGAATGAACAGACCATACAGAACTTTCTGGCGCTTACCTATCTACGACGAGGCCAAACTCTTTGTAGTCATGTTACATCGCACCTCTCGTTTCCAGAACTACTTGCGCCTGATATACAGTGCAAACCAACCGAGCAGACGATACCCAGCTGTAATCCCAAGAATGATTCCAACCCTCTTTCCAAGCTCTCCAGTTGCATAACCGTATCTTTTCAGGACGGCATTGCCATCGATGAGACATTGATCTGCAAGGTCTGTTTGGTACAGGCAATTGCACCCCGTTGACGTAGACATACAGCTGTATGTGCGCGTGGCGAACTCGTTGACCATCATGCCTTCAAACACCCAACGCTGGTAATCGATATACGAGAACACGTAACGCCAGAAGACGTTGAGTCTTGTTAGAGGGACGAGAAAGCCACCAACACTCATCCACAGCCCGTTCGCGAAGGCCGTGGCCGCGAGTGAAACGACGAAGATAGGCTTGACGCTGGATATAAATACGACCAGTGACTCGGCGGCGACTAAGTCGAGGAAGAGATATAGAGTCCAGGTAAAGAATGCTCCAGGGGTAGGTCTAAAGTTCGATAGCCAATACGAGACGACAGAGAAAAGAATTGTGATTATAAACAGGTATGGTATACCTATCACAAAGTTCGAGATGATGAACGCTGTCGGTCCGTAGAGCCCGTTTGCTCGTTCCTTGACGTATATGGAGCGGTCTTCAAGAAATGCGGGAATATAGGCAACGGCCATGAAAGACATGAAAGCTCCGCCGAAGAATATTGCGTTGATGAAGGATTGGATATTCTCTTGGTCTGTTCCGAGCCGAAGCCAGACTGTGCCCATCATTATGGCAAGGCCCATGTACATTGCAACGCGAATGCCATAAGCGATGACATCGCGGTAGCTTTTTATGAAGGCGCGGTGCATGAGAGCGAGGAGTATGGTGGCAGTACCGGCAGAAGCATGACGTTGCTTCTGGTTGGAAATCTTATTGGGCGATACAATTCTGCGTATCTCTCGCGTAATACTCTCCGACTCAGGTGACATGTCCCAATGATTCTGTAGACATGCGAGTTCTCTTTCCAAGGACTGGTCGTGGGCTTCGAAATCAGTGTTGACCAGATCGAGGAGGAATTCGGCAGGGTTTGTGTGAAGAGGTACGGCATGGCCAAGGTTTACGAAATACTGCGTGACAGCTGTGACAGGGCCATTATAGATCTCTTTGCCTCTGGAGAGTAAAAGCAGTTGATCGAATAAGGTGAACGTCTTCGTCGACGGTTGATGGATGCTTGCGATGACGATGATCTGTGGTGTTATTATCAGCCTGCTGCGAAGATATCTGTATAAGTTTTTTTACCTTGTGTTTTCTTGCAAGGTCTCGGACGAAGTTGATGACTTCAAAGCTGGCCGCAGAATCTAAACCAGACGTAGGCTCATCGAGGAACAGGATCTTTGGGCTTGTGATCAATTGGGATGCAACGCTAACACGACGTTTTTGTCCTCCACTGATGCCTTTCCGTATTGGCGTTCCAATCAAGTTACCAGATTGAGCAGATAGGCCGAAGGATCGGAGAAGATGTTCAATTCGTTGGAGGCGTTCTGCCTTCCCAACGTTTCTGTATGATATAAGCACTGTTCTCTGGACAAATCAAACTATGGCACTCAAGCTTTGAGCAAGTACTCTCATGTCCTTGGCCTGATGCGTATGTCTTCTCGAGATTCTCTCCCTCGGGCATAGATAAATATACAGGATAAGTAGCTACATTACGATGAGACCTACTTACTTTGGTAGCGCAAGTCTTGCAGCGAAATTGAGAGTCTCTTTGACAGTAAGTGAGCCAATCAGCACATCTTCCTGCTCGACATAGCTGCTGATGATTCGAAACTCTTGCAGAGAGATTTCCTCGCCGTCAATGTATGTACAGCCGCAGATGTCTGCCTGGAGAAGCTCAGTGCGACGGGCCAGGACGTTGAGAAGTGTTGTTTTCCCACAACCACTGTACAGAATCGTCAGCGCTGCTCGAGCAGGGACTGAGTGTGACATACCTCGGGCCCATCACAGCGAGGAGCTCGCCTGCTTGGACTATGCCATGAGCTTTGTCGACGGTTACTTTTGGCTTCTTTGTTTCGCGATCTTTGACAGTGACGGTGATGTCTTGCCACGCAAAGCTGTGAACCGTATTGTTTGTGAGCCCGTGAGAAGTACCCTTCTCGACGTCGGTGGTGGTCATCCTTGTAGGCACGAAAATGTGATATTGCAGTTGATAAAGTGGATGTGGAAGGGATGTTGTGGGAAAGAATTGAAAGAACAGAATCACCGCATTAAAGGATGATGGAAGGAACGAGTCAAAGAGCGCATCTTGGTATGATGGCTGTTATTTAAGCGAGATCCCTGACATGTAGAGAGGTCGGCGATGAGACGTAGAGCAATCATAGTGATTTACCCAATTGAGTTAGCCACTTGTTTATAGAGTTCGCGAAGAACGTGCGGGTAGACAGCGAATCAAGGGATTTAGAAGCTCGCCGACCAACAATCTCTAGACCCATTAGCGCGGTCTTTACATAGAACGGGAGGCTAAGTTGCCCACAAGCTTAACAAAGGATGGATGAAATACTTGGATGCACTAAGTGCTTATAGAGTCGATCTTGTTGTGACTTTCGATGTGTGCACATGTGCCTTCATTCCACTTCGTATACCTGTCGAGTTGGTTCTACATTCACTACAGCCATGCGTACGAAGACCACTCATGTCCTAGTGTCGAAGAGACATAAACCGCATGTTTGCCTTGCTGTAGGTCAGCTAGATTAGAAGTCCAAAGAACAGCAACAGGTACATAGTACAGCTGAGGCGACTTGGACCAAAGGATTCCTCTAACGTTGCTAGAGTGTATATGAGGCCAGTAGGGGCAATGAGTGTTAGATCTGTGTTCATTGGAGGCACAAATGGGAGCGTGGCTGAGCGTCAGACAAAAATACTGGTGAGAATCTCCCACGGTCTAGAATTTCCAGAGCTACGAGTCATGCACTCGTTGTGCGCACGCACAGTACAACAAGACACAACTATGGAGAATATCTGAGGAATCTAGGTTTTCAAGGTCTCTTGATGCGATTTGATCGTGGCTTGTTAGTGCCTGATCAAATACGAGCTGTTCGCGATGATACTGACTTCGGATATAAGGTCCTACCTGCTACTCTATATGTTATATTGATTGTCTTGAAATGAACGCCAGCCAACTATGCCCAGCCAACGCCGATGCTGTGATACCTCGCGGCATTGTAATCATATACAGGTCTAGATGCCCATATAATACTTACCTCTTTCATATACGTAAAAACTTGTTGCTGTCATGGGTATCACTTTGATATAACCAATCCCCAGTCCCACAAAGAAACCTCTCCATCCTCTCTCCATCCATATTCTGCGTCCTATTTCGGCCATTCCTAGCCGATGTCCGTCCCCTACAACGCCGCCTACTTGCATGCGCCGACGTACGACTTCAAATGGGTATGAAACCGTCTGAGAGGTCAACCCTGCTAATGCCCCAGACATCAACTCGGCCCACCAGGTGAGCTGTGAAGGTTTGTAACGGTCAGAAGATCCACCCCTTGTTTCCTCCAACGTTGTCCATTCGGCAATAGCAGGTGCGCGAAAGAAATCGGAAACGGTATCGTGAGCGAGGAAGGACGAGCCAGCGTATGGCAACATTCCTACCATAGTTGGCGTAAAGCCTCGGAAGAAGTTTGCAATACCTGAGTGAGGAGTGACTTGTTGTATAGTAGCGGAGGTGGCTGATATGGTTGACGATACCGGCTTTGTAGCGTTTAGTTTAATCTGTTGTGGGCCTGTGGGTGGAGGATGTTCGTTATAGATCTTCCTGCATATGGAGGTCAAAGTGCTTCGGCCCTCCCTCCGCGTTTCGAACGCTAGACGTACACGAATAACCTCCAAAGGATATGTGAAGAAGACTGATATGCAGCCCGCAAGGGATCCAGACAAAAAGCGTCGTCCCGGAGTCTCGTAGTCCTTATTGGGTATGAAGATGTTCCGGATTTGCTCGTATGAAAGAAATTTTATGCCTGCGTATGGGAATATTCGGAGAAGAGTAGCGGAATGTCCTTTGAACAGCCCACGGGAACCATCCTGCTTGTATATATCTCGCACAGCTATGGCGACACCTGACCATGATCCTGTATATTTTGCGAAATGTGGGTTCGATGCTTGGAACAGTATCTTAACACGATCGAGTGGACCGACCATTGTCTTTGCCTGGAACGAACAGTTAGTTATCCTGACTGGAGTTCTTCAGTGCTGTTGACGTACGGCGCATCCCGCGAGACCACCAGCGATGCCACTCTTGATGATATACTCGTTGCTCCGTCTATTCACATATCTGACCTCGCTGCGGTCTTCTTTCTTAGGGATGATCGAGTCTTCGTCTGTCGGGCACAATGGCGGGTCTCGGTGCGGTCGATTTGAGTTCGCGGGGGTCATCGTTTGCAGTGGTAAGTCGTTCTGTGTGGATGAGGCATGGCTGCCGAGGAGGCTCGAGGGCATCCCAGAACGACAAGAAAGGTGCGCGGAGGTATTACCTGCGCATGTATGCAGATTGTACGCAAAAGAACTTTGCGAACTGGAGAAGTTAACCCGAATGTGTCTGTGGAAGATGTGTTGCGGGCAAAGCAAGCCCGGCAGGTAAGTCGGCTTAACGTCACCTTACCTAGGTGCTCTGCCGAGATATAAGGTCCGTGCACCTATAGCAGTTAGGCAGATAGGTAACCGTGGCGTACGCGTGGGATCGCCATTCTCCAGGAATCTTATGAGCACGTACAAAAGTATCAAGAATAAAACATATACCCTTTCCTGACCTTTTCAAGCCACTGAAAATGAGCACGAGACACAGAGATTAAGTACGAGCCGAGATTTCCTTCTTCACGTCGTCACTCACTGCAGCCACTCTTTCTCAATGTCTCTCTCAAAGTCTTCAGATCCCATCATATATCGTAGCTCTGAGCTCAATGTTTTTCTTATCGACATACCGGGCTCTATATCTTCGGCACAAGGATCAAACACTTGCCCAGCAATTGATTCAGTGCTCTCATGCGCGCCATTAGAGACGCCGTATATCATTAAAAACGAGCCTAAAACTGCCAAGGCGATAACGCAGATGCAAGGTACTGCTTTCGATGTGGAAATACACAAAATATACAAGGCTTGTATCAAGAACGCTCTTCAGGACATTAAAGACCATGTAGAAGGCGCTTGGTGTTTGCCAAGGAGATCATCTCCGTCAACCCAGCCGGTCTCAAGAGCTACCTCTGCTGGTCCTGAGATAACAATGGGAAACACTCCTGATCACGACGAAGATACAGCATCCCGAAATTGCCTCAAACCAGGCGCATATCAGCCACGCCAGTACCGTAGTGATGCCGTTGATGACTTCCTGTCCAGCCTGTGTGCATTCAGCAATACGCAACATATGGGTTTTCCTCCTACGATGGAGACCATGGTCTTACACCGAGGCAGAAACCGTGCGACTTCTCCGATGATTGCTGAAGAGCCATGGGAGTCTCCATTATTCAATGACAAGAAGATTCCGATCCAGCTCACGTTAAGAGATCACGCAGGTTCGAGCGGATCGCCTGATCCAGTCTTCAAGTTTCGGATCCCTCCATTGTCAAAGCTGATGCTAGATGATTTCAATAAACCAGATAGCCTTCGCGACTCGATTCGATTCCTCGGTCAGCAATATGATCTTGCCCGGCAGTTTGAGCTCATAATCATTGATCCACCTTGGCCAAATCGTTCCGCAAAGAGGAGGCAATCTTATTCTGTAGAGCCTTCAGTGAAGGGCGTTAAGCGTAAGCTTCTTAGTATGGATCTCGACACGATCATCGCACCAGAAGGTATTGTTGCTATATGGATCACCAACAAGGCTGCTGTCCGTCATGTAGTGACGGGGGCTGGTGGTCTATTTGAACGACTGAATCTTGACTTTAAAGAGGAATGGATCTGGATCAAAACAACTACGACTGGGGAGCCAGTCTTTGATCTCAACAGCGTCATGAAGAAGCCGTACGAGGTTCTTCTCATCGGCCAAGCTTCACCAGCGCCGTCAAGCCCAGTCCCCGTCCAACGCGGACATGAGGTGACAAGAAGAGTCATTGCTGGTGTACCAGACCTTCACTCGCGGAAACCTTGCCTGAAGTCGATCATCGAGGCTCTGCTGCCACCAGGGAAATCAGAGAACTATGCTGCCTTGGAACTCTTCGCTCGGCATCTCGTCGCTGGTTGGTGGTCATTTGGCAACGAAGTTCTGAAGTTCAATTGGGAAGGATACTGGAATCCTTCCATCAGCCATGACTGAAACTTTGTCATATTCTCCAGACACGTCATGACACGCATACAACACTCATGACGTTATGAACTGACACATTAAACTTGGACCAGACGGTACGGCTCACACGCCTTGGGGCTGGGTCGCAGGAGTATACTGGAGTCCGAGCGCTGGAACGATAATTAACGTGAAGCATGAACTCATTTCCCGACTTTGGATCATTCCACGTGTGAAACATACGTGGGATTTATGCGTGTTCACTTGGTAAGCTTATCAAGAGGATAGAGGTATGCGTGGTCGAATCGAATGCTGGTGTTGCCAGTTGGATCGTTATTATAAGCTGCACGACGAGCGCCACCACGTGTTGGAACGTTCACGCTTACGACCGCTAAAAATACATTTCAGAGAAGAACGGTATGCAAATTCTAAAGGTGCCCAAGATCCTGCGACGCATGCGAAGCCTTGTTTCTGTGGTAAAATACCTTTCAGACATTTCTACCACATACTACCCAGCAATTAGGTGTGGCGCACTCGTTCGAGAAATAAGACTGCGCACAAACTGCGGACAGACTAGACTGCATAGTACAGGTTGACCTCAGGGGGCAGCCCTTAGAATTTACGAACAGGCTACGTCAATAATAATAATAAATCTCCTCTTACCGTGGTCCTCATGATTATCGCCTCACAGGTGAACTTCGCTCGCGAGGTTTGGGGATGGCGGGCCGAATTGATGTAGAAGAGCGGAGTCAGGTTGCGTCACAGATTTCCAGGAGGAGGTACGCGCAGTGTACGAACCCATGATGATGACGTCGAATACAACCATTTGGGACTGCAACACGACTCCGACATAACGCGGACTTCTTTGCGGCGAGCCAAGCCAACCTATCAACTTGACATAAAACCAACATCATAGTCTCCAGAGTTGTTGCGGCGTGATAATGCCGACTTGGAGTGAAGTAGACAGGCCCATTCATGCCCTCTAGGTGGTCTTGGAAGTATTGTAGGGCTGGTCTGTCGCGACAACGTCCATAACGGTGGTGGATTTGCTAGCCGGTTTCGTACAGACTGAAGGTAGAGAGTTCTAATACAGTTCTAGAAGACACTTGATTCCACAGCCGCATCGCAATCCCGAGAGGTGGAGGTTTAATGAAAAACCTTCTAAGTTCAATGGGTAATTAGCGCCCAGTTATTGGTGGTTCTTCTTGAAGACCAGGCACCTAGCACCACCCCACGACCTTTTAGCCGAAATTATCCTCCGAAGGTGAAACGAGACGGGGCGCGCGATGTATGTCAGCACGACTCGTAGACTTCTGCCCTCGAAACGCATCGGCCCAGGGAGGAGCATCCGCGACGGAGATCGGATCGAACAAGCTGTCGCAGAGTCGTCGACACCGATACTTTTTCACACGACGCGGTCTCAGTTAGCACTCGGAGAAAAAGAAATCGCGAGGCGTCCGGTGCTCTCTATCCGCATCCGCGAAATAAGCTCTGCAATCTGTCTGCAGGAACACCACAAAGTCCGTGAGTTTTGGACGTAATTCCAAGTCAAGGGTAGGCAATAATCTTTTTTTCTTCTCTTTCATATGCAGGGGCAAGGCTTGTGAACTCCACTCCGGATCGCATATACCTGTACTTGATGGGCCTTCCCGATGGAGCAGTGATTGGGTGTGATTCCCATATCTGGTATAGACTTCACCGAAAGAGGAAAAACGGCGAGAGTTGGTAGGGGAGACAGAACGTGAAGACCCTGTCCTGTCTGTTTTCCAAAATGCAGGGCGGGAAGCCATCCGAGGCAAACGCTAAGATCGCCTACTGGTGTCTCTGCCACCGAGGGAGATGGTCGGTGGAGCATTGTACGACAGCCGAGTTCCCCTATGCCTGTGGCGTGGGGACAAAAAGACGTTTAAGCCTGGGGATACTTCCTCGGTCTACCAATTCTGGCTATGGAAGAAGTATCCCCGCATGGGGTGCTTTATTACCCGCAACCTGGACTCCTGACGGCCGGGCACACCGCTCCAGCTAGTACTGTAGTCGCTGTCGGGATGACATGTGTGTCCAGCCAGATATGAAGACAAGAGAAAGACAGTTTTGACTGCCACACGTCCCTTCGTTTGACCTGCCAAAGATAGACATCAGGCAAAAGTTATTTACAGCGACAGCCTTTTCATAAGTCGAAGTGTATGCACAGTTTGCAAGCATAATCCGTCAAAGTCAGTCAGCCTGGGTGTAAGGCCTATAATTAACCCCGCCTTACCGTAACGGGCGCGGAGCGGCGATCACTGCATGTGTCAGCGGGATCGATGGCTCGAGTTCCGCCATGGCGGCGCAGTTCAGGCGTCAAGATCAAGGGTACCAGGCTTTCTGGGGATTGTGAGAGTAGTGCATGTGTAATTATGATCATAGGTTGTACTCATGTGAAGGGGCATTGTTTATGGGATCAAAGTCGTGGCCGTCTACTGTACCATGGATTCAGGCCTCATCACAAGTCGAGAACCCGTGGCAAAGCCAGTCCGTCATTCGGCATCAAAGCAAGGCAAAGAGACATTCCGCAACAACGGCGCCAGCACCGCTCCCCCACGGGTGTCACCTCCAGGCGTTGGTGGCTGCTCTAGCCTCTGGGACAAGGAGGTCTTGTCTCGGGCGGTATGGTGACTGTGGTGGTTGGTGGATGTGGCATGGCATGTCACCGTGGCGTCCCCGTGGCTACCCCGTGGCTATCAAGTCAGAGAGCTGCAAGTCTCACAAACCGGGACATAATCAAGAGTGCAAAGAATGTGTTCTGTAATCTGATACGTTTCTCCAAGTATCGAGGCGCACAAGCTGAGTCCTGGGGCGAAAGTGTCTGAGGCGAGGGCTCGTAGCGAGTCGATTACTTTTACTTGGACGGAGTAGATTGAGTAGATCGACAATAAACAGGATTCACGGGGAAAGGGAATGCAAGGCCGAGTGATGGATGGCGGAAGCCAGTGACGGGGCGGTCGCGGCAGGGCGGGAGTGGTGCAGAGTGCAGCGAAGGAGTGTAAAACTCGGTCAGCGATCTGACCTATCACGCTGCCCATACGGCGGCGGTGAGAAAAGGTGAGCAAAGCCTGAGTCACCGCCAGTCAACAAACAGTGATGACAGGCAAGCAACAAAGCAACCAAGGCCAAACATTCTACAAGGGCGCAAAAAAAAAGCAGCAGGAAGTTCCGGGAATGTTGCAGGCAAAGAGGGAGGAGAAAAGACACCCTGGCTGGCTTTGAGTCTTTGTGCTGAGAAGGATGCAAGGTCCATTCACGTTCACGTCCGCACAAAGAAGGTTTTCGTTCTTCTGTGACTCCGTGTCGCGTTCCAACAGGGCCAGAGCCAGGGCGCCTTTGCTCACTCCCATCCCCCCCCCTCCCCTTTATTTCCTTTATTTTGCGAACGGACTCTTCTCTGCACCCCCCTCCCCACGCGGACTCCCAGACCCCCAGATGATCATATTTAGAGTTCGCATGTCGCTGTCTGACTGAGACCCAACAACGGGGGTACCGACTCTTCATATAATAACAGACAGCCTGACCCACCTCGGATTCTTGTCAAATCTCTTCTCACACATATACACATACACACACAAACAACACATCGAACTCGTCTAGAGGAAATTTGTTAGGGTGTGTTAGATTGCTACAGCCGCGGCGCCATTTGCACACTTGACGCCCTACTCCAACACCGAAATATCCCGATCCGCTACCCTTGGCGTACCGCCACACGCGTTTCTATACATAACAGCACTCACCCACGCCTTGACGCGTCCAGGACAAGTCAACATCACAATCCATACTCACAACATGCACTTCGAATCTTCACCTGGAACATCACCTTCACAACCTATATCGATAGGCAGGATGCAGTCCTCGCCTACGAGCTCATTTGTGAGCATACCACAATCCGGAACATTTGGATCACCACTATCACGACGGACCTCAGCATGCGCATACCCCAGCTGGCCACAAAGCGAATCTCTAGGCAATGCTCCAGGATCTTTCCGGAGTAGTGCACCCAGCTCATTCATCAGTGACGAGGATCTCTTTGGATTCGACGACGAAACACCCTTCCTCAGCGAGGCGCCAGCACCACCAAGAGACGTTACCACGGCCCAAGCATTTCCACTATTGCCACTGTACGCATCAGCAGAGAAGACCAAGAAGAAGAGGCGATCCAGCACCAAGACCAAGGTTCGTCGCAGCTCGAAGCCGATGACTCCCATCTCAGAGTCGCCTGAGGCACCGGAATGAGGCGCAGACATGTGGGACGTGGAAGGCTCGACCAACGCATGGATGTTGAGTCACAACTTCGGTGAACTCGGCGTAGATGGACAACACAGACATTATCCGACAACTAAACAACAACATGCTACACGACAACACACAACTGCCGCATCTGGATGGACGGCAAACGCGAATACGGCAGCCAGCAACAGCCTGCACGGTAGAGTGTGCAGTGTGTGTGTGGGTGGGTGGTGTTGCACAGCTATCTGACCTTACGTGGACATGAACCATCCTGACCGCTCACCTCATCCTGCATCTCCATCAATCAGAACGCGGCCTGCTCACCGCAATTACAAGACAAGCAGCGGCCAACATCGGCGTTTAGTCGTTCCAGGGAGCCAGAGAGCCGCAACCAGAAAGTCTTACCCTCCGTACGGCGAGAATGGCCGCGCGCGATACGACGCCAACACGCGACGCGGGACCCAACGAGGATGGCATTTTCGTTCAGCAACAAAGCAACACAGGCTCGCAAGTATTGGATGCTTGTGACAGCTGCATGTGCTTTGGAAGCCGAAACAAAGGGTTCCATGTTTCTGAGCTGCCACTGTTTACCCCTCACTCACTCGGCTTGCCTGCCCACCGCCAGTCCATCCACCCACACACATACATACATCCCACTCACTCTACTGGACCTTCCTACCTAGCTTAGCTATACGCGAGCTCGCCGACTTCACCCGCAACCCGACCCCGACATCGCCCCCCGACAATGCCCGATCTACGCCGCATTCGCAGCTGTCTTCTTGCTGGTTGCTCTACACGCGCCTGCCTGACGCCTGACACTCGACGCCTGACACTCGACGCCTGATGCCCATTTAATGCCTGATGCCTGACAATTTCCCGTGGCGAAGCAGTGCTACTCCCTCTCTCAAGTCACACGCCTCATATCACTCAAATCACTCTCGCCTCTCCTCGCCGCCTTCTCCGCCTCTTCCGCCTCCTCCGCCTTGTCGCTATTCCCCCCGCATCATCAATCTATCTATTTTATTTCTCCTATTACTCTTGCAGCATAGCAATCTACTTGCACTGCGCATCATATCATCATCGGCATCTGCATCAGCATCAGCATCAGCATCAGCATCGGCATCGGCATCGTTACCATAGCCAACATCATTTATTCCGGCGTTATTCATGTCATTCACCGCATCTTCGGAGTAATATAGCATTTCCCTAGCGGTGCATCTCCGTTCCCCCAACCCCACGTTGGCGCGTGGAGGGCGTCTACGTCTTTATCTGCTTTCCCGGTACCATGCTGGACTCTAATGAAATCCTGATGAATCCTGCCTCCTCGCCGCATGAGTGAGGCGTCATGTAGTTACATCTCTTCCTTTTTTGGTCTCAAGGCCTCGGGCTTATTGAAAGGCCTTTTAGTTTAGTTTCGGATACCCCCTTCCCAACGCGCCTCTCTCTCAAGCACTGCGTTTGCGCGCACGCATTATTCCTGCTTGAAATGAAATGAAATGAAGACATGATACTTTTATCACACTCCGATCCACACACACTCTCTCTCTCTAATCTCTCTAATCTCTCTGCTGTAATGCCTCCTCGCTGCCTTAATTACATGTAATGTCTTGCTTGCTACCTGACATCTGTCATCTGTCATCTGCCCACCTACCACCCCTCCACTCCCGACTCCACTCCCACTCCACTCCTTGGATCCACGCGTCATGCACGCACGCATCGATGCGGCCTCTATGCATGTATACCACAGTCCAGTATATGCCTTATATCGCCCTCTCTCTCTACCCTCCCTACCTTAAACTATCTATACCCCACTATACAAACTACACCCACCCCGATCGCGATCCACGCCCACACATCAAGTAGTATCAAATAGTATGTATGTACTGTATGTAGTATTCGGAAATATTCCAACAACGAAGGAAAAAAAAAAATAGGCCCGCATACACTTGCCCGCTTGGGTAAAGCGTTGCGCTTGCTTTACCTTCCTTCCTTCCTTCCTTCATACGTGATAACCTTCCTTTCCTTCCTTTTGTTTGTACTGAGTACCTAGCTAGGTAGGTAGTAGGTAGGGTAGATAGGTAGCTAGTAGCCTGGTCCGGGCATGACTGTGGGATGATGTGATGCGATGCTGCTATCCACTGATGCCCCCCTCACTTCAATACTTGGGTTCTTACCACTCTCACCACTCACTCACCCCTCCTCACCCAACCCCTCACTCACTCAAATCCCACAACCCCCACGTTGGATATGTTGCGTCTATTGCCCCGCCTCCCGCCCCCCAAACGCACGCGCAGTAATTAGTCGACTCCGCTGCCACTTTGACTTTTGACACCGCTGATCTACAGTAGGTCCATGGGCCAATCCGTACATGGCTCGATTCGGCGGCTTTCTTGCCTTGTTTTTCACACACACACACGCACACACACACTCACCGCTGCGTTGTGTTGGGCCCTTTCCTTGCTTTGTGTTGGGGGTTTAGCGTGTTGGTGTTATTGTGGGTGGGAAGAGGGGGGGTTGGTGTGAGGTTGTGGTTGTGCGGTATATGTTTATTGATGCGTTTGGAGAGGGATGGATGGATGGAGAGGTGGATTATAGTATAGTGCCATGGGTTGGGTGTTTGTGTGGGTTTGTTTATTTGTCTATTCGTGAAATGTCTTTGTCGATGTAGAGGTAGAAGTAGAAGTAGATAGATCCAGTAGCTTCTCATACGTATACACATACACACACATACACACAAAGACAGCAAGAAGTGGGCGTTTCGTCACATACACACAAAGACAGCAAGAAGTAGTAGGTGTTTCGGGTCTGTCTGTGTGTGCGCTCGCCTCCTCGGCTGGTGTGTACCCGTCCGATCGATCTACGTGCATGCATGTATGCTTGCTTGCTTGCTTGCTTGCTTGCTTGCTCGAGTGGCTGGCATTTGAACACTCTTGCATTCATCATCCCACTGTGCGTGCGGGCCCGGGCCGTGGTCGACGTGCGGATCGTGCTGGGCTGGATGGATGGTGAGTTGAGCAGAGCAGAGCAGACGCGCGGTGAGCCATGTCATGTCATGTCGTCGAATGCGATGTTCTGGAGCTGACCGACAGACGATGCGTGGCGATGTCGTAATTACCAGTGGTTCAAGTCCGAGCGCTTGTTGGCTTATGAGCTTGGTATTAGTCTGAGCTATTAATTGTTCAGGTATATGTCGACGGCCTGGGCCGTCGTGGGTATCCTGACAGCCGTGACGATCCCTCGCGACTTGTACATCTGAGCTTAGATGATAGATATAACTAGAGTATAGCGATAATAATAAATTAATGTTATCATCATAACTTAATCTTCTATTCTCACTACTCTTTCTTTTTTCTAAGAATTTAGCTCTTTCATTATAGACTAGACTAAAGAGCTTAAAGTCTAAAAAGGTATATGGATTTAATTCCCTTACTATAGCCTATACAGCTATATAGATATTATAATATATAGACTTTATAATAGAGATAGAGAGGTATACGTTATACATGCATAGGTGAAAACGAAAAACGCCAAGCTCATCAATGGATGGTGTCAGCCGCCACCAATGAACGAGCTTGCGCTGCTGCTGTTTCTGGTCGACCTGAGCTTGACCGTCTTCTGCACTTGACTTACACTTTCAGTGAACTGTGAAACGACTCTACATTCAAAAAACAATGACCTCGAAGGCAGCAGTCTTGCAAGGTATAGAGCTGCCTCACAGATTTTCCATCATTACACTAGCAAGCTAATCCCTACGCGCATTTACACTTGCAGCCTATGATCATACGAGCCTAGACGGAGTGAGCGGCGAAGCCGATATCACTCCTCAGGGCGGCCCAATCGTCAATATCATCGAGGGGAAGGGCGATTTCCTAGCCGGGGGGGCGACGGGACTTGTAGAACGTCTTGGTTCGGGAGATGTGGTCAAGTCTCCTTGGACGGGCCGTCCTACGGCATCAGACTGTAGGAAAGAGATGGCGGTCGAGGCGCAGATCTATGAGAGACTTGGAGCACACCCCCGACTGGTACGAATGAAACACTGGGACCCTATCAGCCATGCCTTGACACTGGAATACATGCCTAATGGCAATCTCAAGGCATACGTTCAGAAGCATGGACAGGAGATATCGCCATTGCAGAGGCAACAGTGGGTAAAAGAGGTCGTTGAGGGCGTTGAGCTTCTACACTCGCATAACGTTATTCAAGGTGATGTCGGGCCGCATAATTGCCTGCTCGATATCGATCTTAGCCTGAGGATCTGTGACTTTGGCGGATCTTCCCTTGATGGCTCGCAGGCCACGGTTGCTCCTGGAGTAAGATACAGGCTGCCGAACCTGGGTGAAGTGACGGTCAAAGAGGACCTTTTTGCTTTGGGCTCGACAATCTACTTCATTGTTACAGGGCACGAGCCGTACGAAGAGCTAACTGACGATCAGGTGGGGGAACTGTATAAGGATGGAGTATTTCCAGGACTAGACGACGTGGCCTTCGCAGAGATCATCATACTCTGCTGGAGACAGGAAGCTGAATCGGCTAAGATGACTATCGATGTTATGAAGCGCTTATTAGAAAATAGAATAAAACGTAATAAGGCCAATTCCTAGTCCTAACTGGTCTCGCTATAGTCTTATATTAATAGAGAGCTTAATAATTTCTAAGTAATAAGAATAATATATCTTCTCTCTATGATATAGGCTTCTATAAGATATTGTAATTAATTAATAAGAGTTATATTTATAGAACAGTAGACTTATATACATAAAATCTTTATGATATTATAGTCATAGTATATGACAGTAGTAGTCTAAGCTTAGTTTGCTATCTGATGTGCCGAAGTCTGGTCTTCTATCCGGAAGCGGAAACGTTCTCTATTCCATCGACTAAGACGGAGAGTGCCACGCATCCAGCACAAGGCTAACACAAGCTAAGGAAACAAGCTTCGGGGTTCGACCTATATCTCGTTTAGCAAGAGTGAATAGTGGGGATACAATGATGCCCTCTTCGACAACAACCGTCTCGGCTCACGGCTCTACAAAGCTTCGCTTACAGTCATTCTGGGGTAGCAAACTGGTGGTTCCATTGCCGATCTACCACGATCATAAGAGCTACGTTCTGATTCGAGCAGGTCTTCTATCTTCGAAGGTACACTAGAGCAATAATGTCTCTTATAATGAGTGTGTTATGGCGATCATTGCTTACGAGCGGATTTGGACGCCTTATATGACTGCGTGCAGGCTGGTGTATATAAAGGCAGTCTATATGTCTATATCACAAAGATTCTGATACTATCCTTTTCAGCCGTACATTGACACTCCCCTCTTCGACAATATGGCGTACAGAATCCTTGGTGCATGCCTCAGTCTGGCGGCTCTGGCGTCTTCTCTTGCTGTTGAGAGTCGGCAGACTGCTTGCACTAGCTACAGTAAGCAAACACCCATCTGGCAGTATGAGGCCTCCAATCTTGCCTTGCTGACTTCAGACATCATCAGCCCTGATCAACACTCGTGGTACTGGTGAAGCTCAAGGACCATCTGCTGGCTTCCGCACCATGAACGCCAACATCCAGCAACAAGTCTCCGGAGGCAGAGTAGTAAGATATGCATAGAACGCGTTCCATAAACCGCAGACTGACATTGTTGTTCAGTACAACACTGTCTACGCAGCTGGCTTCAACCAGGAGTCATCGGCCGGTACACGAGACGTCAGTGCAGCCACATATCTCTCCTTCCAATCCCCCTCATACTAAACAAACTCCATGTGCCAGATCATCCGTGAGATCAACGCCGAACTCTCCTCGAACCCCAACCAATGCTTCATCCTCGAGGGCTACTCCCAGGGTGCTGCGGCCACGGTCAACGCGCTGTCCCAGCTGAGCGGCAACGCCTTCAACGCCGTCAAGGGCGTCTTCCTCATCGGCGACCCGGAGCACAAGTCTGGGTTGACCTGCAATGTGGACAACATGGGCGGCACGACGACGCGTAATGTCAACGGGCTCTCTGCCGCTGGGTCTCGTGGAATCCCGAGCAACTGGGTTTCAAAGACGCTGGATGTTTGCATTTTTGTAGGTCGCCCCGGCCCTACCCTCCGCCCGTTTCGAAGACTCGGTTGTGGTTGTTGTTGTTGTTGTTGCATCTTGCTGACACTATGTAGGGCGATGGTGTCTGTGATACCACTCACGGGCGTGGCATCAACCAGCAGCATCTCCAGTATCCGAACGATGCCAGCACGCAGAACTTGGGCACGCAGTTTGTGACTGGTAAGCTTAGAGGAACGTCGTAGGCTAGGGGACTCTTGAGACATGTGGTCGTGTCGCTGGTAGAGTCTAGTTGTTTCCATCTACGTGTCAGCTCGTGCCGAAGTTGCATTTGTATAGAAGTCAATATGTCACGTCTCTTCATGCTTGCTGTCACTTCTTCGTTCAAGTGCACCACCACAGTCATGTTAGATTGACGTCCTCGCTTAGCAGAAGAAACGACCTGAATCCTTATCATAAATGCTTCGCCGAACAGCAGACCGAGTACGTATGAAAGATCATGCATCGTCCCAACATAATCCAAGGTAAATCCTCCTATCCATTCCGAAACTGAGGGACTCTTATCTACAAGACCTATGTGTGTCTTTCCAATAATGACTCGCCCATCCTGATCTCCATTCTCTCGGACTCTTTTCTCACCGTCGGGTGGTCCTAGAAACCACTACGGCCTCTAAGTGCGAGACCCCTTAAAGACAAAAGTGGGGATTGTTATGCGCGAGTTTTGAGGTTGTGCGGGACGGAACGCAGGACGCAGGGGAGAGAGAGGACCGTGGCTGTGACAGCTTCGAGCTGGTGTGGGTGTTCGTGTACTCTGGGTTGATAGACTCCAACCATGCTCGTTCCCATGCTTGTGTATGTGCCATCTTCATCAACGTAATGTGTTTTTAATGGATGGTTGCTGATGTTACCATCATCTAGTTCCACCTCATGCCAATGATGCCTCGATTGTCTGTGCAGAGCACTTCTTCGCAAGGTCCCGCATATATGAGCGACTGGTGGCAACGAGCGACCTTGTCATGACGTATAGCTTTGAAGTTCACCCTTCTGAGCATGTAGATGGGCTCCGAGGAATAGGACGTCTTTGTCGCTGAGGTTGAGGTAGCGCAGATGGTGGTCACTTTTAATTATCGACCCGGACCACGCAGCGGTGGGAAGGAACTGTCGACACTTCAGCTGACGTCAGGGTGTCGAACGACATTCAGGGCAGCTTGAACGGGAGTGTGCTGTTTGCAGCCGCAATCCAGGGCTGACTCTATTACAGGCAGACGTGCTGGACACAAATACTCAACCCCCTGCGAAGTAAGGGATTCTAGTTACACGGATACACTGCGGGGATGGAACATATTGAAGGGGGTGGGACAATGGTACCTGCAAGAGTACGAGGCTACGAAGGATGGGGTTTCAAGGGCGCTGGAAGCCTCCATCATGCAAGATAACTCACAGTGGCATGCATTCATCGCCGCATGCCTCCGTGAAGTCCTTCGATGGCCTTATGCGAAAGAATCAAGTCAGTGTGATTCGTCATACTAAAACAACAGCGCGACATCAGCATCCCTTGTCCGAGAAATTGGTACCACGATCCAAGCTCGAACGGCGACTGTCCGGCCGAGCAGTGCAGAACCTACCATTGTTTACATCCATAGCTTGAGCACGGTCCATTATAGCCAGTGAACGGTGGTAGGCTGCACGTGCCGCAACCATGGCGGAACGCACACACTCTTGCTTCAGATAGGTATATAATCAATCTAACGAGTACGGTTCTCATAACCCCAGTGGGAGAATAGTCTAGTTGGTTAACGACCTGACCTACCACTGAAGCAAAGCACCAGATGAAGGAGCTAAGTATCTGCAGGGGAGCAGAGGCGCAGGTTCCAGGGTTCGACTCTGGGCTTGAGCCTTTTGTATTTTTGCACGATTTGTGACCCCTTTTTTTTGGCTTGTCGTAGATAGTAAATTTTCGATTTTTTTTTTGCGACCGTATCTTGGTAGAAGCTGAAGAGAATGTATTTGAAGAAGACAGAGATATAGTGTGTATTGGAACACCATATAAATTGGAGAACGGAGTGCGAGGAAGTGATAATGAAGTAAGAATCACTCCAGTCTCCACATACAATCGTGTCTTCGAAGGACTGAACAAGGATCATACTGGCGAGTTTTGCCCTTTAAGCTCATTCTGCCTAGTCTATACCGGGCGTTAGAGACGACTAAATATACTACATCCACGCCCATCATGAATGATAGGGAAGACATATAAAGCTAGACAAACTAGCACTCTGGCGTTAGGGCTTCAAGCGCCGGAAATGGATATACTCGGCTTGCCCAGTCTCTCCATCGCTCTTGGCTAACCTAAGAAGACATTAAAGAGTCGTGCTAATAAGGTACTTGTATTGTGTTGGTAAGGCTTTGCAATCCGATGGCGTTGTCGTGTCATGGAACCCAAATATTCAGCTTTGATATAGCCGTATTTGCCCCATCAGACGACTCCTACATATGTACTCTGGGGCAACTATATCTTTTGCACTGAGACTTGTTCCTAATACTTCCTTGATTAGCTATGTTACCTTATGTTTTTATATAGGCTATCATACCTTGCCCCCATCGACTCTAGCACGATCACAACAGAGGATATACTCGACATCCTGTATGGATGCAGAGACGTCACACCGTAACACCTCAATAGAGTCATTTCAGAGACAGGCTCACATTCACGCACAAGCTCCTTAGATTTCTAGACTAGAGGTTCAAGACATAACACAGTTTGTACACAAACAAACCAAACAAGTAGGTAGGGTTTCAAGATGTGCTGCAGTCATTCCAAACAGTGTATCAGGATGTATGTATACAAGTCAAGTGATCCTCTTCTCTCTGTGCACACCTGTAGAAGCGTCAGAGGTAGGTGGGAGGTTATGGCCTAGTTCTTGACATGTCAAAGCAGTTAGTATGCATTGGCTTCATCTATTTACCCCTATATTTGTGCGTCACGATATGTGTCTCTTCGAAGCTCTTTACTGACCTGTGTAGCCTTGAGAGATTGCGAATTGCTTTCGAAGAGCACACAAAGGTAAGGACTATGATCTGTCAGACTCTAAAAGAAAGAAAGGCAAGATTTTATGTAACTTTCTGTTGTGGCCATCGAGGCTTATGACCGACCGCCCAGTCAAACGAACACGCAGAAGGAAGGAGTGGTAGAGGTGAACATAATCTTTTAGGGCATCAAGAGTAACAGTGATAAGATATGTGACTATATTTAAGGATAGGGTAGATATCATTGTTAGAAAGTTATATTCATCAAGCTCAAAAGCCGTGATGACTCGTTTGACATAGGAGAACTGACGAATGCGACAGCATCATACGTCAAAGTCCATCATAAATATGTACAGGGGTCTCAAGCGTCATCGCTGAATTATTTCGTTTGTCCAGCAATGTGCCGCCTGCTCGGCAAATACCAAAAAGAGTGACATCTATCAAAACGGGTGTCCAAATTAGAACCCTAGACCCGGCCTAAGGCGACGAACAACATTGAATCTATTGCGCCTTGCAGATTCTATGAGAACAGTCAGTTAAGGATAGGTGGAAGCTACTGGAAGAAGGTATATACCCAGTGTAGGATGTATCCTTGGATCCGCCGACACACTTGCTTCCTGGCAACACCCAGCAGTCGAAGTCGTCGAAGCAAGTGACAGGACCAGTTGGCGCTGGTGGTTGGGGAAGACCGCTTGAGACGCCACTTGGGACACCGCTTGGGACACCGCTTGGGACTGCGCTTGGATAGCCACTCGGATAGCTGCTTGGGAGGCTCGAGGCTCCGCTGTGTTGTGGTAGCCCACTAGCTACATGGCTTGGTTGTGGAGCATAGCTTGGAGTAGGAGCCTGGCTTGGTGTAGAAGCGTGGCTCGGGTGAGCGTAGTCAACGTCGAAAAAAAGGTGGCTACCCTTGAGGGTAGGGGCAGCACTGACCACTAATTAGTAGTCGTCCTTCGACGAATGCTGGGTAAGAGGGAAGATACATAGGTGGAGGGGGGAGTCTGAGAAGAGGAGGGCCACACTACACTTACGCGGCAAAAGAGGCTAGAGCAGCCATGAAAATAGTGACAGCGTGCATGATGGTTGTTTGTAAGTTTGTTGATAGAAACGAGAGTCGATGTTGTAAGAATGAACGAATTTAAAAGGAGCCTGCCTCAGTTGTCACAATACAGATCAAGATTTCTGTCGAGTAGGCCTGACGGGCATCTTATACTTCAAGGTCTATACGAGCCTTTCTCTCTATACGGTTCAATCCGAGACCTGGTAGAGATCTGCATATTGCTAAACTGTCGTCAGTGCGGAAATTATTGTGAAATGGCCAGAAAGGAAGTTGGAAACATTGGAAGACTAGTACGTATACACTACTGATGGGGTTTGTGGCCGTACATGCACCAACAGTAGCTGCCAATGAATCAACGGTCCCTTGACCAGATCCCAGGAAACATGAAACAGCGAGATCCTATGCCTCGAGTGGAACTTTTGGTACCATGGTATGAAAAGGCCCGTACCAGATACTGACGTATTGGGCAACGTAGCTAAGCATTGGTAGTGGTCTGGATATCAACGGCGTGGCGCATATATTGAGGCTAGTTTCATTTTGGTGGGTCCGAGAAGGATCCCCTTGCACATAGATTTTTCTACATATTATCCAGCGAACCCTGGTTCGGAAGATAGCGTCAGGACTCAGCGAGAATCGCAGCGCCCTAGATCGCTCGAATCTAAGCACATCTCACGGCCAGGACTTTTCTCCGGACCATCAATGTCCAGCGGGGCTTCCGAGAACATACGGCGGGACTGGGCTTTCTAAGATAACACAACGCGGCGTGTTCCAAATGTCACAACGTCCATGCCACAGGACCAGGACTTCTCCACGGAAGGCACAATTGACCTGCAAATCCGCCGAGTGACAACTCGGACGTGAAGACTCACAAGAAGATATTGAAGAGGTGTCACAGAAGAGTAGCCAATCAAGATTGCGATCAATCTTGTAGTCAACATACTGTATGTCAAAATAACCCACGAAACCGGTGAAAACAGCGCATGTGAAGCGATGGTTAAGCGCAAGTGTGGCCTCGGCTCGGGATCTCGGGGACTCGGGAGCTATGGATAAGAGATATCATAACTTACAAGGATAGCCCAGATCGCTTAAAGTTTATTGTATAGTAGTTTGTTTTATCGTCCTCGAAATCGAATCCTTCCACTAGAACCTAATCATCCTTATATTAGAGCTTAACATGAACCAGAACCTTCTACAACATGTAAATATCAGGAAACACACCTGAGAAGCTCCATGGTCTAGTCGGGCCGGAGATAGTCTTCCACTCGAGCGCAGGCCCTCGCCACGTTGCGGCATCCATGACCACATAAAGCCACGGACCAGCTTCAAACATCCATGAGGCTAAGGTCACAACGACAGGAGTCGCCCATCGTGAAGTATGTATCGGTGCTCAAGTATATCTAAACATGATGTGACGAGTCAAGGTCAACTCTAATAACTGACGTAAACCACTTATATTAGACACCGGTGGTTTGTAGTGTCTCTGTAAGCCTGAAATTTTCTAGAGCATCGATCATCGGTGTAGGGAACTAGACTACTTTAATGGACCCTAGACGCGCCAAACTTATGCATCTTGGCAATTTTGTGGGAACGCACCATGCTACAAATCTCTGAGACTTCCGCTGGAACTCTTTGAGCGTTCTTGGAGACGTAGTTCGCGAAGCTGGCCCGACATGTGTGCTGCGGCTTCGCTTGGTGAACATGCTAGCTGACTCCACTCTATATTCACCAGGCTAACAAATGAGCTAACAGTGGTTCGATACACATATCGCTCAAATAATCTATGCGTCACGCCTCTTCGAAGGGCTCAGGGGATGGTCATCGTCTATCAATCCCGGCCGATGTGCCGAAATTTCGGAACTGGACTGAAGAAATACGGTTATCGCGGCAACTGAGTGATGCCTAATTACTACAGTGAGGTCACTACCGAGGACTGTATATACGAACTTAGTGGCCTTCTGCTTGTCTCTTGCGGACCCCCTTTCCGGGGACGATGGCTCGGTGTTGTGTAATATCGTTCTCTCTGGTAAATAACACACGTATCTTGCACATCTCAAGATTTAGGATCATTTGAGAATACGGCTTGACATAGCAGTACGTGTCGGCGCTATTCACTCAATGGACTCGATACTGGTACCGATACGCTGGTCGAAGACTTTGGGTTCGGCATAAGTTATGCAGTTTTCGCTCCTACAGTTGCAGGCAATACCAATTCCTCGAATTACCTCTTTCCTGGCATGAGCGCTGCAAGGCGCAAGATCATCGTTGTACATGCGATACCAGAAGGTGGCCTGGCCATAATGTACTTTCGCGCCATCGAGCTTGCTGTGACCTACGGAGTGCTGGCATTTCACACTATGCAACCTAATCAAGCCGTGATCAGGATGATTCCTAATGCCATCGCAAATGCTGACATTCTTGCACATCTGTACAGAATTATGTTGGATGGATCCTCCTACCTGGTCAGAATAACACACATACTTGCCTACACTGGAATTCTCTCCGTGCAGCAATGTCCGGGAACCACATTGACTCTCTGAAATATCTGGTTGACTAGCCTGAATATGGCACAAATCCCAAGGCATACCAAGTGGGCCATGGCAGGGCAATCACGAAGGCATATGGACTTCTGATTCATATCCTGCTAGAGCACATAGTCAACATTGAATGGAGCCATATGCCTGCTAACCAGGCTAGTATTAAACAGATGGGCTTACCGTTAAAGCTTGCACACAGTTCGGCGACGATTATAAAAGGACACCATGTTTTTGATAGCTACATGGCTCCGAACGCCAAAATGAGGGACGGTATCTTGGTGTATACCGATGGTTTTAGCGCCTATAGGGCTTCTAGAGGAGGAAATACCTATTTTCGAGTCATCATTGCGTGAGAATTCAGAATTTGGGGAGATTAGATCCTGCCAATAGCCCTGGAGAGAAAAAGAAGAAGAGTTGGTGAGCAGGGGGTTAAAGAGTAGCTAGGAGTTTCAATGCCATAGATCATCTTGACTGGTTCGCAACATAGCCATCAATGATTGTGACCTTTATTTTTTCTGAGCTCGTTTGCCTTACATCTGCTATGAGGTATGAGTCTGGATCTTCAGCGATTTACGCGACTAAGTCTATCCATATGAAAGTTAGTAGACTCATGCTTCCAAAGAAAGATACAACGTTCGGCCATTGCAGCTTAAACAATGCATCTTACCTTTTAGTATTGACTAGATAAGAACAACAGTTGTTAGACCTCTTGGAGGCAGGAGCTCCCATTCTAGAACTCCATATGTATCACTTCAACTGCTAATGCCTTATGATACGCTTCGAGAACCGCTGTGAGATAAATGTCGCCAGGAACTTACGAGCTACAGCTCGATCTGCTCATCTGGCCGATACTCCCGTTCTGTCTCCTTCTTCAACGGCACGCCATCCTTGATATTTCCATACGGTACACTATCGTACTCTCCAAAGCACGAATATTCGAACTCAGCTCTCTCCAATGAGTCCTTCTGGACATCCAAGAACGTTCCCAACTCACACCAGCCGTCGTCTCGCTCGCCACACTCAGCGAAACTTCGCCCTAGGGGTATAGTTCGTTGATTTAATATAAAATGTATGTACTGAGTAGGCTGATCCTTTGGTTTTCCAAATGCGTTGGTCTCGTATGTGCATTCCGAGCGAGACTGACATACTGGCGAAGGGGCGGAGATGACTTCAATATCTAGACGAGCAGCGAAGGGGGTCAGATGCGAGACTATTAGCGGCCGTTCGTCCAAGGGTGGAATATGGTCGGTAGGTAAGATAGGGGAAGCGAACTGGGTGAGGCCGAACGCCGTGAGAATGTGAGCAATATTGGTGTCGTGTGAGAAGTCTAAATTGAGGCTCTGATTCAGTGGAAAGGTAACAGTGTTATTGTCGAGGGTGATGTTCACCTGACCGGTCGGTTCTTGCAAATGGTGATGCGTCAGTCGTGATAGGATCTCTTGGACGTAACCTATGCCAGTAGCGCGACCGACCGGACTTTGAAACATATTGTTACCGGTAAATGCTAGGTCGATGCTGTACTCATGTCCTTTCCATTCGTCGAGCGTGAAGAGACCACAAAAAGCAGAGTAGCCAAGGGCTACGGTTTCATATGCACAGAGGGTCTGCGCAGCGTATGAGTCTGCTATTGTCCAGTTGAAGCCCTGTATCTTCGCATCAAGTCTTTCGGTGGCATCAGCCAGGTATGAAGCAATCCATTGTGCGGATGCGTGGTCCCCTTGCCGTGCTGCTGGCTTGTTGCCATTGGGGCATAAGAAGTAGCCGGCGAGACTATTGTTGTACCCTGGCTTCTCGATGATAACTTCAAGAGTGGCATTCTGTGTCCAGCCCAGGCCAAAAAATCCTGCGAGAAAGTACTCTGCAGATTCAACCATGCGATCTTGCGTTGTAGAGCGCGCAATTATCTTGTTACCATCATTCGGATAGAGATGGCCATATTGATAGTAGTGGAGTGTGCCCGATTCGAAGAGTCTTGAAAATAGTCAGTCCTCCTGACGGCAGCTCACAGTTTTCCGGTCCTTACTCTTGTTTACCAATTGGAACTAGTATTTCATAGCCCAATGTGAATATCCAGTCATTCAGAAATTTTAATTCGTCTTTTGCCTCGAATGTACCAGTCAAGTTTTTGACTTTGTCTGCGAATGCAAATGCAGCGCTACCCAAAGTTGGGTATCGTGCCCCATGCCTCGAGAGCATATTGACCCATGTGATCTGCGCACCTGTCGGTAAGGAATGCTCGTCTACACCAAAGCCTTCTGGGTTGGGGAAATAGTGACTGAGGTGGCCAAACAGCTCGAATATGTTCTCATTGTGATCGTTACCCGCTATGGGCACTTGTGTTTCTAATGGCGAATTTGGGATGTAGCTCACGCCAGGGAATGGTGCTGGATTTGTCGCACGGAGGAACGGAGCTATGCCCGTGGCTTTAGGGCCTATACAGCAGTTGTCAGTACAGTGAACTAATCATAGCTCGGTACTCTCACCAGCAAAATGCTTCCTGTCAGTAACAAAATAGTCTGGGACATCATCTAAAGCCAATGCACCAAGGGCAGAGCTGCCAGTGAGAAATAGATATGACAATAGCTTCTGCATGACAAGCTCTTTTGGCAGCTGCGTTCTCCGTGTTCCTCTATACCTGAACGACCACGACCACGACTAGTAGTGAGTTGCTCTTCTGGGTGAAGAGATACGATACACAATGGAGCCCGGCTCTGTGGTAAACGACTGGGTCAGTGAGTCTTGTGTAGATGCAGTCGAAGCAAACATACACGACGGCCGGAATGACGCAGTCTCAGAGTCGTCTGCGTCCATCAGGGTACGCGTTGGAGCTTATTTGAGCACAAGTATAAGAGCTAGACCAAAACGGACGCTAGCGCCAAACTCCCCTTTCTGGCCAGGTGGATTTTCCTCCTGCAGATTGGAGTTCCATGCAGCCGCCAAGGCCCAGCGGCCGAAACCAAAATCCCCCTTCTCCAACTTCCACTCTGCATCTCGTCACTGTTTCTCCGCACTTTTACTTCCTCGTTGCGTCTTACACTCTTTCAGACGCTCTCTTTCAGACTTTACCTTACGTTACATAGCTCTGGTTGGCAATCTACGTTCTTTTTGACCTTTCTTCGACTTTGAACGACCCTTTAGCGCTCATTTCATCGATTTCCACGCCTCAATACTTCACGATGCGTTTCGCTACTATTGCCGCTACTGCGGCGATTTTTGCCCCTACAGTTGTCTCCGCTGATGGCGTTCTTGGCTTTGCATTGGGAACTAAGATGGGCGATGGAAACTGCAAGTCTCAATCCGATTACGAGGCTGACTTCGAAGCCATCTCTTCCCACTCCGGGTCTAAACTGGTCCGTGGATACGCTGCCTCCGACTGCGATGCTGCCAAGAATATTCTCCCAGCTGCAAAGTCTAAGGGCTTTCAGGTCGTGCTGGGTATCTGGCCTGATGTGCAGGAGTCTTTTGATGCAGACACCAAAGCTATCACTGAACATGCTGGCGACTACGCCGATCAGATCTATGGTGTAACGGTCGGATCGGAGACTCTTTATCGTGGAAACTTCACCGGTGAGGAGCTTCTCAGCAAAATCAAGGAAGTCAAGGGCATGCTCGGCGACAAGATCAAAGTCGGCACTGCCGACTCATGGAACAAGTGGGCTGATGGAACTGGTGATGCCGTCATCAAGGGGGGCGTCGATATGATGTGAGTCCTCCGAGCCTTACAGCTCTCACACACACTGATCATAGAGTAGCTTCGTTAACGCCTTCGGATACTGGCAAGGCCAAGACATCAACAATGCAACCCACACCTACGCTGACGACCTCATGCAAGCTTTTAAACATATCCAATCCGTTGCCGGTAACACCAACATTGAACTCTGGAATGGTGAGACCGGTTGGCCCACCGACGGAGCAACCGACTACGAAGATGCCAAAGCCGGCACAAACAACGCCAAAAGATACTACGATGAGGGTGTTTGCGGTCTCATCGGTTGGGGCTACAATGTATTTTCATTTGAGGCATTCGACGAGCCATGGAAGCCCAGCAGTGTTGGTGACAACGGTCAGGCCAAAGACGAGACTAAGTGGGGAGTGATGAAGGCTGATCGCACACCCAAGTTCGAATTGGACTGCAACAAGATCTAGAACCCGTGTCTGGCGTATATTGACATCAATGGCAATCGAAGGCGCACGTAAACAAATAGAGGCGAGGGTGTAGCGGGATACACATTTAGTGGATCATTTTTCTTTTATGAGATTGTATTCTTAGCCGGTACTGGGCACTGTTCGAGACTTGCGCTGAAATAAGTTGGTGGATTTCCATACATGCATAACATGATGGTTGAGAAGTATGATGTCTAGCATAGCTTATAGTACGCGATCAATATAGAGTTTCCAACCTTAGAGGTGTTCTGTGTTGCTCTTATGGAGTTCAGGATTTTATAGCGTTTATAATGAAGCTTATAGTATAGTATCATGCTGAGGGCGAGGTTTTTGAGCAATGTAGAATCATCTGATCTGGAGCTATTATTATAAACACGTAGACTTCCGCGTTGGTAGCTCCTGGGTATCTCATGACGCACTTAGCGGGCAAAGGCCGGAATAAGCAGCGCTTGCGCGAGACCCTCAATGAATACAACAACTCATCTCCCCGGACCGTGGGCTTCTTGGAGCTATGAAGCCAATCATTGCAGTACCTGCTATCTCGGCTCTTGTATATCGAGCATACTCTCGAAAGTCGCTCACTCCACTAGGTATAGTCACTGCTTTCGTAACAGCTATAACTCATGCCATTCACCCTTGGAGTGTCTTCTTCGCACTTTTAGCGACTTTCTTTCTCGCTGGAACGGCAGCTACAAAGGTGAGATGCTCGGAACTCTATTACAGAGCAAAGGACTCAATCCAGATAGGTGAAACACGAGATCAAAGCCCGACTAACACAGTCGGCCAATGGCTCTTCCGGAGGGGAGGGCGCAAGAACTCACACACAGGTCCTTGCCAACTCCCTCGCTGCAAGTATCCTTATACTACTGCATACGTGGGTACTCAGCCAGGGACCGAGAAGCAAATACTTCTCCAACGAACACTGTTGGAGACGCGGTAGCGATGTTCTTGTCGTTGGGATAGTGGCGTAAGCAGGAGTCAAAGTACTCACGAGTTGGGACTAATGGCATGTAGAAATTATGCTGCTGTTACCGCTGATACCCTCTCGTCCGAACTCGGGATTCTTTCTTCCACAGCACCACGACTCATAACAGCACCGTGGAAGGTTGTACCCAAAGGCACAAATGGAGGTGTGACATTCGCCGGGCTACTTGCTGGCTTCGGAGGGTCCTTCCTCATATCCGCTGTCTCCTCTATTCTCATACCATGGTGTAATCCGCCTTCCTCGGCTACCGCAAAGCTTAGTGGTGCAGCAAGACTTTCGACTCAAATGGAGGGCTCTTGGACATGGGAGCAAAGGATTCTATATCTTGGAGCTATGACCGCAGCTGGCTTCTGTGGGACCATTCTAGACTCCCTACTAGGAGCTTTGCTACAGGCTAGTGTAGTCGATACTCATAGCGGTTTGGTAGTCGAAGGAGCAGGAGGAGGAAAGGTTCTGCTGCACGCTGGGGATAGCACGCGCGGCAAGCGAGCAGGCCTGAGCAGCGAGGGTCATACTTCTGCGATATCTCAAAGTAACGCGGCCAATACTAGAGGACAGAACAAATCGCGACAGTCTCAGGCAGCAGAAGTCAAGGAGACAAGAAAGCTGGAGGTTGGTCGAGACATATTGGACAATAACGCAGTGAACTTTGTGATGGCAACAACAATCAGTTTCGGAGCCATGATTGTGGCTGCAATAAGCTGGGGTGTTCCATTAGATTATACCAGCCTCGTCAGCTGAAGCACCGGGACTCTCACGCAAATGAAAACGATGTTGGGTTACAAATCTCCGAAAGAGGCAATAGCATTATGTCAAGCAGACAAAAGCAGCGGAAGTTAGATATTTACGAATTCCACTTCTATTTATGGATACACCCTACCAGAAATAGTGTAATATATGTCATTGGTGGTAAGAAGACATTCGGAGAATGAATCATGGCAAGTGGCTGGGATATTTGCGTATACTGTACAATCAGTTTCTGTGCAGCAGCAGTGCTAGTTCCGGTTATTAGCTTCCGAAATCCTGCGCGAGCGCTCAGGCCACTTTCCCCAGGAAGGACAGGACGATTGAGGCAAGCGTTTGTTAGTCGTGGGTAGTGACATGTACACAGTAATCCTCTCAGGTCTGACTTCATAAGTGCATCGCATTTACGAGCTTCATCCCAGCGTCCCTGTTATCTCTAGTTGAACATTTGCGTTCTGTACCACGTATAAATCCACTCATTAGCCGTCGCAGCCTTGCGCTCTGCTCCCTGGTCTGCCGCATACTATACCCGTCATCCATGGCCTCCACGTCTCCAACCGCCCTGGCCGCTGACCTCCCTGAAGCCACGAGACATTTGCAAGACAAGCGACTGTCCAGTGCAGTCGAAATGAACGACCTACAGTCGCAACCTTCGAGTTCAGCCAAAGTCTCCGGAGACACCACCGATGCCGCAGCCTTATCGACAGGCATCTCCTCACAGACCCAACCCAAAATGTCGATACCACAGACCACTATGGAAGGCCCTTCTTCAGAAATAGAGACAAGAACCTCAGAATCTAAGCCACGTCCTCCCACTGGCCTTAAACGATTAGAAACCGAGGCCATTGGTCCGTCATCAGATAATCCCGTAATAAAAACAGATCCGGCGGCGGGTCCGGCCGTGATGATAACGTTACTCCTAACGACGGGCGCAAGACATCCATATAGGCTCGATGAGAAATATTTGAAGAAGCGTAATGTCAACGTCGAGTCCATGAACCCCTTCAACGTTAGCGTATACACACTCAAGGAGCTGATATGGCGAGACTGGCGTGAAGGTTCGACTCCTCCATTGAGCATAGATTTCTTAGATGAGCGGACTGCTGACATGTGTGGCGGTGAGTAGAATGGGAACCACGACCGACATCGCCAAGTTATATCCGCCTAATTCATTTTGGGAGGATGCTCGACGATAAGACGCCACTGAGAGGTATGCTAGTAGAGAGTCATCCTACGATATATATAACTGACGAACTTCTCGACAGAATGTCGATTTCAACAGCAGACCCCAAATGTGATACATATGACGATCAAGCCCCAGGAAATAGCCGACGATGAAGACGCAAGGACTGGCAAAGGTGGTACTGGCCGCGACCGTGACGGGGAAGAACGTACTACCGGATGCAGATGTGTTATTTTATAATTGGTAATGCTCTTGGACCTATCAGAACTGCATATTCAGCTCGTTTTTACCGCAGCACCACCAGGTGGACGACACTCAGGCATTCTTTCTCTTTTGCAACATTTGGACCTCTCAGTCTCGCATTGTGCAACGGCGCTTGGTAACAAAGTTTTATGTCAGTCTGTTGGGTCGGACATATTCGTCATATGTTAATGGGCGCGTCTATAATCGATCGTTTGGAGTAGGGGTGTAATGCTGTACAATGGATGTTTGGTACATTGAAGGAAGACATAGCATCATCAGATATGCAATGACATCACGCAAGATTATTCACATTGAAACATGTTGGAAGACATGATCGTTGATAGACTGACCGCCATTTCGACTGCCTCACATATGCTTCGGTGTCGTAGTTTGATGTTGATTGATTTGATTTGATCTATACTTTGATATATCGTACAGCTAAGCGTGATGCTTCAGTGCGTGAGAAGGTGCCAATCTACAGGCACATAGCATGATCTCTCATCCATTCACTCAAGCTGGCATTATCGCCCCTGCTTGCCTTCTATTCTCTCCACTAATTCAATCTCTACGAATGCATCTTCAACTTGTGCTCCATCTCAGTATGGAAATCCGGCCCATCCCGCATCTCAGCACCGGTAGTAAACACATCCTCCCACCCAACCTCAGCATCCCTTCCCGCCAGAATATCACTGTGCACCCCAGCACTCGCCCCAAGCGCCGCGGGCCTCCACTCACCCGCCTGCACAATCTTCATCTCCATGCCCCGTCGTACCGGCTCCGCGATGCCGTATTGGCGCCTGAGCATCTGCATCTTGAGGTTGTCTTGGGTGGCGCGCCAGGCGGTGAGGCGGGCCTCGAGCGGATGTGAGGACTGGAGCGGTTGGAGGTGGTCTTGCGAGGATGATGGGTTGATGGCGGCGGTGAGGCCGAGATTTGCGCGGAGGGTGTCGTGGACGCCTGGAGCTGAGGGGGCGGAGTTGTGTGGGTTTGTTTGGGAGGGATGGGCGGCGGCTGGGGCGATGCGGAGAGACTGGATATGTTAGTTCATGATAGTGATGATGATGGTGGTGATCGAGGATGCTGCTGTTCCTGGCACAAGGACATACCATGGTTGCGGTGGTGTAAGAGTTACAACGAGATACGGCTGTTGTCTTCGAGGTAGCGAGAGATAAATGGCTGAGGCGGCCCGATCTTGATGCTTCGAGGATTGATGGTTGATAGCTTGAAGCTGTCCGGAGCTCAAGGCCGCAGTTGTGAACCCGCCTGTGCACGTCTTGGCAAATATCGTACTGACTAAGCAGCCAATAATCCATTCACGACACAATTCAGTTCTGATATTCGCGATCTCAATCCTCCATGTAAGTAGCAGCCTCACATCGAACAGGTGGAGAAGAGACTATCTTGTGCGAAAAAATTGTCAATCGAGATGATGCATATCGGTGAAGGTATGAAGATGGCTGCATAAACAGGCTGTTGGGCAGACACTATGAGTGTTCTTTTCTCATCATATAGTCATATCTCTCTGACTATGATAGGGTGATGTTAAGGAGGTTGAAGCGATGAGATGGTATCGTTATTGCCCGCGAGTGAAGTCACGGGGTTACTCCAAACTGGTATGAAAGCAGTGGCTCTGTAGAATCTTTCATTCGAGAGCCAGATTCTATAGATACACAATGTATTCGTATTCCGCACACGTATGTAATTGTCTCGCGATATTCAATGAATGAAGGCGAGCTTAAAGTACCAAAATATAATCCGGGTATCATGTGTCCACCGTAGTAACAGGCCCATACAGAAAACAGTCCAGAGGGTTGGTCCAAAACTCGTAAAAGAAGGGAATCCTATCCAAACGCCATGCTTGTGGGTAGGGTGGTATCGGCTTCGGATCCCAAGGAAGATATAAGTAGGAATATGCACAGAATTGCTCAACTATGCTCGTGGTTGTGAAGCACGGTAGACGGCGAGAATTTGAGAGACTTCGAGCCGGGTAAGAATGGACCGTACAGTGCGCTTTTGGCTGATAATTGGGTGTGCGAAAATCCAGAACGAACTGTAGAGAGATCAAGGGGTGATATCTGTGATGTAAGTGGCCAATCACTCGGTCTCAAATACCAGGGCGTTGACGATATGCTGAGGATTCCAGTTTTGAGATGAAAGAGACTGTTGTTCTGGGAGTATTCTGCCAAGGTAGCCGATTCTAACCTTTGTGGTCACTGGTAACTAGCATTGTGGTCAGCCAAATCAAAGAAGTAAGCCACAGGACAGATAACTCAACATACCTGAGCAGCCGTCTTTATCCTCCTCACCAGAACGCTGATCTTCTCATCCTGTCCTATTTTGATCACCACATCTGTTGATCGATCGCTTAGTCGCGCCCGCACTTTTACTATTTTTCCAGCATCTGACTCCGTAACTGCCATGGCCCTGCCCTTGCCTTTCTCGTCCTTTCTCTCTTGCGCTGTCCTGCCCTCCTCATCTACGTCTTCTGGCTCTCCGGTGCCGGCGGTACCTTTGCCTTCGTCATCGTCTGTTTCGTCTGCCAGCTCCTCCGGTTCGACGACGACCCACTCGGGAACAGGATAGTATGCACCCAGCTCGTCCCAAACCCCCTTCCACAAGCTTCCTGTCGGGCATGTGCAGCCGGCCGCATCGAGCATGGCCTGAGCCTCAGAGACGTTCCCGTCGCGTATCATAGTCGTAATGCTCCGCACAACGAGCCATGTTTCAGACCGCCCGCTGGTGCGGGTGTCGAAGTACTCTTCTCTTTCGCGCCGCAGTCTTGAAAGCGTCCATATTTCTTTGTGTGGCGTATGTGATCGGCGAGCAGAGGGTATCGCTTTAAGAGGACTGTTTGGAGCTATGGAGCGCACTGAGTCCGTCTCCGAGGCCTGTAGCGGTCGACGACTGTGAGAAGCGCGTGGGGTATCGTTTACGGCAGAGGAGGACTGATGCGGAGAGAACGTATTTATATTCTGTGAAGATACGATATGCTGAGAAGAGACACCGGCTGGGCGGTTACCGGAGTCATTGGTATTTCTGCCGCTAGAGAAACAGCAGCCCTAGGAAGGAAAGATCGATTAGCTTTCTATGTCAAGATAGTTAAATACAAGACGTGGGGCTGCGTGATTCGCAAAGGTCGAGAGTGGTGGGTCTCAAGGTCGCGCAAAGGTCTTATCTAAGCAAGGTAGATTGTGCGAGATCGCTCAGAGAACAAGTCATACTGCTTCTGCCATGGAAGTTGTCTATAAGGTACGGTGCTCTCTACTTACCATCGTGCATGTTGCAGCTGCGCAGCAGCAAGTTGTTTTACCTCGTTAGGTGTGAAAAAAGCTCAACGATAAGGAGTGATGATGAGAACCATGAATAAAGTCTTGTATGTGCGAGGAGAGAAGACACCACCAGTGGGCGCAGTAACGCGTGAGCGAGAGTTGGTGTTGAGGGGTCTAGAGGGTCAAGGAGAGATCGAGGCCTGCTGGACCCATAGTCCAACGCCCTCGGAGGCTGAGCTCTAACCTCAAATTGGGAGTTAAGGTGGCTTGCTAATTACCTTAACAAGCTCTTCTCTCCTCTGCGACTAGAACAACGACTGGAAAGTGCGATGATGACCTGCAGATTTGCGCTTGCACCTTGTGTTACATACCTCAGGCAGACTGCAGGGAAACCAAGGGTTGATGCGCATGAAAACCTCAAGAAGTCTGCTAGGATTTAGCGAATTACAACCAGGGCACCTCCACGAGTCCACGGACCACGACTGACGAATCGCCAATTAATGGTAAGTCGGGAATTTCAGGCACTCAAAGCGCTCGCGAGGTCATCGATAACAAGCATCATCTATCCAATGTACCACCTATCTTCTATTAGAGATTATTAAGTGAGGGTGCCCTAGCGGCCGCTCACACAAACCTGATAAGGCTGTGCGTACTCATATGGAGTAGGGTATCAGGGGGTATTGAGCATGAAGCAATAACCGAACACGACAGTGGTATCAATCTAGAAACTCAGAACAAAGAAACAAACATAAAAATGGAGAGTAACGCAGTGCATCCAACGGGCTTTGGCCATCGGATACAACAGTATAACCCCGCCAGACATCAATGCCACAATAATTTCCACAGTATGAACGAGTGTCGAGGTCGGATAGGTGGTTAAAAGACACGAGGAAAGGTCGATAGGATTTTTCGATGAGGTGTGAGAGATTTTGATGCTGTGAAAATCCAATGTGAACATTGGGGTATCTTGTCAAAGAGGCGGTCAAACAAGCGGCTTTTCCGTCATCCCGTTGTCATCATGGTCGTTGAGGCTTCGGTTCCACTAAAGCTTAGGCAGTGGCCTGGACAGCGGGAGTTGTGGTGGGGGCCTGCCCTACAGTCACGGCATCAGGAACAACGTCGCCAATGGCTTTGGGAGCCTCAGATGGAGCAGCGGTCTCCTCAGCCTTGGGCTCCTCAGCGACGGGTTCAACAGTCTTCTCTTCCTTGGTTTCAGTGGTTTCATCGGCCTTGGGAGTGGAGTCCTTCTTGCTCTTCACAGCCTTGCTGGGATTGCGGAAGAGGCTGCTCAGTTTCGAGGGGTGCTTCTCGTCCTTAGCCTCCTCAGCAGTCTCTCCATCAGCCTTCTTCTCCTTCTTGACGTTTGAGGTCAAGTTTCCGAAGAATGAAGAACGGCGCTTCTCCTTGGGCTCCACAGGAGCGGCCTCGCTAGCAGGCTCTTCGGTCTTGGGCTCCTCAGCCTTCACCTCATCTGCTTTGGCCTCGACGGCAGGCTCAATAGGCTCAGTGGCAGCAACAGGAGTAACCTCTTCGATTTTCGGTGCTTCTTCATCGACCTTTGGAGTTTCCTCCTTGGGTGCGGTCTTGTCAGAAGCGGTCTTCGACTTGTCCTTCACTGAGCCAAAGAACTTGCCGAACGGAGACGCCTTCTTCTCCTTCGCGGGTGTGACAGGCTTCTCTTCGGCCTTGGTCTCCTCGACAGGAGCAGCCTCGACGGCGGACGGTACCGGCACGTCAGGCTCAGCAGCTGGAGCGGGGACAACAGCAGGCGTTTCTTCTTTGGCAACGGCAGCTTCGCCCTCCTTTGCGGGGACAACTGGAGCAACTTCGGCCTCCTTCTTTTCGGAAGTTGGACTACGAACCTTCTCAAAGAAGGAACCAAAGACGGATCCACGCTTAACAGGCTTTGGCTTCGTCTCAGTCTCAACGGCAGGCTCGGCGGCAGCAGGTGCTGGCTCGACTGCCTTGGATTCCTCCACCACGGGGGCAGGTGCGGCTTCTGTTTCGGGTGAGCTATACGGTGATACATGTCAAACCTGCATTTACTCACCAGTCGTGCCATCAACAGCAGAAGCTTCGGTTTCCGCTGGCTTGGCAGCAGTTTCTTCCTCAGCCTTCTCTTCAGCCTTCTCTTCCTTCTTTTCTTCCTTCTTGCCCATCAGGCTACCGAAAAGACTCTGGCGCTTGCGAGAAACTGAGCGACTCTTGCTCTTAGTCTTCTTCTCCTTTTTCTTCTCTTCGTCTGAAGATGAGCTGCTGGATCCAGCACGTGTGGCATCATCAGTGGGTTTGACATCGGTGCTCTTCTTAGGCGTGGCATCCTTAGCAGCGGCGGCTCCCGCGATGGCACCGACTGGCTTAGCTAGAGCGATATGTTAGCGTCGCACGGGCGGAAGCGTGGCTAGCTAGTGTCGCCTGAGTTCTGAGAGCGACTCACCAAGTTTTTCGTGCGTCTCTTTGTAGCCCTCGCTTGATTTAATGCCCTCAGCAGCAGCCTTGGCTTCTTCGATGGCTTTCTCGAGGGTCATGAACCAGCCGTCACGTTCGGCCGACGTCTTCGACTGAAAGGAGTGCTTATGGCCGTGTAGCTTGAGTGACAATTCAACTGCACCGTCCTTCTGGAAGTCTGTAGCCTCCGACTTCAGAGCATTAGTCTAGTCATAATGGGCAAAGTTTTCGCACTTACCAGGTTGAGTACACCAGCAGGAGCCTTTTTGTCATCGGCATGCTTGACAAAGTACAGCAGTCCTTTGCCAGTTTGTGAGGACCATGCTGCAGTTGGGTGTGCGACTTCAGGCTTCTCGCCACGAAGGTAACTGGTCAAGCTGGTGGTTGGAACTGCTTCGTCACCAACCCAGAAGTACTTCTTTGAGAAGATGAGGGACCTGTTATGTAGCGTGTCAGATCTAGTTCTTCACCGAAACTCCAGCTGGCGAGGCTTACTTGACTAGACCTGGGGCTTTGTATCCGAGGACACCAGAGCTGATTGGCTCGACGGGCTTGGTTTCCTCGACCTTTGGTTCCTCAACAGCTGTGGTCTCAGTGGTCGTGGCAGGCTCAGTTGTTGCAGCTGTAGTCTCAGTGGCAGCCGGAGTGGGCTCGACAATGGTGGGTGTCTCGACAATAGGTGCTACTGCTGCTGTCTCAGCGACCACAGGCTCGGCGACGGTAACGGGCTGTTGAGAATCGGCCATTGTTGATGTTCAAGCGATATGGTAAAAGTGGAAGTCGAAAAAGTGAGGGAGGTGCTTGAACGGCTACGTCAAGAACAAAAGACGACGAAGCGGTGTAGCAACGGCGAGATTACAAAGTGGATAGCAAAAAGTTGATCGTGTATGTCGAACACGAGTACGATGCGGCAAGTGAAGCAGCACGAGGTGACGGACAAAGGTAACCGGGTATCTCTGAAGAGGAAGTAGTGTTGAGGGTAGAGAGGAAGGAAGATGAGTTGACGAAGGGGCAGGTGTCAGTCAAAAGTAAAGTAGGAGAGGAAGAAGAGAGGATATTGCTGGGGCGCGTAAGTAAAAGGGTTTGGCGAAATTGCGCCCTCCCTAAATAACGGCGACGCGGTCCCTGCTTGAGGCGCTAGCACAGCTTAGGACCGAGCAGGGGGTCCAATATCTTCTTAGTTGCGGTAACGGCAGTCCATTGGGGGGCCCCTTGACCTTGTCCGACGACTGGGTTTATGAGAGGGTGAAGGGTGGTGGGTTGGTGGTGTGTGCAATGTGTGTGTGTATGTGTGTGTGTGTATGTGTGTGTGTGTGCTTGTGTTTTGTGCTTTGTATACTTGCCCCCTGTGCCTCTTGTGCGTTTTTTTGCGCGCTGTGAATATCTGGTGAGAGCACCTACTTTTATTCAACGGCTGTCCTGACGATGATAATCTACCCATTTATCCAGCTTATGGAATTGATTGACCAAGGTACGAACCCGTCAAGGCATGCGAGGCCAACTATGCTTGTCTTGTTCACAGCACTCTTCATACACACGGCCAAAGATCAGATCACATCCACTGCAATGCTGCAAGGGGGTCCACACATAGGACAGCCGCTGCATACTTGCATAGCATTGGTCTACTGGTCCACTAGCAAAAGTGACATGCACATCCATGAGCTGGACCGTGAACGATGAAAATGGATGTCGATGTTGATGTTCCTCTGATTCACACCACACCACCTCGATCCATCATAACGGTGTCCAGTTTGGCCTCCACCGCCTCTGTCACTGTCGTTGTCTCATTAATAATATCCAGCGGGGAAATCCTCTCGGCTTAGGTCTTATCAGCATTCCCCGCGCACCTGTTCGATGGCGGCATCTCGTATCATGGTGGTGGAGGAATATTTTCCTAGGGCGCATGACCATCTGTGGGAGTCTGCCCTGCCTCGATCCGATCATCGAATACTCCATGTGACCATGTCTTGAATCTCGAGATACGGTAGGCTCCTGACTCCTGAAGCCACAGCCGCTGCTTTCCACGAGCTTCTTTTTCGGCATCAAGGCATGTCCTTGGTTACATGCATGCATGCTGTTATCTTCGTTTCAACAGCTTGCAGAAGCGTCTTCCTTCCTCCCAGTCAACCGACCAATGCACGGAGAGGCATCAGAGCCTGCGACCTGCCAGGCAGTACGTCACGATGCTCTTGGGGGTTAATGCCGTGCTTGTCACGTCAGCGTTGAGGTTGCATGATAATAACCAGGATGGATAGCGTTTCTGGTATATTCGACCATGTAAGGATTCCTTGCCCTCTAAAGGCTAAAGTTTGTTCTCAGCCGATCCTTGACTCGCAGCCAGCCGCTGTTTCTTCACATAAAGAGCTTGTCACTGGAGCACTCAAGCATCTTTTGAAGATTTCTTTTTTGACAGCGCCTGATGAACACGTAGTTTGGAGCACCACTATGTCCTTCTCTGATTTCAAGGCTTAGCCAGTCTCAAAGTCGAGCATTTTGCTTATGCCCCACTCACTTTTAAACTCCACGTCCCGTGTTGCAGATGAGCAATCGTCGAACCAATCAACGGGCAGCGCGGCGCCTGATCAATGAAGATCCCCGTTTGGTGCTTGCGCCCATAGTCTTCTAGTGCTCCAACGCTTCCTCTCTAAATTCACTTACAGACATGAGAGCCCAACACGCAGCTGATTTGACTACCAGGAAATAAGGCTTCTCGGTGATCTCTTAACAGACCTCAGACATAACCATGCATATCTCAGACTCGTCTTCGAGATTCGCAGTCGGCGATTTGGGTTGACAATCGTCGGTTCGCTAAAAGAGCAACGTACAACACCGAGCCTGGGACGCTTATTACGGGCGGACTCCACATCGCACAGATTGAAACGTTGCGACTCTACGACCCTGAACGAGAAAAGTATCCTAGTCTCAGACTTTATCTTACTAACATCTGTGCAAGTACAGATTCCAGATCTACCCGAGACCTTCTTAATACAGTACTTCACGATTAGCATACTAGCTCATGAATGAAACACGAATTCCTGGAAAAGTATTCAACCATGAGCCAAGCCAAGAGTGAACAAACCCTGCCTGCATCAGAGCTCCACAGAAAGCCTCACGCGCACAAACCGTCAAAAGCTTGAAGCACGCGTGCCACAATCCGTCCACAGAATAATGGGACGAAGAAACAGCCCACCGCCGTGTTCGCTTTGGTACGTGGAGTGGATTTCATATTCCGCCCCGTTACTTCCACCCTGGCATGGTATATCACGTGCATTATAAAGCATAACTCACTTCAAATCCACACACAATCGACCCCTCTCCATAGCGTGATCGGCGGCTGAGCAACGGCGCTGGGCTAGGCCTCATCTCCAAGATTGCACTCTCGAGCTCCGTACCCCACCGTCATCGCTTTCCACAGGCCTCTCGCTGTCTCCGACGGGGACTTCGTGCACGTGTCGCCCGACAGCCACACAATTTTTCCGTCTTTTCCCCCTTTATCCAAACTCCTAAAAAACTTATCCTCCATCTGATCCACTTATCCAGTCATAAGACAATCTATGTTGATTCACCACAAGATTCAGCAAACCCCTCCGGCCGAACGGCAAAAGCGTCCAAAGCCGAAAGGGGAAATGAACCTTTTTTTCTTGTGGTGTGTGTGTTTGTGTGTATGTGTTAGGAACGCAAGGACCTGCGGCCGCACCATGCTTTATTTCTTTCTTTCTTTTTTTCCACGCCAGGCACGAAACGCCAAACGCCCCAACCGCAACCCCTTGGCGGATGGGTGGTTTCTGTGCCGGCCTTGCCCTGGTTGTGGGTTTCTGCGAGTATTTCCGGTACTATCGTGGACTCGTGGCTTGTGCTCCAGGCACAGGGCTGCCTGCATGATGCATCAATAATTATTGCGAGAGCTAGACAACACTCTCCTGTACTAAGAAGATGCCGCATTTTAGATTATTTACCATTGGGCCTCTCTCGCCTTGTCGATGACCATGCTGCTGCTGCTGCTGCTGCTGATGATGATGATGCCTAAGCATGGCTTGCGTGTGTGAATCAATGTTACCAGGTTGTGCTTTGATATACGTGTTACCCGCCTGTACGTACTCATAGCTATTCGGCATTCAATAGCCCTTGATTCGAACAACATTATCACAAGAGAGATGTTAATAATCATCACGCAGAGACCCTTCGTCTTCTTCTTCATCCTCTTCTTCTTCTTATTAATTTTTTTCACAAGCATCGCTCGCCCAGGACAAGCCCTAGGACGCCAAATGTTGACTATAGTGACGACCACTACCACCATTACAATAAACCACCGTTTTCTAGTCACACAAGGTTAAAAATGGTGTACACGCCGAAGCGCTTCTATTTGGAGCTCCAGACGACGCTCTTGTAAATGACATCATCATTGATATATACATGAAGCAGATTGCTTGAGCTGGGAACAAAACTACCGCCTTGTGATATCGCGTGAAGCAGGTCCGCTAAAAATGCTAAAGATGACCTCCTCCTCCTCCTCCTCCTCCTCCTCCTCCTTCCTTCGCTATTCGCTATTATACGTATATATGTGTGACACAAACTCCTCTGCAATATGTGACAGCAGCCTTGTTGTCCAAATACCGTAACATATCATCTGTTATCAAACGCAGACACACCCTTCAACTAGCAGTGACAAGCATATATCTGCACATATAAGTTAGCTTTGGTAGTTCGCACTCAATCGACCACCGAACTTACGAAGTAATAGCGGTCATCCGCTCACTCGTCAATTTAAACCCAACCTTCAACAACTCCCTGGCAACTTCGCCATCCTCCCTCTCTAACTCCCCCCACCGCTCCCTGGTCAACAACCAGGCAACACTGTCCTGCTCCGCGGCTACCGTGCTGGTACGCTGCGTGTCGCTGAAGAATGGTAGCTCGCCACACGTCGTGCCAGGCAGAATGATTTCATGCAGACTCCCCTGGTCCAGGCTGTAGTCGGCGCGGAAACGCCCACTCTCGAGTAGGAAGAAGCCATCGGGCTCGTCGCCGCGTGAATAGAGCACGGTGCCAGCTGCAAGGGCGCGCCGAGTGAAGTATAGTGCAGCACGCTGCCAGAAGTCCTCGTTTTGCGCTGACACATCCTCAAATGTTTGCAGCATGATTTTCACGGGTTGACTGAAGTGTTTCCAGGCTGGGCGGATCACCATATCTTCGTCGGGCGTGAGTGCCATGTCACCATGCTCCTCGATGGTGTGTGCAGCAGCTTGTAGGAGGAGGTTGCCACGGGGAGAGCTGAAAGCTGGTGCGAGGACGGCCGTCTTGAGAGAGTGTTCGTGCGAGCTTCGCGGTGGAGATATGGAGATGGATTTGGATTCGGGAGGGGTATGTATTCCTAGACGATGCTTGTGGAAAACCTCGATGAGCTCGTTTTCGCAGGCTTCAAGAGCATTGTTAAGGTCTTCGTAAACGCGTGGTGTTTCGGCATTTTCAGAGTCGAAGAGACCGACCATGTTGAGACTCTTGCCGACGTCGGTCGTGAATGACACGCTAGATAGAATCATGGTCACCATGCGACCATGAAGAATGCGGCTGATGCGCTGGAAGGCTTCTGCTGCAGAAAAGTCAATCCCGGTAACGTGCTTGAAGTCGATGATGACATATCGAACAGGGCGTTGACGATACGCTTCTTCGTCAATCAACGCTCGGATCTCTGCTTCAACGGCTACGATTGTACCAAAGAACAAAAAGCCTGACAATTTCTCAACTCTAATCTGGGATGACACTTGGTTGAGATATCTCTTGTCCATTGGCGGTCGTCGGACTGTAGATTCAGCGATTCGTCCATTGTAACTAGCTCGAATGGCTGGTGTTCTCGATGTTTGGACCACGTAATTGAGACATGCCAGAACGATACCGGTGACAATACCAACTACGAAGTCATAGATACCCATGATGAGGACAATGACTATGATTGTCATATATTCCAGCTTGTGCAGCTTACCCCACGTGTCCCAGACTGCCTCGCCAAGGAGCTCGATACCAAGCATGAAGATAAGAGTACCGACCACGCATACGGGTATGAAGCCAATCATGGCTGGTCCAGCAATCCATACAGCTGTCGTGGCCAAAGCAAGAAGTAGTCCTGCAATTCTGGTGTCACCACCATTTTGATAGACAAGATAGCTATTTGCGTACACAAGGTAATTCTGTAACACGATGTTAGCATGGGCAATTGGACGTAGCTTGATAAACTCGCCTGAATACTGCCAACGCAGCCAGATAGTGTGTTTGACAGTCCGTGAGCAATGAGTTCCCGATTGATATCGACGTTGTCTTCCTTGACAGCCAAGCCCAAAGCGGGTACATTGATCGGTACATGTATGATACCAAAGAATGACAGCGCGAACATTGACGGAATTGTTTGCGCTATGGCACCCCAGTTGACTAGACCGAACTCTACAGTCGTAATTAACAGATAGTCGTCGGTGTGAATACGAGATATAATGCTTACGGAAATAGGAGTAGAACCTATAGAAAGGCACTCCAGCTTCTGGCTTCGGGAATATCCAGCCACTAGCGCGAACATCTTCTAGATCACGACGCATGATACCCTTTACAACGATGTAAAAGATTACAGCAACACTGGTGTAATACGCTGGCATGATTAGAGGACTTTTGGCCTTAGTCCTCAGAAGTAGAATGGCGATCGACAAGACTAGAGGCGTTACCCAGAGCGCGATGGTATCAGCCTGGAAGAGCTTGAGAAGGGTGGCATAGTTATACTCCAGGTTTCCATCAATGCGTGCCGAGACCTCGATTCCTGTGACGAAAAGGAAGAATCCGACACCGCCGATGCAGCCAGTAAGTATATTTCTGGGGAAGAAGCTGACTAGATTCCCAAGTTTGAATGTTCCGAGGGCGAGGAATATTAGTCCGGTAAGAATAGAGCTCATTGCATATGACACGATCACTGTAGCCATGACAGCGGCTGGGTCATCCTCGCCCATATGTGCCATGATGGCATACGTCATCTTATGAAAAAATGGAACAACTTCAATCTGCATTCCTCGTCAGTACGCCTCTGCGCGTTCGCTGTTCTCATACTTGCCATTTCAGATCCAACACCACCTTTGAAGACGGTTGCACCAAGGCTAAAAACTAGCTGTGATACAATGCAGCTCACGTAGTACATAGATATACCGTCTGGGCCTGTGTTCGCGAATATAGGGTGTCCGAGCGGGAACAGGATCAGACCTATTACTGGATTAGCTAAGCTCATGTACCACATGTGTTGTTCTAGTACCGTATGAAAGGCCATCGAGTATGTTCAGGAGAGTTCCCAAAAACACAGCGGAGAAAGTCTTGACACTATTGGCCCCATAGCGCTTCATAGACTTGCTGCTCCATGTCTCGGGACTCTGTAGTGTACGCCAGGCGCCTGTCCCCTTGTTGATAGCGGCTGAATATATGTGCTTGACAAAGCTATTTGCACCTTTTTTAAAGCTTGGTAGCCCATTTGAAGTGCCATACTGTACGTCCCGTTCTTGGGATGCAGATTTATTTTGATTGAGCAGCGGTTGTCGCTCATCATCCTTGGCTGTGTATTGTGACACAGATCGCGAACACCCATTAGGCATGCCGTAGGTGGAAAGGCTTCGCGAGCCGATGGTTGATTTACCATTCGACAATTGGCTTTGAGGTATAGGCTGATGAGATAGTGGTTCGGACAGCGACGTCTCGTCCAGTGAGTCTACAGAGCGGCCGGTCTTGTTTGTCACGTTATGATTTGCCAAAACTCTTGTGACGCTATTCGTTCTGTCCCTGGGCTCAGATGTGGTATAGCGTCGAGGTGGAGGTGTGTCGGAGCCAAGGGCGTATTTGGCAAGTTCTTGTGTTTTCTCTCGGACACCCAGTGAGGCATATTGCGGGTTGTCTAGAGTTGAGAATGAGCACATTGGAGACAGAATCGCGTGCGCGAGCTAGGCGCCTGGGGTATATACCTAAGGGTGCATGAGAAGCCTGATGGAAGAAAGATCGCGCTGGTGTTCTTGACGAGTACGAAGAGGAAAAGTAAGATCCTGATAGAGTTGGGTATGATCTTATGGAGTTTGAATCTGTACTGTCTCGCACAGAAATCTCACGAGCCGCGGACGCTTTACGCTCGTCGTTCTGTACAGAGCCTTGGGCATACCGAGAGGACTCCCCAGATGTCCGCGACCGACTAGTCATGGTGCGCAGCAGGCGTCAGGTGAAGTGATGCATCGAAGCCGGTCTGACGAGGGAGTTCAGCACCGTGTTAAGGGCAGTGGACATTCGGAATTCCAGCCATAGACCTAAGAAGGTTTAATTGGGGCTGGTTGACGGGATGATAAGACTAGGGTGGACGCGAACGGTAGTCAAGGTCGGTCCCATGAGCGAGACGGGGAACAGTATAGTGACCTGTCAGAGTGAATAGCGAGGAGGAGGTGATGGCACGGACGATGGTGATTGAATGCTGATGCTGCCATAGTGCTAGGATCTATGTGCTGTGCCTCGTGTGAGTATGTGAGGAGTGCGTAGTTTTAACTTCTTGATCAGGTATCAACAGAACTTTCCGCTAGGATTATGGGTGGTTTTTTCCCCTCACGGCCCACGGGCACCACTATGCGACGCGACGCATGGACAGCAATGGCGCCATTGCTCATTGTCCCACCTGCACACACTCATTCGGGCCATATTGGATGTTAATCAGCGAATGGAACAATACATTCCCCTATAAGGATTCCAATGGCACGATGTCTTATCCATAAGAAAATTAGTCGTTAGCCGTCCTTTAATGTTATTGGGACAATAATGTCTACAGGGATTATTTTCAACCCCAGCAAACGTCACCCAGCCCCCGCCCGCTGCAGGCCATGCGCACATCACATACAATTCGGGTATGGTCTACTGGTCCCGCATGAGGCTACAGGTGGCCTACAGAGAATATCACTGCAGGTGTGATGAGGGGCTAACGTGGTCGAAAGTGAAAACACACCGCTGCTGAAAACTATTCTAGGTTTCAACTCAGCAATCACTGTCAAATGTGAGTAAGGAGGGTGCTCTGAACATATTCTTCAACTGAATTGGGTGCAATCTTCTCCGTGATCGTCTAAATGCGCTACACCCTTTATGAGCTCTATGAGGCCACAACCGTGCGAAGCCAGTGCGATTCGCATGCTGCTGTACGTTGGAAATAATCTTCCAGCCTGGTGGAAGCACATGCACACTATGTAGCAGCATGGGCAGATTTGTTGAAAGTCATGAGCATGACGAATCTGCAATAAATGGCCTGGGACTGCAGCTTCTCGTTCTGAGTCGCTCAGCAGTTATGGTGGAGTCGGAAGAATACGTTTTGCTGATAGCTGAAAGCTACAGGCCACTGCTTGGGTGTTGCGTTGGTCTTGGAAGTGATCCAAAGCAATGAATCTTCAAATCAGCTCAGTCGTTGAAGATAACCTTGCGCGATGAGACGCTCAACATCGCTCTGCCGAACATAGAATTGGCTATTCTTCGTAAGAGTGATAGCCCTAGGCTTGATGAGTCCGAAATCGTGATACAACAATGTTCGACAAATGTGACATACCCATATTCAGTTTGGATCTCCCCGGCATCTTTTAGCACTCGGACATCTATAAAGAGATCCCGTGGAGGCTGCAGGCTACCCGTTAGATCAACGTCTGTATACTGGCCCTTATAGGCTGCCAGCAAGTCACTGTACTGCCGTACATATTCCTCCTCTTCCGGACTAAGGCTGCTAGAGTTCCCAGCTCCATCATTACCACTACCTTCCCCAGATCCACTAGTGGGATTTTGCTGCTGAGACCTTTCGAGGGCATCGATACCGCTCCAGCACATCTCCTCAAGCTTGTCGGAGCGCACGCGATGATAAGCCAATAGACATCGCTTATCTCTGCGCATACAAAGGTGGTTCACAAGCAATGCACACGCGGTTGCCGGCTCCGTCGCTGGGTTGAATGATCCTGCGAAGGGCTCCAGGATGTTTGAAACGTCTTTGTCCAAGTCGCGTACCTCTCGCGTCACAGCGCGGACAATGTCCGTCTGGTATGGTGGAAGATGAGCCAAGGACTGTGTGCGCTTTGCATGTTGTGCCTAGAAACAGTGAGAATTGGCAGATGTTGAGAGCATGATAGTGGCTTGTACAAGCTTGTTACCGAGCTCTCCGTACATTGTTTTGATCTCTCATCGCAAGGTGAAGAGGTTAGAGCTGAGATCCAGAGTCGAGTCAAGGCGCGGCGATTGGACAAAATTTAGACGAGGGGTGTCGTCAGGGCGCTAAAACTCATTCATTACTAGCACTTTCCCTAAAACTAATTACCTTGCAGAAGAAGTTCACCGTCGTGGTCGCTCTTTGTTGGGCTTCTTTCCTTTCCACTAATTATCTGCGTCGAGACTGAAGTCCCAGTCACCTGGAAGAAGATTCTTTTTATGATTGCATGCACATTATACCGTGGCCAATCAGACTCGGTCATATCGATCGTGTTCTGAGACCTCGCAGGCCAAACGACACCACAATCCGCTGGCACGGAAGCCCATGTCGTACAAAGATGGCCCCGAACAGGTATCACGCGGACATCATTAAGATCGGTTGAGTGTCATTGCTCTAGAGCGTGATCGAGCTCGCAGCAGCTGAGATAGATCAGGAGATATAAGGAACACTATGCAAATAGTCACTAACATAAAGTAGATCAATTGATTCTTGACTTCCAACCACCGCCTCCGAGGGGTATCGTCAGACCGATGAACGGACAACTAGATCAAGCCAAACATAATAAACCTTAGCTCCATCGCCCATCGTTGAATCCTCTATACGCCTTTACTGCATGAATGCATCAAATGTAGCCATGGACATCTTTGTACAGCATTTTCGGTTATTTTCAAGCTCATTTTAACATTTTCTTACGACTCGGCTCAGCAACTCTTTCAATCGTACCACTTATTGTATTCAGATTCGTGTTCAAGCGTCATAGCTGTAGGACTGCTCTGTTGCCATATGTGCTGTGCCGGCTTATACTCTTGTTCGCTCGGTTGAATCGGAGAACCCATACCATTGTGGTAGAAAGGTGTTTGGGTCATGACTGGATCATGTGCGTAATCATACTCTTGTTTGAGCCTGGAACCATCCGGGCTACGCGTGATCAGCATTGGGTCGACATGTCCTTCTTCTGGAATAGGCGTCCCCGTCCGTGCATCGACCTGGAACAACCCATGTTGCTGTTCGGGCATGCTTAAAAGAGTCTGCACAGGGGCATAGTAGGCCGAATTGTAATCCATTAGCTGCATTTGCGGCGTGGACAACAAAGCTACAGTCGATTGCAATGGCGACGTATATACCCCATCATACGACCCAGTCGCTATCGAGTTCGGCAGCGGCTTTGTGTCAACGTCCCGCCAGATGTCGACATTCGAAGTCTGAGGATAGATGGTCGATTCGCTCCCAAAGTCACTTCCGGGATCATACTTCACGTCATCCATCTCATTCTTGAACCTCTTAATAAAGCCACGACATTTCGGCGTTTCAAAATTCGTCCCATCGTCATCAAATTCACTGTGGCTGCCGAAGACCGTATCGCCAGCTTCCGATGACTCTTTCTTGCGCTTTCTGGGAGCCACTCCTGATTTGCTAGGGGAGAACTTGTAATGCGGAAATGCGGCTGCGTGGTTCTTCCTTTCGATCTTGGCTAACTCTTTGTAGTGCTCTTGGACTTCCGCCGGTTCCATCGGCCAACTCGCGCCTGTGACGGACGAAACGACCTGATGGTTGTTGTGTACACACCACACCTTCGTTCTTTCCTGGTACGCCGATCGATATAGCATAAAACAATTCATTGGGCGCGAGACATATCCATTGCGCTTCTCGACTTCGATGCGTCGTTCTGCTAGCGGTCGATTAACCCATGTCTCCATGTCCTTGACGGGAACATCAATCAAGTTGTGCGTGAGAATGCTGAGCGGAGCTGTTAACTTTGGAGTCTTGGGCATATCTGTCTTTCCTGTCTTGCTCCTGCGGGCCTTCGGTTGAAGCTTGGGTCGAAAGATACCCTCGTCTACCTGCGGAGATGACGTACGGCTCATCGAGCGAGCGAAGTAGCCCTGATCCATCCGCTGTCGAATAGAAACGTTAAAGTCGTTTGGAACCCGACCTCCCAGTTCGCTTCCAGTTCTGGATCTTGGAGTTGGAGGAGAGTTTCCCTGTATTGATTGCGAGCACTGCTAAGCAAACAAGGTCATTACAAGGGGCATGATTGGAAGGGCTTAGACACGTACCTGGAGTTGACGCATGTTACCCGGAATCATGGGATAAGGGTTGGCTTGATTTTCGCTGTAGCCGCCCTTGGCCTGTCAGACCGATACATCTCACTTGAACGTTTGAGTTCACTCACGAATTGGATCCCTGATTCGACAACTGGACTTCCTAGGTGTGTGTGATACTGCACAGGGGAGTAGTATGAATGATGATGCTGCATCGGCGAGTCATATGAGGGATTCGGTCTCGACATCATGTAACCCTGATCAGTTGTGTGATGTGCGAGATGATGCGAGTTGTACTGAAGCTCCTGATCGGCCATCGGGGGCGTTGGAGGCTGCTGATGCACAAGGGGTGCGACTCTCATCACGAGAGACGTTGTTATCTGATGTTTGGAGATGCAGGTGCAGCGTGGGAAGGTGGCCAGAGACGTTGCTCTGAAGGGGCGATGTTAGTGACACACAAGATCTAAGCTTGCTAAGGCAAATCTGGCTGCATGTTGGAAGGACTTGGCAAAGTGTAAAGTCCTGGTACTTACGTCTGCAGATATTATCTCGTCCGGAACGAAGTACGCCCAGGATTGGAGTCTATCTGACCACTGTGGCTTCAGCTGATTCGTGATTAGGCTGTAGTATGCTCGAGGCCAGCCGAGCAACTGTGAGGATCGATTATATAATATCAAAACTCCCGATATCTCCAGAATCGGAAAGTATTGTATGACGAGGTGTCGAAAATGTCAGAGAAGAGTATGAAGAGAAGATCGAAAGATGCTAAGGTGTTTGTTTGTCGTTGGAAACGTCTGATCCTGCAGGCTTCCGAACCAAACTGCAAAGTAGCCAAAGAACAAGTAAAAGAATATTCTACGAACGTTCCGTGCAAAAGTGGCGGCGAAGAGAAGGGTATGTGTGAGAGTAAAAGGGAGGGAAAGGAGGTAATGTGATGTCGATGAGGACAAGTGAGCAGGGTCAGAGATGTCCTTTGTTGGTATTTTGAATCGCTGAAAGCCAGCCGGCATTTATGGGACCCTCGAAGAAAGGTCTATTCTTTGTCTACAACGCATGAGCGTGCCGGCGGCCAATATTTGTAAGGAGCCGGTATGAGCGACATGTAGACATCGACCGCAAATCGACAATAGCGACGTTGAAGACGGGCAACTAGGGCACAGTGTATGCCGGATTCAAACTGGTCGGCGATTGGTTGTCGACCACTGTTTCCGGTAAGGTAAAGGGAGTGCCCTCAGCTGATACGGGAACGGTTCATGAAAGGACTTAGCAGAACAAGTTGACAGCAAGCTAGCAGCTAGAAGCTACCAAACATAGTCCTCAATCGAAAACGGTCACTAACATACAACTACTGCGGAGCAACTGGACTATTCGGCGCCACACCCAAATGTCGGGCATGAATAGGCCCTAAAAAAGCCAAAACGCCTCGAGCTATTCGTCCTATCAAAAGAATCATTGCTGGAAGGAGATCCATCGTGGACAGTCTTGCGCTCGAGCATGGGCGATACTGGACGAAAGCAGCCGCCAAACTGTCTCCAGACCAGACAAAAAAAAGTGGAACACAGCTCGTTCATTCCAAGATGGGATACTCCTGTTGTGCTGTCTCCGACAGCTCAGGGGGGTCATATCGTTACACAAAGAGATTGCGAGGTCGTCGAGCATTCTTCGCTTGACGCCGATGCCAATTGCAGCCATCCACCCACACCTGACAGAATTTGGCTTAGGCCCACAGAAACACGCACAAGCACACGCCTGCCAGACAGCAGTCACAATTGTAGATCCCAGTGTCCTGGCTAGATGCTGTCATCGGAGTGGCCCTCATCGGTCCTCCTCTCGATGAAGCTGTGTGGCCGCCCAGCTCAGCCCAGGGCCGTTCGGTCCCATGACTATGCCCACTACAATCTTCCTCCAAACCGGCCACTGTTGCGGCAAAATCATGTCCAGTATCACATTGAGAGCCTCACATGTTTTGATGTACTACAGTGCATTCCTATCCCGCTCCGGTCGAAGTAATCCACATCATGCTGTTGCCACAAGCAGATAATACTAATGTGGGCTACCGTACAGTCATGATCATAAGCTTCAGTAAGAGAGAGGAATACTCATCTTCTCACCTAAGCTTCAATGAAGAGCAAATCCGTCTGTACAGTCGATCGACCACCCCAGCGTACCTTGCTTATTTCTAAGTATAGGCAACCCAGGGACCACCCAAACGGCTGGGAATGCTGTAAAACTGCCTCCTCTGATCAACAGAGCCTCAGACGCACAGGTACAAACCATATCATGCCAAACCGCAAGCTCCGTCATTCGCCGCTTTCCCCGCGAAAGCCCCCTGTGCATCAATCGGCTGCATCCGCAGCGGTCTGTACAGAAAACACCCGAAGTATAGGGCGGAGTTACTGGAGCAGCACGATCCCTTGGGCAAGCAGGAACGTGCTGAACGTTCAGCGGGCGTATAACGGGTATCGCCAGTGACCCATCGGCTGCAGGTGCCCTGGCACTCTGGCATCGTCTGGCTGAGTGCGGAAAGTTGTGTGGCAAAGTAATTATTGAAGGCCTTAGCAGTTTTTGTGGGTGAAGGATTGACAGATGCGTTTGCGGGAGGCTGTTGCGGTTGTTTGTTTGGGTCAAGGTTCCATACAAGCATTCCAAGCATCATTCCCCAACGCAGGGCTGAGCAAGGGTCGTGAGGGGCCCACATGTACTCCACGGACCACGACAAGTCGGCCGGAACGCTTGAAGCTGCCGGCCGCGCTCTTCTGTATGCAGCTTTGCTGAGAGACGCACTGTGCAGTGGTGTTACAGTAATTTCACGGCTCGCTAGCCACATGTCACAGAACGCCGCGACTTCATCCTCTCAGAGAAGTGCTTTAGGAGGAGAGAGTCCGCTATGTGTCTGAGCCTCGACCAGGTAAGTGTCTTTTGCAGCACCTCGAGGAGGCGCAATGCGTTCTTGCTTTGCCCAAGTCTCGCATGTCTGAGCTCAGCATTCTTCGTTGATCGGGTCGCGAAGCACGTCCGTTTGCGACACTCGCAACCCCAAAACGTGCAAACTTGACATGGCGGTTCAACAGCCCCGTCATGACGAAGGGTCCCAGCGCACAGTCCTTCACATCTTTGAATACGCGACTGAACACCCGTGAAGCACCATCGCTAAGTCAACACGCATATCAATTCCTGCAGACATTCCAGCCACACAATACAGTTCTAGCCCTACTTAAGCGTAATTCCCGCACAACCTTCCTACTTTAAGTGACCCTATAAATGGATCACTCGACATAGAAAAGTATACTATACGGTCGTTACTCTGGTTCCCGAGAATCGCCAGATATACGACACTATTTTTGCGATAGGGTATTTCATATGAACCAGGCAATTGGGTCATCGTCACGTCCGCGGAATCTCTTCATTTCTCTTTTTTCGTAAAGGCTTCTGGCCGGGGTAGCAATAGTTCCTATCCCGTAGTTGCCGCGTTAGCGTTACCAGGACATTGTTTGGTACACTATCGGCCAACGGTCAACGATGGAAGGCGATGCCGATTTGGTACTGCAGCGTATAGGACACGCACATGATGCCGAATGGTGTGGCAAGTGCACCCGAGTACTGGTAAACGCGCGTTAAATGATGGCAGTAGTGTATGACATCGAGTGACGGTTATTGTCGGCCTGCGCCTGTCTTTGGGAATGTGGAAAGACGTTATGTTGGTAAGCCCTTTTCACCATCTAAAGGGTACTACTGGTTAATCATAAGTGCTATATGTGTGTTTGTATAGGTACATGGCTTACCTCTCTATTTGTGGATTGGACCCAGGTTGATCGGCGTGACACGATTGAGATTGATTCCAGTAACTCGAAAGTTGCAGCGAAGTTCGCCATATCGTCTTGCAATGTAGACAGACAGAAGAGGAGGCTCATCGTCCTCGTCCACGTCCACGTCCTCTGCCTCCCTTTCCGCCCCGTTTACTGCTGGCTTTGAGCTTCCTCTCGTGCATCGGATCCTGGCTAAATCCAGCATCACTGAAGCGTATGTAACTGGTTATACCTTGATCGACCACAGCAAGTACGACATTGCGATGTCCATGCTTCATCGATTGCTCCAAAGACTTATCTTTCTGGGGCGGATCATACGGTGTCGTCACGATGAGATCGTTCAATTGGGAAAGAGTGGGCACAGGTGTATTTCGCGCGTCAATGACACAAATTCGGAAATCTGGAGGTGGCGGTGCTCGCTTTTTGAAATTCGAGTTGGGTTTCCAGACATTGTATGTCAATCGAAAGGGGTTCTCGATGTCTGAGGGGAGAGAGAAAGATGGTGGAGCGGTGGGGTTATGCGTAGAAACGATGTTAAGAAGTCGGTATATGTCCTCTGACGTGGTAGTATTAGCGAATGGCCTAGTATAGTTCAACACGAATCATACTGTAGCTCCTGTATAGCCCTGGCCTAACAAGCGGTCCTACGGCATACCCCTCCGAGGGCACTGGTGATGATCCAAAGAAGAGGCGTCCTAGCCAAGTATTCAAAAGGAAAGAAGTTCCATTCTTAGGCGCACAGGAGGTGTCGATTGGGGGTCTCGTATCGCTCCAATCCTCAGAACGCATAACCGTATATCCTCCCCTTTTGAGTGCTGAGTATACTGTGTACATCTCAAGGGTGAGTCTCCTGCCTTCAGCACGTTCCATGCCTATGAACGCTGCATATGCACCTTGCAGACTCATAGGTATCCCTCCTGATTCGTGTGTACGATCATTCACTTCATGAGTGTCCTCATGTACAGTCCATCGCACGTCAAGGTCGCCGCGTTCAAGTAGATGTAAGGCCTCCTCTGGCAGTAACCAAAGCTTGCCTGCCTTATGTATTCCCATCGAGGCGGTGTAGGATCCCTTTGTGTGTTCTATATGCGCCATGTTCGAGTGCGGGTCATAAACAGCGATCTGGTGTGCTTTCGGCTTGTGGACTCTGGGAGTGGATAGAGCATTATGCATCGCCTCGCGCGAAGCAGCCAGTGTAGACGATTGGAGCGATGTTTTGTGTGGCTCGAAGTCTTTCTCTCCGCGCTTGGGTATCTTGACATCTGTACCGCCTGTGAAACTGCAGGTACCCATCAGCAATTGTCTTCAGGGCGTGTCGAAGGCTATACTTGAGGACATTCAGGAAGCGGAAGTCTTGCGTCTCATCGCTGAGGTCGATGTCGCCATTAACAGCCCCAGGAAGTTCCATAGTGTCTTCATCAATGTCTGCCATGCTGGACAGACGTTATGAACAAAGAAAGCGTGTGGTGGAGTGTCCAACGTGTGTTGTGCGATGTGACTCCGCCGATGGAGCTTTTTTCGAAGTCAGCCCAACAGGCTACAAGGGTACAGAGCTCTAAAAAGTCGACGCTTGGGCCAATTTAATACAGTAAATCGCATACCGTACGTTAGTATCTAGTTTACCTACCAACAAGACATCTTAATCATACTCAAATAACTAATAATTATAAGCATGACAATATCATATCTGAGCTCAAGCTAGGGAGTAGGCTAGGCTCTATCGCATAGGCCAAACAAAGACTAGAGCTTGATACGACGAGCCCTACAGGGAGAAACAAAATGATCTTGGTCCTGCACACACTACACTATACATGAATGATCGCGGCATTATATGGATGTGCATCAGTGCGAGCAGTCGATGTGATTGTCGCATTCGTAGGGTGCACTCTCAAGGCCGAAGCTGGTGTCTCCGACGTTATGGTAGATTAGAAATTCGAATTGTCGAGAATATAGTAGATACTAATTAATTAGTCTCTATATTACGTACGTATCACGTTATGCTATGCGGCTGTCTCACAAAATTTGAGTTTAATATATAATTATCACAACGAGATACTCTCTAAAATAGGCAAGATGGCCGAGTGGTTAAGGCGTTACGTTTAGGCAGACCCGAGTGTCGCACTCGGCTTCAGCTCCGTAATTCGAAAGAGCGTGGGTTCAAATCCCACTCTTGTCACTATTCTTTTGGGACATGCGATGATATTCTTTTACCTCTCCTCATAACAGTAAGTTCTATGAGAGTGGTTATCCAGATATATATACATATTGATTATAATTCTTATTACGTTAATAAGTTATCTAGTAGGAACTTATTTACGTTGTAATATAGATATATAGCCTTCTTCTCTCTAAGTATACCCTCTAATTATTAGGTATATTAAGTACTAGAGCGAATAATAAGTAGATAATCTAATTCTAGCTAATTATCTAAAGTTACCATAGTATACATCTAATAAGTTGCCTTTCATTTCTAAGCCTTAACTTTTCTTTAGCTCTTTTTTGTGTCGTTTTTCTTATCACAGGTTTAGCATTATATGGAGGTTTATTTTTAGTGAGTTGTCATTAAGAGACGATTCAAGACGGCTATGGTTGGCTTCTACCTCGTGTTAGATGGAAGTATACCTGGTCTAGACTTGCTGCCACGTCGCGTAATGGAGTACTTGGCATGGAAGTACTGGGCCTAGACTGTCAGCCACGTCCTAATGGATGGACTGCTTCAATCAAGGAGTGGACTTTCAGCACTGTATCTATCTATTCTGTAGAGCATGAACACGGATCGATGCTGTTTGTAAAAGGCTAGAGTAAGAATCCTACTTATATTTTCGTGTCTATATATCTCCGAGCCCATGACCTGATTCACAACGAATAGCTTAGTACTGAGGTTATCATTCCACTTTCCTTGCTACTCCTATCCTTGCTATTAGCTTTACAAAAGTCTTTCCAAACTACCCATACGTATACATCATTTCAAGAGAGGCCTGACGATGTGGTATGGCACAGTATTGAATTTACTGGCAATGGCTGCCACTACGTTGGGTTCTACATGGCCTACAGTATCCGGCAACAGTAACTTGACCTATTGCAGCGACCCGAGCTTATGGTCATTTGGTTCGTCTAATCTGACATTTGTGAGCCAACTGTAAGCCCTCCTTGTCAACAAACATTTCAATAAGCGTCCTGCTAATACGAGTGTTGCTGTCCGGACAATAGCACACAGGTTCCTGAAACACCGATTCAGTTTTCCTGGTTACTTGAATCTGTTTCAGAAACCGACCTCCAAAATTTTACCGCCAATACTCATATCAACATCGATTCTAACTGGGTAGTGTGGGGAGGAAGCGGATTGATGCAGTCGTACGATTGGTGTACATTTACCAATGGCACGAATTGTCCTCAAGAGTATATTCCAGGGAACTTGGTTGTGTTACAAAGTCCTATATTCCAATTGAGCTTGTTCGGCGGGCCTAAGAAATTCTCCTACACCATCGACGTACAGTTCAATGACGGCACTGGCAATGCAACACTGTTCTGTGCGACAGGGACTATGGACCAGAACAACATGCCGGGACTGAAGGAGTCAGTCACAGTTGCGCAGGATCCGTTTCAGGAGGAGCTGAAATAGTATGACTGCGTACATGATTATCGAGCAATGCGCTCTTGCCAAATGAGGCCAGGCAGGCTATATAGTCCCTAGGCTGAAAAGAAGGAAAGCGACAAGAGGACTTAAGTAGATCTGAGCATAAATCAACATTTTGTTCGATTATTACATTATTGATTCAACTGTGGGTTAATATAGAGTACACTATATGGATAGCTTTTATTTCTACCTGGAGAGTTCACGTAATAGATTTCTGGTAAATGTAAGACTTTTGAGTAGTATGATATAGTATAATTCTGTATTAGCAGAATAGTATTCAATATACCAATATATGATTATCCTTTGATTAGTACTATGTTTCTATTTACTAGTGGGATCTACTTCCAGAGCAGTAACGTGCCTTTCTCCAAGCATGTTCCGAATCATAGCTCTGATATACATATACGCCATAGCCTGTACACAAGAACATGCATTGCTTTGGTGTCATGCTTGATTCATTATTCCAAGCTATTCGACGCCCATAACACCACGACCCATCCATTCACTGATCGTTCCAAAGCCGTCTTGACTACTCTTTAATGCATCTTTGAAAAGATCATGACGCTCCGCACTTTCTAGTTGTGCCTTTCGTATTGCCTTGATCGTTGCGTTGTTGGGGGCGCATATGGGGCACTCAACGTCACCGCTCTCAATATCATCTTCTTGAGTAACGTTCAAGCATCGAAGATGGAACGAATGCTTACATAGAAAGCGTACCGTCGGTAGGTCAAGCGAATTACCGCATGCAGAACACCTCGTTGTTTGGAAGACTTCCGGTTTTGTGTTGAGCGTTTCGAGTTCCGCTAGCTTCTCGGCTGTGTCTTTCTTGAAAGTCGCTGTAGTTCGTCGATTCTGCAGCCCACGTCAGATTTGCATTACGGACCAGAAAGGTATGAAGCTTACGTTTGATATTTCCTGCCTTTCGCGCTCAATAGTCCCACTAAGATATTTCTTGATCATGCCCATAGTTGCTACACCGTTAGCGCTGAGGGTTTGTATGACCTGTAAGGGTGCCATCAACCCGTCGTCGTCTATCTTTCGCAAAACTGCATCGAGCTCGTCACCTGCCTCTTGCAAGATGGCTGGGCTAGACGTGAGATATGCTAGAGCCGCGGGATACAACTGCGGGTCCTCTGGACCATATTTGCGAAGTGCTTTAATGGCGCCTTTGGTATCCTTAGCATTCGTATAAGATCGGAATATGTCGAACCTGAGGCCTTGTTGCTCACGTACGAGGATGGTGCCGTCGCGAAAATTTGAAAGGTGGGAAAGCAAAAGGACATTTGAGGTGTCGATAGGGATGTTTTTCCCTTCAATAAGTTTCTTAGCCTTGGTTTCCCATTCTTCCCGCTCCTCGTCCTTCTTGTTGCGAGCTGTATGGATGTACATCTCAAACAGAGTAGTATACAGATCTGTCTTATCATCCTCGCCCAGCTTTTGAGAATTGATGCAAGATTCGAGAAACGTGACAAACTCATCCGGGTGATCCACAAATGCCGAGAAAGCGGAACGCGGTTTCGGGATCTTGTACTCTGGAGTGGAATCGTCATTATCCATCTCTACGATCTGTGTTTGGCTCATGGTGGACTTCTGCTCCTCGTTGGACGTTTGGGCAGCATTTGCGTTCATATATGGCAAGGGCAAGAGTGCTGCAAGGTTCTGGACAGCATTAGATGCCGTTGAGACCATGCCTCCCGAGCTCGTGGCCACATTTTGAACCACCACAGTATCCTTCTTCGGCCGGAACTGGCCAATGTAGTAGTCGATGAAAAGCGTGGTTGCATCTCTTGGGCAATGCTCCAGGAGTACTGTCGCATACTTGGTAATGTTGTGAAAGGCCTGGAAAGCATTAGCTCTATTCCCCTCAATATACTGGGCATGCCACATGCCTCCTCCGGCTCCAGCCGCCATATGTATGCCAAGGCTTCAGCGTAGAGTTTCGAGTCTTCGATCAGAATATCCACGACAAGTTCGTGCTCATTATGCTTCCTTGCTAAGTAAGCGGCTTGATCGAAGTAGCCACCTTGACGGCACATTGATATGGCGGTGTCTAGATCAAACTTCAGATCACCTGGTGATTTGATAAACTCTTCGAGCTTCTTTACATCTTTGAGCTTCGCGTAGCAGTTTAGAAGTAATGTTGTGTGATCTGAAGTGGCTCTATGATGCTCATGAAGTTCCTCCAGATATTCTATCAAATTTTGGATACGTTGGGAATCCAGGAACTGGTACTTGTCAGAACATACTTTATGAAAGCTACCGGGCCAGCGCACCTTTCTAATGACCTGCGAAGGCTCTGTGTTGTCGATAGCTTTGAGGTACTGCTGCATCGCTGTATCATAATCTTGCTTTTGATATAAGTGATCCCCGTATCTCCGTAGGATTACGTTCAACTGTGCAGTGGTTACGCCAGACTTTTGCGCAAGACTGATGGCAAGTATGTAGTAGTTTCTCTGGTACAAGACATCTAGCTTTTGTTGCAAAGTTTTCTCGCGGTATCTGAAAAGCTGTAAACGTCAGCAGAGGTCCACTTATGTGCTTGAGCGTACTGACTTTGCCATCATCGGTCATAACGAAAAAGTCTCCCCATTCCGAGAATATGGCTTTCACACGTGAGCTTAGAGACTCTTCGTATGCAATGAATTTTAGATCTGTGTTAAGGATGGTGAAACGTGATGTGTTGAATAAGTCATCGGCCTGACCCACACCGAAAGCCCTAAAAACGCCGGTGCGAATATTGGTGTTTGTCCTAGGGGGAGAAACCACAGCGACGTAGTCCTTGAATATGCCAATTCGATCTTTAGGTCCTTCATATGTATGTACGGGACCTCGTCCGGCAAGACCATAAGAGTATATTGCATCATTTCTGGCCACTATCACATCACGTGTATAGTTATCCACGCACATACAACCAGCTGCGCAACCCGTGTCTTCTAGCGAACGAGCCGGTTGCCCTTGTCCCCGCCCGGATATGATCAGAGTTGAAATTTTTCCCGTAGTAGCGATGTAAAGCGTTGTTGTATTGCCTTCTCGGAACTCAATACCAGTTATGGGCTCCTCAGTCTCGAAGACTGTCCGCTGTTTCGCGCCGCGATCGTGTATCAGATCTCCACGTACCACTGTGACGGATCCGTTTCCAAAACCAACGGCAAGTTGTGATAGGTCCTCGAGGGCCGCGAATGCAGTAATCTTTTCATGTCAGCCATTAATTATGGTCCACCTATCTCTACTTACAGGGAAAGGTCTCCGCCCGTTGTGTATCGTCAGCGTACTTTGACATCTTGGCATCCCAGTTTTCTTCTCTACCTTGTCCAGCGCCCACACCTTCAGCACAGGCTCCTTCGGGGAGTCTTCTGCGATTGTGACTAGCAGCGAAGTTCCCTGGACTTGCTTCATATGGGTAATAGCACCCTCATCATGCGCCTTGTAGGTTCGGACAACTTTGAAAGTATGCGAGAGGATGCGAACCTGGCCATCTGTGCTTCCAAGAAATACATTCTCGGAACCAGAGGCTACTGAGGTGATATTGCCCTGCTACTCTATCTTAGCAAACCCGCTGTGATCATCGTTACAGCTCATACCTCAGATAGAGAAGCAATCTCATCTTCAGGAAGCTTCACCTGGGCGACGTCGAAGAATTTGAAGGCTTTCCACTGCGCGCGATCAGTGGATGTGCACGCGAGTTTTGGTTCACGGTCGACTTACTGACAACGCCATTTCACCGGTCCATCTTCTTGCCTTCTAGGTACCGTCGGAATGCGTGCATTGGTAACTTGAGCTACGGCATGGATCAATAGCGCGGCAGCCTCAGGCCTGGCACGTGATCGATGTATCGCAACAGGCTTAGCCTTATAGTCTAAGCTGGGCCGCCTCCCTCCTGCCTAATTGTCGCGATTCCTGTTCTTTACCACTGTTAAATCAGTCACCACCGACCTCACATCACTTTAACCTTGCGCATCATCAAAAACGCGTCACGAACTCTCACTTACCGTCGTCGCACTTAATCCGACGTCTAGCTTCTGAAAGATTTCTCACCTCAAGCCTGCCATCCCGCGTATACTTCGCGCGCGCGTCACGGCTTCACCGACCAAAATTGCTTTCAGAAGAGCTCAGTCCTTGAGTCTTACATACCTTTCGCTTACTGCATAACGCTCCTTGCTACGAGCTATCAAAATACCTAGCTCAACTATCCTTCAACCGACACCAGCACGATGACCGGAAAACTTGACAAATCTCTCGATGACATCCTCAAAGGAGCTCGCAGCCAGACTAAAGGGCGTGCAACTCGTCGCGGTCCACGAGGTACTGCCAAGACCAATGGAACTGTCACCGCTCCTGTTGGAGGCGTGAAGAAGACGACAAAGGCCGTCAAGCCAGTCGGGAGCCGAGCTGTACCAACTGGACCACATCGCTCAGTCGAGAGCAAGATTATCGTCAGCAACTTGGTTCGTACAAGATGTCCATGCCAAGAACGTAAAGAGATCTCGCACTAACAATTACAGCCCCCAGATGTCACTGAGGCTATGATGAAGGTACGTTTGCCGTGAAGGCTATCGAGCCCTTGAAACTCCTACTCCTATCCGTGAGACGTTCGTGCGATATCATCCACCCCTATTCCACAAAGTTACTCCTACCCGGAGCAAACCATGAGTCAAACGCTCTGGAGTTATGCGTGCTCTTCTCTCATCCTGCTCGCATTGAATATGCTGAATGCGGATCGAGAACCACTCTATACATACAGTTCCTGGCGTGAATACTGCTTAGTGGTGCCTGGTCAGCACAGATCTCAGCTAGTATGCAGGACTGTAGGAGTGTACGAAGCAGACTCATGTTATTCGATTTACCGGCGCGATTGGTTCATGGTGAAAACAAACCCATCAGTGAACACAGCAGCGAAGGGCAGCCTCACAGCAGTCTTTTATATCGGCCGGACCTGTTTCTCGATTGATGAATATCGCCCAATTTCCTCAGTCTGTTTATATTCGCTCATGTACGTGTTTCCAGACACGCACCAACGGGATTAGTGATGATCTCATCGTCATCATGAACCTCAACGGTCCAACTTTGGCTTTCATAGGTCACATCTTTACACACTTGACCTAGTCATCCGAACGACACGGAGCAGGTCACCGTTACTAACTTGCTGACCTTTGCTGCTGCTGTGACCGCTGTTGTGGCTTTTTCGACATCATACGTTCCTGCATACCGGACTGGAGTTTCAGGATTGGCAATATTACCATGCAATCCTTGTGTATTCTGCGTTTTCATCGCAAACTTCTTTGCCGTGGACTAATCAAAACCCTTTCTCTCACAGGAGTACTTCGGCAAGACAATTAGCCCCGTCAAGAAAGTGCTGATGTCTTATGGACCAGACGGCAAGAGCCGCGGGATCTGCACCGTTATCTTCCGCGATTCTCATGCAGCCGCCCAAGCCGCGGAGGAGATGAATGGCGTTAAGGTTGACCAATCGCCCATGAAGGTTGAACTCGTCCTCGGACCTCACGATGCTCCCGCAATTCCGCAGGCCAAGAACTTGAAAGATCGGATCACGTGAGTGTAGCCACTGTTCTCTGGAGCCTGCGCAATTCTAATACTCCCGCAGAAAACCTAAGCCCACAAAGGCTCAGCCTAAACCTGCCAACGCCGCGAAGCCGGCTACTGGCAAGGCTGGAAAGGCGAAGCGTGGTGGGCCTAGGGGAAAGCCCAAGAAGACACAGGAAGAGCTCGATGCTGATATGGCTGACTACTTCGTTGGCGGAGCAGGTGATACAACCGTACCCAATGGAGGTTCAGCGCAACCAGCCACTAATGGTGGAGATGTCGGCATGGTCGACGATATTCAGTGATCGATGACAGATCCGACATTTGTCCGCTGCGCGGTAATACGACCTGCATTCGGATTTCCATTCAAAGTGTTTTCTCAGACTGGCTTTTCTTATATCTGTATTATCGATCGACATATCCAAATGGTCAACAATGGGGCAACGGCGCTTGTAAGAGTTTGATTCAGAGGGGACATCACGATCAGGACCAGGCGGGCGATGGTCATGCAGGGTTCTGATAGTTAGGGCATATTCAAACAAAAGGAATGGAAACACCTTTGCCACTACCAATCACGGGATTTACGGTTCTTGAATGACTTCCCATTACAGCGCCAATCCACTACCAGTGTACGGCCCGGACGAGTGCACATTGCTCGGCGACAGGAGGTCACGCAATACTTTCACTAGGCAGAACCAAGTTCCGTTTGTGCGGAATATTGACACGGGATAAGGAGTGGTTGGCTAGGCAAAGACGCCACTGTGCCTCAGATTCTGCAGATAACGTTGTAGCTGGGTACGACTGCGTTGAAGGCGCAGCGTATTGTGAAGACAATTGGGCATGGTGTACGTCCACCACGCCTGGATTGACACCAGGCCCGCTCTCTGTCATTATTGAACACCCGTGGTGACGGTAAACATGGCTCGCTCCAAAGGAAGCCGAGTGAGACGAGGGGCAGCTTAGTGGCATATCATCTACCAGGGTGAGTGTAAATTTGCAGTATTCTACTACTGTGCAGACGACCTCGGTGGCCATGAGACCGACATATATATCACTCTTACAGCACGCATAGAAGAGCGTAGAATTGATCCATTGCTGGTGCTGATTCTAGATGCATGCGACAGGACTGGGAAGGAAATCCGAGGCAGGTCATCGACAATTGCAAACCTCCATATTACATGACAACACACTTTGCATCAGGAGTGCTCGGAGAAGGCTCGGACAGTTCAACAAGTTGTGCAGAGAGTGACGCTGCGGGGTCGAGACAGCCCCCGCAGTGAAATGTTTACGGGCGGAGGGACAGCTTGTTTAGCTGGGAGGGGCCTCCATGTTTGGTGGTGGCATTCCAATTGGCTTGATCAAGCTGGCTCCCACTCCTGTTCCATTCGAGACCGCGCGGATCTGGCTGTATCCATAGTAGTAACCGGAAGCTCCACCTGTTGATGCATCCGCGCTATGATGAGGGCAGGACGAGCAATGGATCGCTGATACCGTGATGCTCGACCTGCCGTGCGCCTACTTAACCTTCACATTCCCCGCCACCCTGCCCAGATCTCTTTTGCTCTCCACATACACCTTCTACAATCAACAGTTGACCTCATAACACGAAAATATCATGTCTACCGCTCAATTGAAGACCGCTCACGCCTCGTGGGAGCAGCCCACTGGCCTGTAAGTCTCCGACAACCCATCCGTCACTCTATCGGACTGCTAACCCTGCTGCAGCTTCATCAACAACGAATGGGTCAACGGTGTTGATGGCAAGACCTTTGAAGTCGTCAACCCAGCCGATGAAACAGTCATCACTTCTGTTGCTGAGGCCACCGAAAAGGATGTCGACATTGCTGTCGCCGCCGCCCGCAAGGCATTCGAGGGTGCTTGGAGAAAAGAGACCCCAGAGAACCGTGGCAAGCTTCTACGCAAACTTGCCGATCTCATGGAGGCCAACATCGATAAGCTCGCCGCTTGTGAGTCGCTAGATAACGGTAAGGCCATCACTATGGCAAAGGGCGATGTGGGCATGGCCGCCGCTACACTCAGATACTACGGTGGATGGGCAGACAAGATTGAGGGTAAGGTCGTAGACACCACACCTGACACCTTTAACTACATCAAGAAGGAGCCTGTGAGTTATATATTCCCTTGAATAACATGAGAGGATACTCTAACATTGTACAGATTGGTGTGTGCGGTCAGATCATCCCGTGGAACTTTCCAATCCTCATGTGGGCGTGGAAGATTGGCCCCGCTGTCGCTGCCGGTAACACCGTTGTCCTTAAGACCGCTGAACAGACTCCTCTGTCAGCTTTGATTGCTGCGAATCTCATCAAAGAAGCTGGCTTTCCACCAGGTGTTATCAACATCATCTCTGGTTTCGGCAAGGTTGCTGGTGCCGCTATCTCTGCACATATGGATGTCGACAAGGTCGCGTTCACAGGTTCAACTGTCGTCGGCCGCACTATCATGAAGGCTGCCGCTGGCTCTAACCTCAAGAAGGTAACTCTTGAGCTCGGTGGAAAGAGCCCTAACTTAGTGTTCGAGGATGCCGACATTGACAACGCCATATCATGGGTTAACTTTGGAATCTTCTTCAACCATGGCCAGTGCTGCTGCGCTGGATCTCGTATCTACGTTCAGGAGTCTATCTACGACAAGTTCGTCCAGCGATTCAAGGAGCGCGCGGCTAAGAATGTTGTTGGTGACCCATTCGATGCCAATACTTTCCAGGGTCCTCAGGTCTCGCAAGTTCAGTTTGACCGCATTATGAGCTACATTGATGCTGGTAAGACTGCTGGTGCCACTGTCGAAATCGGAGGTAAGCGAAAGGGTGAGAAGGGTTACTTCATCGAGCCAACCATCTTCTCCAACGTGTCTGAGGACATGAAGATAATGCAAGAGGAGATTTTCGGCCCAGTCTGCTCCATTGCAAAGTTCAAGAACAAGGAAGATGCTATTCGTCTAGGTAACGCCACTACCTACGGTCTCGCCGCGGCTGTCCACACATCGAACCTCAATACTGCCATCGAGGTTTCGAATGCTCTACGCGCCGGGACAGTGTGGGTCAACACCTACAATACTCTCCATCACCAGCTACCGTTCGGTGGCTTCAAGGAGTCTGGTATCGGCCGTGAGCTTGGTGAGGCCGCTCTTGATAATTACCTACAGACCAAGACTGTATCCATTCGCCTTGGTGATGCTCTCTTCGGTTAAGCAATATGAACCAAAAAATAATGTAATTTCAAGGAAATAGGCACAGCTTTACCTGCCTGTCATGTATATATCACCTAACGAGAAATTGAATCAACAATTTACCCCTCATGTTGTCCAACTCAACTTGGCATGACCAAATGAACCCGGCTTGGTTCATAAATCTTATCGAGCATATAATTGAGTTCTCGCATGACAAGTCCTCCTTGCATGACAACCTCCCAATTCTCGAAGTCCTATCCCTGTCTACTACACCCCACTCCTACCCCTAAGCTCTTTATTCATAGCGCGCCTCGAGACCAGATGAGGAAAACGCTCTCCCATGATCCCACCGCGAGACGATTTATCGCGGCTCCGCTCGTCCTAGCTCGGTTACCTGCGCATCCACCACATGTTCGCTCGCTCCACATCAGGCGCATCCGTTCCGTCGTTGACGCTATAACCCCACATTTGACTAGTTTAGTGTGTAGACAGAGAGGGGTTACGGGAACGTGGCAGGGTGGCGAAGCGGTTGGCTCATATGATTCTGTGTCTGTGAGACTCAGGCTGACCAAGACGAGCCCGCTGGTTATCGACACAACGGTACTCATTATTCGGGTGTAGATGGTTCTTGTTTTGATAACAAGCATATAGATTTTGGGGTATATTGTGTAGGTTCTCTACAGGCTAAGAAGGAGGTCCCACTACAGCAAGTGATGCTTGTTTGCGTGGACAGGGATCCTGACATATAGGACCACTCACCCGTGCGTATTCTGTTGCCAGTCTATATTTGAGGTCGCGAAGCTACACGTGATGTACGTAGTTTTTATCATTCCATGGTCTTGTGATGGGTTTATCGGATATTCAGGAGCCTCTTATTATACATTTTATCTATCCCGAAGGATCAAGATCAAAGACTAAGCTGACTTCTTCCTCAATACAGCAACACCTTCCACGTGGCCCGTCTGTGGGAAGAAATCGAATCCTTTCAAGCTTTCTATCTCGTAGATGCCCTTGCCCTCTCCGAGACCAGCATCAATGCCTTTCATGCCACCGACGAGAATGCCGACGTCCCTTGCTTGTGTATGCACATTGCAACTTACATACACGACTCGCTGAGGTCCATACTCGAGTAATTGGCGCAGGAAAGGCTTGTTGCATCCGCTCCTGGGAGGGTCGAGCATCATTACGGTTTCAGATGCAGGGAAGTCTAGCTTTGCAAATAAGTGTTCGGCATCAGCAGCCATGAAAGATGCCTGAGATTCTGGGAGGTTGTTGAGCTTGGCGTTTGTGTTTGCAGAATTGATTGATTCGGCAGAGATATCGATGCCGATAGAGCGTTGGAAAAGCGAGGATAGGGTGATGGTAAAGAGGCCGCTGCCAGAGTAAGCGTCGACCAAGTATGTGATCGGGGCTCCTGAATCATTTTGGGGCTTGATCACTTCGCGAATATACTGCGTGAAGGGAGAGAGGATCGAGTTGTTGTTTTGAAAGAACGATCCAGCCGGATTGACGAATACGAAGTCATCGATGTACTCCTTTGATTTGCCCTTGTTGTCGCTGATACATGACTTCTTATGTACGTGTTCGCCACGATCCTCCAGAACTATGACTGTCTCGTTGTCGTCATTCGACTCTTTGGAGTCCGTGTTGCCGGTTTGAGATGCCTTTGGTAGCCTCTCTGTGGTCTCTCGTAGGAGTATCGTGGCCCCCTTTCGGTAGCTTTTGATTTGCTCGGCCACGCGCTTCCTTTCTCGGCCCATACCCTTGCGGACTGCTTCGGTGCCAATGGGGCAATCTTCAATATCGATGGTTTGTCGTGTACCTTTCTTCATGAAGCCAATGTTTGGGACTTCTTCGAACTCAACGACCCGGCCCTTTCGGCCGTCGCTCCTCCTTGCATTCGGCGGACCATCAAAATGTGGCGTTAATTTGGTACGATACCCGTACTCCAGGGGAGAGCCCATCGTGAGATCAACACTTGGAACTAGCTCTGGCAACAGATTAGAGAAGTTTTGGTAAGCCTTTTGAACTATGCGCTGCTTGTGCGCGAGTTGATAGCTGTAGGGGAGCATTTGAAATTGACATCCAGCGCAAGTAGCGAAATATTGACATTTGATCAACGAGTCGTCTCGGTATCCTGAAGGTGACTCGACTTCCAGAAAGTCCGTCATCGAGTAGTTATTAGGGGTATGCCTGAAAACTCTGGCTTTGACTCTGTCGCCTGGTGCAGTAAACGGAACCACGTAAACATGTCCTGGATCCTCCTCCCGAGTCGCTAGTCCATCCCCTGTCGACGAAATGACCTGTACTGTCAATGACAGTTCTGTTTTCAGCTCAGGCAGGGACTTGGCGTTATGCTCGGTCTCAGACACAAGCGGCTCTTGACTGTCGATGTTGTCGACGATGTCGTCAGGAGACGCATGTGTCGCCAGTAGAGCCTTGACGTCTAGAAGTAGCACCTCATCATGGTCTCCAAGGGTACTTCCTCCATTGCTTGTCTTGCCCTTTTGTCTTTTGTTCTTGAATTTATACTGAGAATATCCATCGCGTTGTCTTTTGGGTGGTGCATAGTTGCGTTGGACGCCAGGGAGAATTATATTAGCAGAAGCCATACCACGACCGCAGAGTCTTTGATAAGTTGTTGGTAGGGCTCGTAAAGGCCACTGAAATACTGCCTTGTAGATCATGTGAAGCTCAAGCTGTGAGTCCTTTCGAGAGCACAGACATTTATTTTTGATGCATGGCGCGCCACGCCAAGGCCTTTAGAGCTCTAACCTTTACATTTATAAATCATCAACGTGCACGTCTACCTGATTGATTGCCTGGTGCGCATCAAGCAGTGCCATCATGAGCGTCTCGAGTCCTGCAAAGTCTCTTCTATCAAAGTCAAATGCCTTCCTACGATCGTCCCCGAGCGACCTCCGACTCTTTCACACTTCTTCCGCCGTCTGCGCCCGACGCCGTCCACGATATGCCAGTATCAGAGCCGATGACATTCAAACTATGCAGGATCTGCAGAGAAAGCTAGTACATTTCTCAGAACTAGACCAGAGTACCAAGAGGAGGCTCCGGAAACATAATATGTCGGCGTCGAACTTTTCGCCCACAGAAGACCAACTCACCACGCTCAATAAAGCAGCCGCTCAAATTAATAATCGATATGGGAAGGAGCATAAGGAAGCGCTGAAACTAGCCTACACACCTGCACAAGTGGCTGCTATTCGCGCTGCGGAACACTCGATTGATGACAGGGACTTCCTCACACAAGGAAAGATCAGGCGCGACGGCGCCCGGATTAAGTACAATGATGATGACTTTTCCAAAATCGACTATTTATACGACAAGCAACAGAAAGACACCACAGCCTGGCCACTCAAACAGGGCGAGGATATCAACTTAAAAACTGAAGATCAGCTATATGCAAAGCTTGCCGAATTCATACAGTCGTCAGGGAAGAAATACGTCAACACCGGGAAATGGCAAGCGAGCGAAGATACAGAAGATCGAGCAGAGGAAGGTTGGTTAGAAGAAATGGAAGTAGACTGGGAAAAGTTTGCAACGAATCCACGTACCCTCTTCAATGCGCCTAATGAGGAAACTTATAAGCTCCTCGAACAACAGCAGCTAAAAGCAACGGCTGCAGAGCTACCACGTCTCTCGGACAGAATCTCGAGAAACACTGCGACCGATATAGCTGATGAAGAAGATCCCTCCATGACGAGGTCGATGCTGCGCACTGGCCTGTCTGCTGATGACTTGAGAAAGATCTATACCAAAGTCCTTGTTCGAAGACATGTTGTTAACCAGACTCGAATGGGCAAGATAGGATCTTCATCCATGTTTGCAGTTGCTGGTAATCGCAATGGTATGATTGGTATCGGTCATGGAAAGTCGACAGAACCCACCGAAGCAGCTGCGCAGGCAAGGGCGCGAGCGATCAGAAACATGAAGCCGATTCTTCGTTATGAGAATAGGACTATTTATGGCGAGGTTTTTGCCAAAGTTGGTGCGACTGAGGTTACCTTGACTGCGAAGCATCCAGGTAAGTTCATCAAACATCATGCACGTTACACATTCTGACATTATTTTTTCATCAAGGATTCGGCAACCGTGCCATGCACATTATCTTCGAAATCTGCAAGATGGCTGGTATTCAGGACATCAGAGCATCCGTTCCGCGGTCACGAAACCCTATGAACATCGTTAAGGCGACCTTCGAGGCTCTGCACAAACAAAAGCTACCCGAAGATATCGCCAGAGGAAGAGGGCGAAAGCTGGTGGATGTGCGCAAGGTATACTATGGGGGCAAGACTCTATGAGCTCCTATTTTCGCTTTGTAGTAGCGAGCATTATATAAACTGGCGCATTGGACATGTATATCAGCTGCCTCGTATTGTAATTATACTATGTAAATAAGTACATTTACTGTGCTGAACCATCTGCCTTGACATGCTACGTTACCACTTCCCAGAGCTTTTGATATCACTCCTGCGAAATCTCGGTTTTCATTAAGTAGTTCATGCTACATGGTCGGTCTAATAATATCATGCTGTCTCTCCAGTGCTAATTAGCTATAATATCGTATGTCCAAACATACTTGATGTGATGATAGAACGAATGCTTTAATTCCATATAGTCTCTCTTTGATTCAGGGGCCAAAACGCAAAACATTCAGCAGTGGGTATTCGCTAGTGGTCACCCACCTAACTACTAATCCACCCCTAACCAGCTTAAATAGGCGGGAGCGAACGGGACCGCTTGTTTTCTGGTTGGTATGGCCGAATGTGGTTAAGATCCCGGATAGTATGAATATATTATGTTATCTTTACGGGTAATGTCTGTCTGTCGAGTCTCAAGTGTCCTAGAGCACGTAAGTAATAGTAGACAAAGCTAAGTTCAGAGACCTTATCGAGTTTATGAACATATCGTTGAGGTTCTGTCTACTCCTGTCCAGCCGTCCATGAGTTTCGTTCTGTGCAGGTGCCAACCTTGGAAACAGTCATATGATGACTCAGACAGCAAGTGGTCAACAATGCCTGATTGGATTCGGGATGAAAAGGGAGAAAGAGATGAACGCTCTAGGCAGCACTCTGTGTAATGTTTCATCTTCTAGAGCAGCGTCAGATGAATCACAGTGAAGCACTCGCTAATTGACTTAGCATGGGGCGGTGCACACATGCTTTGGCCCCAAGCCTTGTTTCATTGACGGACTGATACGGCAAATGGAGAGGATGAAATAAGTGAGTTGATACATTTAAGTGTGCTGTATACCCTTCAAGATATCCATAGAAATAGGCCTCAGCAAAATCAGAATTGAAGAGGGAAACACATTGCCAAAGAACCCAAAGACTCCCAATGGATCTGGCTAGCGCAATCTGTCCATCCATCTCCAGCCTGTCAGCAAAGATGCCTACGAAACGTATCACCGTCGCATTAAACACGAACCAATCCCAAAGAGCGCCCTTACTCCTCCCACTCACCCTTTCTCGCAATCCAGCCGACAGAGAATCCTGTAGAGCGCTTGTAATTAAGACTGCGCAGACCAAACTCAAGTTCAGGAAAGGTAGCCGAATCTTCGTTTTCCGCGACGGACGAGAGCTCCTCCAAGAGCAAGACTGGCTCGATGCACTGCGAGACGATGTTATACTTCTTGTATCTGCAGGCGAGGGGTATGTAGGGGTGAGGAAGGAGCCAACTCCTGAAGACGGGCGTAAGTTGATCACTACTGGAGTCTGTGGTGTCGCAATTGACGTCATACAGCTGTGCCCAGTCCAGATTGTTCGATCCACGTACTCGCGAAAAACGCACTAGTAGATTCACAGTCAATCGCGCAGATTGAAAATACTGTACGGACCTTACCTGGACTTGTGCACGCTTGTGGCCAGCCAGATCTTCATCCTGGGTCGAAATACCCGATCGGTGCGGTGTTTGTGTCCAAGCGATGGATTCATCCGCCGTTGATAGGAGGTGACATTGGATGTGGAATGTCTTGGTATAGAACCACGCTAAAGAGATCACAAGTCGACGACGACAAAGGGAAGAAGGTAGGCGAGAAGCTTCATGGGCTTGAGGGGCCATGGCGGTCACAGACTGAGCGGGAGGCCTGGCTGACGGAAGGGCATGAATCACATTCGGCTGGTGCGGAATGGGATGAGTCACTAGGTACGATTGGGGCAGGCAATCACTTTGCGGAAATCCAAGTGGTTGAGCAAGGCTCATCAGCTCTACTAGAGAATGAAGTGATTCTACTCGTACATTCTGGATCTCGTGGATACGGAGGTGACATCCTCAAGCGATACACCTCAGCTTCACAAGACAGCCTACATGAAGATGACGAGAAGGCGAAGGCGTATATGAAGGAGCACGACCGCGCTTGTAATTGGGCAAAATGCAACCGAGACTTGATCGCGCTGAGATTCCTCTCTTGTCTCGAACCGGGAGAAGACGCGTGGGCATTGGGTCAGAACAAGTGTCAAGTTGACTCCGACATGTCTATAGCTGACGTCAAGAAGACTCTTCAGCAGCGCAAAGTAGTTGACATCTGGCACAACAACGTCGAACGAACGAGATGGCCTCCGCGAAGCCCAGAATGCATAGACATTCAGCAAGCTACCTCGCTAGCGCTATCTTCGGACGCTCCCACGATCGTTCCAGGAGACGAGTACGTATACATCCACCGTAAAGGAGCTGCGCCGACCTATAATCCAAGCACAAACAAACCGTTAAACATCCTCCCGCTGCCAGGATCGCGGGGAACACCAACGCTCATTCTTCGACCGCGCTTTACGGCAAGCACGAAGTTTGGCCTCGACAATGCTCTCTCGCTTGCACACGGTGCTGGACGCAGCATGTCCCGCGCGAACGCATACCTGGCGATGACAAACCGATGGGGCAAGGCAGAGAGGCTCACCGTCCCCACCTCTGTATTGTTCCAGCGACCTCACGCAAAAGATGGATCTGACATACGTGGTGGGACATGGGTCATTTGCGACGAGAAGCAGCTGGTGTTCGAGGAAGCACCGGAGGCGTACAAGGACGTGTACCGGGTCGCGGAAGATCTGGTTCGAGCAGACGTGGCTGAGGTATTGGGCTGGTGTCGGCCGCGAGTGAGTTACAAGGTCAGAAATGAAGGGAGGTAGAAATTGTGAAGGAGAGCTTTATTGCATATATGGACGGTTTCACTGTGATGAAATTGCTTGGCAATGGTTGTTCGAGGCTGGTTGCGGGTTTAAAACAGGCTACATCGTTCGTGGCTTGCGGTTCTCCCTGGATGAATGTGCCTCGAATGCATACAGATATCGGCTTATAGCTCGACGAAATTATAAATGCCTAACGGGGACTTGAGGGAAATTAGGGGGACGGATCATTAGGCTGTGGCACTCTTGTGCTTGTAGATCAACAGTCATGACCGCGCCATGTACTCGCAATCTGCCAGTGACAAGCTGTCAATAAGCTTTCTAGGCTGCTGCAGGCTATGAAGCTGACAGACACTGCCACACGGCAGAAAGTGTGCCCATATAATCCCCCGCTGGCCAGATCTAGAGGTGAGACGGCAAGACGAACATGCAGGCTGCAGGGTAATTAGGTGGACGTAGAAGCAGGAGGCGTCTCCCGAGCGGCCGGAGGGCTGGCTGCCGAGATCATGAGTCAAGACTGGGACTTGAACCTGGTTAGGTATGAATAGAACAGAATGCGTATTAATTAGTACGTAGTAGACAACGATACGCCGCAGGAGTGCATAGGCGCAAGAGCTCGGCTGGACGTCGAGCGCTGCAGGTGCGCAATTATGTTTGACGACAGTCGTGCTGCTAGGGGCGCTTAGAAGCACTTCCAGGTTGTTGACTGCGGTGAGACGGAGCACGAATACGCATCTGGCTGCAGCACAGCGATAGAGACTCGCGGCCAAGTGGTCTGTTTTGATAGCATTGGCCTGTAGGAATAAGTATAATTGGCATACGATGGCCAATCATCCATGGGGAGCCCCTGAGTCGTGTTGTCGCTGGTTTCAAAACAACTGCGCTTGGCTGCTTCTGGTTGGGCTGCGGCGCTTGCAGCTGCTTTTTTCCCGCATCAACATCATCACCTCCACTGTGTATTGTGTATACAGTTGTCATGGAATGGGATAATCTATGTATGTGAAACGTCGTCCAAGAACGCGAATTTACTCAGCGTCCCGAGCATCAGACGAGCAAAGCCTTGCTATTTTCTGTCAAGCTCACGCCGCAATCCTCTTCGCCTTGTTGTGGGTCTGGGATCTGTCGTTGCGATGTGCAGCATGTGCAGCGATTCATATATTCCTCCTGCCGGCCCTTTTTGCATCCCGCGCATGTCTTCTTCACTTACATGTATTTAGACCCTCGTATCATTATATAACTCTTGACCTATTGCCCAGCCCGGCTTCCACAATTTACGCGCTTTTACTACTCCTTCACGTCCACCATCGCTTTAAGCGCCCAGTCTACTTTTGACGCCTTCACTAACTCCTGCTACTCTTCTATTCCTGTAACAACGGCTCTGTACAATTGTTCTGCCTCGTTGCCATCCCCTGCTTAATTAAACAGACCCATCACCACCCTCGTTGCTCTATTTCCGTAAAACATTCCGCGAGCCTCAACTTCTCCCATCTCTCCACATTCCCACACCCCAGCTCCTTAATACAAAGACATTACAAGACTACGCCGCAGGAACTTCAACAAACTATTTTGCCATCGCCTGGCCTATCAAAGCTGAGCCGCGCTTGCTCGATTTGCCCATCCTCACTATTGTTGTTGTTGTTCTTCATATCATGTAAGTTCCTTCCAACCTCATACCTAGGCCTCGTTGTTCCTTCCTTGCTTTCTCGACCACCCAAAGGTGCTATAAACACTGTTCTACCTCGTCTCTTCGTCAGCGTTAAGGTTCCTTAACCCCAATCATACTCTCCATAATCATTAGTAACACCTCACTCACAAGCGTTGTAGCGGCCTAAAGACTCTTTGACATATTCCTGGGTTTCTTCAGCACTGATTACACCCATCTTCTATCCGACAACCTGTCTTTAATCACAACCTCGCCGTCGACATGCGCTCTTACGCTCTTATCTCCGCTTTGCTCACCACCAGTGTAGCTGCCCAAACGACTGGGAAGCTTGGTGATGCTGCTATCATCAGCGATAACCCTGTTGGCGCTCACTATGTCGCCACTTTCCCAATAAGTGAGAAGAACACTGTTCGAGGAACCGTAAAAGCCGAGAGCAACCCAGACGGGAAGGGTGTTCACTTCGAAGTCTCTGTCTCGGGTCTACCAGAAGCCGGTGGTCCTTGGGGTATGCAGACTCTGGATCTTTCGTAACCATATCTACTCTTGCTAACACTGCAAAGGCTACCACCTCCACGCTATGCCTGTTCCTGAGGATGGCAATTGCACCAAGACCCTCGCCCATCTCGACCCCTACGAGCGAGGCAACACGCCCGCTGCCCCCAAGTGTGACAAAGAGAAGCCCGAGACCTGCGAAGTTGGTGATCTCTCAGGCAAGCACGGGGCCATGAGCGGCACATCATTCACCGCGTCGTACGACGATCAGTACGCCTCGCTCAAGGAGGGCATCGGCGCTTTCTTTGGCAACCGTTCCATCGTGATCCACTATTCCAACAGCACTCGTATCACTTGCGCCAACTTCACCATGCTCACCGCTGGCACTCCGGCATCCCCTGTCGGTACCGGTTCACCTTCACCTTCTGGTGGTTTTTCGTCGGTCGTTGGTCCGAATGGCACTGCGCCCCCTACCGGCGCCCCGACTTACAACCCTCCGGCGACACCCACTGGCTCTGAGCCGAGCCCGTCTCAAGGTGCTGGTAGTGTGATCAAGACAAGCTTCGGCTTTGGTGCATTGCTTGCTGGTGTTGTTGCATTTGTGCTGTAAAAACAGCCTGGGGTATTCTAGACGTGGCTCCATTTGGGGTTTCTCATGTTCTTCTGGCCAATTCGTCTACGGAAGTGGCTACTTAGTGTGCTTCTTTGCATCCTTTCTGTTCTCGTGCGTACGCATAGAGTGTCTGATAAGCATTGGAATTTTTCATTCTTGATACCCGCGGGCCACAGGGCGTTCGGCCAAAGGGAATAGTAATGCGATGGAGAGGCGTTATATGGGATTGTGGTAACAAAGGAAGGATTGTGCAGTTTCGATTCAGACAATGAATGGTTGGATGAACACTACAAATGAGCTGTTACTTTGTTGGTTGATGAGTGACTGAACCATGAATCTTGAAGTAGTCGCGAGCTGTGTACCAGACAAGACATTCTGTAACTTTTTTCAGCGCGACTCCTGGCACGCGTCGCGCGCAAACACTATCCTCCTTTTACTAGGTTATAAAATCTAAATCTCTAGATATATCTATATAAAAGATAGTGTTAGGTGCTGTTATACTTATCTTATATTTAAGAATATTTCTTAGACCGTTTCATAGTTTGAAAGGTCTATAAAGGAAGAAAAATCGAGAAATCTATATTTGACCTGTCTTCTCTAATTCTTCTCTAGGAATCATATAGGTATTAAGAATAGTAATTATGGGGTTTCAAGAATCCATGCGAAGATGCGCGAAAAACGCGTGCCAAGAGTCGCGCTAAAATCCATAGTTACAGACGGATGGATCTCTCTTATCCTGTCTCGCTCTGAAGACTTGGCGGCGAACGACCCTTATTGATGTCCTATTATTGTATCCACGCTGTGTACATGAATAACTCCTAATAGGGGTCCAAGATAATCACTGATCGCTAATCTACAATCATCTTCATAGTATAGTTCTACGACGTCGCCTTTAATTACAAACTACTTATGTCTGATAATCAGAGTACTATAAAGCAAATATACCTAAGGATACATATATTAGTAGTACTGTAGGAATTGCGCGCGGAGGTACGTCGGCGATCGGTGGACCCCTGCCCCTGTCCTGCTATCTAAAATATATCCATAATATGTACCCGAGCTCTATACAGAAAGAAAAATATACTTGTCTCTATATATATATATATATAGAATACTAAGGCAAAGCATGCGCGATTTATGGTCTATAGTGACATTCGAAAGCTTTAAATTTTACTAGGCATTCTATAACCTTACTATAATCCCTTCTATACTCAAAAAAAGGGCTTTTACGATACACTTCTTTCTAAGTATAATGTTTTCTTCCATACTTTCGCTTACGCTTCTTATAGCACTCTTCACTTCTCGTTCGCTAGCAGCTGTACGTGTCCGTCCGCTGGTGGGTGATACTTCTAGTCTTTCGCGAGGGAATCCGCTTCATTCTTCCTCGCAAGTACACCAAACTTATGCCTTCCATCCATCATGTGCTAGATATGAATACCGACCTGCCTTTGACGAATCCCTACGGATGGCTCGTCTAGCTCACCAGAGCCTGTTGAGGCAGCGTGGACCCCCGCGAGACCTTCGGTTTGCATGGAACTGGATCTTTGGACGAGTACCGGCTCAGAGCCAGGGCGAGATCTTCGTACACGGACGTGAAGAGATCCGGAACAACGTGCTGTACACGTTGGGTGATATTACCGCACTAGCAGAAGTTCCCTGGCATATGGCGGAGATTCTCATCTTTTGTGACGACAGCCGCTGGCAATTAGCTCCGACTCGTGTGTTCACCCCTCAGGAGATAAGCTCATTTCCCGGAGGGCATGTTCCCAGCAATCTACTCAACTCTGAGCTTCCAGCAGTATTCCAGACTTGGGTGGATCCAGTGACCGGTTCAGAGGACCAAGGTGAGCTGTTCTTTTGCAGGGACGACAATGAGGAATTATTCATCAATCGTTCCAACCAAAAACGGCGCAGTAGGCATCGGGTCATAATCTCATGGTGTGGGGATAACTGGAATAAACGCCCAAAGGATTCCCGGCGTCTCATTAGTGATCTTTTAGATTCCGATCCGTCAGACTCCGATCCGTCAGATTCCGTTCCAGGTAGTTACCCCGGTAGCGTAGAGGCCGAGGAAGAGACTGAGACTACCCCGATAGACCAGTTGGACTTGGATCATATCTCCAAATCGACTTTAAGTTCTTTATTCCTACAGATACTACTAGAATCACTACGCCAACCAAGTAAGTTCAGATGTGTTCCATTCTTGATCCCATATAACTTTATTCTGATATTACACCTACTTAAAGAGTGATATAGCCCTCCATCATACTTACACCTGGAGTGGAGTTCGTTTATTAGCATATGGCGACCCACTATTAGGGTCAACGAACACAATGAGTATTGGTAGGATTTAAGTGTCATTCAGGGTGTATAGAGCGTCTACTAATGCTATATAGTATCCTACTGTATTCTATCTCTCTCACAAAGTATGGGTCTTAGACTTGATCAAAATAATCCGGAGAGTGGGAAGATAGAACCCATTCCATAGGTAGCGAATAAGTCTCATAAAGGAGTCACGAAAAACAATCTAAGAAAGTGAAAATTTCAGAGAAAGAGTAGTCGTTAGTGTTTACTCTATATCTCTAGCATGAGAATATGCAGATATTAGATAGATAGTATCTGGTAAACTAAAAAGACACATGGAATAATAAAATGCTACGCGATTCGGAGAACATGCTTATCTCGACGTGTCGGTGCAGGTGCCGTGCCAAGTCGTGATAGAACATGATAGAGATCAGGGATGCTAATATGGATTGTGATATGAATGTACATTCTATCGTCGTATTGTATTGTAAACAACAGGTGTGCTTGATATTCGATGTCCACTTATTCCCACAGTCCATGATAGCCATCTGCCCTGTCCGCATTCGTTCATTCATATTTTTATTATTTTCATACAGAAGCCATACGCCAACTGCATTTCTCGCATATCAAACTCTACTACTTAGTTAATTGCTTGGTCTCTTGAAATGCGGCTTCAGCGCGCCCCAGCTATGCTCCGAGTAGTCCGCCTGGACCTTTGCGCACTGCTTCAGACCCCACTCCGTGACGCCGACCATCAGCGCGCTCTCAAACATGAACGCCATGCTGCCCTCGCCCACCTTGACGGGCTTGAGCTCTGCATTCGAGGCCTTTTCATGCGTGCTCGCGTCCGGGCCGTGCGCGCTCATGACGTTATGCAGGGATGCGCCAGCAGGCTGGAAGCCGCCTCCCTCCTTGGCGTCGTATTGGCCGCCGATTAAGCCCATGAATTCGGACATGGTGTTGCGGTGGTACCACGGTGGACGGAACGTATCTTCGCCGACGAGCCATCGCGGGGGGAAGATGACAAAGTCGGCAACGGCAGTGCCCGGGTGGTCGGACTGCGCGGTCAGCACGGTGAAGATGCTGGGGTCAGGGTGGTCGAAGGAGATGGAGCCGATGGTGTTGAAGCGGCCCAGGTCGTACTTGTACGGATAGTACAGTCCGTGCCAGGCGACCACGTCGAAGGGCGTGTGGTTCTGCTTTGCGGCGAAGAGGCGGCCTGCAAATTTGGAGAGGAGCGTCCAGGACGAGGACGTGTCTTCGTCGAAGAAGGCTGTGGGTGCTTGGAAATCGCGCGCGTTGGCGAGGCAGTTGCTGCCGATTGGTCCGAGTTCGGGAAGGGTGAAGTGGCCTTGGTAGAGTTCGAGGATGTAGCCACGCACCGGGCCTGAGGGGAGGGTGACGCGGTATCTTATGCCACGGGGGATAACGCAGATTTCGTTGGGCCGTACGAGAAGTCTGCCAAGTTCGGTCTGGATGTCGAGGACGCCGTGCTGGAGGACAATGAGGAAGTCACCATCTGCGGAGTAGAATGCTTCATGAGAGTCCATGTCCTTGCCAGCTGCGAAAATAAATACTCCTAGACCTGTCTTCATTACTGGGTCTCCTGCGCCGGCAACGAGGTGTAGCGAATTGACCCAGTCTACGGTATCATCCATATCGAAGGGGTCCCATCGCAGCTGATTGGGTATTTGGAAGAACTTCTCTTGTGCGCTTGGCTCTTGATCTGTTTTTGAACTTGACGATTCTCGGGGTTCGAAAGGACTGTGATTCGAGGCAGGAAGTATACGGTACAGCCATGACTGCTGATTCTCGTGCCGTGGAGCTGTGAAGGCTGTGCCTGAAAGCTTCTCTGCGTAAAGACCATACGGAGGTTTCTGAGGCGAATTGGTCCCTATCGGAAGAGCACCCTCTATGGCCTCTGATCTATAAGGGGTATAAGCTTGGATACATGACTAACATCCGATCGGGACGTACTCATGGTAAGAGTTGAAGCCATTCTGGTATCGATATTTTTCTTTGATGACGAATTGAGTGGAAGGCATCGTGCTCGTCGCAGTAATCAGGGTTCCCAAACTCAGTAAGATTTCTAACCGTCAGTTTGATATGAGTCGGCTTGACTTTAGGGTCTCTGGAGCGGATGATGTTGTGAATGACGCGTTGTATGGAATCGGCTTTGGTTTTCGAGGGTAGGGCCTTATTCGGGTCGTAGTAGGTGGCTTGTGAGGGTATCCTGGGAGCGTCCGGAGTAATTATCATGATTGCTATAACGTTGTCCTTGGATAGCCGCTTCAGCTCAGGTTGTGCAAACACGTAATAATGCCAGAGAGGACAGGCAGCGTTAAGCTTCCGCACCGGCTTTCGGAATGTTGGACAAAGAGGGTCCCAGCCCTGTTTCCCTGCATTCCCTGCCGACGAAAACCGCTTTCTTTTTTTTGGCCCGGACCCCACGGCGGAATTAGCCCGTCTCCTGTAAAATCCGATGTGGCGCGCCGTCGCTTGCCGCGTCGTCTCATACAGCTCCCGCTGCTTAGCTTGTCCAGACTCAGAATTTACACTTGCGATGTGGTGCTCGGATTGATTCCCACCTCATCCTCTAAGCATGTCCTCCCTTCGATCCTGGTTCAGCATTCCTCGCGGCTCACACTTCTCCCTCGCAAATATCCCCTTTGGCATCATCTCCACAACCGACTCGCAGAAACCCCGTGTCGCGGTCGCGGTCGGCGATCACGCACTTGATCTCGAAGCCTTCGCGGCCAGCAATGGCTTCTCCAAACTCTCCTCCATCCAGGCTCACCAAGCAGTCTTCTCCGAGCCCACGCTGAATGCCTTTGCCGCCCTTGGCCGACCTGTTCGCGCGACTGTGCGTACATACATACAGACCGTGTTCGCCGAAGATACAACTTTTCCAGACGTTTTGAAGCTAAATAGTGAGGCGCAAAAGAGTTCACTCATACCCCTGAAAGATGTAAAGACACACCTTCCGTTTAAGATAGGAGACTACACAGACTTCTACGCTGGCCTGAATCATGCATATAATGTAGGCGTAATGTTTCGAGGGCCAGAAAATGCTCTGCAGCCAAACTACAAACACTTGCCAGTAGGCTATCATGGCAGAGCTTCCTCGGTCGTGGTATCGGGGACGCCTATAAGGAGACCGAACGGTCAGATTCTGGAGAACCCAGCTGCAGACCCAAAGATACCTGTATTTTCAGCATGCCGCAAGCTTGACATGGAACTGGAGCTTGGGGCCTTTGTCACCAAGGCCAACAAGATGGGGGAACCCATACCGATTGACGAGGCACAAGATAGCCTTTTTGGAGTGGTTTTGATGAACGACTGGTCTGCAAGAGACATTCAGGCTTGGGAATACGTTCCCTTGGGACCGTTCAACGCGAAGAACTTTGGAACAACGATAAGCCCATGGGTTGTGACAATGGACGCTCTGGCGCCATTCCTCGGTAAGGGCCTGGAGAATGATGCCGAAGTGCTGCCCTACCTCAAAGAGAAGAATCCAAACAGCATACCGGACATCCAGCTGCAAGTGGATCTTACAAGTAGGCAGGGCGTCGTGAGTCTTTTTGCTAGACGGCTAACATGCTACAGCCGACTCGGGAACTACAACCACCATTACCAAGACCACATCTCGAAACCTTCTGTTCTCGTTCCCTCAGATGCTGGCACACCACTCGATAACAGGATGTCCGATGAAAGTAGGAGACCTACTGGGATCAGGAACTATCAGTGGCAAGGAAGTAAATTCTCGAGGCAGTCTGTTGGAGCAGAACGAGAATGGAAAGAAAGACATTGGACTGGCGGGTATGGAAGTGCGAACGTTCCTGCGGGACGGAGACGAAGTGACGATACACGGAGTATGTGGGACGGATCAAGATGGGCTAGTAGGGTTTGGTGAATGTCGCGGGACGATAGAAGCTGCAATCCGCATTGCAAAGTAGACACGATGCGATGCATCCTGGCTCCCGCGTTGAGGTGTATCATAACCGAAGAGTTGCACTCTAATTCGCTGCGCGATGGACTCCTGCAGGTAGTGATATCAGGTCGTCAACATGACCAACTGCCGATATGCGGGTAGGTTCCGCACTCGCACTTCCTGTCCATATAGGGGCAGTCTCTACCCTGCCTGATCAAGAGGTGCGGATGATGACCGTTGAACCCCAGACCGAGGTTCGCCCGACCCCGCATTGCGCCCAACAGCAACAGGGGAAAAGCGGTGACACAACAACAGCAATGACAGCAGCGACGATCGTTCATGCGGGGAAAGCCCAATGCAGAAGCGGCTGCAGGTGCGCATTCGACAGGCCCCTATGCGCAGTCGCTGTCACGTCACAGCCCCTGTCCCTCCTCTATTTACCAAGGTAATGAATAATGGATGATAATACACCATCGAGGACGCATTATTCCGTTCTCCTTCACCCTCACGGCCATTCTCACGGCCATTCTCACTACAAAGTGCCGGCACTCGACTCTGTGGCTCTTTGGCGCAGAATTCACAGATGCACTACCGGAGAAAATATAACAACTTGAATCTTGCCTCCTCCTCCGTGCTAACGTCGTACTCGTGCATCCCCTAACCTACGACTTGACCTCCCTCCCCAAGGTTCCTTGTCCACCCTTAACACCTTTCATTCCGCCTTTGCCCCATTGTCTTTTCTTTGCTGAGTGTTGGAGGTATTCGTCGCCATGGCCTACGAAGTCGCTAGCTTCGCCATTGTGGCTGTCATATACGCCCTATGGCGATATGTGAACCACACGGACATGCCCAAGATCAAGGGCATACCCGAGATTCCGGGTGTTCCGTTGTTTGGAAATCTGCTACAGATGGGCACCGCACACCCAAAAGTTGCACAGAGCTGGGTCGAGAAGTTTGGTCCTGTGTTCCAGGTGCGCCTCGGTAACAAGGTAAGTTTCCCTCTCCTCCGAACGTCACCCTTCAATTTGCAGACGTCTATATGGTGAGCACGTGAACAGATGTCGTGAAAAGAGCTTGGTAGAGCATTATACTACCCCTTTACTGTACTGCTGTTATTGTTGTTGTACCATGACTGTGGACATGCTCAGCAGCAGAGGCGCTCTCAGGGGCTAACCTACCACCAGCGCATCGTCTTCGCAAACGACTTCGAGTCTGTCAAACACCTGTGGATCACGAACCAGTCTGCTCTCATCTCCCGGCCGAAGTTGCACACCTTCCACACCGTTGTCTCCTCCTCGGAGGGCTTCACAATCGGTACCTCGCCATGGGACGAGTCGTGCAAGGCTCGGCGAAGGGCCGCTGCCACAGCTCTCAACCGTCCGGCCGTCGAGACATACATGCCCATCATCGATCTTGAATCTACTGTCTCAATCAAGGAGATGCTGAAGGACTCCAAGGGCGGTACCATCGAAATTGACCCGCACCCTTACTTCCAGCGCTTCGCCCTAAACACCAGCCTGACTCTCAACTACGGCTTCCGAATCACAGGTACTATTGACGACACGCTGCTGAGGGAGATCGTGCACGTCGAGCGCGAGGTGTCAAACTTCCGCTCTACTAGTAACAACTGGCAAGACTACATTCCCCTCATGCGACTCTGGTCCCGCCAGAACAGCGCCGCCGGTGAATACCGCGCTCGCAGAGCAAAATACATGAATAAGCTCCTCCGCATGCTTAAAGAAAACATTGCGAATGGGACAGACAAGCCGTGCATCTCCGGGAACATCATCAAGGATCCCGAAGCCAAGCTCAACGACGGTACGTCCTCGTCATCCTATCCCCTAACAACAACCCCATACTAACCTCCCCACCATAGCCGAAATCATGTCCATCGGCCTCACTATGGTCTCCGCCGGCCTAGACACCGTACCAGGCAACATTATCATGGCCATCGGCACCCTCGCCTCCTCAACGGGCCAGGCCATCCAAGCCCGCGCCCTTGCCGAAATCCGCAAAGCCTATCCCAACAACGACGCCTGGCACCGCTGCCTGCACGAGGAAAAAATCCCCTACATCACCGCGTTCGTCAAGGAAACCCTCCGCTTCTGGACCGTCCTGCCCATCTGCCTGCCGCGCGTCAGCACAAAACCCATCACCTGGCGCGACGCCGTCATCCCCGCAAACACAACCTTCTACATGAACGCCTACGCCGCCGACTACGACCCCACTCACTTTGAAGACCCGTACGTCTTCAACCCGGACCGCTTCATGGATGTTCCCGACGGCGCGGGGACCCCGCATTTTGGCTTTGGTGCGGGCAGTCGTATGTGCATCGGCTCGCATCTTGCTAATCGTCAGCTGTACACTGCGTTTGTCCGCCTGATTAGTGCGTTTGATATGTCTGAGGCCGTCGATCCGCGGAATCGCCCCGTGCTCGACTGCCTCGAGGCGAATGCGATCCCGACTAGTCTGACCATGGAGCCGAAGAAGTTCAAGTGTCGCTTTGTGCCCAGGGATCGGGCCAAGCTGGAGGAGTGGATTCGTGAGAGCGAGGAGTTGACAAAGGATTTGTGAAAGGGGGGGGGGGTTCCGAAGGTAAGGTTGTTGTTGTCGGTCGAAAAAAGTTTTTTTTCTTTTGTGGGCGCGGGGAGGAATAGTGGAAGAGGCTAGAAGAAGGTGAGAGGGGAGATGTTGTGGATGTTATGGATGTTATATATAATGATAATGTCGTAATATCAACCCAATGCCACCTACCTCAGGCTTTTAGTAGTCTACAGTCTAGGATTTCTCCATGCTACTCACATATACTGTCGTCCAGTGGTACAGTGTGTTACATTCAATGCCTACTTACACATCGCTTCGTACGTCATAGTAGAGCTGGGCAGGGCAAGACATGCACAAAGGTATGTGCGCCACGCGGGAGACGCTCCCAATATCGACAGCAGATGTTTTACATTATGTTTTGCATCTCGCGATATGTTATGTACAGTGTGCATCTTCCGCTTCTTAAGAGCAGATATGTCCGTGTCTGTCGGGATGCCTACTCAAACTTGTGGCAGGATAGTCGAGGTATCTTGGCAATATCAACCCACTCTGATTTCGAAACGCCATACGTACTATGCTATAATATTCAGAGCAACTGAAGCCCATTTGATCCTTGGCCTGGTCTACAATACGTCTGCCAATTCCTACTCATCATCATCATCATCCTCATCCACTACGCGCCGTCTCTTGTGCCTCGAAGTTGTGGTGACTTCGTCATCATCTTCATCGTCGGCTTGGTCCTTGCCGGCACGCGACCTTTTCGGCGAGGCTCGATCCATGATACCATCGTCTGGATCATCGTCATCGGCGACCTCTTCCTCTTCATCACTGCCTGCGATAAAGTCATCTTCCTCGTCATAGTCGTCCTCCTTGGTGTATCGTCGACCGCCATATTCCTCATCGTCGCTGTAGTCGTCGCGTCTCCTTCTGGGCTTGGCTCGGCTTGCGCCCTTGCCACTCGAACGACCTTCACCCTCCAGTCCACCAACCGACAGGCCCAAATTCGACCGACCAATACCAGACTGTTGAAATCGGCGGTTTGAGCGTTCTTGCTCCCGTATGACCTGCTTCTCTCTAGACCTCGCCATCTTGGTCTTCTCTCTCTCCGCAGCTTCGGCCCTGCGCTTCTCCATCTCTGGATCTTCTCCGATATTCTCAACCTTCATGCTGGCACCAAGTCCAAACTCTCCCTTGCCGTGCATTGCGATGTTCTTCTCTAACTTCTCGCGAGCTTCGTCTACAGTGTTTGCCGTCGGTTGGATGGTAAGGCCCGCAGTGATTTTGTTGGTCGTGCGCATGACTCCCTGAGACAAGTAAGGAGAAACCAGGTAAGTAAATGAGTCCTGATTGACGTTGTAACCAGTTGCTGCTGTCTTGCCCTTAATGCCCTTCAGGCTAGTAGGTGTCGGCTTGGGAGGATTGCGCTGTGGAGGTGCTAGAGCGTTGCCTTCGATCTCGTATTGATTCAGCGGATCGGAAGCTAGCTGAAGAGTCAACGACCCATCCGACCACCGCAAAAGACGTGCGTTGGACTGTAGCTCTTTCCTGTCCGAAGGTGAGACACGCCATCGTATAGTTGTCATGGCGGTGTTGTAGGCGGAGAAGGTATCCGAAGGCGGACCGGCCGAATGGTGATCTGTCGTCGGAGGCTGGAAGCGCAGATGATCCCAAGCAGCATGTTGCATTGCAAGGAAGCGGGCAACTTTCAAGAGGTAGAGCTATACAATGTGAGCCGACAGACATACAATTTACAGGGAGCATAACGTACCTCTTGATCATGGCCCTCTGGTATCTTGTGGCGTGGTAGTTGCAATTCGATGACTGCTTGTTGGATCTCCTCGTTTTCATCCTGCGGGCTCTCCTCACTTCCGCCGCGAGCGTATTTGTGCAGGTCGTCGTCTGGAGAATCAACGTCCTGAGTCTCGACTATGTTATTGCTGGGACTTTGGTTAGTATAGGTCCGACAGTGGTATACGAATTCAATTAGAGCTTACGAAGAAGCTGCGATTTCGTCGTTCCCATCATCATCATCGCCGAACAGATCCTCGTCGTTGCCTATGTCGTCTTCGCTGTTGTCCAGTGCGGTACCATCTTCAGCCCCGTGAGACTGCTGAACATTGCCGTCTTCAATATTGTTTCCAGCCTCAACTGACTGAGCTAGATCATGGTTATCTCCGGAGTCGCTCATGGCTGCTGCTGGAATGTAGACGCGAGGTAGTCGCGATGGTTGGAGGAACGCGCAAGTGTATTCCTGGGAAAAGCTTTGCAGCAACTTCGTAGAGAAAGAGGTTGTGAGGATAGGGAGATGGAGTAGAGTTTAAGCTGAACACACGACAAGTGCTGACTCCGCAGTTGAGGTGAGTGACAGTATTATATATACTTAAGAGCTCGCGAGGTAAAAGCAAGCTGAGGTCAAGTTCGAATTCCGACTGCGCGCGCGAGCAGCCACATTGGGTTAGCGCCTTCTGCGGAATAATTGAAACCTCCCTTGAGCTGAAACAGCAAGCGCAAATGGCAATTGCAACGACAACCCCCTGTGCCACTATTATTCTCTCCCTATTTCCCATCTGCATCCTTCGCCCACGCAGTATTAGCACCTTGTTTGGTCTCCTCCAGGGCTATTCTATCCAGAGTTCCTGATAAGCGTAGTCTGCTTGCTCTTATCGGATCTTGTACATACGTAGACGCGCCGCCGCAAGACCGAACATCCAAGTATGGCGTCGTCGTTCTTCTCAAGTGTGTAAGTAGACATCCCCTTATTGATATTTGTCTAGCGTTGCGTCTCATGTTTTGGCCTTCCTCAATCAATGCTCCTCATAAAGCTTGTCCCCCACTCATCTTGTTGTATCTTGCGCATCACATCCATAAATTGTCCCTTCTATACACGGCCTTGTATACATTCACTCTGGCCCCACTTGACATAAGAATGTCCACGGAAAGGATCATACCTTCCACTTTGGAGGGCTCCCTTTGCTCCAGGGTTGCCCTCTACTTTTAAATGACCTGCTGCGCTTCTCCACGTGGGCAACACCAATGTCACAGAGGAGGGACTGTACTTCTTTCATTCTACTCTTCTCTTCAATATTTCAATATGCCCTCGTCATGGAGCAAGCCACATAGAAAGATCTTGAAGCTGCTTGAAGCCAACAGCCCAAGGCTGGCTCCCTCTCCCGAGCCTGCATCTCCTCTTGAGCCTACACCGTCTTCTGAAAGTCTAATGCACCGTCTTCGCAACGTTACCCTTCCCTCATATGGCCAGTATGCTGACGTCGCCTGCAATGAAAGCCGGGGTTTTGGTCGTCAATCAAACAAAGGAAATCAGCAGCAAAACAAGAACGGACAACAATCACCGTCGCCTACTCCATACAGTCCAAATTCGTCAATGGCCCCTTCGGTCCCCGCAGTACCACAATCGCCTTCGCTATCGTCGTCTTTATCTGCTGATGCTCAAGGTTCCGAAGCACCTACCCGCAACAAGCCAGCTTTTTTTTTTCGGGACGAGTATTCGAACTTGATCGTGAAGGGGAACTTCATGACACTGGCAGCCAAGCCCATCCTTGTTGAAGAAGGAGAGTGGCTCGCTCATCAAGGTTTGCATCAATTATACCCAGGAGAACAATAGCTGATCGGTCCACAGTTGTTGAACAGTATAGACTTCTCGAGCAGATGATTGATATCATCAAACTTGCCGATGAAAGGACTGGTATTCCAATCTGCAACCCTAATGTCTGTCCGACTATGTCAGCCTCTGGGTACGAGCACTTCCATCATGCCAAGTTGTCTTCCCCGTGTTAACGAGCTTTAGTCACACCTACACCTGGCTGGACCAGCAAAAGAAGCCCATTAAAATCCCTGCAATTCAGTACATGAACCTTGTGCAGAAGTGGATCATCGGAAAGATCAGCGACCCAAACATATTCCCGACCGAGACCTCGAATTATAGTAGTACATTCGCACCTGGCAATATTGCCAACGCAGGTGCAGGTGTACAGCCTCGGGCTAACCCTGCAGATGTAGGCCGCGACTGGCTTGGTAAATCCTCTGGCTTTCCAGAGAGTTTTGAGGGCGACATCAAATCCATCTACAGACAGATGATGCGCTGCTATGCTCACTTGTACCACGGCCATTGGCTGGATCCATTCTGGCACATCGGAGCGTACAAGGAACTCAACACCTGCTTCATCCACTTTATCAATGTCGGAAAGCTCTTTGGCTTGTTGGGCGACAAGGAGATGGAGCCGATGCAGCCGCTGATTGATCTCTGGCATATGAAGGGATTGCTTCCACAGCCTGCTGCAGCTGCTGCCACTTCGTCGGCACCTGCCTCTGCGACACCAGCTTCAGCACCTGCCGCTAGCCCTGTCGCCCCAGCTCCAGCCTAAGTGTCAAGAACAAGCCAAGAGGTTGGATACTTATGGAGGATCGACATGCCGGGTATATTATGGTATTGCCCAAACCTGACTATATGGAATTTGAAATGCATGTTAGCGGCGTTGAGGACGTTTCAGGCATGAATATATATGTATGGCGATACTCGCTAGGTGGATGAAATTGCGGAACTGAGCTTTGAACGAACCAATGGATTTGCTGCGTTAATTATTGCATCCGTTACAACTGAAATATATACGGCACTTAGTTGTGTAAAGTCCCATGTCTCTGTGAATACGTTGGGCGGATCAGGGTCGCGGTGCAAAGCGATGAGAAACACGGCGCACTCAGCATTGGGCACAGTGCAGAGCAAAACGCACAAATAACTACTTGAACTAACCCGTCTATGGCGAGAGAACTACCCATCAACACCAATTCCGTCCGCCTCGCATTTCACCGAGACCAAAGCGGAACTATTTGGGCAAAATGATGGTAAGGCCACGCCTGAACAAAAACAACGCGTCACGAAAGCAGACCCGGGTGTACAACCACAGCCTCGCGAGGACACCAAGATTCGAGGAAGAGGAGGCTAGAGCAGAATAGAGAGAGAGATATGTCAAATTTGTATGTGTGAGACAGGCCTTTTTTCGTTGCCCATTTGTGAAGGCCCCCAGTAGCCCAGTGTAATGACTCCGGGAAACTGAATTTCGTCATTGATCCGCTGTGAGACGTACATGGAAGAATGGAAGGTCGTAACGGATGGTAGGGACATTAAAGCACGGCCCAGTGCGTGAACGCTGGGATGTTGCTCGTGCATGCTTTCGTTGTTTCAGTCGCTCTAATTGTGGCCCGCCTTGCGAAGGGAATTGCTCAGCCATTCGAGACCCTCGTAGAGACCGTCACCTGAGGTGGCGCAGGTAGATTGGATGTACTGGAATTCAACAGTTAGTATCTTTCCATGATGGTATACATACGCGACAGCTTACCCAGGCACGTTGGCGGAGACTGTGGAGTCCGAGTTTATCAGTGATCTCAGCAGCATTCATGGCGTTCTGTAAGGCTCGTTAGTAGGGTTTGCCGTAGTGGAGCGATAGCTGAACGTACCGGCAGATCCTGCTTGTTGGCGAAGACCAAGAGAAGAGCGTCCCGAAGTTCGTCCTCGTTCAACATGCGCTGGAGTTCTTCGCGAGCCTCGACAACACGGTCGCGATCGTTACTGTCAACAACGAAGATGATACCCTGAGTGTTTTGGAAGTAGTGCCTCCAGAGGGGGCGGATCTTGTCCTGACCACCAACATCCCATACCGTGAATGAGATGTTCTTATACTCGACAGTCTCGACGTTGAATCCTACACAGTGTGTGATGAGCGCGGGAATAATTGATGGTGGCTAGGCAATATCACAAACCGATGGTGGGGATAGTTGTTACGATTTCACCCAACTTCAACTTGTAAAGGATTGTGGTTTTTCCGGCAGCATCCAAACCAACCATCAGGATGCGCATCTCTTTTTTTCCCCATAGTTTATCGAATAGCTTCGAGAATGTAAGACCCATATTTGCGGTTTTATATGAGTGATAGGGGTGTTGTTTTTGGTTGAGCTTTAGCGGTAAGACCGAGTCCTCGATACTATGACACAAGGTCAATGTCAGCAATAGAGCGCAGGAATGTCAAAGATGCCGAGTGAATAGTATGCGAAGAGGTATAGAGCGTTTGGCGCTGTTGGCTGGGACATGACCGCGGTGGGTTGGATGGAGGATGCAGATAAGCCGCTGCTATGGCAGGCGGCTAAGCGCCTCCATGGTGCAGCAGTATAGCAGAGGTGACTTACACTCAGCGAGCAAGTAGAGGCGTTATTGATTGAGATGTAGAGAAGACGTTCCCGGGATGGTCGTGTTGGTATTGGGGAGGATTGAGGTGGAGGGAGTAAGAGTGAAGGTGCAGCAAAGACACCTTTAGCGAGCCAGAACCAATGCGGCAAAATTTCGTGTCCACCGCTACCGCTACCGCTCTACGACTATGAAAAGGCTCGTGACTTTACGACTTCAGCGTAACACAAAAATTTACTGGAGCTGAAGTGGCATCTGATATTTCCTTCTTCGCTGATACTTCTGCGACTTTTATGGCTTCGTATAGACTTCCGCCTGTTCATGAAGACACAGTATCCGGATGTTAATCGTTTGGTCTGGTGGGTCACCGAATGCAGGCAGCAGAGCACAGCGCAAATAACAGCCCCCTACCAACAATCGATAAGCCAGATCTATCCCTCGGCGTGACAGGGCCACACCATGTGTCTTACCCCAAATCGCCACCCTACACTGCCACCATCTAGACTTTTCATTGCATCCGCGCAACGTGTCCCTCTACTTGTTTAATACACCTTATCAATGGCCGCCTGGAGCTCCATGATCCTTTCCATGACGGCCGCTTCTGTTTGCTCAGGTGGATCCTCATCGTGTTTAGTCAGTCTCGGATCATCGAAGAAGTATCGACGTATAACCTGAAATCCACACCTCTCGTACAGCCTTCGTGCAGCATGATTATAATAGTCAACGATCAGAGTGATGCGAGCGATTTGAGCATCCTGTTCTTTAGACACAACGCGCTCGATCGCGGCATCAATAAGCAACTTGCCAATTCCAAGGCCTCTATCAGACGGAGAGACGTATATTGCGTTCAGCTGATAATGAGGTACTGAGTCTTCCCCCTTTGCTGTGGCGTCTTGCATAGTCTCATTAGGACTGTCGACCGCTGATGCAACGACACTGTTGCCCTTCACCAAGGGATCGACCGAATTGTGGCCTTCCATAGGACCTGTGAGAACGATTGTTCCGAGCCATGGCTGGTAAAGGATGACTTCTGCCTGGTCGGCGAGTCTGCCCGATTTATCTCCTGGCCTGACCGCTACCAGTGTTTCGGCAAGAGGATTTCTCAGTCGTGTGTCCCACACGTCGTGCTCGAATGCTACTTCACGATCATACGAAGATGCGAAACACTGGGGAGATGCTTGTAGTGCTCCAAGTCGATATTCTTTCTGGCGCAGGACCAGACCTTTCCATATCTCTTCTGAAGAGTGCATTCTTGGTATCCAAATCGTACTGTAAATGGAGCTCATGGCTTATCAGCACATGAAATATGAAATCTAAAGGTCAGTAGCTTTAGTACGATGTGATATTGACCTCGCATATATATTCTGGACGGCGTAGGATCGCTAAACCTCGAGGAGCAGGGTCCTCTGGGGACTAATTAGACTGTCGCTCAAATCGCGTGTCGCGGTTAGTCTTCTATTACAAAACAACAATCTAACAAATCAGTCAGCGCTCTCAAACGCGGCAGAGTGCGTTAGATGATCTTCAAATAAGCATGTTGATCCCTCGCAGCTTTTCATTGCTCTGGTTAGATCTCAGCCAGGCGTTCCGACATCCCGTGTGCAACTAAGCTAAACTCACAACAGATCTCGTGGACTATTTCCAGACAGCCAAAATTGCACTTATGTTCCCAGAGTACCCTGTGAACATAATATATGAACTTGTGATTGCAAAAGTACCAAACGTTTAGCTTGTGGTCGTCACATACGTGGGGCTGTTGGTCAGTCGGACTGAGACATGAGCTCGTGCCAACATACGAGGACTTCGAATAGATCACATGGTTATGCCTATAGACCAATTCGCGTACATCGCTGGTAAAGAAAACTATAGTTATCAAGCCGACGCCACTTACGAATAAATAAATGCTACATTTTCCTCTGCTGTGCACTTGTATCTATGGAAGCGAGTCTAGAACCAGAGTCTCTTTCAGGGGCCTTACCCGACTATTACCAAGATATCGAAAACCTAAGAATCCGCCAGCGCTTCAAGGATTTCGATGATCCTAAGAACTATGAACGCTTTGACCTTGACGTTCGTAATCCTGACACGAAAAATCTGGTCGTAGATTTTGGAGACGACGAAGCTTATTGCGCTTCAAATCTGAACTCGAACGACATTGCAGATATACTCGATGCTCCTGTTAGTCCTCATCGCCGTTCTACTTACAGTGAATATCTAACATGACCACAGAGACCACCTTCGCTACATACCCGATGGATGTAAGCAGTACGACATGAATGCAAGATTGGAGAGTTGACATTCCTAGAAATATTTGGATGCCGTATAAGCAGAAAGACACTTTACACGTACGTGGCTCTGTGGTATCTTCGAAGAGCGAATTCTCTCTTTGCCCTATGCATGTTCATCCCAGTTGCGTTCACAGCTGATAGATACAGAACATTGCTAAAGTGTATGACTTCTCACCACGGCTCCTTGCTGTTATGGTTACGGATCCAATACGAGTTGCAAAGCCAAATGTCGGAAAAAGCCACTCGAGTCTGATACGGCGACTGAACCCCCGAAAATCCTCCAAAGAGACATCAGTAGACCTTGAGAAAAGTCTCGATGGAATTGAATCTGTTGAGCATTCAATCTTAGGAGAGCCGGAGCAGTTGACCCAGGTGGAGAACCACTACCAAATAGCACATGGTGAGTAATGTGTGTCATACCATGTCAGTGTGAATCTATTTACTTAACACAAATGCTAGACGTGTGGCACTGGTCAACAGTGGACTGGGGTAGGCGCTTTGTATGTATTGGGTACAACTCACTGTACCCTATAACCTCCGTATCGCGAGATCGCGTAGCGGAAAACTCAGAGTCGAAAGACTTACCGGAGGGAATCCGGGTCTGGACGTGGCTAATCTTGACTGTCGATAGTATGTCCATTCATCTAGTCTAAGACGATGGCTCATTCGTATAGAAACCGTCATCAGTATCAGAGAAGACCCATTTCCCTATCACAATGGGATCTACGAGGTTCATGAAATGAGGTCTATGCTGACGATTCGCCGAAACTTAATCAACGTCTTTCGACAGCTCTCAAAAGTACACGATTCATCACACGAGAACGCGATGACTATTCTGCCTATTCGAAGGCGCATTGGTGAAACAGTGGAGGAGACGGCACACCGGCCTACTGATGCTCCTGGTCTCCTATTTTTCTATTTATTTGAAGACTGGTTCTCAGCATTCAATCTAGTGGCACGACGGGAGCATCGTTACGCCGCGGAGTTGAATAAATTGGTAAGATTGGAAAACTGTTTCTAAATAACGAATAGCTTACGCCACTCAGAGGGAAGAAATGCTTGTTAAGGCAGAGCTATTCCATATCGATAGGTTGCATCATATCGGCAGACAATTAGCTGTCCTGAAACGGCTCTACCAGAGTTACGAACTTCTCATAGAACGTGTGTTGGAGAAGCAAGAGGCGACACTAGCGTCCATGAAGAATTCGCACATAGCATCAGGACTGGATTCATTGCAGTCATCTCGCCACCAAATAATGGAAGCTGAAAGTCTGCTCGGTGTGTCATTGAGCTCTGCGGCGAAGGTTCGGTTTGCAAGATTGAGGACGGCGATTCGGCTGTATGCATTGAGCGAGATGCAGGAATGTCTGGACCAAAAAGAGTCTCTAGTCATGATGGTAAGTCATCTGATTTCGATACTGCGGAGAGGCTAATCAGTTTGTCAGAACTTTAATCTCATCGCGATCAAAGAATCGTTCTCCGTTGAACGTCTAACACGTATTACACTTCTGCTTGCCAAGGTGACCCTACTCTTTATGCCTGTCAGTCTTATGACGGCCTATTTTGGGTCAGAATTCGTCAATGCAGACTTTACGGTAAAGCAATATTGGATCTGGTTTGGAGTTATCCTTGGTACATCAATCTTCGCTCTTATGATATTTAGCTTCGCCAGTGGCACGATGGAGGGACGTATCCTGTACCGGCCCCTAACGCGTCGTATATTTGATGCGATCAGCAAGCAATTCAAGCGGCACGGTACGACTGACTGATAGCGTGCCAAAATGAGCCAATATAGGTACTATACAGAACTTGCTTGATAGCTGTCGAATGTCGAATATCGAATGTCGAATGATGACAGAAGCTCATATTAAATCCCTCGAGTCACAATTTTATCAAGAATACACTGCAGATTGTTTAGCTTGATACAGCCGGTATTGTTATCATTCCGAGTACTAGTGATGAACGAGTCTCGAAACTTTGATAGACGTAGGTCGTTGGAGTCATCTATGGAGTAACCTAGTTGTGGAGCCACAGGAAGCTAATCTATCTAGGCCTAGTGCAAAGTAAGCGAAAGCCCACCACTAAGAGAACTTGTCGCATAGATTTTCTTCCTCTGTTTAGCAACTCACACCTACTGTTCACCAAAGAGAAATCTATTGGGAGACAACTTTCAAGATGTCGAAAATCACAGTAGCTGGCGTGCGTACAAACGTCAAGGAACTCCTTGACTACTCCAACAACGAGAAGAAGCGCAACTTTCTTGGTACATTCTATCTCACGCTGGCATTTGTTCAAGACTAATGAGAAGCCTGTAGAAACTGTCGAACTCCAGATCGGCTTGAAGAACTATGATCCCCAGCGTGACAAGCGTTTCTCCGGAACCATCAAGCTCCCATCCGTCCCTCGTCCCGGCATGTCCGTCTGCATCCTTGGTGACCAGCACGATATCGATCGTGCGAAGCACCATGGTGTCGATGCCATGTCCTCAGACGACTTGAAGAAGCTCAACAAGAACAAGAAGCTCATCAAGAAGCTTGCTCGCAAGTACGATGCCTTCATCGCTTCCGACACCCTCATAAAGCAGATCCCTCGTCTCCTTGGTCCTGGTCTTTCCAAGGGTATACACTCTCCACAATCTGTTTTCCTTAAGGTATACTGATCGTATTGCAGCTGGTAAATTCCCCACGCCTGTCTCTCACGCCGAAGACCTCGCTACCAAGATCACTGAGGTCAAGTCCACCATCAAGTTTCAGCTGAAGAAGGTTCTTTGCCTCGGCACCAGTGTCGGCAACGTTGGCATGGGCGAGGATGAGCTCATCGGAAACATCATGTTGGCCATCAACTACCTGGTCTCTCTCTTGAAGAAGGGCTGGCAGAACGTGGGCTCCTTGGTTATCAAGGCGTCCATGTCCCCACCAAAGCGTCTCTACTAGACGAGCTGTCGGATGGATTAGGTGAAACAATTGCAAAGCAGAAGAACGTTCGAGCGCGAGGTGTAGTAGTGTCCTTCATTGTGACCACTGCGGGATACACCACTCGAATACTTTGTGCATAATATATATGCAATCATATAAGAACAGCTCTGAATACTACAGCGAGTAAGACATTCTCAAACTGTGCCATTTGATTTCTGACCGCGGTCGATGATAAATGGAGCTGGTGCGCCATCCTAACGAAATACTGCAAAGCCAAATAATGTATCCAATAAATTTGAGATGGTGCACAACACGATCAAAGTACTGAGGAACTCTCATTATCGCGACCTGTCTTGAAAAGGCGCTGGTGAGGAATGAACGACCTGGCCAGATTTTGAGCCTTGTCCGCAACGTATGCGCTTGCATAAACCTTAGCCAAGTTATGCAATTAGTCTTGCAACCGTCTTATTACGGAAAGTAGAGTGTACTCCAGATGACCACGGATTCAGACCCTGATTGGGGAAGCAAGTGCACAATCGATAGCCCAAAAATTATGCGGGCGCAAATATGAGCTCTGCTTCACGAGTGTAGGCCAGATCAGACCGTTCAGGCGCATGAGCTTATCGGATCCGTCGTTGGCCACTATTATGATAAAGACTATGTTCTGATAAATTTAAGGCGTAGCAAGAACCGTCATTATCGAGAATCTGTTGGTGTTCGTTCGCTTAGCTAAAAGACGCGAAGAAAATTTTCAACGAGGGTTTGTCGCAGCCAACCCACAACTCCGATCCATCTAAAGGGAATACGCGCAGTTGGTAGGAAAGTCGAGTGCGTTCATCTACGGGGCCGGGAACGGAAGATAGTCCATAGAAAATAAGGATTACCCTCAGCAAGCCTCCTAAGAGGAGCCACGAGGCAATTAAGAAATTGCCCTACTGATGATGGAGAAAGAGGTTCAGAGGGAGAGCGACCTTATATACAATTTTCACCCTTTCGCGCTAGTGAGCACAGACCACTCAGAGCTAAGACAAATGCGATGTAGCTCGGTCTAACTTGTTGACCAAGTAGCAAAACTCATGCCTTGGACATCTCAGGCATAAACTTTCCACTGGTTGTGAGATGTAATCCTCGGTTTAGTCGTATCCATATCCACGGGCATACAGAGCTCTGAGTTCTATTTAGCATTCCCTACCGGCAACACCGAAATTAGCTTATATAACAAGACTTCATGTCAGCTAGCCTAGGCTATGCTGCATTGATATGGTTTCCCCATTTGGGACCGGTTGACTGTCCTACGTTTCTATACTTGCCGATACTGTTCTTATTGAGTTTGAGTGCTATGATACATATGCATCTATCTACTCCACAGATATGTGAAGTCACGAGAAGGTGTCAATCGAAGGAAGATAGGAAAGGTCGCATTCATATATTCTTGTAAATGCATGCTAAAGAGCTCAATGATAGCTTTCGGCGCAACCTGTAAATCTAATCGTAATGTTAAAACATCCACGGTCATGCAAGAAGATGACATGCCCAACTCGCACATGCCACGCACGGGGAAGATCCAACCTCATAGCTCTTCTCCCAAAAATGCAGCGCTCGCTATCCCAAAAAATGCACATAAGTCAACCTCTTTCCCACAGTCTTGCAAAGAAGACTTTTGTGTCACAGCCGCATGTAGACTCCGTCATCAACCCTATTTCATGACTCCTTCTCAATTGTAGTGCCTCGCATCCGCCACCGCATCTGCGTCTCTCGCCTGGCGATTCTCCCGACTAACTTGCTCCAGCGTCGCCGTTCTCGTCTGCTTCTTCTGCTCTTGCAATTTCTGCGCTAGCGGGCCTGAACCGCTGGCTTTGTTCGCTCGCGCCTGTACATTCACACACACGCCATCATCAGCCATGCGCTCAAGACCTTTCTTGCAAGCCTCTTGGTTCAGATAGTGACGTTACCTCTGCTGCTGCTGCCGCTGCCCCTCTCGGATCCCCCGCCTCCAGTCCACCCGCGCTGCCACCTGTCGCTCGTCCTGCCCCTTTAGTTGTAGGCTTCGGTGCTGTGGTTGCGGCTGCAGGGATGGAGGCTTTCGGTTTCGGAGGAGGCGCGGAGCCTAGAGTGCGGCCTTCGCCAGTGAAGGCATCTTTGGATTGAGAGCCGCAGCAATTGCCCATTTTCTACGTTGCCTGATGTAGAAAGACAGGAGGAGGCAGTTCATATGAGCTTGCGGAAGGAGGGACATTGTGGCGCAGCTGCGGACGCGTGGGCCAAGCCATTGACTGGGGTGGGGTAGCGTCTGTCGGATCTAGAGTAGATAGGAAGATTTGATCAATACGATCAATTGAAGTGCAGCACACAGATCCACGAGATTCAATACTTCTACAATGCTTCGGCAAGCCGGAAAGTTTTATACAATGCAGACGCCTGCGCAGTGGCGTCCTTGGGACTGATACGCCCACCAAGCCCGCAGACTTGATAATGAACCATACAATAGGAAACGTTGAGGTGTAAATACCAAACGCCGTGCTATAGTGCCCACACTCCACCTAGGAGTCCGTAATCATTGCCTGGCCTTCAGGCTTTTCATGCATCATGTTAAGGAAAGATGCATATTCCGTTGTCACGCGTTGGAGGTCTCTGTATTTGCCTGGAGTAAGGTTAATAAATGACGAGACTTGGCAGTATGGATTTTAGGCTTACCGAGAATAAGAACGACATCCTTCAAGATGTCTTCTCTCTTCCAGCCGCAGATCTCATCCTTCTCGGCATTCGCTTTTGAATCATCGTCATCTTCTTCATCGCTCAACAAGGACCCAACCAATGTCCGCAGAAGCTCTTCCACCTTGCCCCTCAAGCCCTCAGCACCGAGTCGCTTGGCATACATGAGGAGATATATCTTGAATTCTTCCTTTGCACCCAGGGTCAGAGCGGCCGCAACCCGATTCTCAAGATGTGCAATGGATACGCTTGCTTCGAATCCCTCATAACCTTCCGCAGAGAGTAGTGCTTTGATAAGACGCTGTAGATAGAAAGCACGCCCACGTAAGAGAGTGTGATTCGTCGTATTCCTTTCCAATTGAGGTATGATCCCAGCAGAAATGTTTTCTATCGAAACCTCATCGTTGTCATTAGCGGCCTTCGATTTATCTTTCGAGTTCTGAATATTGCTCATCGACGAGTCTGTTGTGTTCCAGTACTGGCTACCAACAGCCCACCAAGCTTCTGATAGTCGTTGCCAGGTAAACATTGTCGGAGAGTAAGTATAGCCGTCGCCATTTGACATTGCGACTATGATTCTACCAGCAGAGTTCATGCGAGCGAAGACTATACCGGGTGCCGTAGTGAGATGCGGTCCTTGTGCTGCAACAGCAATGTCCAAAATAGGGGCAAGAGAAACAGGAGGATGTGGCGATGCTTGTGTTTTTATGTTCCAGACATGGCAAATGCCCACAGCTGTTACGCACATTAAATACCACCCCCTGCAATCCATGATCACTGGTTGCGCTTCAAGGACTATGGCGTTTAGCAGTCGCCGGCCTGCGGGTGTCCAGGTGTATATGGACCCATCTTCACAAGCTGCGGCCCAGAAATTCAAGTTTCCGGTAACGAGGAGGACTGATCTCGGCAGATAGTCTTGCCATATTGACTGGTTCTTTCTCGTGCAATTTATCCTCGCAGGATCCCGATCCTGTGTTCTACCAGTTCTCGAGGGTCCGGCCGCGTTTCGAGCCTCCAGAATTATTGTGTCATCCGAAGTCTTCTCTGGGTCACTACCATCCATGGTCCTCACTATAGTACTCCTGACCATAGGTATAGCTAGTCGGACTTGGCTCATCGATATAGCTGGATTAAGAATAGCAGGCCTCAGTACACTAGGGACATCTTGACCGTCATTTCGTGAAACTGAGTTAGGAGGTGTAAGGCCATCTGTCCCGTTGATAACAATAGGAGCCGCGCCATTTCGTACACCACTCGCTATTCTCTTTTCAACCCTTCGATCATCGTCACCCTCGATTTCTGCAAATTTCCGTTTGTTACCGAATAGCATAGCAGGAAGGCCACCTTTAGGCAGACCGTCGTAAGGCTTCGACAGATCCAAGACACTGTGGGGTGCGTCGTTTCGAAGTCCTTGTGCAGCTGCAGAAACTAGTTTTGTTTGAGGAAGGGATGATTCGGCTAAGCCTGAGGCGGAAGATATAAGCATTGGCTGGATCCGCTTCTTTCCATTGACATATGTTACCCGAGTCTTTAATCGCTCGACCTTAGGATCTGTTGGTGGTGGTGGTGGTGGAGCTGCTGCTGCTGCTTCTGGGGCTGTTCCATTTGTCACGGGTACTATGCCGTTCGTCTTCGCCGGGGGTACGGTGCCATTGTTTCCTGCCGTTGCAGCAGCCGCTCCAGCATCTCCCATAAGCTCACCCATTCGCCCTTGCACAGCCTTGTCTTCTCCAGCTTTGCTACTCTCTTCTAGGAGAAGTGCATCTGTGCTCTCAATCAGACCGACCCTTCTACCAGCACCAAATTTAGAAAGCGACTTTTCATTCTCCGAGAGGGACGCCGGATATCCCAATTCTCCCTTCTCGAATATTACTGCCATAATGCTTCCATCCAAACTTGTGACGAATAGTGTTTCTCCATCCGGTGCCCAAGCCAAGTCGGATATCGCTTTATTTGCTATTTCTGCAGTCACGGTAAATGGTCTCGCAAAACTTGTATTCCAGATGCTGAGCGTCTTATCTTGGCCTGCACAGGCGACAACTGTCACAGACTGTAGTGTTGGCCGGCCTTGTGCATCGATATGTTGCGGCCCAAGCGGTTCACGATAGAACAATCTTGGAGAGAAAGCACATACTTCAACAGGCCCTTCGTGTCCTATGAGATTTATGTCGCTGTCCCAGCTACCTCGGCTTATGATGGCCACCGAGCTGACAGGCCCGTTAACGGCATTCGCTGCGGCGATATGATTCCCTTCCGGTGACCAAGAGCATCGACGGAAGTATGTGGTAAGAGGTGAAGCGGCGAATGGGGCGATTATGGTGGTCTCTTGGATGAAATTGTTGACCTGGTCTTGAGCGGTGGCATGCGGAGGAGGGGATGTGAATCGGAAGACCTTGATTGTGCGGTCGTCGCTAGCTGTAGCAAAGTATTTGTTCGCGGGATCGAATGTAATACCCTTGACGTGACTTTGGTGGTTTGATAGAGTCTTCAGTTTTTCGAAAGTATGCCCTGACCAGATTACAATTTTCGAATCTAGTCCAACCGATACCAAGATCGACGAGTCTTCCGACCAACCAAGATCTTGTACATCGTTGTCATGCCCAATGAGGCGTCGAAGGACCCTCCAATTCTCGACTGGTGGTGGTTCATTCGAGCCTGTGCCAGATCGTTAGCTAAACCTAAAACTTACATACAGAGGGACCTTACCAAACGTTGAACCATGTGTTGGAGGGTTCGGATCAAGAACGTATACACAGACAATCTTGTCGTCTGCCCCAGACGCTAGATATTTCCCATTCCCCGAGAATCGTACTGTATGGATTGTGCCAGAATGGTGACTGATTGCAGCGAGCTGCTTCGGTTTGGTATACTCCGGATCATGCGACTTGTATATGGCTTCAGTAGACCAGACCCGGACGAACCCATCTGCACTGGCGCGTTAGACGATGCTAAAGAAGGCTCCGTGAAGGTCGCGCTTACCTCCAGCAGCTGTGACTAGTCTGTTTCCATCGGGCGAGACGTGACAACTGTATACATCAAAGTCTCTGAGTTCACCTACGCAAGAGTCAGGTTAGCAAATATAGAGTCAACTGTGCGACACAATTCTGTGGAGGAGCATGAGAAGTTCGGAGGCTTCAGGGCAGACATGCCTGGGTGCGTTAACCATAAAGGCTTGACGAAATGCATGTTCGTGATGGCGCATAGATCTGCCGGTGCATATCCAGAGCAAGAGAAGCGGAGAGGTGGTAATGGTCGGTGAAAGTTGTCGGTTTATAGAGACCGTCACTGCAAATGCGATGCGACGCGCCGACAGCTCCACGTCCAAGGTGCGTCTAATCAGTTTATGGTTTAGCGCGCTGCATGGATCAGAAGATAGTCAAGTACGTAGTGTCAATCAGAGCTTCAGACTCCAGTGTTATTTTCTATCTGGAGACTGGAGCCAACAAGCATATACGATATGTTCCAATCTATAATGGTTACATGGTGCTGTAAATGTATCACTGGGCCGCACAGCTTGAGCCGTCGCCCTCCATATGCTTTCGAAACTTCCTCCCAACCCTGATCTCCGCCTTCTCAGCCAGCTGTCCGAAGCATGTTTTTAATGACGCTCCATCCTCTGTACCTCCTAAAGGTATGGTATGAGGTCCAGATGTCATGAGGAACTTGTGGGCGCCCTTTTCAGATATCGTTACAACCGAGACGTAGCATCCCATGACCTTCTCGCCCTTTTCGATTCGTGGTTGTACAAAGTGTATATCTGCAAAGTTGTCCGGGTGCAGCATGCGGAGGTTGTCTACTTCAGTCAGGAGAACAATCATCAACCCAAATAAAAACTTACTCAGAAACATCACGCGTTCATCCTCGCTTTCGAATACGGCTGGGGGCAAGCGCGCAGCAACAGCACGGAATTCGTAGTCGCCGCCGGCTGATCTATACTGTTCATGCCCGAGCATTCTCGCAGGTTTGAGCACGAGTGATGAGTAGTAGCAGTAACGGAGGAGCAAACATCATAGCAAATCATCAGCGTGTAACACAATTTCCTGGACACGCCAAAAACGGGTGTCCGGAGAATAACACCACTCGGTAGCGGAACATTCTTACGCGTTTCATGGTCGAAGCCAGCGCTGGGTTACCAGATTGCCTCTTGATTTGGGAAGCAACATCGACCCATCATGGGAGATTCTGGGTGTGGAAGATTTTTCTATGTTCACTCCAGTCCTCCGCTGGACGTGATGTCTCTCTTTCAGATATCCTGCAGCTTCTTTTCGCCAAGACCGGACTCCGCATACAAAGCACCATGTTGCCCTCCCCACCACTGTAACCTTGCCCCTCACTCCGAACCTCACTTCTCTGGTGGCTAACAACGAGAGCGAACATGCGATAACTTGCGATTGTTGGCTGTCTGGTTCTATCGCTATATCGTCTTCTTCACATATCTCCCCCTAATCTGTTCAATAGTTACCCCGCGACTGTGTACTGTCCGACATTCACTAGTCTGAAGATGGTCTCAATCACACCACAAGCAGTGAGGCAGGCCCTCATTGACATGTCGGGTCGATTCCGCGGACCTGGAGGGGCTGCAGCAGTGCTTAAAGATGGAGAACTCGTCGACACTTATGTATGGGGTTACGCCGACATGGACAAGGGCGTTCTAATGGAATCAACAACACCTTTACCCATATGTTCAATTTCGAAACAGATGCTTTGTGCAACTCTCCATGATTTGAATGAGAACCCGCCATCGGAGATGGTAGCCAAGGGCGAGTTCAAGAAGCGGGTGCAGCTCGAGATGAGCACCCTTCTCCACCCTGGCATCGTAAAAGATACTGGGCTGACTGTCGACCATCTGTGCGACAATCAATCCGGTATTCGTGACTACTGGGCGCTAGGCACGCTCTTCGGAGCCAGACCAGTAACACATTACTCCATATCAAAGCACAATACTCTGGCGCTCGATGCTCTTAAGTCGTTCCAATTCGAGCCAGGCAACGGATATTCCTATGCTAACACAAATTTCAACATACTTGCCAGACTTATCGAAAGGGTGACGGGAAGAGAAATCGGTGATCTCATCGCAGAGCGAGTCTTCGAACGAGCCGGTATGAAGACTGCAAAACTGATTCCCGATGCCTCGAAACGACCGGGCCCTGGCACTGGCTACGAAGGTGATGAGCTACGAGGCTACTTGCCAGCGGAGAACAATATCGAATGGGCCGGTGACGCTGGCATCGTTGCATCACTCGAGGATATGATCGCATACGAAAAGTACTTTGACCAGCACTGGACGCAGTCATCAAGCTGGGCGCAATCAGCAGGTACAACAGTCCCTTTTAAGTCTGGTGGCAAGTCAGGCTATAGAATGGGTCTGGTTCACTGGGACGTGCAAGACGTACCTGTTATTGGCCACAGCGGTGGTCTGCGCGGCTACAAACTAAATCGTTTATATGCACCGTCCCATCGGCTATCCATCGTCGTCATGCAAAATCACATGGCGAATGCTGTCACTGCATCAGAGTATGTGATGGGTAAACTCCTCGCCAAACCCGAAGTCGTGAAGCCAGCATCGATCAAGCCATCCGAGTTGTGGGCCGGGGCTTATTTGGATGACGAAAGCAAGCTTAGCATCGTCATCGTCTCCAATGAAAGCAGCATCACGATCTCCATGATAGGAGGGTCGGAAACAATCCCGTTAACTTCCAATACCACTGCACAATCCACCGGTATCCACGCAAGCATCGTTGCAGATACACTCCACATATTTCGCCCTATGGCAAACTTCACTGCCGCCGCCCGGCGCATCAAGCAATCTCCCACCGGCGTCCCAGATCCCAACCTAGCGCGCGTACAGGGCTCTTACCGATGTGATGAGATTGGGAGTACTGTTGAGTTCGTGGGCGAGGGTGGGATATTGTATGCGAGCTTTGACGGCTTCATGGGGCGGGGACCGCCGCATTTGATGCGCTATTTGGGCGAAGACGTATGGTTAATGGCGTGTCCACGTGGTATGGACGCGCCAGCACCTGGAGATTGGACAATTGTAGTTCATCGCCATGAGAACGGAGATGTGGAGGGTGTGACGATTGGATGTTGGCTTGCGAGGAAATTAGAGTTCAAGAGAATTTAGCACGCCGCGTAGATTGAATTGTACGGTGAGGTTGTTCCATTTGGGCGACATGGAACCAATAGTAAGTATAGCACGTCCATGTCTTTGACATGATGAGACTGTATAATTTGGTATCAATCCGCTAAGTCCTCATGCCTCAAGAGATTCCTCATGCCTCAAGAGATAAGTATACAGTTGTGGTGATAATACTTCCAAACGAATACAGATTCTGAAAATTACCCTATCCGCAGATGCGATGATGGGGAGGCCTATAGGGTACGCCTAAGGCCTCGAAGATACCCTGCTCGCTTTTTCCTTCAACAAGCGTGCCTTCTGTAAGTCTCTCCCGGTTTGGTCCTCGGATGACATCTTTGTATAGCCCACGCTGGTTCAAGCGCATCTTTTTCTTGCTGGCAAGTAACCTCATACTACGGTTGAATATATCATCTCCGGTGAAGTACAGGAGTGCGGCACCCATCTCCGACTCTGGCACAACGAGGAAGTCTATACGGCGCCATAGGGGTTTTGAGCCAGACGGAAGGGATGATGCCGGTAGCAACGATGCCCCATGCCATTTAGTGCCTCCATTGGCGTGTGGCGTTGCGAGACTTGCGACAAGAAACCCGGTTTCTGTGAGGTACGGAACAAGCTGCTCAAATACGACTGTTGCGACGGTTTCGACGGCGGTGTTCTCTTTCGTGATGAGCATGTCAATGTCTCCACAGTCTTTTGTGCCACGTCTATAGGAACCCATGATCGTTGCTTTGTACCCAGGAGCGACTACTTCCAAAGCATCCATTACAACTTTTCCATGAGCTTCTACTTCCGCACGTGGTATGCGGGTGTTGAAGTCTTCGTAATGATCGACCCCGATGCGTTGATTGCTCGTAAGCTTCTCTTTTTCGAGGTCTTCTAAAGTTCGATATCCCTTTGCATACCATTCCTCAGCCAAAGCCTTGCCACATCCGTAGACCCTTAGAAACAGTTGGATTGCGACCTCGCGAGGATCAGATTTTGCATTTTCGAGTTTGCGAAGTCCCTTAGTTGTCACAATCTCTTCAATTTTCTCTGCAATACTTGGGCCAACTCGGCCAAGTTTAAGAGCCTGATCCTTGGTTGTAATCAGCGTATCACACTTCTGCAGAGACGCAACAGCTCGCCGATATGACATGAGTCTGAAGTCGTCATGACCATTGTCATAATACTGAGCCATTTCTGACAGAATGCCTATAGTATATGCATTAGGATTTTGTCTCTCCAGGTTACCCTCATTCTTGTGCATGCACTGAAATGACTTTTGCCACTTGTCGACCGAGGCCTCACTTGCAATATCGAGTCTGGGTGCTTTCCTAGGTGGGCCTTCTTCGTGGTCTAAATCGTCAGGCTGGTCAGCCCCCGCGTCATCGGACTCGTCAGAAAGCGGAAGATGGGCAAAGGGTTTAGTTTCCTTGATCACCTGAGCTAATTCATCGTTGTACTGCGCCTGATTCCTGTTACTTTTGCTTGCTCGAGTTGAATCATTTAAGGCGTCATGTAGAACTGCAGTACCGATGCTGCTGGCCACGACTGTAGATTGGGTGTCTGGACCAGTGAGTGAGACATCCTTCTTTGCAGGCTTGACTTGCAGTGATCTGTCTGATTCCGCAGGCAGTTCTACTGCAGTACGATTCGGTGGTTGGACAACTTGACCTTCGATTCTGTACCGAGGTCTCGCAGGATCCTGCAGCCCTGCAGCGATGGAATCGGGTATGAAGTGCTCCGAAACAACGGATATATTGGACTACCATATCCAGTCAGTCTAATGCAGATTTTGATATCACATATTACATACTGGAATCTCAGTCAAATTAAGGTGGCTTAGAAGCCAAGCATATTTGACGTCTTTATCAGCGATAACATGGGTGATCTGAGCCGTGGACCATTCTTTTGCCCAGATTGCGCCTCTCTTCTGTGCCAGTTCAATTCTCATTCTACGCGCATTATTGTGAGTGTTGTTTGGTACAAAAAAGAAAACGAGGCCCTGAAATATTTGTGCTAGCTGGATTTCCTGCGTCGGCCTCGAACGCTTCTTCCCTTTGCCTTTTTCATGAATTGACTTGGATGCAGGCGCCATTTCTCTCGAAGACAACGAAGAGCTTGAGGCACTCTTCTTCAAACCAAGATGCCGGAAGGAGACAGACTTCTCTCGAGGATGACTCAGCGATATCTGAGGTTGCATAGGCTGAGGTTCCGACTGTGATCGAATAAGGGAGAGTGGGAAATGTCTAGAACTGCTTTCACGCGAAATTGCTCTGTGAGCATTCTGATCGAACGCCGTCAACGTTCTAGCGACTCGACGGCCAGTAAAAGATCCACGAGAAGTTGACAAATGCGTTGGACTACCCCTCAAGAGTCGTATCGATTCTAAATGGCCTTCGTCTTCGCGCTCACTGTCGGTCTTATCCAAGTTTTCTAGGTCCTCGTAGAACTTTTTCTTATCATCGGGGCTAAAGTCGAACATGATGAGTCGGCCTTAAGTATTGCCATCATATCGGCAAGGTGGCACGAGCAGCAGGCAATCACCAAGTTGCATTCGTGGGCTTCGCACAGATGTCGAATGAACAACGTGAACATGGAAGATCGCAAGGCAGCAGCAGGCGGACTAACCTTGATTAAGCTCTAGTATGACTTGCGTAATCCTTGGAATGCTAAGATGTGCACGTGCACCAGCGCCACAGCCAAGCGATAAGAATTCTTCGCCAACCCACGACAGTTTTGCGAATCACGTCGACATCGGAATAAGGATCATCACATAGATGATTTGGATATATTTAGCTGATTCGTAGTGTAGAGAATGAGAAGTGAGAAACATATGCATGTAATAGGCGTAAAGGACGCACGCGCCCAGTGCCAGCCCATCTTCATCTATAGGTTATGTGAAAAGGAGTCGTCGACACTGCTGCTGCACTGAGAAGATAGTTGAGCCTATAAGCTGACAGATATAAATAGTGTTTATAAGTAGATTAAAGGTCGTTGTCATGATCACCTTCATAACCTCAGCATTAGTATCGTCGATGTTTCAACACTTCCCGGCCCTGTCTAGACAATGCCGCTCAGGAGTATAGGATCGCTGTATTGAGGGGCGTCGGAGCTATGAACCGACAGAAGCGTGAAGAAATCAAAGTTATCTCGATTCTGGACGTATCGTAGACTATGCCTTCGACCAAACATCAGTCAAGTCCCAGTTAGTTAGATGAGTCAATACTTCCACAGTATCAAGACGAGTTCGTCCTAAGTGATCAGCCATAAGACTCAAACGCACCGTAGCTAAGAGATCTGAGGATATACGCATTCATACCATCTTGTTAGTCAGGTTCACATCGACGAAAGTTACAACCTGACAGATGAATCATCAGCCGTTGAAATCCGGGCACGTTCTATCAGGATCACTGTGGCATTACGGTCGCTGTTATCAATTACACATTCATCTTTAGTGGGTCCAGGATAATACTTGTGGTAATACTCTCTATAAACAGCTGTGACAACTAAACACCGACTTGGCCGCTCTTAAAAGCATAAACCTCATTTTTAAGGTCCATAACTATCAGAGCACAGATATCATAAGGAACGAGCGGCACCTAAAGTTGCATCCTGGTCTCGTCTCACTACAACACCTGAGATTGACCTCCTTACCTCTCCGCCAGTGATATTAGATTAATCGAAGTTAGAGTCCTCTAAATGCCTATCCATATGTGTAAAATAGATAAGCCTAAGAAGGTAGAAAAGTGGTGTATGGGCTTGGCTTTGGGCACCCAGGTATCTGACTGAGACCCACTTGGAAAGTCTGAAATACTGATAGTAAGCCATTATAAGCAAGGAATCTAAACAGAGCCTCATTGAATGGCTCAAAGGCTTAGGAGCTATCTCCGAACACCTTTAGATTGACTTGATTGGTAGGAGTTTTGAGCGGTCGAGCTTGACTTGCTTCTGGCTTGCATGAAAATCCCAATCTCTGCCATCACACTCTTCTATGTCAAGCGGAATGGATGCACGCTACTGTACGACGTTGTAAGTATGCGAGTCAGAGAAGTTGCATATCGAAGCGTGCTGTAATGCGGAGAGATCAACGCACGTCTCACAGCACCAGTGCATATGTATTTTCGTGCAGCCAATATGAATCAGCTCTTGCGATCAGCAGGCAACTCTGTTTGACTGGTACTCTGAGTCGTGATCATGATCCTGGGGTCTCTTTTTACTCTCCCGCGTCCCAAGACTCGCCAACATTGAGCACTCCCAGGTCTTCCAATCCGAAGATGCAAATCTCATGCACTCGACAGGGCTATAATCATACCTGCATGTATGATTTCAAGTGAGGAGAGAAGCGTTGACCGGGGGATCATCGCACCCATGTCCATTTCGGCCCCTGTCTTCCCGTCCCTCACTTACAGCCCCGAAGACAAGGGCTTCCCTGTCTCCCACTGTGCCACGCTCGTTCATTTTCTCTGCCAACCATATCGCTGCGAACAATTCTCCACAATCCGCCATGATGTTCCGGATCTAGCCTATTTGGGAAATCACAACTATATCAACAGCAATTCTGGCAGCTTAAAACATGACTGCACAAAATACAAACATCCCGCCTCAAGGGTATGGCGACTTTTGCACAAGCCCCGCAAGACCTGACCAGCTATGAATACCGTCTGTTCAACAAAATGGCGGTCGGCATGGACGCTTTCGTAGGTCCCGCGCCCCGAGATCCTGTGATGCACACCGGCACTCACCACCCCCCGTGCAGCACGAAGGCTTTCGCCAGACCTGGACCGAGCTCCTCAGCATCTGCAATGCTGGAAGGCTCCCCAGCGACATCACTCCAGGCGCCTATGTCGGCAAATTTCTAGAGTGGTGCGCCGCGCTTGACAGGCATCATGCGTTGGAAGAAGAGCATGTGTTTCCAAAGCTTGGCATGAAGATGCCGGTGTTTAGACCGGACTTCTCCGAGCCGTCTATAGATCAGAAGGGTTGCAAGACTAGGCCAGAGATCTATGCGCAGCATCGCGAGATTCACACAGGACTTGATACGCTACACGAGTACTTGAAGGCATGGGCTAGGGAGGAAAAGATCGAAGTCGACCTGGTGGAGATCAAGAGGCAGATGGACGGGTTTGGAGAGGTGCTCTGGCGGCATATGGATGAGGAGGTACAAATGTTAAAGGCAGAAAACATGATGTTGTACTGGACGAAGGAGGAGATGGAGGGTTTACCATTCAAAGTGAAGAGTTGAGCTGACTATTGCGTTGAACCAGGAATTATGATCTATGTGGTACTACTGGGAAATACCAGCCTGAATCTCAAACAGTCTGTGCTGGACTTCTTGCAGCTTTGGCCGATTCATGAAGCCTAGCAATTGCTCATCACCCCTGTTGCGCTCGCCTCTCTTCCATCTTGCCTTCGCGTCTAAGAAGGTCTCCATGGCTGCGACTCGTTCTTTCCACATTTGCTGAGCCGCGACTGCCGCCTCTAGCGCGGTCCCGGTTGGCTCACCATTGACGCCGCTGCGTCCTCTCGGATATACCTTGTCGTTGATCCGGATTATTCGTGTTCTGCCTAGGTCACTATTCCTGAATCCTTGTGTACAGTCGTAAATCAACTTCCTGATTGCGTTAGGAGACCTCCAAAACTCTGGAAACTCTTGCTCTGAGTCATATCTGAATGCTTTGAGTACGGAGTTCCGCGTATCGGCACAGCCTTCAAAGATACACCAAAGAGCCATACCAAGAGAGAACACTTCAGCAGCTTCTTGTTCTTCAGGAGTCAGAGTTGTCCAAGCAGTATAGTATCCATTGACAGGATTATCGTATGTCGGATCTGGATCTTGGGTGAGACCGACATGGCTCTCTAGTATTGCTTTGTATCGTTTCTGCTCCGCAGCTGGCACATGTGGCGACTTGCTGAGGCGCTTGCAGTACTCGACGTAGTGGATCTCAGGGGCACTGTATGTGGCCCAGTTTCCTAGTACAGTCAGCTAGTGACATGGGTAGTATTCTGATACGAACCCATCTGCTCAAAGTCTATGAGTACCACATTATCGTCGTTGTCAAGTAGCAAGTTGTCCGCTTTGAGTTCGGAGTAAAACTTCGCCGGTCCTGTCTTAACATGTCTGAGTGCCACAACAATCTGCATTGCCCATCGGAACTGATCTTTCAGTTCGAGGGTGCCTAAACCTTTCCTGTAGCTTACTATATCTGCTAAGTTTCCCTGCTCATAGAATGGAAGGATGAAGCCAACAGTCTTGTCATCACCACCGTACCGATCTTTGACAGTGACAAGGTGCCAAGGCTTTGACATCACATTCACATGTGGCCGCATAGTCAGCAGCAACTTCAGCTCATGATACATGTACTTGACGTCATGTAATGAACTCTTGAATATTGCCTTTTTACCTCCTACACTCGTTGGTAGCATGACTAAAGATACGGTATCATGCAGCTGTCCGAGCAGCCGTAGCTCGTCCAAGCTGATTGGGTCAGGGATATCCTGGTGGGGCAGCTTCCACATGGACTGTAGCTGTACAAACGAAAGCATCTGCCGCTCAACGTCAAATTCTTTGACGAATCTTATCGTTGTGTCGAAGACACTGGCGGAGATACGGTCAAGCACCAATCGACTGCCAAACGGAGCGTCGGTCCATAACCGCTCCACGGCATCCGGCCCGATAGCATTAGTCCAGTGTTCAAGCGCAGTAATAACATACTCAGCGATGCCAAGAGTGTTGACCCGTGAGTCGCGGATGCAGAATGCCCATGCGGCATCGAGGGATTCACGGAGTCCAGGTGAGTAGCGATGCTGGGGCGGGATGAACAAATCGATGCGTTTGGGGGCTGGGTGGTGGATGAAGAGAGGGACAATATAGATTTGGGTGCCCTGGCAGTCGATGCCGTCGAGTCGCCAACGGCCGTTGTGTTCTCCATTTTGACGGCTCTGGTGGAGTGGAGAGTTGCTGTCAACATCGAAAGCACGTAGCAAACTTTGGTCTTTCGGTCCTTCTGTGACGGTGTTGATTCGATGAAGGTAGTCCTCGATATCGACAAATGCACCTGTGGGTTGGCATAGCAAGTCAACATCGGATGCTGCTAAGTCCATCGTGGTCTTGTGATTGCGACTTGGAAACTGTTGACATGGGAGGGCCTCAGTGCTTGAGTTTGATGCATCGAGCCAAATTCTTCTGCGGGTGGACCAATAGACATGTTAATATACTGACAAGATTCAGAGCTGTCGGCCAGACATGGCGACTACATCCCAACAAACTTCTGTCACCATCTCAAGGGTCCGAGATCCTTTGACCCAAGGTAACACCAATCATGAGTCTAGGTGCTCTATGATTAGGTAGCTTCATCATTGATCTGGAGTATGTGGAGATCAGAGCCAGGGTCACAGCAGCATAGATCCGTTTACTAGATTCGACTTCGTTTGCAGTGGAACACACGATTTATCATGAGATGATATGTCTCGTTAGCTCACATGTCGGGATTCGTATAACGAAGCAACATGATAGTTCGGTGCCTCCGGGCTGTCCATGTGTTTGTTGATTTGCTCTGCATTGTGGGTGCATGAAACCCCTAGCGATGAGGTGTTGGAAATAGATTCCTTGTTCGCCTATTGGGTAGGACAAGATTCCGAACACCATATCTACTACTAGGCCGGCCTAAATGACAGAGAAGCAAGGAGGGGTAGTTTGTGGGGCCACGGTGAAGTCTAGGAGAGTCGAGTCTCATTCAAAAGTATATAAATGAGCATTGAGTCGGAGCGGTCCATCGTTCTTGCAAGTCATAGCAAAGCCTTCCACACCAAAACCTCCAGTCACGACTTTAGAACGTGATACTAGCACATTCATAGTTTATTGCTATTTCACCATGGCTCCCGAAACCATGCTCTTGTCTCCTTCCCCCGCGCCGGAGATGTCCATTGGACTACGCGGTCATTATTTTGCATCGCTTCCTCAAGACCAAGTCATGAAGTCAAAGCAAGCCCCCGAGGACTCTATCGAAGTTGTTCGACCATCTATCAAGTTTGAGCCCGATAGAGCTGATTTCGAGGCGCGAGTAAAGCGTCTTGAGGCAACTCGAGATGTGAATGAGCCGCTGCCCAAAGGCTTTCCCCGTGCGATTACCGGACCTAGGGTCTGGTATGGAAGAGATATCGGGGGAGTCGATGCTCTCATCACCGAACTAACCAAAGATGAGATTGCAGAGGTCGAGGCGGCCCTCCAGTACTTCAAAGGTACGTCGGCTTCGCGCAGTCTGTTACTGGAGTACCCAATTGACTACAATAATAGATCTCCCAGGCAATAACGGCCCTGATCAGATGTCAAAGGAGCTATTTCCGCTACCCAAGTATGGTGCTCAATTGGAACAGATATCCAAGGATCTCCACTCTGGTCGTGGTATCACTATCTTGCGAGGGCTTAATCCTGAAAATTACTCTGCCACCGATAACGTCTTGCTGTTTGCTGGAATTGCAAGCCACATCGGAGAGCAAAGGGGCTGTCAGGATAGGTTTGGAAACATGCTCAGTGAGTAGTGTCCTAGCAGTGCTTTTGGGCGCTAATAGTGTACAGCCCATCTGGTCGACATGGGGTTCAAGTTTGGAAAGTGTAGCAAACGTACTCCGACTTTCACTGGTGGAATCCTACCATATCACAACGATGTCTGTGATATACTTTGCATGTATATCCAAGATAGTGCGGCCAATGGTGGAGAGTCCACACTTGCTTCCTCGGCCACAGTCTACAATAGAATTGCGGCAAGTCGCCCTGACATGGTGAACACACTCGCGGCACCCATCTGGGTCTACGATAAGTAAGTGTCTGATCTTTGCCGAAACTTATATCATCATGATTGACTTTCATAATAGAGATAAGCCACCTGAGGTCTGGCATGCTAGGCCCATTCTCTTTGGGGAGAAAGAACACGGTCCCTTCTTCTGTTTCAGTCGACAGAAGATTACGGGGTCAGAGCATTACCCCTTGTCTCAGAGCCTTCCGGCCATGAGTGAAGAGCAAGCAGAGGCCTTGGATATGATCCATTACGTCGCCGAGGAGACTGGGATCACCATGTCTCTCAAACCTGGCGATATGCTCCTATACAACAATTTGGGCGTGCTCCACGGTCGGAATGCTTTCACCGATGCTGAAGTCGGAGACCATAGACGCCATATCCTGCGACTTTGGGTCAGGAACGAAGAAAGGGCTTGGGATACACCTGAAGAGTTGGCAAGAGAATGGCACCTTGTGTACGGGGACTCAGTGAGGCGTGCGAGAGCTCAGTGGCGTATGCGACCCGAAGACACAGAAAAAGACCGTGTCATTGGACATAAGTCGACTTGCTCTTGAGGATACTGTCACATATCGATCAGGTCGGGTTGATCTCGGCGTTGTTGTCATATCCAGACAGACGCATGTTATGCAGACCCAGTTATGCGAGTGCTATATGTTGCCTCGAGGTATATCGGTCGTTTGATGTTTCTCACTCAATAGCTCAACACTCCCTTCACATATTCCACAAGACTAAATTGTCGTTCTATATGTAGTGTCATCGTACAACGGCACCCTTCTCGACGATTTCTTTGATGTAACCTGTGCCAGGCTTCCATTGCTTGTCGAACATCTGATGAAACCAGTATCCCGTGGTCTCGTATTGATCTTGCTCCCGGATGAGAGCCATATTCACTTCTGCAGATTTAGTGTTAGCTTTGTGTACTGCCGCCAAAGATGATCAAAGCCATCTTACTTTCGGTCTTCACATAGGTTTTCAGCCATGCTAAGTATTGTACCTCCATGGTTGTCAAAGCTAGATGTTTAGACAAGTAGTCTGGAGTCATATCGAATATGTCATTAGCGCGACAGATATAATGGAAGTGACCCAGCATAGTACGAGCAGCATGGAACTGCTCCTGCGCATCTCTGTATTTGCCGAAAGGTCCATATCTCCCCTAAAGTGACGCTTTTAGATCCCGTAATGCGTAGAACTCGACTCTGTACTTACTCCAAACCCGTATCGCAGAGCAAACTCTCTTTCACCCGCCAAGTGCATTTCTGCGTTATTAAGAAGTATGAGAAGGGTAAGATAGATATCGAACATGTTCTTCTTGCGCAAGTCATCGCTATACATTCTCAACTTCAGCTCTCGTAGCAATATACCTCGACGCGGTCGCAATATTTTCTGAATTACGACTTGATCAAGCTGCTGGTCCATTATAGGTGTTACAGGAACGTGTCCGATCCACGGATCATCGTCTCTGTTGGTTGGATGTATACCAAATGTCTCTGTGCCACAAAGTTTCCAAGTTCGTTCGATCAGTCTCGTAGCGGCCCAGATGTCCATTGCCTTATGAACTAGGGACGTCATGGGTCTTTTACAGATGATGTCAAAAGTCATACGCAACAATGAATTGGACTTGTCAAGAAATTGCAGGAAGTAGCTGCCTTTGGCCTGTATCATGTACTGTACTATGCTTCTCTCTGCCGCAGCGATATCGCCAATGCAATATGGAGGCATCTCAAGCCGATATGGAACACCTCGCGTGTTGCCCTCATATGCAAGCTTATCATTAGGGTCTGCGGCGAAGCGTGAGACCTTGAGATGGAGTGAACAGCCCACATCTTGCGTAAGCTCTATATTGAGAGTTTCGGCTAAGGGATCATTCGTAACATTAAATACGTTCGAGCGGTGTCGAAAGAAATTGAGCGGATGTGAGGAGTTATCGGTAGGGGGTCCCAGTCGAAAAAACTTGATCTCGAGCAGATTGGCCACAAGTTGGCAGGTTTCTGTGATACTTTTGGGCTTGGAAGTCATGCAGTACACACACGGCAGATACAGGTTGGCACGATATTCTTCGCACTATCGCTATGTCAGTAAAGTATCTCGACCAATCGCAGTAGTTTAATTTACCACCCGCTTAAGCTTCTTGCATCTGGGGCATGTTCCGGTCTCCTTTTTCTTCTTTCTCTGTGCCTTTTGCTCCTCGCTGAGCCGCTTACTTGGTCGTGCAGATGCAGCCCACACCAGATTTAGTCCTTGAACCTGACCTGGATCATTCTGCATGTACTCGTGCTTGACAATCTTGACTCGATCAGTTTATGTTCGCACTACTAAGATAGCAAGAGACCTACGGAGCCGGGAGAGAGAAATTTCTTGTGTGTACGTTTGGGGACTATGGACACTGCGAGGCCATTATTTGTCGCTGCCCTGGGTGTCAGGCTTGACGTGCTATTGGCCGATGCTGACTGAGATAGACTTCGTGATACAAATGGCGAAGCGCCACTAGAAGAGCGAGAATCTCTTGGAGGTACATGGATCGCGGCTTGGCCATCTATAGCGGTTTTCAAGACGAGTTGTTCCACCTGGGTCGAAGTTTTGCCGGGTTTGATACCTCTAGGCTTCTGCCGTGCATCTAAAGGTGATGATGTATTGACAAGGCATGCTCTATCAGACGGCAGCACGCCCTTGTACGACACATCATTAAGAAATCCAGAGACTTGTGCATGATGATGTGTCGTTGAGCTATCTGTATCTCGTTGCGGAGATCCAACACACCCTGAACCTTTAAAAGTGGAGACAAAGGGTCGTATGGCGTGAATCTCGGCAAGGCCCGACCCTGTATTAGCGGATGTGCTAGATCCATTTGTTCGCGCTTGATGAAGATATATGTCTGAACTTGGAATACGGATGTCTTGTGCGTCTTTATCTGATACATCCCTGTATCCTATCAAAGGGCATTGTGTGCCGTGAGCGTCTTGTACTTCTGGGGCAGATGATGTATTTACTTCTTGGCGTACATGATCATGGCTTGCGCGAGGATCATCAATATAGCCGTCCAAGGAAGTGGTGGTGTCTCGAAGGCGGGAGTGGAGGCTAGCGTTTCTAATGGAGGCATTTACTGGAGACCCCTCGGTGGCATGGTTTGCCGGCCCATGCTGTGGAACGTATTTCTCAAGGTCAGCACAACCATGAGCACATGACGATGCTGTGTGGTCAGAATATCGGAATCCGGCATGGTGGATGTGGTGGAGCGAAGGCTTTGCGTAGGGCGAACGGTGATGGATCTGGATTTGGTAACCGGCCTGTAGCTCCGACAAAGGCGTAGCCGGAGCCGCAATATGGCCGTCTGCATGGGCCGCTTCAGTAGCAGCAGCTGAGAGGCGTCGACACGGGAGCGACGACGGCAAATCCGATGGAGTTGATGCAGTATATCTCAGCTGGCTCCTCGGGCGTTTGTCCTGTTGGAGAGCGGTCATGTCATGAGCATCGTGGGTTTGGCCCAGCTCGGAGGCGGCTTGATCCCAGGGAGTGATAAGCCTTCCAATGGCCATTGAAGTGGCCATGGCTATGTCTCGGGTGTACGGCACATGCTTGATCAATGAACAACGGATGCGAAAAGGGTCCTTCAGGGGCAGAAGTCATGAAGATGTGCGTGTGTGAGTTGGGAATGGCAAATGGACAAATGAAATGTGCTGGAAACGGGGAATAGGCGATAACAACCCTGGCAGATTTACTCAGTCGGGTAACGCTGACGCTAATCACGTTATGTATCATGTAATATACTAACATAGCCACGTCATCCCGTTTCGTGCTTAGTTAGGCACCTACCCAGCGCTAGTTGAAAGATACTAAGCGTGAAGTGGTAAAGATCTGGTATGCTCCAGACTCGTAATTTACGCTATGACTTTAAATAGATATGCTATATGGAATACGTTCTAGGACGCTTTAATTTCAACTGCGCTAGTGAGTAATAAAACGCGCCTAGCCGGCCCCGATAGATCGGGCTCGCCTGCAATGTGTATCGCATCCTTCACGCCGCATTTCACGCTGGTCCCGATCAGGTAAACGGCATCAAAACTTCCAACGAACGGGGACTTTGTCTAGAACATGGGACAAATTGCATGGTTTACAATGCCAGGAAAACAGCTGAGCACACATGGATGAGTTGTCAACGTCGCTGTCCGCCACCCTCAATGTAAAATACAGCTCATTCGGCGGTCCCTCAGCGTTCAAGTCTCTCTTCCAGGATCTCTGGTTCCTAGCCTCAAACACATCAGCATGCATCTGAATCTCCGCACTGCCACGGATGAGGATCTCGATCATCTAGCCACCATCATGTGTGCCGCCTTTCCTGCGGATCCGCAGTGGGACTACCGCTTTCCGCGCCGCAAGGACTATCCAGAAGACCACTATAAGGCCACGCGTGAGATGTGTGAGTCTATGCTGAAGGAAAAAGGCGTTTGTATAAACGTTGTCACCACACCGGTCAAGATCAAAGGCAAGGAGTATGAGCGGCCAATAGCACTCGCTGTATGGGAACTGCACTATGAAAAAACCAGCACTTTTACGGATGTTGGTATGTCTTGTGAAACCATGACCTGCACAATATATTTCCAGGTTTGACGTGCAATCCAGTCAAATGCGCTCCTCGCCGAGATGCCGATCCCAAACGGATGGACGCATTCGACAATGCCACCTTAAAGGCGAAGACTGAGTATTTCGACCATGTCTATGGTGACCAACAAATTCATCTCCGTATTCTGGGAACGCACCCGGACTTCCAGCGATGTGGTGCTGGTTCTCAACATTGCCGTTGGGGGATGAATTTGGCGCATAAGCATGAAGTTCCTGTCACCATTCTCAGTAGTCCACTCGGACAACAGCTGTATACACATCTTGGCTTTGATCACTTAGCTTACTTCCCAGTTCACGTGCAGGGAGAAGAAGAGCAATTATCGGTGGGAGTCATGGTCAAACATTGTGGTGGGCAATATATGGCCGCTTCTCAGGGCGCTAAGTTATTGGCGTGAAGGCATAAAGCAGAAAGTTACATAATAGATCCCCACGAATTAATGCTTTCTAGTCTCATTGACACAAGGCGATAAGAGGTACGTGTATTTCCTATCTTACCCGAAGTTCATCGGGTATCTATTCCTTTGACAGTAAGAGTCATCCGACGAATGTCCAGTTCTTTGTGCCGAGCCCCTTGTTCTTTACTGACTGACCGCAGGCTGTATCAGGGTCTCACCATTCGACATATGAGTCTCTCAATTTTCGTCAGACTGACCAATGAAGGGACCTGCCTTGAACTTATATCGACATTATATATCATTCTACTTCTAGCGGATGAAAGATTTATTTGCAAAATTGTCGACCTGCTTCGATGAGGCATTACATAGATGCCCAGGTTACCAGAGTGAGAAGTCTGTTATAGGATATGCGCGTCTAGAAGAAGTCCACACGCCAGCTCGACAAGGACCAAGTCCGAGCTGCAACCGGGTCATACGCATGTCGAGATAGAATAGATGGTACAATTAAGTTCTTTTCAAAATATACACCAAATAGCTACCGCAAAAGGACACAGCTGAGAATATACCAAACAGCACCACACACTATTCCACGCAAACCCCTTTTGCTCACCTTCTCGCTATCTTACGCATCACAAACACTTCTACCTCTTTAGTGACAATAGCCACCAGAACGTCATACTTCTAGAATACTGCTGCAAAGAAAATTCTTCAAGTCTCACGAGAAACTAGCTCACAGCCACAGACGTTCTGTAGAAATTTTTATCCCACAAGCACAATCTCAACCACAACGAAAGGCATGGTAGTGAAAATTCCGAAAAAGTTACGTCAGGAGTATCAAGAAGAACAACCTGTCATGATCAACACTAGATATGCCCTGGTATACGTCCGTCTACGCGTGGATGACAAAACGTAAGACATGCACCACAAGCGAAATGATACTGACAGAATAGATATCACTGTATATTTTTTGATCGTCTGAATGCATTTCTAGTGATCTATAACGTGAAAACATTTTCAACCACACGCCCGTGCGGAATACGGTCAACGTATCCCGTATGCACAAGGTATCTTACAAGCCACAGGATCAGGCTGTACAGGAATGGTATGACGAGGCTCTATAGATGACGGAAGATACAAGGATTCGAGAGTGCGCTACGTAGAAAGGCTTATGTATGTTGTCGGAAAGTGGTGTGCCGAAAAGAGCGCAATGGTCAGGCGCCGACCTCAATATGCAGACCAGCCATGTGAAAACGCAGGTCCAAGAGTAGGACCTCCACGTTCGATATGTCTTGCAACCCAGTCACTCCTGCTCGGGCCCTAAGCGCTTTACCTCCGTTACCGGTCCGTTATATTGATGCCTCCCTTTGAAGACATACCACACACTGGCCAACAACACGACCGCCACGAAGATCACACTCGCCCAGTTGAATGCACTGGCCTCGAACGGCGTTGTCTGTGGCCAGAACGCCCAAAAGAACGCCCAAGTTGAGAAGAACAGCGCCACGCAATTGGTCGGTACGCCCCATTTTCCAAGCGAAAATCTGGCGGGCGGCAGTGTGCCTGGGAGATAGATACGACGGTACAGCACGCAGCCGATGGAGAAGATGTAGCATTGGAAGATGGCGACGGTGAATAGGGATGTGATAGCGTAGAAAGCGACGGGTGAGCCAATGTAGATCAGTGATAGGAGCACAGCGAAGACGGAAGAGGCGCGCACGGCGTGTTCAGGTACGTGGTTGTTCTTGTTTACGTGAGAGAGCCACGCGGAAAAGGGCAAGCCGTTGTCACGGGCAAAGGCGAAGAGGTCACGAGTCGTGCCGACGAGATATGTAATGTTGCTGCAGGTGAAGATTAAGACCATGGCAACGAGGAAGGCGGTCAGGACTGGGGTAGACATGATCTGTCTCAGGACAAAGACCAAGGGGTATCCGGAGGGGTCAAGCAGGGCTGTATCGAGGTCCGGGAGAGCATAAACAAGGGTGATGAGCGCTGGGAAGCCGGTAAGCCAGTTCACTAGGTATGTGATGAGCATGGCGCGGGGGACTGTTTTGGATGCATCTAGATGCACATTAGTAAACTTCTTCGCATTGGGTGACCATGGACGATTACCTTGAACCTCCTCCGCCACATGCACAACGTTGTCTATACCTGCCAGAACAGTAATGCTCGAGAGCTGACCGATAAATATAGCCAATGTCATGTTCTGCCATCCTCCGAGATTGGAGAATTCGAGCCATACCTGGTGTGACGTAGCTTTTGGTGCTTTAAGCCACACTGGCACTAGAAAACAGGGGTAAAGTGCGAAGTGAAGCACGAAAATAATAATGGATGACTTTGACATCCACCTCATGCCATACACACTTCCGAGATATGTGATCACAATGGCTGCCCAGACGAGCAGCGAGCTCTGATAAGGCTGTGGTGCATAGTCGAGGTCATTCAGCGCAATGATAGTCTGAATGAGCGTACCAACGAGGAACACACCAACCGTATTCCCAGCCTGCCAGGCTAGAGTAGACGTCCAGCCGGTGATGTAGCTCAATGGCTTCTGTATACCAGCAGGAGCGAATTCAGAGACCCAATGATACTGGCTACCGGCTATGGGGGCCATAGAAGCCATTTCCGCCAGCGAAAGATATACGGGACCGAAGAGCACGAAGCACCAGATTTGTGAGTACATAAGACCAGCACGCCCTCCATCTCGTAAGCCTTGATTGACGAAGCTGCACACGGTAAGCCAAGAAAAGTTGAACTACCCTCGAAAACCTACAAGATATTCAGTTCCCATGAGACTGTCGCCAGGCTGACGAATGCCACGGCTGAGATGGTGCGAAAATAACGCTGTAAGATATGAGTATGGGGCAGATGCAGCGGGAGGCGAGGCTCTCACAATGAGCTGTTGAGCTTTTCCCATACGCTTCATGTCTAGCAAGTCCTGTGATGTGGAATGGGTAAAGCCGCGGAGCGAGCCCTGGCTGCCGTCCTCCATGTCGTCGACGAGATTGGCTGGTTCTGGAGTTGTGGCCTCTTCATAGCCTCCCTTCTCAGTCATTTTGGTGTTCGCGATGCTCGTAAGCAAAGATGACCATGGATGTCCCTTACCTGACTGGATCTCCCTCGGAGGCGCAAGAGGCAAGAAAAGTAGGATAGAGAAAATTCGACCAGGTTTGCGGCACAGTGTATCTCGGTCTTATTGTGGAACGAATCAGACCGAGGAATATTCCATTCCAAGTCACAACACCAACCACCAGGTCGGTATGTGACTTGTCCGTTTTGGGTTTGGGAGGGGTCAATAGCTTGGCTGAACTCTGTAATTGGACGGCTGATCAATAATGATAGAGTGCTCCGATAGCCTCTTGGGTGTTCATTCGATGCCGAGTGTAAGAACACGATACTCTACACTGTCACTCTGCTTACCTTGTCATCACGTCAAGTCGCTCTAAAGTTACCTATGTCGGACACCAGCTACTACTATTCCTGCATTGTCAGGCGGCTCTTTATTCGTTACAATGCCTCTACAATGTAAGGCTGCAAATGGGCGCTTGCCAGGACTTGTGACCAGGCGGTGAGGTGACAGCTGACGGCAGGCTGCATAGTTCGTGCTCAATCACAGTCTTTACGACTACGGAACTTCTTGTTCTGGCTCGTCTTCAACATATGTTTCACACACAGATATCATTAGTTGCAATTTTTGAGGGCACTATAAAGAAAGACCATTTAGGCACGAGGTAGCAAGACAGCGCGTCGATGCAAGATATAAGAATGTCATGCCTCTGGCAAATGCCTATCCATGAATATGCAGCGAATGTGGACGCCCGTGCACAGTCCAATCAACCCAGCTTTCGAAACAACCACCTATCCGATTGACTACTTTTGATATTCGGCGGAGGCCGACTGCTTTTGAAAAAGCCGCGCAGCCCGAACTTGAAGTGCTTCCTTGGATTCTTGGCAATTGACTTGTAAAGTTTGAAGTCGCTGCTATCGTCGCCCGTCAGGATCAGCCATATGGTTGCTTGTCGCTCCGCGAACTTTCTGGTCCTGGCAGGGTCCTTGCTTTTTCTTGCCACAAGCATTGAGAGTTCAGAAGCCTTCAAGAGGGGAAGGCCATCGAGTCCCTCCTTTGCAATGATTTCATGGGCTATGAAGAGAAGTCGAAGGCACTCCGCAGATGTGTAATACTTACTCATCTCTCCCGAAGGGGGACTGGGAAGACCATCCAGATGACGCATGACTGTTTCGAAGATAGTATTGATAGAAATGATCTGCTCATCGCTCAACGAGAACTCATCAGGGTGGGTATCGCATTTTGGACAAGTGCACTGGAATCTTGCCGCGCCCCATAATCTTCTTCGCCGGTCTTGGCGGATTTTGAGAGCATTATCATAGCTAATCGTTATCTCTTCACCCGCATCGATGTCACGGACTGCGTGAAGGGTGTATACTTGCCGCTCCGTGTTCCAATATTGGAAAGCATTGGCTTGGCAGCTGTGGTTGAGACGTGCGAAGGCAGGAAACATACCCCAAGGATCATCGGACTTCGTGCCTAGGGGCAGGGAGTTGGTATGAAAAGTCCCATACTTCCTACCCATGTTTGGAAAAGCATTGTATAAGTGAGAAAACAATTTCCACTCGCTCGTAAGCTCATGTTCAAATCTATCTATCCATATCGACTGGTTGCTCTTCGTCAGTCCGGTTGGAGGTATGCCGTATGTGAAAACCGGGGCCTCTGTCATGATCCGTGTTCCGGTTGCGATGCATTTCACTGCCATCATGCCTGCTCCTGCGCCTTGCATGCGAGGAATGTTTCTCACAAGTGCGACATCGGCTGAAACTGAGCCTGGAGAAGTCATACCAGGAAAGGTAGAAAAGTACGAATCGATATGCGCGTCCTGTTCAAGGGGCTTCCGATGGTAATATCGGCCCACATGTGGACTTTGTCTCGTCCGCTTTCTAGTATTTGATTGAATACTATCCAACGGCTGCTCTCCGTATCTGGGTGTGAATGTATTAGACCTCGTAAATGTCTCAGCATCGATTGTCTCATGCTCGCTTTCAACTCCACCCTTATCATCTTCAAGAATATTCGGGCCATGCTCAATGATACTTTCGAAGATATTCGAAGGTCCAGCGTCAGAGGTGGTCGATGCTTGTCCGCTTGTATATCTTAGAGCAGTATGATATTCCTCAGCAGCTTTCTTGCCTTCGCAGATCCCATCACGGTGACAAGTCGCCTCTTCCCGCGCACGGGCGGTAACGTCTATGTTGTCTGAAGTCGATGTGTCGTTATCATGAGCCCCTTGCGACATCGGACGGTCATACAATTGATGCCCATCTGGCCTCGAATGTCCTTCGGAATCCTTAGATTGAGAGGCCCTCATGACTGGTGAGGCAGAAGTGAATGTCGAACCGACTAAGAGCGAAGGGGGGCGTGGCAGAATGCAAATTGGCGGGGTTTCAATATGTCTTATAAGATGTTTCAGGTAGTTTGTAAAAGAAAGAGAGTTGCCGGAGCTGAAGAAGCCGAATATTGATGTAGAATATGTTAAGGTTCATTATGAAGACGATGAGCTAGAAGACCGCATTGTGCTACAGAGGGTTCATTACCATGGGCTAGGAAGCTCTTTCCCACCAAGTGCAAACCTTCTACAGTGAGTAGGTGTATAACCCGCTCTAGTTTTTAGGGAGGTGCAATGTCGTAGAAGTAGAGGCACGACCCTGCTGATTAGTCGTGCTTGTCAGTGAGAACATTATATCTTATGTATTGCCCAGTATCTGGCTCTTTGTGAAGTCGTTAAAGCTTGAGAACCTTGCTTTGGATAATCGCTGGCCTTAGGTCGACAATACTGCTCGCCTGACATTAACCTGAAGACACACTAGACACCTGAATCCTCTTAGGGTCAATAGATAGAATCATCCCGTAGGAATATCAGGATCATCCAGTAACCATAGTCACTCTGTAGGAGCTTGAAAAGTTGTACACGCCTTACAGCTGCACGCCTTAGCCACAGTTATACTCATGCCGTCACTTGGAGCAAAATAAGCATATCGGGACTAGGACCTGCGTACTTGTTATGGTTACGGTAGACCATAGTCTTCGAAGTGGCACATTGTTGCAAAAGCCATCGTGCTCAGGAACATCAACGGCTATCTGTACAATGTTTGTTTCGCATGAAACCACCTGCAGTGATCCACGATCTCGTGAGTAGAATTGTTAGAGTATTGGGATTTGTGAATCGGTTGCTGATCTCCAGCTCCAACGATGCTCCAGTAGGTGCTGGTGTCAAGGTCGTAGCAAGAGCTTCACATCCTTCCAGGAAAGTAGAGAGGTTTTCTGGAAGGTTTTGTGACCTCGGTCTCATCTGACAGACTTGTGATCGCGACAATCGACATGGAGTGACCGATTATAGTGCGCTGCTTGCAACTAGACTGCGTTTTGCGCCGTAGTCTAAGCTATACAAGGATGCTGATAAGCAAACGACGAAGATGAATTCACTATCGGTGCTAGTGTCGTTGTTATTTGAGCTTTGGTTCTCCCGCCGCAATTGATGGTGACGCTACGAGAAGTACGGCTGTTCCAGATTAGTCATTTATATCGAGCACGCGAACTCAGCTCATAGATGTGTGGGCAAAACTGACTTGAGCGGCCTAGACGCTAGGAGCTAACGAAAATCCAAATGAGCTGATTACGATGGCTGATTGGGTTTATGGCATTCCAGAGTCATCCTATATGATAAAGTTGGGTAGATTGAGTGACTAGGGGTGGATCATCATCCTCGTCTCGATTTCTGTTTAGGTTGTCCGTTGTAGTCAAACTCACGAAAACCCTCAAAATACTGTGATGGTTAACATGTTAAAAACAAGATTCTTGAGCTTTGGATTTTGAAGACATACCTTTTTTCGAAACTCGTTGAGATCACTCGCATGAGCACGCCCATTCGGACCCTCTCTGACTTTGGGCTGCCACTCTACAGTGTCGCTGCCCTTCAAACGCTGATACGTGAGTAGTCTCCTGGACCCTTGAAGAGCATCAGTTTGCAGATCATATCAGTGAAACACTTGACTTACACCTATTGAACGGTTGTATGCACTCGCTGACTAGGAATAGACAAGGGTGGGATGGTATGGAAAGATGCTTGTCATCCTCATTTGCTGTCGGCATCCACATCGACAGTCGACCTCCATCAACGAGCATTAATGCCGCGAAATCGCAAATATCTTCCAACATTGCATCGAAGCTATACGGTCGTTTAGGAAAAATAAAACCATCACGACTATGGACACGTTAGTCGAGCCAAGACACGAATGGCACGTAAAATCTTACTTATGGGCTAGCTCTCCGTCCACAACGACGGGCCCATCATTTTCACGACCGTCCCTTCTTCCGAGAACTTTCAGGCCCTCTCTTACACCATATGGCGGGTCACAAACTATGCCGTCCAAGGTTCCGCGTCGCCCTGATTGACCAGTCCTAACGCGGAGCGGAGTGTTGGTCAAATCACTGGTCCAGCCATCCACGTAATATGAGGTGAGGTGATACTGCTGGAAGTTCCCAAGTACAGATTGCTTTCCCCCTTTCCCACGAATTGAACGACCATCGATATCGCTTCCTAAAACGTGTGCGCCGTAGTGTGCACATGCAACAGGAAATCCGCCCGTACCCATGAACGGATCAAAGAAAATCTTCCCAGGAGCTGCTAGAGCCAGATTTGCGGTGACGAGCGCCAATTCAGCGTCCATAGATGTCGTCGATATATAGTTTCGTTTCTTCAAATCATACTTTGTGATAGCCTCTCGATCACTTTTGCCTACAAGTCTACCAAACCACAAATTCTTGGGCTTAGATTCAGTGAGGTTATATTCCTCGAAAACCATGAAACTCTGATCTGCGCCTGTCATCATAATGGGACCTTTGAAGCCCACATATTCAAAGGAATTAATGATCTGGCGATGCTCGCTTGAGCTACGTTTCCCTTGGTATGATTCAACTTTAAATCTGAAAGAGACCGTTTCGTACAATTTCCAGAAATGGGCAGAGCGAGATTTGACATCCTCGTGTAAAGACTCGTAATTTTTGCCGTGTCCCCAAAGCTCGTATATGCCATGAGCTATGATGGCACGAGAAATCAGAGCCCTTGCCGATGAGACTGAGTCAAGACGAACAACGCAAAAGGGACTCTAGCATGAATTAGCATATCCATTGGCTTTGAAGCCGTCACGACCAACCTACGTCTGCTCTGTATTCTAGTATTTCAAGATGAATGCCAGTAAGCTCGGCAAGAGCGCGAAGCTCGGCCTCGCGAAAGGCTTCGTGTACCTGCACGAGACGCACCAGAAACTCCATGTGTCATAGACTTGAGAGTAGGTACTTGCAGTCTAAGATGCAAGACTCTGTTGAGTGGAAAACTAGAAATTGAACAAACGAACCGCGTGCACGACTGCTCCAAATTGCACTTGCTCCGTAGAAATCTGTATAGCTGCTTACGGCCTAGTCATATATATTTAGCTATTCTAGCGGGGTTACGCCGAGCTGGAGAGAGGGCTTTCTGCTCTGTGCTTCGAACATCAGTAGTAGATGGTGAACATCAGTAGTAGACCGTGGACTTGACTGCGGAAACATCAACATCGATATCACGATCATGATCTATCTCGGCATGTGCAAGACCTGCAGTCATACCGAAGGCTAAGGCTCGTGCTGCTACCCGTGTCTTCTCACTCGGTCAATTCACTCGGCGCTACCGTCGTAAGCTTCTCTCCCAGCCTCTGTGTTCTGTCCGTCTCTGCTTCCAGGAACCAACGGTCGGCACCGAGCTCACGACCTTGCACAGCTCAGGAAATGCTGCGCGACTCAATGAGAACTGTCGTCGTGATCAGCTGCGCCCACGACTACCCAGTTCACGGTACTTGTGCGATTTAATGCAGCGAGGCTAGACAATGAAGCTCGAGCAAGCTACCCCGCGCGCGAGGCTTGCATGGATCCGGATAGAGCTAATATCCAGCTCTCGTATCGTAGATAATGCCCGGGACTATCATCCACCATGCAGGAATGACGCTACAAGGCACAATGCACCTATCATCGCTCCCGCGCCCTCGTGAAGCCTGGGTTAGCCAAGCTCGAAGCTCTACTATGGCTGTGTACTTAACGGTACCTGGCTGCGGCCTTGATTTCAAGGTAAGCTGGAGCGTCCTCTTCACTGATATCCTTTGATTCGTCTGCTGCCATGCCAGTGGCTATCCTCACCATGTCTCTGTCTATGTCGCGGTTGGCTGTTCTAGCCTCTACTGCGCTTCTGGTACAGACACAGGATCTTGACATGAGGGTCCATGGCACCGTGGTCTTCACTCGTGCCGGCGAGCGCTTGCCGAGTCTTCTTGGCTCCGGTGTGAGAGAGCTCACCTCTCTTGGTGCTCAGCAACTTCATATTGCTGGCGACTTCTTTCGAAATCGCTACCTAACGACAACCGGCGGAGACGGCAATGACACAATCGCCGTCAATCATATAGTCGACATTGATTACGACATAGTCAATGACGAGCAGGTTCTAGTCATGGCACCAGAAGGGCAGCACACATATGCTTCGGCTCAGGCTTTCATGCAGGGACTCTTTCCTCCGTACGAACCTACCTTTGCTGTGAACTCCTCGACTAATGCCACCTTTGCTGCTCTTCCTGGTGGTACGGAATCAGTATTGGCGAACGGTTCATACCTTAATTACCCCTTGAATGGGTATCAATACGCACAGATCCGGACGTACTCATCCATGGAGCCTCATTCGATATATCTGGCTGGAGCTCTTGGTTGCGACAATCACGCCTTGTCTATGTTCAATTATTTTAATAGCACTGAGTTCAAGGACATTCAACAGCGGACTAGGGGTCTATTCTCAAGTATTGCTGGGGCGGCCATGGGAGAGGACGTTTTGACGTCTGTCCAAAGGTAAGAGTCGAAAGATATTGGTCAAGGATCTACAATCCATGTGAGTTTGTACTGATACTCTTTCAATAGGGACTATGGTAACGCATGGAACATCTACGAGTACTTAAATTATCGCTATAATCACGACAATGGTACCCAGGCTCTCTTCTCTGCCGAAGACACATCCTTCACTGGTGATTATGAGCGCATTCGTGCGCTTGCATCGCAGCAGCAGTGGGCATTTTATGGTGACTCAGATGTCGACAATGGCATTCGTGCGATACCTGGTCGTACCCTTGCAGCACAAGTCTTGGGTCTTTTGCAGCAGAATATCGAAACACGTGGTGTTAACTATAAACTTAATCTACTGTTCGGCGACCATGAGCCTTTCATTGGCTTCTCCTCGCTAGCTGCAATCGCCGAACGAAACTCTCAATTCTATGGCTTGCCCGAGTACGGTAGCAGTATGGTATTCGAGCTATATTCCATGGGCACTGCTAATGACACTGGATTCCCCGCGCGCGAGGATCTATGGGTGGCATTTTACTTCCGCAACGGCACGAGCAACGAGGGCTACGACCTACGCAGTTACCCAATCTTCCACCGTGGCCCCAGTACGGCAGAGATAAGCTGGGTGGACTTCGAAAGCTACATGAGCGGTATAATGACAAGTAAGCCTGGTGATTGGTGCACAGCGTGTGGGAGTAGCAGTGCCGTCTTCTGCCCCTTTTACGATTACCACACCACAACACAACCTCCGAAACCGTCTTCGGCACTTTCTCCAGCCGTTGCAGGCGTCATCGGAGCCATCGTAACACTTGTTGTTCTCGCTTTGATTGCTGTGGCAGCATTCGCGTTCGGTGGTATCCGCATGCAGCGCAACTCACGCCGCCACAGTAATGCTGGCGGATATAAAGGATCAGCAAAGATGGCGAGCGATGCTGATCTGATCATGCCTCAGCCAGCCGTCATCGCAGGTGCGACGAACGGCGGACGAGAGCACACACGCATGGGTAGCTGGGAGCTAAGGCAAAAGGAGATGCGAGGGACACATGAACCTGAGCGGACAGACGAAGATGAAGACGACTTGGCTGTAAGTCCGTACGGCAAGCCAGTCCAGCCTCAGTCCAGCTTTTAGGCAAGGGGGCACACATGCATCAGGAATGGTACGATTTACGCATTCTTACAATCTTTTGCATTGCTTTATGATATCCCGGGCTTAAGCTCAGACAATTCTCTACCTTCTCTCACACATGCGAGTGCGTTCCGGATAACCACTTTTAGAAGGCGTTTCTTAGCTCCAAGTCGGAGCATAGCTTGTCCTTGTCTTGTGTGATTTGGGATTGATCAGACTCTATGCAATACTAGCTTCGTGCTAGTCAAATACGAATTGCTCGTTCATCGCACAGCTAGACATTCTCCTCAATCTTCCGCACGAAGGCACCCTAAGAAGAACATCAAATAACCCTCCCTCTCACTCTTCGCTCATCGCATGTAATCACGCCAAGTCCATAAAACCAAATCTTTCCCAGCTCCTCCTTGCGCCCTATTATCCAATACCTGAACATTTCCCTGTCCTCAATCCACAACGCAGAAAGAAAGCACCCTACCAACACTAATTACTATCAAAACTCCCCCAAAAGTCTGAACCCACGCCTCCCACGCCATGCTAAACAGTAAAAAACGACAACCACAGGATTCGAACCTGTGCTCCCGAAGGAATTAGATTTCTAGTCTAACGCTATAACCACTCAGCCAGGTTGCCACGGAAGAAAAAATCCAGCTCAATCACATTATATCCGGTAGAGGATCACATATCAAAGATAGGTGGATGGATCCCGGTTGCTTTCTTACGTCTGATACGATCGAGATTGATGGGTTAAATGGTAGATAGAAAGAACATGTACCTACGTACCTAGTTCAGCCCGCCTATAATTAGTACGTATGTATCACTCGCTTATTTACTTATCTAAACGCTAAAGTTTCTAACATGTCTACGGTAGAAACGGGATATAATCATACATGCCCGATAGTTGGTTATCAATGAATTCTACCTATATCACACGAAATGTACGTGTCCATAATTACACAATAAAACTCTGCACCCGTCTCCACCACCACTACAGTACGTACTACAGTACCACCCCCTCCTTCTCCTGGCCCAAGCTTTTTCTCGACCCACACCGTACCCACACCGCACGCACAATACGACGACACAAGAGTGTGCCCCCCCAGAAAAAAAATCTGTCATTTCTGCATAGATTGCCCACAAAAAAAGGTGAGATATTGTAGGGGCTTGGTCACTACGAGGGTCGAACTCGCGACCTTGGCGTTTTTCACAGCATCCGCAAGGGATTGTATTAGCACCACGCTCTAACCAACTGAGCTAAGCGACCGGTCATGAAGAGTATTATGAGAGTTGGGGGTAGAAATCTCGTGGGAAAGAGGGCGGGAGGGATGAGAGAAGGGAATGGGTTATGTTTAGATTGTGGGGATTTTTTGTTTTAATGGAGGAGTTGTTGGAGGGCTCGATAGATGGATGTATGCCGGTTAGACTGTAGCTTGTGGCCTTTTTAGCCTCAGATCAATGCCCTGCAAGAATTTGAAAATGATGAAAGCGATTGAGTGTACAGTGTCAATATACAGGAAGGGGAAAAGAGGTAGGTGAATGGATGGATGGATTGATGAATGCATAGATTGACCGCCCGCACCGCTGCACATCCATCCCCAAGCACGCCCAACCCCTGCCTGTTCTCACCCACACTCACTCAAGCGAACACACCAACAACACTCATCCCAACCGCGCCCAACAACACATACACAAACGCCCAGCACTTCTCCGCATACGACAACAGCCTCGCCTCCTCAGACAAGAAGTCCTCGGCAAGAAGATCCACCAACGAGGCATAAACCAGCAGCCCAGACGAAATAGCATTGAACACACCCACGATAATCAGCCCTAGCGCGCTATCCGGATCATAGCTTCCCCGGCTCGCAAGGCCAATCGCCTGCCCGATGGGCGCGGTGGTGCCGAATGCAACGACGAGGATCCAGGGGCGCCAACTGCCCTTTGCGTACGGCACCGCGGCGATGCGCGAGCCGAGCCCGAGGCCCTCGAACATCTGGTGGAAGAGGATGGCGATCAGGAGGACGACGAAGCCGGTGGTGGTGATGGAGACGGTCATGCCGACGAAGACGGAGTGGAACAGGATGCCGCCTTCGAGAAGGGTGATGTTGAGGGACATCTTCCGCAGGACCTGCGGGTCGGTGGCGGTGGGGTCGAGGGCTTCGGGGTCGGATGGAACTGGCAGGTCGTGCTTGTGGGATGTGAATGGAGTGGCGCGGTGGAGGACGGTGAGCATTTCGTCGCGCTGGCGGATGTATTGCTCGTAGAAGACGACGAACCAGGGGGGCATTTCGGAGCTGTCTCTGTGCTCGGCGGGGTACTCGCGGACGGTGGTGATTTTGTCATCTTTGTCGTCGCCGTGGAGCGTGTGCTCGGAGCTATAGCTGTCGGCACGGGTGAAGGGCCGGCTCGGAGGCTGAAGTGTGTAGGGGTCAGACACGGAGTGCTCGGAAGGAATGAAGTTTTGGCCGGTTGGCCCGCCGTGGTTGTGGCCGCCAGTTTTGGCATTAAGCCACATCTCGATGACGAACAAGATGAAGAGTGAAGCCATCATGATAACACCAGGCATTGGAGGGTAGTTCTTTATGAAAATATCCGGAAGACAGGGGTTCGAAAGAGATAGAAATGCGGTGGGGAGGAGCTGGGAAGGGCGGTATCAGTCTTTGGAGATCGATATTCGAGAGAAAAGACTCACGTGGACAAAAGCAGTTGCAATTAGTACTCCGGTTCCGAAATGCTTGCAGAAGAAGAAGACCTTTGGCGGGATTCTCATCCACCGGACCTTCTTCGCCATGACCGGAAATCCTGCGCCGAACACGCTCGCACCAAGAACCAAGACTGATGTCAATTAGTGTGAGAAACAATGTGGGTGTATATCACAGTTGTCTTACAGATTGCAGCAATGTGCAGAGAAATATCGAAATCCTCCTCGCTTCCATTAATTCCACCACCACCACATACAGGCTTTGCTGCTGGAATCTCGGTAGCCATTATTAGTATTAGCGGTTTGTATATTCCTAATCGAAGGCTGTAGTATGAAGAATGTGATTTGAAAAAGTCGACCTGCGATATCAAACTGAAGGGATAATTTTAAAAAAGACGATACAAGACCTCCTCCAGGGAAATTTGAAATAACGTATCTCTACCAGAGAGAGGAATCGTAGAGAAAATAAAAAAGAGCCCGATGAGCTGGAAGTCGTGAAGCTAGAGTTTCTGAAAATATGGGCACGGAGATTCGATATCAAATAGTCTGGCGGGAAGTACATTGTATGTTGCTTTAATTAGACACGTCAACCCTTGTCCATAGTGCGGCATGAACAGCGTTTAGGTGCCACCGCCGTGTACCTCAGTCTGTGTGTGCATAGGTAGCAGGATATGCAGAATGGGCGAGTAAAACATGTCAGGATAATTTCAGAAAGCATATTTGGTACATAAAAAAGCTTGAGACACCTATCTCGGAACGTAAGATGTTCTGGGAAGCTGTCCTAGCTGTGTTATGCTCCTACACAGCTCTGAGAGGAGTAGTGATGGACAATCTCGGGACAGACAAGGCCAGAGAAGAACGTATTGTCTTGGCCTGAAGATGCAGCCATGTCTCAGAGCCTACGATGATCAATGTTGTCAGCTCTGCCGAATCTACTGATTGCCATTGACGCGTCAGGGAGCAGCTCCGAGAGGAAGTTGAGCCGGGGAATCCCTGCGACGATCCAAAGTACGGTCATGTGGTTTGTTTTATCACTGGGAAGGAACAAATGGATCTTCGGGTGTAACTAAGTGACAGGCTCTCAATATGGTGGCGCCAGGGGGTTGATGAGACAGATGTGAAGGAGTTCAAGCCACAGAATTGGGCTTGGCGTGATGTTGCTTGTGTACGTAAGCAGACTCTGTCGGGCTAGGTAGGAAGGCTTGGCTGAAGCATCCGTTCCGGAACGTCTTACTCGACGTCGCAACAATTCGTCCAACTCGTCTGTCAAGATCACCAACGTCTTACGCACCACATCACACTAGATCACATCCAACAAGCCCGAGTATCTTCGCTTGCAACAAGCCTGCCTCATGTATTGGTGATAGAATGTGCAAGCGGTACGAAAAATGGGACGCGACGTGACCACAATAACATAGGCCTAGTGGTCGAGCCTCTAAAGCTAGGCTCCGGTGATCTTCTCCAGTACGACAACATTTATTTGGACATATCAAATTCACCGTGCAATATCTATGGTGATTTGCTTCAGTAACGACGGATTTTGAAACAAGGGCTAGGACCGGCTCACCTCTCATCTCACTTTGTCTACAGAGACATTACCCGCTGGATGGTGATCAGTGGAGAATACTATCATACTGATGTGGACTGTGTTATCTGCCACCAATGTAGTACCCACCGTTAGTTTATGCTGTCCCTGTTGTCATAAGGTATGCAACAAGGGACTTGGAGCGGACCTGAGCTTTATGTTGTACTGAATACCACCTCTATAAAATACACCACAGAGACTCTATGGCGGAGTCACATGCCCAAGGGTAACAGTTGTGTTTATATCGAGATGTTGAAGCACGCGTCACTGATCTCTAGCAGACAGCCAATCTAGGGGTTGCCTCAAGATTATAATCATACGACTGATAGGTCAATCTTCGTTGACCCTAAATTACTCAGCCAGCATAAGCATGGCAACATAACACACCGACTGATGAAAAAGGATTGACCCAAAAGATGCCCACCTCGTTTGAAGGCAGTTCTACACTGAACAGGATAAATCCATCAGCCAGTTCCTCGAGAGCGACTATAGGTCCTGGGCGATGAGAAGAACGGAGCCAGAATCAAGTTCGCAGCCAACGCAACTTTTGACGCCGACCTCTATCTCTTTCATCATCCAGTTATACGAGATGCATTGTTTGGTATTTAAACAATGCTGAGTCTATTGTCCTCCGAGACTGAGTACTAGCAGGTCTGAAGCCCCTTCAGAGACGAAGACGACAGGTTGTCGCCCCTTTGATGTCCTCATTGACGTACTGTCATCATCCTACTTGTCCGCACACCACTTTTCTACTCCTGCCTTCACTATTTGCACCCAGATCTCATCTCGTGTCTTGCCAATGACTCTGGAGCGGCGGCTTGATTTCATCATGTGAGCTCGTCCATTTTCTGAGGACCCTGAATAGACATCGGGAAATACTAGACAGGCGTCATAGCAAGACTGGATCCCAGACTTCATCCAAGTGGCCACTGCGAACCGCACTAGGCTCGGGGATGAACATCTCTCCCACAACGGTTTCCAGAGCCGCAGCACAGCGTTTTGCAAGTGATCTGATCCCATCCTTAGCTTGCCGTTCAAGTAATCTCCCTCAATTCCAGCCTCCCAATAGCACCCAACGGCCACTCCAGATACACCCGCCACTTCTCGTCCACCGCCGCATATACCTCTTCCACAAGACCCACCGCCCATCCACGTGCCCACCACCTATCGTCCATCGTATAAAAAGTCCCCGCCCAAAACGCCAGTATCGCCAGCGCTGCCTGCTCTCCAGCCGCAAGCACTCGCACATATGCCTGGTCTAGTCCCGCCAGCCAGCCCAACAGGCTCTCGCGCGTTTCTGCGTCTAGTTGTAGGGCGAGCATGACTTCTACACGGCGAATCTCGGTTATGTACATCTCGACGTCCCGAGCGGGTTGGGTAGCCCGTACATGAGCCTCGAGCGCGAGGAGCGCGGCAAGAGAGTCAGGCGTCGCGGGACCCGGCGGCCCGGGCATGGTCATCATGTGACTGAATTCTGGTGAGAGGTCGCGGAGCCACGCAGAGCAGCCTAGTGTGATCGCGCGGATGCCCTGGGTTACATGGATGATGGTCACGAGGTTTTCGAGGTGCCAGCGATGAGGGACAAGAGTGGGTGGGCTTGCCTTGCCGTCATGCTGGCATGCGTGCTGGGCTTCAGGGTGCGGCTCATGGCCATCGCGGAGTGCAAGGCGAGAGATGGAGATGGTGTTGAGTTCGGCTGGCAGGCTACGGCTTGCAAATGCCCAGATGGTGACGAGGACGGAGAGCGTGAAGAGCGCGGGTGCATTCTTAGGGCTGGGCGCGTCGAGCATGCGGATCAGGGTGGATACGGCTTTGGACTGACGGTCAGCGGCACATGCGATGTACCTTTCTTGGAGAGATGGTGAGGGATTGGCGACGGCGATCTTATGGAGGGCAGCAGTTGCGAGGTGGCCGTGAAGCACGGTGAGATCAGGTTCGTCGGGGGCGGTGGAGTCGAAGGAAAGGGGAAAGATGATTTCTCTCCAGAAGCTGCGGCGTCGTGGGTCGAACATGATGGTCCGGCATGTGTGCATGAGGTAGTAATGTGTTAGATCAATGTCCAGTGTGGGTGTATACCAGCTCGGCTCCGGCGGACACTGACTTCTCTGCTCGGAGGCTGCTGAGGCTGTTGAGGCTTTGACGTGTGATGCATGTTGTTGTGTGACGTCCAGGTACGAGCATGCCTCTCGGCGCCTAATGCAAGCACTACAAGCTGGGGTCTTTTCATCGCACTAGTCCAGAGTAGAGACAGTCAATTCGATGGGGACTGATTCAGCCTGTTCATGGATCTTCAGATCTTACCTTGACTTTACGCTTCTTACACTGCCGGCAGCCCAGATGGGATTTCGGGCCGGACCGCATCTCGAAGGGCGAACATCGATGAACACCAACGACGCCAGTAGGTAGAACTTCGTGATCTATGTGGGTAATAATAGATGGTACAAGGCCTAAGTTACAAGCGCGAACGCGAACAACTGGAAGACGTCAGTCAGCCTTAGTCTAGGGACTTCTAAGCGAGCTTGGCCAACAACTTCAGACCGAAACGAGTATTCATACAATTAATGGCCACTGATCTTGAGGAGTTGAAAACCATCCGACTCTTACAAAAAACAGGCTGAAACTCCGACAGAAGTTCCATATCTAGACGGCAAGGCGGTAGTCGATTTCCCTTTCGAAATGTAAAAAGTTAAAGCTGAGTCCTTATAGTGAGACAGCATTTATCATTACATGCGAGATTTTGGTTCAATCTGAGGATATATTGCAAACAGTGCGGATTACGTGTATTTCTACCGAAGCGACTTATTCATACATTGTTGCATACAAAAACCCTTCAAACCAAATCTAGGGCCTAAGCAGCGCCAGGTCGTTTGACTGCCTTCGTAACCAAGATCTTCTACGTTTAAATCTTCCGCGAGCCATCTGTGTCATACTTTATTTCGTCTAAGTACCACAAGCCTCAGGTTGTATACGAATTAACTTCTCTCAGAAGCATCTCGTCTGGGCGCAGGCCATATGCAACCGCATGCGCCGTCACTGATGTTGTGCTCGCATTTCTGAAGCGGACGCAGCATTCGCACTGTAGTGCGTAGTGACTAGTTCGAAGATTCTGGCCAAGGTTGTATCTATCGCTGTTCAACCTCGGAAGGTGTTGGGATAGAAGATGAAGGATGCACGTTCGTCTTTTAGCCTTTCAGATGGAGATTTATTGTTGCTATACAGTTACATCAGACGACGACCTAACTATGCGATCCGTTTTGGCGTACATCGTAGAATCTATTAGCCACTGTTGAATATGGCATCAAATATCTCTTGGGCAGCACGACTCTCCTCAAGGGCTGTATTCGACTCAGCGTCTACGACCGGCGGCACAGCGGGCTGTGTGGATGCTAAGGAAACTGGGTTTGCAGTGTATGCATCTGATGTCTTTACGATCAATGTCGAATCTCGTGACTGGGAAGGAAAGTCTTGAACGCCCATGCCACTTGTACTTATTGGGTTGTTCACGGGCTCTGATGGTTTGTCTCCTGAAGCAAGATTCGGGGGCGGTACTCCAAATCGCTTGCAAAGCAGTCTTGTCGGATAGAATTGATGTATACTTCTTGTCAATGGACCAAACATCCCGGCTCTTGCAGCTTCCTGCGCCCCGTTGCTCTTCGTAAGGGTTCCGCTTACCTGACTAACTTGTTCGGGTGCATTCGCAGTAGAGTGGCTAGATGCAGCTGTAAAACGAGAAGCCATCATACCTGTGACAGGCTTGAAGACCTGGGCAGCATGTGCAAACTCTTCCAACTCGCCTATCCAGTCCTTTTTCGACATTCCCTTTGGCTGATCTGGCAAGCCTAGTTTTGGACTCGTGCATATCTCCAAGAAAGTTTGATATCGAAGTGCCTTGTCCTGATCAGTTCCGTAAGGATTCCAACCCCCTACCAATCTTCTTAGAGCCGCTTCAGCAGCCTCTGCAGGAGGCGGTCGTATTAGGTCCGAGAGCATCTCGACTGTTTTGTTCAGGCCTCCGGAAATATTTTCTCCACGTCCAGGTGGCAAATTTGTCCTGCCTGAGGCTGATGCTATCCGATTCCTAGCGTCAGCAGACATGAAATCAAATACCGATTTGCCCGGTAGAGGAGTCTCCCCAAGAATTCGAGCTCTCGATACGGGATCAAGAGTGGCTTTCTCCGTTTCTTTGACAACTCCTGGACCATTGACCCCCGTTTGCAGTTCTATCTTTGAGGACCACCCCTGGGGTATCCGTGGGAGTGGAAAGCTAGGCCCAGATAGTCGGAGAGAGTGCTTAGACAAGTGGAAGCCTTGCAGGGGTAATTTTCCATCGTGACATTTCTGGCATGTCACCGCTTTCTGACGTTCGATCCTGTTCTTCGAGGAAAGTAATGGTTGAGTTGCCGCTCGAGGCACGTTGATAGCAGGAGACTTTTTTGATCCTGCTTTCTTAGATTTGATGTCACGATTGGAGACCGACGTGAATGAGATTCGCGGGCCCATCGAATAAGGGTCTTCATCATCAGAACCAGTATCATTCAAAACACCAAGCCCAAAGCCACTCTTTTTCGATTGAGACTGCTTTTGTTTCTTCTTCAACCCTGGGTCTACAGGATCACGCAAGCCATGCCACTCGTTATCAGGGAGATCACCTGCCCTTGATAGTGCTTTGTCTTGCACCGTACCAAATCCTAAGCCTTTGTGGTCTTCTTTTCTTATTATTAGAACCAGCGGCGAATTAGGTGGAGCAAAGAAATGTGATGATGAAGTGAGGTCATCTGTGTCCACACCCTCAATTTCAGGGCCAAGATCAGCCTTCCTGCGCACTTTGGGTCCTATCCCCTGGCCCTTGCGCCAGCCCATCTTCTGCAGCAATCTTGCACCTATTGTGTCCTCAGAGCCCCGCGCAAGGTTCAGCTTAGCTTGTTCGGCGGGCGTGGCTCCAATTGACGCAAATGATTTTGAGGTATGTATGCGTTCCGAGTCAGCAGCATCGGCAAGGTCTTCCTCATCCATGAAATCCTCAGGTCGCTGTACAGTTGGAGTTGCAGCGTCCAAGTGTCGCTTCTGGCGTGAAGAGACGAAGTTTGAGGGCGTCCATCCTTCCTTTGATCCTACAGTATTGAAGTATCTGTATGTCCATGAGTCTACAATGCCATCGTAGAGGGAGGACTCGGTTGAGGCTCACCCAGCGCTGAAACCTCCAGTGAACGCACCGTGAAGCCTTCTCCTTCCCTGGTCGTCAGTCGCAGTCTGCTTCCATATGGGGACATAAGAGCCATCGTCACGGACAGACGGATCTATCGGAGGTAGCGCGGTGCCGAAAAAGACATATGGCGATTGTTGAGCTTGCAGGTCTTCTTCGAACGCTGCGCGAGTACGTTTGGAAGGCATTACGCAGACCGAAGAGGTTCACAGGTAGGTAGGAAAGAAAGCAAGAACGAGTCTACGATCACACGGCAGAGTGCACATCATCAAGTTGCGACAACAGCCGTTGGCGGCGTCAAGGTAGTATAGATTTGGAGTTCTGGATAATGTAGGTAATTAGTAGACATACGACAGTGATATCAGAAAGTCATCTGGATGGGGCTAGCGTGACGTTGACTGCACAGCAACGGTACCTATATTACAGAAAGATCGCACTACAGTACCTGGTCATTTGTGGCGCTCAGAAAGAGATTTGATAGGCACGAAGCTGGTTCGCGACGTGGGTGGTTGTGGAAGGAGAAAATGATGAATGAGGAGTGATGGATAGTATGATTAATATCCATAATGGGCTGTACTAGTTATTCACTCGTGGAGCATCATCGTAGACGCTTGCTTTGGTTCCTGTGCATGGATATGTCCCAGCAGTTTGCAGTGAGTGCAGTGAGTGCAGTGCAGTGCAGTACAGTACAGTGCATTCGACAAGTTGCCCCACGTCTATACCTCCTAATGCGCCTGTGTGCATTCGGAACATTATTTATCGCAAGGCATTTTGACTCAAGCAAGCGATCGATGACTCTGGTTACTTGCTGTCGATGGCCATCGTGGAATCCATGGTTTTTTCACGGTTCACCAAATTAATACCGCGCCTAATAACGGCCAGCTAAGAGCCTAACAGCTTTCCCAAGCATTAGCTCCTCGGGAGGCATTTCCCCCTCTTCAACACCTCAGCAGAACGAACAACCGGGAGTTTTGGTGCCTGGCGCGTCTTGGTACACCCTACGCACTACGCTCTACTTACCTACCTTGCCCTTCAGCTTCCAATGCACCTTTCCAAGAGCCTTGCCTGACCTCAGGCTTCTATCCGACTCTTCCAACAACTGTCTTCCCTTTCTGGATCTGCTCCTGGTATTTGCTCTTCCGTGCAGCGACACTATCATACTTCTTCAATACATGTTCACGGCTGGCAAGGCTCATGACCTTCGCTGATTGCCTTTGTGAGCGTGCTGCATTCGCTCCCCAGCCCCCCAGGCTTGTCAACACCCCTCCACGTCTTTTGGACTGGACAATCTAAACATCAGCGACGACGCTGACAACTCCTATTCATTGAACTTACTCGCATCATTCACTTCGCCCATTCACACCTCCTTCTATAATCTTCCTGCTACTCCCTATCTGCTGGACAAGATTGCGCGTTCGAAAGCTCCCCGCAGCCCAACCGGTCCTTGCATACGCGAGCTCTCTTCTCAGACGAACACCTTGACGCCTCATTTCTCTGCAATTCTTGCTACCACAGAGGACAATCTGAAAGCGCAGAAATAGCCATGTCCAGCACAGCGCCGTCATCGCCTGCCATTGTTCGTAATTCGCCAAGTTCCCGCCATGGCGACCGACCGCTTCGGACTCATTCCACTGCTACACGACCGTCGACATCTTCGACCGCTACACCCCATAGATCTCTCTCACAGTCTCATTCGCATACTCACTCGAATTCTGCATCCCACCATCCTAATCTCACCAATGTCGCACGACGAGATTTTGAACAAACCAATATCGCACAACAGCCAGCCCAGAGAGCTTCTTCACGCGAGCGTACCACTGCGCCCGGGAGGAATGACTCCACCCGAAGCTCACACAATACTGGTTCAAGACATGGGCATGCAAGATATGCTTCGGACGTCTCGGCGACTACAAACGGTATCTCTGGCGCCGGGAGCAGCAGTAGGACTCAAGGGCAGACCTCAAGGGGGCGCAGAACAACAATAGAAGCTGCAACAGGAGTTTGGGCACTGGGAAAGACCATCGGTGCCGGAAGTATGGGTAAAGTCAAGCTTGCAAAGAATGTTGAAACCGGAGAACAGGTAACTATTATGGGATCCTCCATAACACCACTCTAATGATGTCTAGGTCGCTGTCAAGATCGTTCCACGGCAGTCAACAGACGAACATAAGACGCAACAGGATCGTGAGAGAGCCGATCACTCCAAAGAAGTCAGGACTGCTCGAGAAGCTGCAATCGTCAGTCTTGTTCATCATCCATACATCTGCGGTATGCGCGACGTAGTCCGGACTGCGAATCATTGGTATATGCTCTTCGAATATGTCAATGGCGGACAGATGTTGGATTACATCATATCACACGGCCGATTGAAGGAAAAGCAAGCGCGCAAGTTTGGCCGTCAGATTGCAAGTGCGTTAGATTATTGCCACCGCAACAGCATCGTTCATCGAGATCTCAAGATTGAGAACATTCTAATTAGCAAGACTGGCGATATCAAGATTATCGATTTTGGCTTGAGCAACTTGTTCTCGCCTAAGAGCCATCTCAAGACATTCTGCGGCAGTTTGTACTTTGCGGCCCCCGAACTGCTACAGGCAAAGCAATACACCGGACCTGAGGTCGACATTTGGAGCTTTGGTATAGTCCTCTATGTCCTGGTGTGCGGAAAGGTACCTTTCGATGATCAAAGCATGCCTCAACTACATGCGAAGATCAAAAAAGGATACGTCGAGTATCCTCCTTGGCTGTCTGCCGGTAAGTCTTTGCTGTAGGTGTACTAAGGACGGCTGGGCTGATATGACAAAAGAGTGCAAGAACCTTATATCCAGAATGCTTGTCACCGACCCACGGCAGCGTGCATCGCTATCAGAAATTTTGAACCACCCATGGATCACCAAAGGCTTCAATGCTCCTCCTGAAAACTATCTTCCCCAGAGAGAGCCCCTCCAATTGCCCTTGGACCCTGATGTCGTCAAGGGTATGCAAGGTTTCGATTTTGGGACCACAGAATACATCAATACCCAACTTACAAGTTTGCTTGATTCTGACGACTACCATCGCGCAGTCAGATCCGCTGCCCAAAAGAACCAAGTGCAAACCCCTGAGACTGAGCGCAAGCGTGGTGTTTTCGACACAGTCTTCTACAAACGTCGAAACTCAACTACGAGCCGCGACACACTCACCAATCCATCAGCAGAAGCTTTGTCAGTCGGCTCTGACCCTGTCAATGCGTTCAGCCCTTTGATATCTGTTTACTACCTCCAGAAAGAGAAACTTGAGCGCGATCAGCAAGAGGTAAATCCTGGCGCGCTTGGCCTACCGACTAGTCCGGGTGAGAAACCGCTGAGAATCCCCGACCTTGTGCCGCCAGAAGCAGCGTACACGAACCACGCATCTTATGAGATGCCGGGTGAGAAGCCGACTGGTGGAAGATCAAGACCAAGAGCTCGAACTCATGGTGAAGACGAAGTTCAACAAGCCATGCAGGACCTGGCCTTGAAAACTTCCGCTGGACCAGCATCCCCAGCAATTGTCACTCCACCGAGCGAACAACCCCAGGTCAAGAAGAGTAGCACCGCTGGCGCTCTATTGCGAAGGTTCAGCACTCGCAAGCATCGTGAACCAGATCGCGAAAAGTCACATGGACCACCAAGAGTCTCTGTGTCAGGTCCTCCAGAATCGTCAAGTACTCCCCGTAAGAGCTTCAGTGTCAGGAGGGTCCGTGATAAAGAGGCGCCATCAACATCAACGCTACCACCCACCGAATCTCAGCAACAGCATGAGCTGTTGGCACCCAATAGCACCGGAGGCAATACAGCCGGAAGTGCCACCAAGCGGATTAGAGCATTAGGGAGGTCTGCCAGTGTCAATTCAACCGATCTCAGGAGGCGACTCAGCCGTCGCGGAGTATCTGCTACTGAACCTCGACCGACGAGTGAATCAGATAAATCCAGTATAAGCGAGAAGCGTACAGCTGGCGATGCTGCGTCGGAGGAGACCCACAACGAAGCAGCTCGACCCAGAGGTCCTGCTATGCGAGCCAAGTCTTTAGGACATGCCCGTAGGGAAAGCATTCAAGCGCGGCGTGCTCGAAGAGATGTTACTAGGGACTCGCATGTTCCAGAAGAGACAGACCAAGAACTAGCCGAAGAGGAAGCAGTAGATGGCTCTCGCAGCCCGGAAATTATGAAGCCCGTCTACTTGAAAGGCCTGTTCAGCGTATCCACGACTAGCAACAAGCCTCTACCCGTCATTCGCGCAGACATCATAAGAGTCTTGAAGGAGATCGGAGTGCAGTATTCCGAAATTAGAGGAGGGTTCAGTTGCCGTCATGCGCCCAGTATCGATCTCAACAAGGTTGTCGATCCTCCATCTCAGCTTAATGCAAGGGACACCAAGGAAAAACGACGAATCAGCTTTGGTTTCATGCCATCAGATCGTGACAAGGATGACTTTCGCGATCTGCATAAAGCCCCAAATACGCCCAGATCATCCCGACATCGATCGGGACAGCTGGATCAGAGCTATACGAACTCGGAAGCCTCCGATGAAAGTGTTGGCCGTGACGATCATAAACGGTCTCGTGCAAGAGCTGCGGGCGAAACAACGACTCATGTCCAAAGTGATCTTGGTGGCAGCATGATACTTCGCTTTGAAATTGTGTTAGTGAAAGTCCCACTTCTTTCACTCCATGGTATACAATTCAAGAAGGTTGACGGTGGAACATGGCAGTATAAGAACATGGCACAGAAGATTCTCGACGAATTGCGATTGTAGCGATTGTAGCCTGTTGGCGTTTGATATTATTCGACTTTTCAGCTCGGCTTTCGACCTTGACGTTCAGTTTGGTGAGCAATTTTTTGGGGCGACTGACGAATCTTTTTTTGTTAACATGTATACAAAGTTATTGCGAGCTGTTAGTCGCTCGCTCATATTCCTTCAGTCCAGCGTTTCGTTGTTCAAGGAGGGCCTGGACTTACTGAAATCTCAGAATATTCTTATGTGGCTCTCCATTCACAGATCAAAGTAATCAAGTCCAGTAGTCAGAACCATACAAACTTTCCCTCGATAACCTATTGTGTTATGATTTAGAAGCGTATTGACGAGCTTATTCGCAAAACCCATATTTGAGTCGTTTGTCTGTTACTGACCGCGTCAAACCAATCGGAGAAACACCGGCCCGCTTTCCCATCACACTTTAAGCTCCGTGGCTACCTACGCGTATCACAAAGACTGCCTTTGAACTCAATATTCATCGACAGCCGTGTATCATTAAATCGTGATGAGTACAACTCCAGCGACATGGCGTCGCTTCGAGACTCCAGAAGGAAGACCATACTACTTCAACGCGACAACGAATCAAACCGTATGGAATCGGCCAGACGGTTACCATCCTTGGAAAGAACATACGCATAGCGACGGTCGAAAGTATTATCACAATGAAGAGACAAAAGAGACGAAATGGCAAGCTCTTTCTAGTTATCATCTGTGGTTCTAACTAACAACCATAACAGGGAGATGCCCGCCGAAATGCGAGGCTCTGCTCCAGTACAAAGCTCCTTACCACCGCGACCAACTGCTGCGTATGTTTTGTCCGCGCGCATAATGGCATCACTAATCGCCGTCTAGTGCCCCAACCTTTGTAGCTGGTGGTACCTCCATGCCATCGTATGAGCCACGCGAACGCGACCGCGACCGCGACCGCGATCGAGATCGCGACGATTATCCGCGTGATAGGATGGGTCATGACAGACAGTCAATGTACCCTTCTTCAAACAATGCACCGTATGGATCACAACCTGAACAAGATTATGCTACAATCGAAGAGGCGGAAGCGGCCTTGTTCAAGCTCTTTAAGCGCGTCGGTGTACAAGCGGATTGGACATGGGAGGCCACCATGAAAGCTACAATAAAGGACCCGCAGTTCCGAGCAGTGAAAGATCCAAAAGACAGGAAGCTTGCGTTTGAAAAATACGTCATCGATCTGCGCGCGCAGGAGAAAGACAAGGAGCGGGACCGACTTGCTAAGCTACGTACAGACTTCAATAATATGCTCAAGAGTCACCCTGAAATCAAGCATTACTCCCGATGGAAGACTGTTCAGCCAATCATTGCAGGCGAGACTATCTATAGATCTGCAAAAAGCGACGAAGAGCGCAGACAGCTTTTCGAGGAGTACATCGTAGAGCTGAAGAAGGCACATAAGGAGCGCGAGGTCTCAAACCGCTCGGCAGCTTTGGAGCAAATGGCCAACGACCTTAGTGCACTGGACCTTGAACCCTACACTCGCTGGAAGGAAGCCGAGAGCATCATACTGTCCACAGAAAAGTTCCAGAATGATGAGAAATTCAAGGATATGACGAAACTTGACGTCTTGAAGACCTTTGAAAATCATATCAAGTCTCTCGAGCGAAAGTTTAACGACGCTCGACAAAAAGACAAGAATCTCAAAACACGAAAGGACCGCACCAACCGCGATCATTTTATTGATCTTCTGGAAGGTCTCCGCAGTGAAGGGAAGATCAATGCCGAGACGAGATGGATGGAAGTACATGAATATATCAAAGACGACCCCCGCTATAAAGCAATGCTCGGTCAGTCAGGATCTACTCCCCTGGATCTGTTTTGGGACATGATTCAGAGAGAAGAGGAGTCACTCAAAGACAAGAAACATGACGTTGACAGTGCCCTTGGGGTAAGAGCCATTCCTGGAGGTATTGTTCACTGCTAATTGGTTTACAGAACTTCCAAATAACCTCTAAGACATCCCTCGAGGAATATATGGACGTTGTGCGACGTGACCGCAAGACCTCTGGCATGAATTACGACACTCTCAAGATTATATTCAAGAGGTTGCAGGATAAGTCCCGGAAGCGTGATGAAGATGACCGGCACTATGCTGATCGTCATCAGCGCAAAGCCGTTGAGGCTCTGCGATCCAAAATCAAGCGTCTCGAGCCTCCTGTCACTCTTGATGACGCGTGGGAGAAGGTACGTCTACGTTTAGAGAAGTATGAAGAGTACCATGCTATCGATTCTGATGAACTACGCCGATCTGCGTTTGACAAACATATCGTTCGTCTCAAGGAAAGGATGGAAGACGATAGAGATCGCCGAGAGAGAGATCGCAGCCGCCGTAACGACAGGGAAAAGGATCGTGAACGGCCCCGTGAGCGCGATCGAGATCACCGTAATGGCCACTCTGGGCGCCATCGCAGCCGAACCCCAGAATCTGACCCCTACGAAGCCGACCGCAGGAAAGCACAAGCCGATCGTGAAAAGCAGTATCGGAAGTCAAGTCTGGGATTGTCGCCACCTCCATACAGGAACAGAGATCGGGACGAGCGTGACAAATACGACAGAAGGTCAGTCGCCCAGAGCCACTATGAGCGAGAGAGGCGGGAGCGAGAGGCAGAGCGGGAGCGTTCGTACGTGAGTCGTGTAGATCCTCGTGAAAGAGGCAGTGAGCTCGACTACGGAGACAGCAGACCTGGAAGTGTACGACGACGCAGAGAGAGTGATACGGAGAGCCTTGGAAGTCGAAGGGATATAAAGGTGAGATCAGCATCAACTTCCTCCTTGTCTCCATTCTTGTTCGTGCTCCCGCCGTTAATATTATGATATAGCGCAACAAACGCGACCGAAGATCGCCCTCGCCACGCAAGACGAAGTCGCCTCCGCCGGAACCCGTCCCGGCAAAGGAAGATCCAGGCCTTCGTTCCGGCAGTGAGGAAGGAGAAATCGAGGAAGATTAAGCCGCCGATGACGGTATGTTCTGCCGAGTCTACGGACAGTCATCTCACCGCAACGGTAGTTTTCAGTACATGACCAACGGCTTTGAGCGATTTCGGACACCACCACGTTTGCACACACACACACAGCCCCCCCTTGTACGGTTTTCATTTCACAATTGACAGCAGCTCTCGGTTCACACAAAACTCGGTACGTCCCATATCTGAGGTTCTTAATCACGGATTCGCTTCACAATAGCACAGCATTGCTTCGGTGTGAAGCGTAACATAAGTCCAGCTTTTAGCAGCACTCTGAAACATGCACGCTCGTCTGGAAGCACTAGTAGGCCCGTTTTGCTCTTAAAAATCACGAAAATGTAATATATTTATTGCCAGTTTCATCATCGTCTCTACTCGTGCACTTTCATCTGTGACGTCCTCGTCCATGCCCAGTTCAATATATCCTCAACTGCGTAGCAGTAGCTGTTCGTTCTCGCACCGAACAAGACTGGTCACGGTGGGCTTAGGACAGTTTAGTTGACGTGGGTGACTTAGTCGAGAAACAGTACTTACGCTGAAGAATGGTGCATCACGCTTGCATAACGACTCTGGTAACCGGGACGCGGCCGGATAAGTCTTTGGGAAGCTTTCAGGAAGAACAATTTCAACTCTCTTCCTCTAGGAAGAACTGTGATCGAAGGGTTAGCATATAGGTATAATTAGCCCTCTTTTCCAACACTTACGAAGTTCCCGGAGAGCTTCTGTTCCTGGTCAAGCTGCGAGTTCTGCTTGTTGATACGCGGGCGGTACGTGCTGGGATCGCGTCTGAACGTGACGTCCAAGTTCTTCAGAAACTTGTTACAGCCGGTCAGGAGACTCTCGGGCGAATTGGCGCGGGAATCAATGGACGGCTGGCCCTCAAAGACAATGACACGGTCGGCAAGGTATGTCGCCATGATGAAGTCGTGCTCGACGACAAAGGCCGTCTTCTTGAGATGCATAATGTAGCGCTTGATGACGCGGGCGGCGATGATGCGCTGCTCGGAGTCGAGGTACGCGCTGGGCTCGTCAATGACGTAGATGTCGGCGGGCTTGCCCAGAGAGAGCACGATGGCAACACGTTGCAGTTCACCACCGGACAGGTTCTGCACTTCCTGGTCGATGAAGTCGTCGAGCTTGAGCGGCTTGTAGACGTCGGTCTGGAACTGGGGGTTGAGGAAGGCGGCGCGGATCTGCTTCATGAAAAGCTGGCGCACGGTGCCCTGGAATTTGGGGGTGATCTTTTGTGGTTTCATGCTGATGCTCATGGGCGGAATGGATTTACCGCCGTCGGGCTTCTCTGCGCCTGCGAGCATACGGCAGAAGGTCGTCTTGCCAGTGCCGTTCTCGCCCATCATGACAATGATTTCAGAGCCGGTGAAGGAGCCAGCTTCGATGCTCAGGTGGAAGTCGCCCAGGGTCTTCTCCATCTTGGGATACCCGTAGTCGTTACTGCGGTCCATGATGAACTCTTCACCAGCCTCACCGACACGGAATGTGAGAGACTCCTCTCTGAAGCGCAGATTCTCTGTTGGAATATTGCCGTCAAGGAAGATGTTGATGCCTTCGCGGACACTTGCAGGCATAGTCACGACACCGTAGACAGCCGGTTTGCCGTACAAGACGCAAATGAAATCGGAAAGGTAGTCAAGAATTGCCAGATCATGCTCGACCACGATCACGTAGTCGTCAGGGCGAAGGAGACTGCGGATCATCTTACTGGCATTGAGACGCTGTTTGACGTCCAAGAAGGACGATGGTTCATCAAACATGTACACATCAGCTTTGGCCACGCAGGTCGTTCCAATAGCGAATCGTTGCAGCTCGCCACCAGAGAGAAGACTGACGTCTCGGTCGATGACTTGTCTTAGCTCAAGTACATCCAGAATCTCCTCCAGGTTATCCATAGTTGCGCGTGATTTGATGAGACCACCAACGCTTTTCACAGGGCCACGGATAGCCCTTGGAATCTGGTCGACATACTGTGGCTTAATGACAGACTTGAGATCATCTTCGAGGACCTTCTTGAAGTAATCTACGCTCATCAGCATTTGGAGTTTCTTCGAGAAGAGAGTAACTGACTCTGAAGCTCTGATCCACGGTAGTGTTTCAGGATCTCTGCCCAGTCAGGAGGGTTGTCATATCTTCCCAAGTTTGGCTTCAGCTTTCCACTAAGAATCTTCAAGGCTGTGCTCTTCCCGATACCGTTTGTTCCAACCAACCCGAGCACTTCACCGGGTCGAGGCAAAGGCAATCTGTGGAGCTTGAAGCTGTTTGCGGAGTAGCGATGAGCCACTTGAGTCTCGAGATTCGTGGGCAGATTGATAATGTTGATCGCATCGAAAGGGCACTTCTTTGGACAGATACCGCATCCAATACACAGTCTCTCTGAGATAAAGGCTATCTTGGAGGTCGGGTCGACTTCAATACATAGCTTGCCAGTCCGCACGACTGGGCAAGACTTTTTACACTCCTGACGACATTTCTTGGGTTTGCACTGTATTCCGATATGTCAGAACCGCGACGGAAGGGTGGGTGGGGTTCAGAAGACTGGCCTTGTCGCTATTCACGATTGCAATACTGGACAAGACGGGTCAGCATACACACATTGCATTGCACTGGCGTCATGCATACCGAGTAAGTTTGTCCGACATTCTGTAGAGAGCAGCGAAGCAACGGCAGCAATGGCAATGTAGAATCTAGTGTACGCTGTCGTTGCTGGCAGATCTCGAAAGCAGATGTCGAGATATTATTCAACACTACGCGAAATGTATACAGCAGTTGCAGGAGGGGCATTTTTTCGCGGCACCGCGGGGAGCACTGGGGCGGTAAGCGACTCTCCCTACACTGTGTTTGGCTCGCCTGTACCATGGAATTCTCTACACGGAATAGCACGGGTAATTCGCGGGCGCGCTCTGAAGATGATGCCTTAGTGCCTCAGCCGCTTCAACGCTGGTGCTTAAACCTAGACCTCGCTCCGCGCGCTTTCCCTCGCTCATCAATAAACTGCTACTCCAATACACCACACACACGCACCCACCCACCCCCATACTGTCAAACCACTTTTTCCTACATATATATTCCGAAGTGACTCCCGAGCTATGGACTGTAAGTGATCTCTTTCTTTGAATATGCTAGATTTATGCGCGCGCTCCTGGAGCTGGGCAGGCGGCCATCCTGTCGCCCAGCGTTCTCTATCAAATCCATCTACTACGTCTGCTATATGGACGATATATGCTTGCTCCAGTCTTCTGAGAGGTGTTTCCTACCTATTGCACCTTTCCAAGGCTTCCTGATGTCTTTGGTCACTCTCTGAGCCATCATTGATCCTTCAGGTGTACCTTCACCGCTGCCATCTCCAAAGTCATCAATACCTACTCCCCCCATGTACACTGCGACTACTATTCCCTTTAAAGTCACACTCTGGACGATTGTACTTGCTTAGAGTCGCCTGTCTGTCTATGTTCGAGTCGCATTCAGACCGCTCCCTGCAGATTTTGTACAGGTCAACTTCATCACTAACGTCGCTCATTACAGCGGGAGCCATCTCCCAATCACTCTCACGAGACTTCGTGAACCTCGAACCACATACGAACGGCTTTACAAACGCTTCCAGTATCGCAAACCTCTCCTACAAACCCATGGACCATCGCAGCGAAAGCGATCTGTCTGACATCAATGACGCGCCTGGTGAGGCATACAGCTCAGAAGAGGACCACCGTCAATCTGTCGCAAAGCAGGAGGAAACGCCTGATGCAGGAGTCGCTTCATCCGAAGATGAGGATGCTGAGGGCGAGGATGATGCCGATTACGACATGGAGTCACCGAGCCCAGAGCCTCCTGTGGCTGAGGCTCACAGCCCAGCAACTTCAGAGGACTCACGACGATCCATGAAACGGAAAGCTACTGATGAAGATGATGAAGACCACATGCGAAATAACCCTGAGTTGTTCGGTCTTCGACGTAGCGTATGTCGCCCGTTTGTAACCTCATGATAATAACTAACAGTCGCACAGGGCCGGGCAAACCAACGTCGTCGAGTGGTACGTATCGATAAATATCTGTCGCGTCGCAATTGCTGATGCCTCATAGGTCGACAGCAGTGATGAAGACTCAGGATCTGATGCTGTCAGTGGTCCAGCCCGTAAGAAGCGTCGACCTACAGCTCCTGCCAGAGGTAAGTCACATCGGTATATCATCTCTCATATCATAGCTCATAGTGGTCTCCTAGTCTCCAATCATGCAACACCTGTAATGCACTCTACTGCAGATTCAGATTCAGAATCAGATGATGTGTACGTCAACAACAAGAAGCACATCCTCACAAAGAAACAACGACGACGCCAGATGCAAGTGGCTGCAGGTCTCGCACCCCCATCGCAAGCCGAAGTACGATTCTCAACTCGAAGGGCTGCCAAAGTCCAGACATACAACGAAGATGAGGAGGACCCATTGAGTGAGCTGGAATCTGACGCGTTGACACCTAACTATTGGGTCAACAACCCCGAACAAGATTCTACTGGTGTCGATGTCGTCCTCAAACACCGACTGAAAGAAGGCGTTGGAAAAGAGGACCTGGTCTCTAAACAGTCCTACGAATTTAATGTAAGCAATGCCTTGTGCACCCTCGACATGAGCATGTTCTTAATGCGTTCACAGATAAAATGGAACGGCCGCGCTCACTATCATGCTTCATGGGAAACATTTGCAAGCCTCAATGGCTACCGCGGCTATCGCAAGCTCGAAAACTACTGGCGCAAGATCGTCATGGAAGAAGTACGCATACTAGAAGACCCTGACGTCTCTCTGGAAGAAAAGGAGGCGTGGCATCTGGACCGCGAACGTGACGCGGACATGCTCGAGGACTACCAACAAGTAGAACGCGTAATAGGAATTCGTGATGACGGAAACGATACGGAATACTATGTGAAATGTAATTTGTCCTCATGTTATTCTTGACTTAGTATCTAACAGCTCTTAGGGAAAGGACTGCAATACGAATCGAGCACGTGGGAAGACGCGAAACTCATTAGCGAACTATCGCAGAAAGAGATAGATCGATATTTGGATCGTTCAAGCCAACTGCCGGTCTCGAAGAAATCCGAATCCGCAGTCGCAACACGCAAACCTCATCAAACAATCAAGACACAGCCGGACTATATCAAGCATGGAGAGCTTCGAGAGTTCCAGCTTCGTGGCATCAACTTCTTGGCATATCATTGGTGCAAGGGCAACAATGTCATCCTCGCTGATGAGATGGGTCTAGGCAAGACCGTCCAGACTGTATCCTTTATGAATTGGCTTCGCCATGACAGAGACCAACAAGGACCTTTCCTCGTCGTCGTACCCTTGTCAACTCTTCCAGCATGGGCCGACACCTTCAATAACTGGACTCCAGACCTCAACTATGTTGTATACAACGGCAACGAACCCTCTCGCAAGATCATCCGCGAGTATGAGCTCCTGGTCGACAACAATCCCAAGAGAGTCAAGTTCAATGCCCTTTTGACTACATATGAGTTCATCCTCGCCGATTCTTCGTTCCTGTCCCAAGTCAAGTGGCAATTTCTTGCCGTCGACGAGGCACATCGTCTGAAGAACAGAGACTCTCAACTCTACCTCCGTCTGATGGACTTTAATGTTCCTAGTCGCCTCCTCATCACCGGAACGCCAATGCAGAATACTCTCAGCGAACTATCAGCACTCATGGACTTCTTAATGCCTGGCAAGGTGACCGTGGAGGAGGACCTTGATCTACAATCCGAAGACGCAAGTCGGAAAATCAAGGAATTGTCGGATGCTATCAGTCCTTACATGATACGCCGCACCAAGTCGAAAGTGGAGAATGACCTTCCTCCAAAGACTGAGAAGATCATCCGCGTGGAACTTTCCGACATCCAGCTGGAATATTACAAGAATATCCTCACCCGGAACTACACTGCTCTCAATGCTGGTGTTAAAGGACCAAAGCAGTCACTGTTAAACATCATGATGGAGCTCAAGAAGGCTAGCAATCATCCTTTCATGTTTCCAAATGTTGAGGAAAGGTTGCTTGAAAACGGCAACGCTCGCGAGGATCAACTGAGGGCATTGATCACAAGCAGTGGCAAAATGATGCTCCTTGATCAACTCCTGACGAAGCTCAAGAAGGACAATCATCGAGTGCTCATCTTCAGTCAGATGGTGCAAATGCTTAACATCCTGGGAGATTATTTGCAGCTTCGCGGTCACCAATACCAGCGGCTTGACGGCACTATCGCTTCTGGCCCCCGAAGAATGGCCATCGATCATTTCAACGCCCCAGAGAGCAAAGACTTTTGTTTCCTCTTATCGACACGAGCCGGTGGCCTGGGCATCAATCTCATGACAGCTGATACTGTCATTTTGTTTGACTCTGACTGGAATCCGCAAGCTGACTTGCAAGCTATGGCTCGCGCGCATCGTATTGGACAAAAGAAACCTGTTAGCGTTTACCGCCTGGTTTCGAAGGACACAGTCGAGGAGGAGGTACTCGAGCGTGCGAGAAACAAACTGATGCTGGAATTCATCACTATTCAGCGCGGTGTCACCGACAAAGACGCGACGGACTTCAGAGAGAAACTATCACGTGCTGGACATAGCACCGCTGAGCCCACATCGTCAGATGACATCAATCGTATCCTCAAACGACGCGGCCAGAAGATGTTTGAACAAACAGGCAATCAAAAGAGGCTTGAAGAGCTTGACATTGATGCAGTCCTCGAGAACGCAGAAGAGCATCAGACGGAACAGGCAACAGGCTTGACGTCCGACGGTGGTGAGGATTTCCTTAAGAGTTTTGAGTACACGGATGTGAAGATCGATCTCGAATGGGATGAGATCATACCGAAAGAGCATCTTGACATCATCAAGGCTGAGGAAAAGAAGAAAGAAGACGAGAAATATCTCGCCGAAGTCATCGAACAAAATGCTCCTCGCAAGAGGAAAGCGCCCAGCGACGAGAGGGAACAGAGAGCTGCAAAGAAAAGAGCACGCCAGGCAGCGATTGCGGCGGCAGCTGAAGACGCATCTGACGACGACTCTGGTCCTGATCAAGATCCCAATCGTCCCTTGAGCGAGAAGGAGACCAGAAATCTGATTCGCGCGTATGAGAAGTGGGGCTCTCTCAGCGAAAAGGGCGAGGAAATGGTCAAGGATGCGAAACTTGTGGGCCGCAACATCGATCTTTTGCACGCGACCATGAATGAAGTTGTGGGAATCAGCCAGAAACTCCTCAAAGAAGAGCAAGACAAGCTGGACGCTCTGGAGCGCGAAGCTAACAAGGTCCTGACCAAGAAGGACAGGAAGGCTGTTTTGTTCGACTACAGGGGTGTAAAGCGCATCAATGCGGAGACCATCACTGAACGACCTCATGAGATGAGGATGCTGAAAGAAGTGATTGGAGCCGTGGCAGACCATAAAGCGTTCCGAATCACAGAGGCTTCAAAACCTGCCCATTACACGTGCCCTTGGGGTGCGCGCGAGGATGGCATGCTCTGCGTTGGGATAATGCGACACGGCTATGGTGCATGGACAGCAATCCGCGACGATCCCGACCTAGCATTAAATGACAAGTTCTTCCTCGAAGAACACCGTGTCGACAAGAAAGAAGAACGTAACAAGGGCGAGGAAAAGAACGCCAAGTCCCCGGGTGCGGTCCACCTCGTGCGACGAGCCAACTACCTCATGAGCGTCCTGAAGGATAAGACCAGTAACGGTACGAACCTGGCTGCCAAACGGGCTCTCGAAAATCACCACCGTAACAACAAGAAATGGAGTCTTCAGAAGGGTCGGCAAGACAACGGAGCCAGTGTATCAGCTAGCCCAGCTCCTCACAGCAACCGTAAACGCGAACCAGAGAAGTCTCGTCACCGAGCGCAGAGCAATAGCGACCACCGAAAAAGTATGGATCGCCGCATGAATCATCATAGTGAAAGGAATGGCACACCCGAGATTCGACGCAAGCCCAGTGGTGAGACCATGGAGCGGCCTCGACAGAGAGTGGTTGAGCGTACTCTTCCGCAGCACAATCATGGGAACGCCGTCCGAGGCAGCGGAGAGACGTCAACATCAGAGAAAAAGGAGAAGGGCGAAAAGGCTGAGAAGGAGACAAGCAACAGTCATGGCGGTGATAAAGCCGTTGCGGTTCTCTTCACGCCAATCCAAGATAGGCTCAATCGCCTCAAGGGGGCCACGAAACAAGGCACGCCTGAACACGATCAGCGGCTCAAGATCCTCAAGATTGAGACTCTCCGGATTGGAGAATTTATAACGGAACTCGTCAAGACGTCTTCTTCTGAGGCCTTGGAGGATCGATACTGGTATGTTTAACGAGTTGGTGTAGACTATTAGGTCGATGTACTAACAGCATTGCAGGGCATTCGTGGTGACATACTGGCCAAACAAGAAGATATCGAACATAGAGCTCAAGAAGATGTACAAGCGGCTTCGAGACAAGGAACTCGAGAAAGACGTGGAGAAGAAGTCGGCGATGAAAAGCAACGGCAGCAAAGAGGACGGACAGCCATCCGCGGCGATCTAGGAGTGGGGAAGCATATCACAGGCGTTTTGATTATCTTTTGAAATGACGAGGCTTACTTAGCCCGCCGTTCATGTGCCCTTGAAAGCATATCATAGCATGGTGTTTGGAATGGTCATCAGCATACAGTGTTGTGACGGTCAGGTTGACTGGGCGGTGTATATCGGGCATTTGCAACGGTTACTGTTATCCAGGACAAAACGGGCGCATGGGGGGGGTAGATGATCAGAGAGAACCAGAGATTAGAGTCGGGCGCGTGAGAGCAACTCTTGTACCAAGAATTGAACAGACATCAGGATTACTACAGCTCAATGTTTGGTGCGATGTATCATGTCTAGGATGTGAATAGTAAAATAGGGGGGGTCACGAGACTCTGGAGGTCTGGGAAAGTCCAGTGAGCATTTTTTACTGACGATCGATCAGCTGCAGTGGGCTTTCCGTCGCCAGCCACGTGGGGGCTTTGAGGGGGCGCTAAGAGACAGCTAGGCAACGTCCGCGTCCGCGCCAGCCACTCATGATGCGGAGCAAATCCACATGGGTCATTCGCAGCGTGTCTGGTGGTCGGTTTTGCAGAAAGTCACTCTTGCATGTCAGTCGCATGTTGAACCATTTTTTTTGCTTCTTTTCTTTGGACACTCCGACTGCAAACCAGATACAAAATTGGATCGCTCAGGTCTCTCGCACGCACATAAACATTCAACCTTGCGAGTTCTTTTTCAAATGTCACCTAGGTAGGTAGCGTTGGCAGGTCAAAGAGATGCGGATACTGAACCAGCTCCCGTTGGAGCTGTTGCTGCTGGTACCGGCACTACTCGGGCAGCCAGCTCAAGCTCTGTCAGTGCCACGCTTCGGCCCGGGTACTACTGCTGCTGCTGCACATGCAACGACTGGCTTTGGTGGTGGTGGTGGTGTTGATGGTGGTATTTCACGATCGGTGACAGGGAAGAGGAAGAAGAAGCTTCATGGGCGATTCTTGCATATCACAGGTGAGTTTTGAGCTTGACACAGTTTGGGGGGGTCTGGGACTTGGCTAACGGGGCGGACTGCAGACTTCCATCCTGACCCTTTCTACAAAACCTACGCTGCGACAGACGCCGAGGGGACGTGCCATCGAGGGAACGGCAGTGCTGGATACTATGGCGCCGAAACATCGAGCTGTGACTCGCCCATCTCGCTCGTGAACGCGACGTTTGACTGGATCGACAAGAACATCAAGGATGAGGTGGACTTTGTCATCTGGACCGGCGACTCGGCGCGGCACGACAACGATGAGAAGCTGCCGCGCAGCACGGAGTCTGTGGTCGAGCAGAACCAGCTGCTTGTGGCCAAGTTCCTCGAGGTGTTTGGGCGGAAGCATCATGACGGCGGGGACGACTATCCCCGGAACGCCCTGGAGATTCCTGTGGTGCCGAATATTGGGAATAACGATATTCTTCCCCACAACATCTTCACAGAGGGGCCGAATTTCTGGACGAACAAGTATCTGGACGTGTGGCGGAGCTTTATCCCGGAGGAGCAACGTCATCAGTTCCAGAGAGGCGGCTGGTTCTACGTCGAGGCTATTCCGAACAGGCTGGCTATCTTTAGCATGAATACCATGTATGTGTGAGAGGACCTCCGCATTTTGTCATTGCTAAACAGAACAGGTACTTTTTTGCCTCCAACTCCGCCGTTGATGGCTGCGCCGCCAAATCCGAGCCTGGCTACGAACAATTTGAGTGGCTGCGCATCCAGCTGCAATTCATGCGTGAGCGCGGCATGAAGGCCATCCTGATCGGACATGTTCCACCAGCACGGACAGAGAACAAGGAGAGTTGGGAAGAGACGTGCTGGCAAAAATACACACTGTGGATGCAGCAGTATCGCGATGTGATTATAGCCAGCATGTATGGACACATGAACATCGCGCATTTCATGCTCCAAGACTTTAGCGAGATCAGGCCGGATGTGCTTGACGGGCGAATGGACCCGTTGTCGACCCAGCGTGAGTTTCTGGGCGATGAGATCAAGATCAACTCGGCGACGGACTACTTGCTGGACTTGCGGGATGAGTGGAGCAAACTCCCTACTCCGCCATCCGCAAAGTCTGAAGCTCTCGATGTAGATGACGAGATGGAGTGTGATGGGGAAGACTCGACGGCCTGGTCTTGGAGGAAGTTGGCCACATGGCTTGGTGTGGGCAAGAACAAGAAGCATGGCAAGGCACATGGTGGTGGTCGACACGCCGCCTATCGCGATAAGATCGGAGGCAAGTGGGGTGAGAGATACAGTGTGACTCACGTGCAGGCGAGTGTGGTGCCAAATTACTTCCCCACCATGCGCATTTTTTCGTACAACACGAGCGGCCTGGAGCACGCAGACAGCCCTGTGGTGCGCGGGCGATATCTGCAGCAGCAGACTGTTCTTGCTGGGGCGAATGAAGTGGAGAGCGAGACGGACGACGACGACGACGACCTGGATGCGCAGAAGAAGAAGAAAAAGAAAAAGTACAAGTTCACCGTTCCCCATCCGCCCTCGAAACACAGCCCGCCCGGTCCTGCATACTCACCTCAGCCCCTGTCGCTACTCGGCTACACGCAGTTCTTCGCCAACCTGACACACATCAACAACGACTTCACCACGCCATCTGATAATGAGGATGACGTGTCTGACTTCTCCGGCCTTGAGAACGGTGCCGCCCAAGACGTCGATGGCCAGCGCTGGAAGCCGGGCAAGCACCACGGCAAGCACCCTCACAAGCACAAGGACCAGGAGCCCCATCCAAACGAGTTCAAGTACGAGGTCGAGTACAGCACGTTTGACGACAAGGAGTTTGGACTGAAGGACCTCACGGTGCGGAGCTATGTCAAACTGGCGAGGAAGATTGGCGCGTATCGGTCTGCGGGCGAGACTGACGTGTCACAAGAAGAGTACGAAGGGCGGGATGAGAACGATGAGGAGGGTGATGTGGTAGGGGGAGAGGTCGATGCGGAGAAGAAGCACAAGAATAAGAAAAAGAAGAAGAAGCACGAGAAGAGAAAGCACAAGACGAAACAATGGCTCGCGTTTGTGCGGAGAGCGTTTGTCGAGACGGTCGACCCGGCATCGGTCGAGAGTGTCGGCGTGTCTGAGGGGGATGTCTGAGGAGGGGGAGGAGGAAGAAGAGTAGCAAGGCAGTGGAAAGGAAAGCATGATGAGCATTTTGAATCAGCATATGGTACAGAGTTTTTTGTCTGGCTGCATCTCTGGGGCGCAATTGGGGGGGCATATGTAGCATCCAAATATGGCATTTTCCCCGTGTAATACACTCGCTTTTTAGAATGGCTCTCTAGGTATACAAGCTTCGTGGCTTGACACACACACACAGAAGGGCATTTCATTCGCAGTAGCAATCACGTGCATGGCTAGGAATAAATAACAGTAAAGAAAAGGGGCAGCGGCAGGGTCCGAACGAAGGGGGGGAAAAAGCTTTGGTCCGCGACCGGGGCAGTGTTCGGTTTCAGGGCTGAAACGAGATATTTACGCAGCGCGGTGGATAGAAGGGTTGAGGGGCGTCTGCCGGTCTGACTGACTGAGACTGACTGACCGTCTGTCTTGCAATATGTATGTACAGCAGTTAATTACGTAGATGAGGCTAATACTGGGGGGACCATGCGTCGGCGCCGAATATGACGACTAGATACGACGATAAGTGCGCAAAACAAAAGTGGTGTGTGTGAAAGTGTTGAGTGCTTGGTTAGAGGGATTATCCTGACGAGGTGATATTCCAAAGGAATCATAAAAAGATGCAATGTTTTATCTAGCGCCCGCTAGCGCCCTCACCAAAATCACGTCTAAAAACTCACCTTTTGCCACATATTAAATTAACCAGGCCCTAATTCAAAAATCTGGTCCCCAGTTTTGTAGCCCTGCCTACGACGAGTATTTTCATATACTTTTTATCCTCTGCAGGGCTATACTCACGGACGAGATAGGTTTATAAGCCTCTGGTATCGCGTTTGGTAGCAGCTTGAAAATTCGCACGTCTTAGCCGTGGATTTTCCGGCGTGCCTTAGTGCCTTAGTGCCTTAAATTGAGACTGCACGCAGTCTGCCGGCCGCAGGCCACCCTAGTATATTATTATTATTATTAACAGCAACAACAGCAACAACAGCATCAGCACACCGGTAACGAATGAGGAATGACGACAGCGACGGTGTTGAGCAAGCAGCAGGCAGGGTGAAGACTGCGCCACAACCTCTCTCTTACTTGCATATCATGGATACCTAGTGTGGTGGTGGTGGTGGTGGTGGTGGGAAGACGAGCTGACCGGGCACGTGTGATGAGGGTGGACGTGGACTGTCGACATAGGGTAGATATATACGCTCGCTGCTGCGGTCAGCTGCGTTTACTCATTCACTAACTCCAAGCATCACACTGGATAATAGATGGATCAAAGTCACGATAGACGCAAAGAAAGGCCTCGTTTATTATTGTTGTCGTCGTCGTCGATGCCGGTGCTGATGCTGTTGTGTCGCTGTCCCTGTCAGTGACGTCACGATCGCATGGCTGCCAAAGTCGGGCTGCACGCGAGAAAAAGTCTAACTTTGGCGTGGTTGCGGCCCTACGCGAGCGATGATTGGCTGGTTGTGGCTGTGGGCAGTCAGGCTGGGTGTGCAAAGACGTAGAAAGGAAAAGGCGTGTGAATGTGTGAAAGCCCTTGTTTACCCTGGCTGAGCCCGGTTATGGCGGGAGAGAAGGGGGGGAGGGGAGGGGGGTTGTGTCATCGTGGGTGGTGCTGCCCGCTAGATCTTTGCTGCCCAGTATCGCCCACTGTTGCCCACTCATTACTGCCCATCTCCATTCTCTCACCACCACCACCCCCCTCTTCACCTCTGCCGTCACTGTCCGTCCGCTCCATCACACTGACGACCAAAAACATCCCTCCTCCATCGAACCCATACAACCCATACCACCGCCGCTGTCCTAGCTGACCGGATCTTCCAGACTCTCCTGGTCTGTCTATATATCTGCTGCCTGCTCGAGCGCCCGTCATTGCGTGAAACAAACTACCATCACCCCACCACACACACGCTCTCTCTCTCTCTCTCTGAGCCTCGTCTGTCTCACGCAGCGCCCTTCTCGCCTTCATTGCTCGACCACCACTACTTGCGTTTCAACCGTAAGAGTTACGAGATTACATTTCTACTCTGGACATACCGTACGTTCTGTCGTGCTCTATTGCCATCGTGAGCCGAGCTGTGAAACTGACTGTGTTGATAGACTGCCGGACTACGGAACAGGACTGAACACATCACTTGAGCGAGCATCATCACCATTTCCACCATGTCGCAATACGGCTACGATGACCCTCGCGACGACCGTCGCTATCGTGGACATAGGACCAGAGAACGAGACCCTGACTACACACGCGAGGACACTTATATTGAGCGAGGCTCGGGAGCTCCGGTCCGCGACCTAGCCTACCGTCCCCGCGACGACGACATTGAAGATATCCCCCGAAACTTTCCTCCTCCGGGCGATCAATACGGTCGTGGCTACCGCGACGCTCCTCGCTCCTCGCGAGGAGGCTATGACGACGACTACTACTCTGATCGTGGCTCGCGACGCGAGCCTCGACGCCGCTCCCACCGCGATGATGGCTACTACTCGGACCACGATGACAGGCCCCGCCGTGATCGTCGCAAGTCTATTGGCGACCAACTCAAGGACTTTGCTGAGGGTGCAGGTCTCGGTGGCGTGCTCGGTGGTCTGGCTGGTGGCAATCGCAGCCGCAGCCGCAGCCGTGGAGGACGTCGTGACCGTGATCGTCGAAGCCGCTACAGCGACTCGTCTTCAGACAGAAGCCATGGCGGACGTCGTAAGCGGTCTCAGTCTCGTGGAAAATGGGAGCAAGCCGCCAAGGCTGCTGTCGTAGCTGGTGCTGTCGAAGCCTTTAGGTCTCGCAAGGCTCCTGGTCCGTGGACGGGCGAGAAGGGTCAGCGAATCGCCACGGCAGCTCTTGGTGCTGCTGGCATCGATGGCTTCGTTGACAGAGACCCCGATAAGAAGAGTAAGCGTCACATTGCCGAGGCCGCACTTGGTGGGCTTGTTGCCAACCGTCTTGCAAATGGCTCCCGCTCTCAATCTCGCGGTGGAAGAGGCCGCTCCGAGTCTCGTTCTCGTTCTCGTTCTCGCTCCAGGTCCCGTTCCATCTTTGGTCGTAGCCGATCCCGCGGCCGCGACAGGTCCGAGGGCAGAAGTACCGTGCGCGACGTTGCTGGAGCTGGAGCCGTCCTTGCCGCCGGAAAGGCCATCTACGACCGTGTCCGTTCCAAGTCCCGATCCAGGAAAAACCGCGACAGGTCCCGGAGTGTGTCCAGTGAAGACAGCTATGTGCCGTCCCGCGGCCGTCGGTATGATAAGCAACGCGATGCAGCAAACAATAATAACGAACGCTCGATGACAGGTCCAGCGGCCGGAGCCGGCGCAGTGGCTACTAGACAGGCCACCCGCGGCGACAACGGCGGCGGCGGCAGCTCGGACTCGGAATCCACCACGGATATCGAGTCCAAACGCAAGAAGATGCGAGGTAAGGAGCTGCTGACCGCCGGCTTTGCCAGTATCGCAACCATCCACGCCGCACACGGTGTCTACAACAGCATGGTTGCCAGCGAAAAGCGCCGCAAGATGGTGGCCGAGGGCGAGATGACCGCCGAGGTTGCACGCAAGCAGAAGAGCAAGAACATGCTGCAGGACGCGGCCGCCGTCGGCATCGCCGCCCTCGGTATCAAGGGAGCCTTTTCCGAGTGGAAGGAGATGAACGAGCATCGACACGAGTGCAAGGAGCTAGAGACGAAGCGCCGGAAGCGCAGAAAGGAAAAGGAGCGCAGAGACCGCGAGGCTCGGCACCAAGGCATGATGTATCCCCAGTCCCATCCCGCGTATCCTCCTCCTCCAATGGGCTACCCGCCGCCGCCGATGGGCTATCAAGACGGCAGTTCTGTGCCACCGCCGCCAATCGTGAGTGGAGGCGGGAGCGCAAGATATTGATTTGACTGCTTGATTTGGTCACTGTTTTTTTCTTCTCTCTTTTTCTCTGACGGCCGGAGTTTATTTTTTCTTTTCGGGTAAGGGTGGGAGAGGGACTGGCTTGGGAGACGTGGAATGATGGGCTGACGTGTACTACTCTCTGGATGCATTAAGAAGATTATCTGGTTCTTTTCGTTCTACTCCCGTGAGGCTGTCGCATGTAATGGGCCCACACACACACATACAGACATAAACGTACACAAACAAAGGCGAGCATGTGGATTACGCTTAAGCTCGATGGATGATGGTATGGCAAGGCATGGCATGGCATGGCATGGCATGGCTAACGTCAAAGCAAGCATGCGAGCGAGCAAGCAAGCAGAGAAAGGAAAGCAAAGCGTAGCCGGAGTTCTTCTTTTTTTTTGGTTTCTTACTACATTGAACATGAACATTGAACATGGACATGAAACAGGAAACATGAGATGACGGTAAAGGTTGGGTAAAGGGTAAAGGGTAACGACAGTGACGATATAGATGTTTACACACACACGTACACAAACACACAAACACATTATTGGGTTCTTCTTCTTCTTTTTTGTGGCTTTTTGTCTCTTGTTTGAGTATGTGAATAAGGATGTGAGTCGAGTGAGTAGTGAGTTCGAGTGAGAAGTGAGTCGAGTGAGTTGTGACGATGTTATGTGATGTGACTTGAGGTGACGTGGTTCTAGGCGTAACCTTGAAGCACACTGACTGCATGTATGTATGTATATGCACACGTAAATGTTGAATTTTCACCCTCCGTTCCGTTCCAATCCTCCATCCTTCCGCAGCCCCACCAACACACATCAACACACACACAAACACACCTAAACCACAACCCACCCCTCATACCTCCCCACCCCCTCCTCCCTAACCCCCTCCATCTCCTCTCTCACAGGCAATATCCCCACCCTCCCAATCTTCACCCCTTTCTCCCCCTCTCCTTCCTTCCCATCCCTCTCCTCTCCCTCCTTGTCCCCCTCCTTCCCATCCCCCCCCTCCCCATCCCCCTCATCCCCCCCAGCATCCCCCGCAGCATACCCCCCCAAAACCGCACCCAACCGCCCAACAACATCCTCCCGATCCTCCACCAACACAGCAACAGCATCATACCCGCCCGCACCCGGCACAACCCCACCGACCACGCCCTCAACCGCACAAATCGTGTCTAGAAGGCGTGTTTGCTCGACTGGCTCGATGGGCACGTTTGCGGCGGCGGTGAGGGCGCGGAGATGGGTGCGGATTGTGGCGAGGTGGGATGCGAGGGGGGTGTAGTCCTGCCGTTGGGATTGGGATTGGTTTTGGGGGGAGGAGGAGAGAGAGACGAGTTCGGCGGCGAGGGCTTCGTTGGCGGCTTGCAGCGCGTTGTATATCTCATTTGCGGCACCGGGATTCGCAGCGCGCCACGCGAGGACTTGCCTGACCATCCCGGGCGTCTGGGATCCGCAGTCTACATCCGCCATGAGGAGGCGGAGCCCGGCAGGGATGGAGATGGCGGATTTGGTGATTTGGGTGTCCCATTTTGGGGGTGCTGCTGTGTCCTGGACGAGGGATGTGAGGGTGAGTGCGAAGCCGGGGGTGGAGCCGGGGGTGGAAGAGGTTGTTTGGGCGAGGATGGACGGGGAGAAGCGGCGGTAGAGGGCGGAGCCGTGGACGGCGGAGGCGATGTCGAAGCCGGAGCCGATTTTGCCTTGAGCGGCGCAGTGGGCGGCTTGGGCGAGGTTGTGGAGGTGGGTTTTGCTTTTGTTGGTTGTGTTGGTGGTGGTGTTGCTGTCGGTGTTGGTGGAGGGGGAGGGGGAGAGGGAGAAGGAGGTGGGCGGGAGGTAGTGGGCGAGGAGGGCGGCGGTTAGGGAGGTGACGAGGGCGGCGGAGGAGCCGAGGCCGGTCTTGTGTGCGGAGTGGAGCGGGACGGCGAAGTTTGCGAATTGGGAGGATGGGTTGTTGGGCGAGGGCGAGGGGGTGTTGGAGTAGTAGGCTGTGTCGGCGAGGATGGTGATGGTGGAGGCGGGGATGGGGGCGTGGGTGAGGGCGGTGATGTAGGAGAGGGCGTAGGCGAGGGTGGTTTCGACAAAGGGGTTGCGGTTGAGGGTGCCGGTGCGGGATCTGGGGGTGGTGAGTGAGTGTTGTGGTTTTTTGATATTGTAGTTATTGGCTGGCCAATCAGGGAAGGGGGATCAGAGGTGGAGTGAGTGTCTCAGACGAGCAATGTAAACAATGAGATAACATTAAAATAAAAAAAGGAAACACAATTGAGTCTCGAAGAATACACCAGGAATCCACTTACGGGTCCAGCTGCGTCACCTCGACCCCGGCATCGTCTGCTGCCTGTCGGTAGCCATACTGCCAGACGGCGTCCTTGAACTGCGGCGATTTGACGATAATCTCCTGCAGAGAAACGCCAGACGGCGTGGGCAGAGGCTGGATGACAACATGGATCCGGGCGTCCAGGCCAAAGACAAGGCCGGTGTAGTCACGATCCAGGACCAGATAGCCACCTGCCAGCAAGACCTTGCCGGGGGCAGACACAGCCTTGAGCGGGAGAGCCATGTATCGTGTTGTTGGTTGGTGGTCCTACAACGTCCGGCCGGCAGGATTCAGGCGCGTGATGCCAGGCAGCAGCCGTTTCTTTCTCTTCCGGACGATCCGTCAACTCCGTCTGAGAGGGGCTCGTGTGTTCAGTGTTCAGGGCGGGCTGAGAAGCTGAGCTGATAGAAACGACGACGTTTTGCAGTGGAGTGGGGAAAAACGGGGGGCCAAGGTTCCGCGACGACGGCGTTAACGGACGATCAATGCGTCTCCGAGTCTGTGGGATTCCAGGTCCAGGTCCAGCGCCTCTCAGCTCTGATGGATGGCTGCGCACTGCACTGCACTGTAAGCCTTCGTAACAAGCAACTAATAATTGATTCCTCCTGTACGGACAGGGCTGGCTGAGTGGAGTGCGGCGGGCGCGGAGATGGGAGTTGTTCCGCGCGTCCGGCGTGATTGGCTGGTCCGGAGAAAAAGCAGTGTGAGCCTGAGGCAACGACGACGACGACGACAACAACAACAATGATTCCGACAAATACTCGTGTGTGAGTCACCAAACGGCACCACAAACTTCACAAAACAAGCAGGCGCGCTCTAATTGTATTCGCCCGTGTCGGGGACTCAAGGACGTTTTCGGAGCCCGAGTGCAGTCTATTCCTCTTCTGGTTTAGCGCGTCTCTGTCAGCCTTCCCAGGCAGTATTACCCGCACTAAAACGTCAACTAACTCCCTAGTACAGGAGTTCTGCTGGGTTGGTGACCACTTCATTCTATACTACTGTTCACTCCCCCTTCTATCCCTCTCTCCTCTTCCTGCATTACGTCTTACATTCAGGCTGGTATCCTCAGCTTTTGCCTCTCTGCCTTCGTTCCTTAGCCATCATCCATCACTTGCCACTATCCTTCATCTCCCTCCGTCGCGAATCCCTCTGTGTGAGATTTCGCATCCAAAACTTTTCAACCATCCCAACTCCGAGTCCAATATACCCCAAAGCGCGTTCATTTGACGGCATCGCGTCGTCTGATGAACCTGCACAAGCTCCTTGACTCGAGAATATCAGTACGTACATGGTTTTTCCCATCTGCGCGCCAATGCTAACAACCCGTCGCCACAGTCTCACCCTTCCATCTTGAAGGGCTCCCCCGTCTACTAAATGGTGTTTAAGACACTCCATCTAGCACGCCAGAGTCTCGCAAAGACCTTCACCCACGGTTACGCTCAATCCGTCGTCGCGGCCTCGCAGTCCTCATACGCTTCCCAGAACCACTCCTTTGGCAACTTTGCCAGCAGATTCAAGTCTGGTCCTGCCCAGAACTACCCTGCCACCAATCAGCACGGCGTCAAGGTCTCGCACCATGATCACAACGACTCTGGTCTAGCCGCATACTATGCCGCGTGGCAGAAGCACAATGACAAAGAGTGGTCGCAGTTTCAATTCACAAAGAGGATAGAATGGAAGCCAGAACCGCCCTCGTCCAAGGCCAAGGCCACTGCTGTTGAAGATGTCGACGATATCGATCCCGAAGATGTTGCTGTCAGAAGCGGTGTAAATCGTGCGTACAGTACAAGTGCTGTCGATGACTTCAGGAAGGTGGTTGGTGATGATGGCGCAGAGGCTGCCGCTCTCGCTCGGGTTGATGAAGCAATTGCGGAAGAGGTGGCCAGATCGAAGGACGATTCCATCTCTGTCGCGTCTCCCAAGTCCCCTGGAAGTGTTCAAGAAAGCACGTCGGATCGCTCGGCATCTCCCGCATCAATCTCTACTGCCCCCTCTTCCACTTCATCCGAGGCCGAACAATTCGTCCAACACCTGGTGCAACTCGCCGAGAACAAGCAGTATGCAGAGATTTCCGTCGTGTTTGAGGCCATGCTGAAGGCTGGCATCAAACCACCGTCCTCGGCCTACAACATCCTCCTCACCGCTACCATCAACACCCCAAGGGCCAAGCATCAGGTTGTGCCCAAGGCCCTCGATGTCTACTCGGACATGCTCCGTCGTCGCGTTACCCCAGACTCGTCTACATACGCCACCTTGATTGAAGTGCTTTCCGTCCGGTCGCTCGATGTGGTTGCTGGCAAGCAAGCGCTCGAGGAGAAGCGCGCCCGCTACGGCGGAATGGATGAGCCGGGAAAATTCATGTTTGAATCAAACGAGGCTGATTTCGAGATCCTTCGCGAAGACGACTCTGTCGGTATGGCTGTCAAGGTTTTCGATGCTGCAACGTCGTCCAAGGCAAAACTTGCATTCTCGGAGCGAACTTACCGCATGTTGGTCATTGCCTGCGCCGAAGCCGGCCACATGGAACACATGGTTCGCGTCTTCGCACATATGGAGAACCACAATGTCTTGCCCAGTCCTGACATGTTTGTGTCCATGATCCAGGCGTTTGGCAAGTCCGGCGATCTTCGCAGTGCTGTAGAGTGTTACGACGAGTACAAGAACCTCGCCATATCACATGACAGCGGGAAGATCTCCATCTCCCGAAAAGACAACGAAGTATACGCGTCTCTCATCAAGGCGTACAGCATCTGCGACAGGCTCGAAGGTGCCTCCGAATTCATGGACAAGATTGAAGCCAGTCTCGTTCAGGATGAGCAACTTGTGCGCCTACGCGATGTAGTCGGCTTGAAGGCGCTTGTCCCACAATGGCTCAAGGTTGGCTCATTCGAGCATGCCATGACCTGGTCCACTCAATACCTCAGCCCACAGGCTCGTGTCACGGCATTCGCTGCAATTTGTATTCGTGCTGCGGATGTGGACAACATCGACGCTGCAAACAAGGCCTTTGATGCCCTTCCGGAGGATGTGGATCTCAGCGGTCCCGCTATGGCTATGGGTGCAATGAACATCCGGGCTGGCAACGTCGAACAATCGGACAGATTTTGGAAGGTCCTTGAGGTCGCCAGCACCAAGCCACAGTTTATCGAGGCGACTGCCATGCATGCGATTGCATTGATCGGTAGTGGCCAGGCCGAACGCGGTCTGCGCCAGGCCAGGCAGATGATGGCCCGCATTCGAGACTCGCAGTCTTCGACAAGCCAGTCCAAGATTGACGTCGTCGAGCAGATTGACGAAGCCATTGAGGTCTTGGGCCACTTCATGATCAAGCGTGGCATCGTACTTCCTGCGAAGGCCAGTATGGAGCTCATGTGGTCCATGATTGAAAACGGAGGCCTTGTCGCTCCCGTTGCCGGCCACCTGCTCGCTGGTCTTGGACCTGAGGGCGTCGCTCAACTTGGCTGGGACGATCTCTCCCTCCTTGTACAGGTGCAGGCCGGTATGCTTCTGAACTCTTCGACCATGGACATTGCGAACTCTGCTCGCCTTGCTCATCTCCTCGAGGTAGTCATGATGACTGGACTGCCTTGCGACAACGCGACCACTACCGTGGTAGAGAAAGCCCTGATGAAGCTTGATCGCCCTGACATCTCTCAGCGATGGCAGACATACAGATACCCTGTCGCTGTCCCTGCTTACAGTCCCGCACCTTACCCAATCATGGGTCAAGCCCCGCCAGCTCCCGTACCTGTCGCCCCGTATGAAGACAATCATGACCCTTATGCCGCCACTACCGACAACAAGGGCTCTGTCGCCATCACGGACCTTCTTGAGAAGACGTACGGAGAGTATTCCTCCCATCTCAACGAGGCTCTCTCCAAGTTCAAGAACATCCGACGAGCTGGCAGGCATCCACGATTCTTCACCTACGCAAAGTTGATCACTGCCGCTGCCAAGGAGAATCGGTTCAACCTTTGCCAAGACATTCTCGCTCTCGCCAAACAAGATGTCCCACTACTGCCCCAGTACCGCATCGTCCGCTACGGATGGGTCACCATCCTAGATGCAATGGTCGCTGCCTCCCTCACGACCGGCCAACGCCAACTAGCTGCAAAATACCATCAAGACCTTCTCGACCTCGGCGCCGCCCCTTCTGCAAACACTTTTGGCCTATACATCACCACCCTCAAGGAATCCACAAAGACGTTTGACGAGGCCACCGAGGCTGTCAAGATTTTTCTGCGTGCAAAGTCCGAGGGTGTTGAGCCGTCCTCGTTCCTATACAATGCCTTGATTGGCAAGCTCGGCAAGGCGCGACGTATCGACGACTGCTTGTTCTACTTTGCCGAGATGCGCAATCTTGGTATTCGTCCTACCAGTGTCACCTACGGGACGATCGTCAATGCTCTCTGCCGCGTCAGCGATGAGAAGTTTGCGGAAGAACTCTTTGAGGAGATGGAAAGCATGCCCAACTACAAGCCCCGCCCGGCACCCTACCACAGTATGATGCAATTCTTCCTGACAACCAAGCGTGATCGCAGCAAGGTGTTGGCTTACTACGAGCGCATGCGTGCCAAGCACATTGAGCCAACCACACACACATACAAGCTCCTCATCGACACTTATGCGACTCTCGAGCCTGTCAACATGGACGCTGCCGAAGCCGTTCTCCGCGACATTCGCAGCTCTGGTGTTGCCCCAGAGGCTGTACATTACTCTTCTCTGATCCACGCAAAAGGCTGCGTCCAGCATGACATGGAGGGCGCAAGGAAGCTCTTCGACGAGGTGCTCAACGAGACCGACATCCGCCCTCAAGCATGTCTTTATCAAGCATTGTTCGAGTCCATGGCCGCCAACCACAAGATCGCCGAGACTGACGCCATCCTCCGTGGTATGATCTCTCACCGCGTGGAGATGACTCCATACATTGCCAACTCTCTCATCCATGGCTGGGCTATGGCCAAGGACATTGAGAAGGCAAAGGCAATCTACGACATGGTGCCCGCTGACAAACGTGAGCCTAGCACCTACGAGGCCATGACGCGTGCATATATGGCCGTCGAGGACCGTACCAATGCTGTCTCCATCGTCAACGAGGGTCTGTCCCGCGGCTATCCCGCTGCTGTTGCAGGAAAGATCATGGAGCTCGTTGGTGGCGGCCGGCCCGCTGGGTCCATGACGGAGGCCTCTACCTAAAATCAACCTTCACTTCATCGTACATATTACGTTTGTTATTGCACGGCGTTTGGTGTTCTGTCCTGCTTGTCATTGTCATAGTGGGATGGGCAAACCCCTGTACAAATGCCAAGCGCTGGTGTTTCTGGGTCTTGAAAAAGGAGTCGAGGGCGGCTAAAGTGCATTGTTTGCATCTGGTGTACGCATAGCACAGCAACGGCCGTCAGGTAAAGTCAAAGTTTTGTTTCGCCATTTTATTGTATCATACCCATAGCATTAGCATCTCCACTCTAGACGGACGGAAAGGACATGGGAATATCTACAGTACGAAATTACGCACAAGCTGTTCTCGCAATCGGTTTTCAAGTCCAAGTTTTCCCTTGTTCACTTGACACTCCTTGACCCACTTCACCCTTCTTTTCTTGTGTGTTTGATTCACTTTGACGTCTCATTTCCCCCGCGCCACGCGACCCTCTGTCACGCCCGTCTTGTTTACCTTCTCGTCGTGCGTGACGCCTTGTTTACTTGCTCGATATGACGTCGTGTCCCGTTGAATATGCTAAAGTGATTCACCTACGCGTTCCGCTGGCACAGCGACGAGCTCGCACACCGCACAGTGCCCACACCTTATTTCCTCGCCCACAATATCCTGGACTGTCTCTTACTTCCTTCCTTCACCACCTTTCTTACTTACTTGGACCTGTGTTTTCGTCTCTGTAACGCCGATCGTGTCTGACAACATGACTTCCAACGAACACGCACCGCTTGACAAGCTTGACACTGTCGGTCCTTTGTTTGACGCTGGTGTTGACGCGGTTTTGTGCAACAATGCGGTCACTGACGCTGAAGTTGAAGCTGACGTTGACTCCGAGACTGTGAACGAGAACACCAACGGTGAGTGTTTGACCTGCCATGGCAATTACTGTGAAGGCTAACATGGAGCACAGCTGAAGATGATGGTCTTGTCGATGCTGTCAACCTTCTGAACGTCAACGAGACCGAAAACGGTGAGCTTCTGGGTTGAGTTTTTCAAGTCGAGTCTGACCTCTAACTCGTTTCCAGGTCAGCCAGGCAGCTTCTCAACCATCATCGCGTCTGAGCCTGAGCTTAGCACCGGTAAGGACCTCAACGGCACTCATGTGATCGTGACCACTAACACCGCTGTTGCAGGTCCTCAAGGTAGCTTTGCAGAGACTGTCAACGACAATGACGACGCCGCATCTGTCTCGTCTGCCGACTCCATTGAGTCAACTGAAAGCTGGCGCCAACATGAGCGTCGCCGTCTCGAGATCCTCCGCAGGTGGAGAGGTGAGCCTGAGGCTGACGAGGAAGAAGAAGACCCTCTGGCCAACTACGACACGCTCACGCTGCAGCACTCCAACGGCCGCGAATTCGATGTCTTGTTCCCGAAGCCACGTCCTCTGAACGAGGTTCCTGAACCCCGTGCCGTGAACCCTGTGCTTATCGAGAAGCCCTCCGTCGATCTCTCGACTCTTCGCTCCCGTCTTCCTGCTGAGGTCTGGCTGCGTATCCTGGGCATCCCATTGACAGGCAAGCGCCCTATTCACCCCAGGTCCCTTCCCCGCTCCGATATCGAGATCGTCAACGCCATGTCCGCCGACCCCGATCCGAAATACCGGTCAACCTACCAGTTCTTCGACGAAGTCATGACTGCCCGCAGCCGCGAGTTTCACGAGACCAACCGCAGCGCGATGTACGGCGGCGAGGGCTCCCAGGACAGGCCCATCAAGGAGTACGCGCCCATTGCCGCGCTTCTCCGTCTCCAGAAGGTCAACAGGGAGATTCGCTACGACGCCATCACGCAGTTCTACCGCCTCAACACCTTCCAGTTTGGCTGGGCCGACCACGACATGCTCCGCTTCCTCGACGCCCTCTCCATCCCGCCGCGCGTTGGTTCGGACAGCAGCAACAGCAGCAGCAGCAACACTCCCGCCCGTCCCTGCGACGAGAAAATGAAGCTCTGCAACCTCCGCCACCTCACCTTCTGGCTCCCACGCACCGACCCCTTCGTCCCCGACCCCATCGACAAACACGACCCCTACGCCATCGACTTCACCGACACCAAGCACGAAAACGCCTTCCGCGTACAGTACGCCCTCACCCTCCTCGTCCGCGCCTGCTACGGCCCAAAAGTCTGCATCGGCAAGATCCTGCCCTGCGCCCGCCTCACCCTCGGCGTCGCCACCCGCGCCAACGCAGACAGCCTCGACTGGCTCGCGCGCGAACTGCTCGACGCCAACATCGCGCTCGACCTCGTCGTCCGCGACATCGACACCGGCTTCCATGGCCTCATGTATAGGAACCAGACGACCCATATCCAGGCTGACTGGCGCTTCCTCGACCAGGCTGCTACCCGGCCCTTTAATCTGCCTTTTGTCAAGCCTGTCCGTGATAATAGCGGCCGCGAGGATGAGCGCTGGCGGATTGCCCCTGGGGCCTGTCCGCCTGCTTGTCGCCGGCAGTACACGGGCCGCATCACGCTTTCGCCATGCGGTCGGGACACGGGCAACACGCCGACTGTCAAGGCCGCCCTGCACCGCCGCGAGCAAGGGCTCTGGGCATTCTACGATTCGCTTGGGCCGCAGAACACGCCTGTTGTCGGTGCTGCTTCGGATGTTGAAGGTATTGATGGTGTTGCTGATCTCGACGTGCATGCTCTTCGCGATCGGGATGCTGAGGCTGTCGCTGCCGCAGACCCGGATTCGCCAGAGGGACAGGCGCTGCGTGCGCGCGAGGACGCGCTCGGCAATTTCCAGCTTGCGATGCTGGGCAATATGCGCTTGTATGTGCCGTTGGATGCGCGCACGGGGATGCCGTATCGGGCTGTTGCGCCGCCTACGCCGTCGTTTGTGATGAATACTGTGCTTGCGGGTGAGGGGGGGTATGGTGCTGGGTACGATGCTACTTATGATACTGGGTATGGTTCCGGCTACGGCACTGGCTACGGCACTGGCTACGGCACAGGCTACGAAGGCGAAGACGGCAACAACGAAACCGGCAGACCAAGCTCTGCCTCAGCGAGTGAGTATCGCACTCCCTGTTTTCCTTCCCCTCCCCTTGTCCCTTTTCCCCATCGCTCTTGTTCCTGCCCGTCTGCGCTTGCGCGACCTGTTCTCGTGCCGACGCATCACTCGCACTACACGCCTTTTCTGCCCGATTATGTCGAGTACGATGATGGGTGTGGGCCCGTGCGTGTCGAGCCTGACTTGGGTTCTGAGTTTGGATTCGAACTCGCTTTTGAGGATGGTTTCGAAGAAGAAGAAGAATTGGAAGATGACCCAGAAGAAGATCTTGAGGCTGACGCTGTAGATGTCGCCAATACCGACATGATCAACGACGACGACAACAACGCCCAGCCAGCTAGCTATGGCACCGCGCGCTTCCCCGTCCGCAGGTTCTTCGAGAGCCTGTATGAGAGCTGGGAGCCGCGGCGGCGGGGGATCTTGGGGCATGACAGTGCGCGGTTCGCGAGGGCGATGCGGAGGATGGTCGGCCGGGTGGCTGCTGATGTTGGGGTTGGGGGTGGGGAGGAGGGTGGGCTGGAGGAGGAGAGGGAGGTGGAGGTGGAGGGGGTGAGGGATGTTTGAGACCTTGGGATTGAGGGGGGGTCAGGGGGGATGTGGGAGAGGTGAGGTGGGAGATGGGGCTTAGACTATGTAGCTTGAGAGGAGAGAATGCAGATTGCGATGATGCTGATTTTGGTGTGCTGTTGGTGATTGTGTGGTTTTGGGGTGGGTGTGTGGGTTGGGGTTTGGGTAGGCAGTGTGATGTGATGGGGGTTTGAGGGGTTTGGGGTGATGAGGTGTGTGTTGTGTATGGTGTTTACTGTGATTTATGGTGGTTATGTGGGTGGTAGTTGTCGTGGGCAACAGGACATGAAGTGGTTTCGGCGTGCTGGGTATGGTTAGATGGGTGTGGTAGGACTGTCCGCTGCGGTTTGCCGTGGTTGCGTGGGTAAAATTCATCGTAGCTGGTACGACACGAAGTGGTTTCGAGGTGCTGGGTATGGCTAGATAGATATAGCATGGAGTGTCCGCTACGGTTTGTTGTGATTGCGTTGGTGGTATTTATCGTGGCTAGCACGACATGAAGTGGTTTCGAGGTGCTGGGTATAATGAGATGGATGTGGTATATGGCGTCTACTGCGGTTTGTCGTGGTTACGTGGGTAGGATTTATCGTGGCTAATACGACACGATGTGATTGCGATATACTAGATATGACGCGATATATATAGTATACACCGTCTACTACGATTTATCTTATTTATGTCGGTAGTATTTATCATAGCTAATACGATACGACGTGATTTTAACATGCTAGGTATAATACGCTATATATAATATACGGCGTCTACTACGGTTTATTATATTCATGTAGGTAAGAATTATCGTAGCTAGCATAGTATAATCCGATTTCGACATGCTAGGTATGATGTAATATCTATGTCTAGCACCGTCTACTATAGTTTATTATATTTCCATAGGTATAATTTATTATAGCTAGTATAGTATAACATGATTCTAATATAGTAGATGTAATATAATAACTATAATATATAGCGTCGACTACGGTTTACCTTATCTACGTAGGTAATATTTATTATAGCTAGTATAGTATAACATGATTCTAATCTACTAGGTATAATATAATATCCATAGTATATAGTACTAATTCCTACTAGATTCTCTAAGCTTATAACATATTTAATTACTATAACTCTATCCGCGAAGAGCTTACGAACTAAGTAATAGTAAATTTATGATATATTTCGAACTAACTATAATCTACTAATTCTTTGAAGTGCCAAAGCAGTCTGGTTGGCTGCCGAATACCCGTCGGGCGTCAACACCGAACAACGAGCCCATCACTACAGGCTATATGCAGGCTACATCAGCCTAGAGATAGTAGGCTTGATCTCCACGGACGAGGAATATGACTGGATTCCTCCAAGATTCGAGGCAACGACGGCCAAACCTCTAAGGCAGCTGTACAGGCGCTATGCCCGCACGGAACATCTATCCAAGGACGAGCTCGAGCAGATGGACCAGCTATATGACACCGTATGGAGAACTGTAACGTTCCATGCGCAGGTACATATCGGGACGCCAGACTGCATGACTCGCACAGAGATAGCAAGCAATATATACCCGATCATGATCATCGTAGAGACCGCATATCGCATCCACGAACGCGACATGTTCGAGCACCTACCTGGCCAACTACAGCAGCAATCACTGGTAACCGACCATCGTGCACTTCGGCGACGCACAGCCAGACGAACCACCGCACCAGAGGGAACAGGAGACCCGAGCCCACGAGTCCTGCAATCTCGATGATGGGATGCCCACTGAGGGTGACTTGTAGCTTTTGAGCAAGCCATTATAGCATCTTGCCTGAGAGGTCAAAGGGAACAACCTCTTCCTCCATGACTACCATGGATCAGAGGCGCATGTGGGCGAAATTTCACAAGGGCCTCCTCATGAAGATCAAACTGCGCCCACATGCCTCCTCCGCTTCTTTTGCATGCAATGTTAATTATACTTGGCGTTATATGAAGAGTTTCATCATGCTAAGGGTCACTATCATGTCACGAAGCCTGAAAGATTGTGTAAGTATTTTGACATGATCCCCAAGCGCCAAAATGATTTCTACTGCGAGAGCTGTGACATGTCCAAGCCCATTCAACACCATCTACGAAATCCATGCCTACCAGGTAGTGTATATGTGGATAGGGTGTGTAACATAAGCCAGGCAGGCAGGCAACTAGGCACGTAGAATCCCTTAGGCATCGAGGCATCAAACGAATGGTAGACGAAGGCATGATAGAAGGGAGGGTAGACAGAGGAGCGGTAGGGTGCCTGCCTAGGATGGACAGGGTGTGGATCATGTGATGTGATGGACGGCAGAGTGGAGTCTTTGTAATAAGAGGCAGGAGCGTGATTATACCTATGATAGCGTGATGTTAGCTAGTTAGTCACTCACTCACGTCCAGGCTGCCAGCCAGCCAGCTAGTAGTAGCCAGCCAGGCTAGTGTTTGACGTTGTGCAGGGCAATTTCGCTGCTGTTCGTCATGCAGGATGTAATTATGTAAATGCGAGCACAGAGGGAGATGGGAGTTGTGAAAGCTGGGTCAATACGGATGATGGGATGATAGCGGATTATGAAGGATGGATGATGGACAAAGGGCAGTAGGGAAGGGTTGATAATTACTGATAGGGGAGATATCGATACGGCACAGGCTCATCATCAAGGATGGGATTTGAATGGATGTTCCATGTAGATATGTGTAGTGATGATACGAACGGACGGACGGGAGCGGATAGAGAGGACGGACAGAGGAGAAAAAGGGTGCATGCGTGTAGTTGGTTGTTCGGTACCTGCCTGACATCAAGCTGTAATACTTGTAACAAAGTTGCCGAGCCGGAGATACGATGCATATTATAGCTCGTACATGCATTGCATATATCGCGGAGGGAGAGTGCTGGTTTGCTGGGTGGGTAAACAGTTGATCCAATTACTTATTCGCTCGCTCACTTATTCATTCATTAATCCGCGCTCAGAGTGTCGGAAGCGGCGAAAACCAATAGGGCAGGAGCACTCAAGTCAAGCGGCAGGAGCACTCAAGTCAAGCGGCAGGCACGTTTCTTCGGTGGAGCGTGGGATATCAATTTTTGAAATGAGCAGTTACAGGGTTCAGACGGCCGCTTGTGCGTTTCGGGCAGTGCAATTTCCCCGATTAGGCATAGTTACGACAGCCAACCAATCAGCGGGCTGAAACGTGCCAGGAATGGTGGAGAGTGCGCCATAAACAAGGGGTCCAAGTGCAGCCGAAGTCCCCAGAATTAATCGTGTACGGTGCATCTCGTGTCTGTTCCTGAATCCGCTTAACGGGCGCTGATTGTATACGGGCGAAAGAAAAAAAGACCAGTATGAGGATCTTGCTGCTATGTGCTATTATGCTAGGTTGGAGTCTGAGCGGAATGGCGGGTGACTGGTGACTGACTGGTGACTGGCTGGGTACTGATTGACTGACTTGACTGAGGCTGCTTGAGAGAGAAAGAGAGAGAGAGAGAGAGAGAGAGAGAGAGACAAAAAAACGGCTAGAGGGCTAGAGGGCTACAACAGCCTACCAGGGCTAGAGAGTGCGCAGAGACCTTGTCGTCGCCTACTGTTACCACTCCTAATACCTCTCCCACTCTCTCTCTCTCTCACCCTCTCTCCCTCGTACTTCTTCTTCTTCTTCTCGTCGCTGCTGCCCGTCAAGTCGTCATCCTCAGCGCGTTTGGCTCTTTGCCATCACGCTTTCTCTTCTTCGGCGCGTGCTTGCTCTCTTCAATTCTTAATTCTGCCTGCCTCTTTCCCTCGCAGCGCACACCTTTTGCTCACTCAGTCACTCGTTCCATCCAACTGGTCCAATCCCTCCCTATACAACAACTACCACCACCACCCCGGTCGTCTTCGCTTTCTCACCGCAATTCTACGCCTCTGTGCCTTTTATCCATCAGACTTTCGCCAATTCCTTCTGTCGTCGGTCGCATCGCATACCGCCCAAGCCAATTGTTCGCCTACTGTTCGGATGGACTGCTGAATAGAGAAAGAGACGTGTTTGTGTGTATGTGTGAATAGAGTGCATGGACAATAGCAATCCCTGGCCGCAGACATCCATTCACCTCGACGCGACCGTCACTGTTACGGACGTCGTCTGTTGCTTGCTCTCCAGATAGTCCTCCGCCATGGCCGAGGGACCAAGCTCCGATGCTCTGCAACGCCACACCTCCTGCAAGCAACTACACTTTCCGGCGCCGTCGCTCACTACTGCACGACAAATTCTACGACCCTCGACTCTCCGCCCCCGCCAGTCCTGCTCGCGGCCCTCGTTGAAGAAATCGGTTTCGTCGCTGTTGATTCTGACTTCGTCTGCCATGGCTCAAAATTGCATCTCGCTCGAGGGCTCGTCTGCCTGTCCGGCCTTCAGCTCGGCCTCTGTGTCGACAGGGACCAGTATCACGAATCTCTTGTAAGACACATCCAATTGGACGCTATGCGAGCATGGACAAAGTGCTGACGTGCCCCACAGTCCCTTCATGCAGAACGTTTCAAGTCGGGAACAGTTTGACAACGATCTCAAGACCTATGTCGCGTCAAGCTACGCCCAGCAAAAGTACATCTTTCACCGTCCTGTTTGCGCGCATCCCTCTAACCACACGTCGCAGGTATCAGCAGCTTATTGGATGCTCCTCTGTCAATCTCGACAACACCACCGATCTCTATGCGCGTTATACCAACAGTGTAATATGTAATGCTATCGTTCAAAACTCAATTGGCTTGTGCGACTCCAGTCGGGACCCAGAGCCACTGTGTGCAGACTCTTGTGTATGTTCTCTTATCCCAGTCGTGCCATGTGAGCGAGCTGACAGGTGCAGGCCGAGTACGCCATCTCAGAACAAGAAATCTCCGCAAGTTCAGACCTTTGTGGCTCAGCCGGTCCAAACGCCCTTTCTCAGATACGTGCCGACTTCACAAACTGTGCGCTTCCAGCACGCTCGCTTTCTGGAGGGACCTGTATCAGTGCTGTCGACAATGAACCAAATGACTGCGGCTACGGCAGCAACCTTTCCGGCCTATGCGGTTTCTGCGGAACCAGCTCCCCAAACGCGACTGATTCCTGCTGCGTCAATGCCAATGCAGAGTCAAGGTGCCAGAATGTTGACCTGCCATCCTTCACCTCACTAGAACCGCTCTTCACTACCACCACCATTGCCCAGCCAACCTCCTCAGCCAGTACCGCACCAGTCGCAAGTGATGACGGTACTCTATCAGCAGGTCAGATTGCCGGGATCGTCGTGGGCTCAGTCCTAGGAGCTCTCCTCTTGATGGCACTCATCATCTTTGGCTGCGTTCTGCTTCGACGGAGAAAGTCGAACCCACCCAGCAGCATCTTCAACCAGCCCTCTCCAGCTCGCCGGGGGTCCAGTCGCGAGAAGCCGTTCGGAGATGGTGCACGCCCTGAAATGGTTCCTGGCCGTGTTGCTCGCATGGCAGCACTAGAGGATGGCTCGACCTCTTCGCGGCCTCGAAGCGACGCTCCATCCTCTGAGCGTGGCTTCAAATCAGGTAGTCCTGATCGTCATCGCATCGTTGCTGCCGGTGGCCTGCCACGCCGCAATGGCTCGCTCTCAAGCCAGTCGGCACTGAACCTCGGCGAGGACCCCAACTCTCCTCAGACGTCTTCCGGCTTTGGCGATCAGTTCTCCTCACCGGACGCGGTCACATCTGGTCAATCAGAGCAGCTGGCCTTCTTCAAGGACTACTACTCCCAAGATGAAATCCATCCGCACGACACAGTAGCGACACTATGGGCATACCAGCCACGCGCCAACGACGAGTTTGAACTCGAGCGTGGTGACATGCTCAAAGTCGTCGGTATCTGGGATGATGGCTGGGCCACGGGTGTAAAGGTGACGGAAAGGGCAGAAGCATGGGAGAGGAGGCGACAAGAGCAGAGGGACAGTGGTGTCAGCAACGGCGGAGGCCCCAGCCCTGTACCCGCCACCGGCGAGATCAAAGCTTTCCCAGTAAGTTCTCCCAAACCCTGCTTGTGATACCGTCGATCTGACTGACGTTTCTCGTAGCTCGTCTGCGTCTGCTTACCACAGCATTGGCGGAAGACTATTGACGGGGACACCACCGGCGAGGCTCCAGACCCCCACGGTGGTAATGTCCCGCCAAGAACATCAACACCACCATAGTCTCCTCTCCGCTTATGCTAACTCCCCTTCCCAGCGAAATTCTCTGTGTCGACTACTATTTCCCCTCCCGATTCATGCCGATACGATGATGGCGTTCATGTTTCTCCAATCAAAAAATTCGGTCCCTTACCGTCGCTGCCGTCCTTTGGCTCCGTTTCAACGTTGCGTGTAGACCCGCGTCGACAGTCATTCGATACCTCTCCGAAGAAGCGCAAATAACAACACCCCAACACACACACTTCCCACTTTTCACCATCCATCTTCACAGCGGGCGGCCTCGTTGAATCCAGAGTTTGATGGGTTCGCTGGCCTTTATGCATTGCTGCGACTCGCTATACCATACTATAATCGCTTAATACGGCATCTTAATCAACATGCTCTCAGCCATCTAATGTCGAGGCATGCTCTAGCACCAACACCACATCCGGCACGACTATCTCATTACTCCTCGAATCCGTCTGCAGTACACAGCTATCTACATCTCACCCGTCATCGATGTAGTTGTACCTGCTAAATCAAAACATACATACATACGTTGTCCCTATGCATGTGGTATTTTCCTATCTTCAGGTCTGACATTTTATCATACTGTCTTGCGCACGCACGCGCGCTATCTCTCTCTTCGAACCAACTGTCACGACGCTCCTTTGCTCCTTGTTCTTTTGGCTCGACGACCCTCGATGCGGCAGTTCCATCCTGCGTTTTATACCCTTTTTCTGTTTTTCTGTCTTGACTTGACTTGACTTGACTTGACTTGTAATGCATGCCGCGCGTGTGTCGACGTCGCTGGAGGCCTTTTTCTTGAGGAGGACGGAAGAGTGCTAGGAGGGGGGGGGACGAGCTACAGTGGCTGTAATATCTGCTGGCAGTGCGAATCATGGACGTCGGAGTGGGGTATGCTGAAGTCGGAGGGAGATGCACTTCTGTATATAGTTACTGGAGGGAGGGGGCTGGAACACCAATGGAAGCCAAGATTATGTGATCTTTTGCTCTTGCCTCGTGACGTGTATTACTGTGTATTTTGTTGTGCTTGCAGGTGGGTTTTTTACGATACTCCCACCATGCAGCGGGTTGAAACGGTGACGGCCTATCTGGTGATGAGTGACTCTTGTTTACGTTCATTGGGCTTCTTGATATGACTTGAATTGGTAAGAATTCGCTATTGCCTGGTCGATCTTCTTTCTCAATTGGGCAAGCCAGCACGCTAGTGCATAGTACCAGTATCGCCTCCTCTCTTCGACAAGCTAAGAATTTCCTACGACCACGACCTCACATTGAAGGTTGGAAGGTCACGCACCCACGCTTCACATCCACAGTCAATCACGTCATCGCCGTTTCCGTTGTTAGAAGACGATCGGACGGAAGGACCTGAACGCAATGCCGCAATCAAATTCTGCTGCTGCCGATTTTGTCGCTGTTGTACGTCCTCTCCCTCCTTCTCTCCTTCTTTCTTCCCTCTTCTTTCTTCGTGAAGAACGTTTTCTCTCAAGCAAGCATCATCATTCAAAGCGATTACTTTTCTTATATTCTTCTGCCTTTAGTTAAAGGCCAACCTGCAGAATGCACAGGACACGTTTGGGCCGGACAGCGCGCAGTATAAGAGCTTGGAGGCGATGGTGAATGCGCAGATTCGGGCACTTATTGGTAGTGGTGATGCTGCAATGGCGATGACGGTGGCGAATGGGTCGGCTGAGGGCGATGGAGTGGGCGATGTGACGGAGAAGATGGAGGGTGTGAGGCTGTCTTGAGGCTTGAGACTGTTCATTCACGCGGCTGCGTCACTATTCCCTATGGATTGGGAGTCATGCTTCGCTATCGGAGCTGTAACGACTTCTCCAGGCAGCGGGCAGTAGGGCAGTATATATACTGCTAGGTATCACTGCTGCTGCACTGGACAAGAACGGCCTGTTATACTCTGTCTCTCTCTTCGAGTCTACCTCTCTCACGACAAGCCTTCAACCACACGCTGCAACTTCTCTAGGCTGGTGATTACACATCCTACCTGCGATCGAGATCCTATCGAGAAGAGAAGACACTTCTTACTGTCAAAGATATCAAGTTAGAACGGGACTGTGGCGTGCCTCTTTCGACCTTGGACAACGCTCCTGGAAACATGACGCCTGAACCGCTCACGGTATCACCTACCCCCCACGCTGACCCCTTGATCACCTCTCCGCCCTTCGACCCAGAAACATTAACACCATTTGCATCCATCACACCCTCTCAACGCGCTCTCCTTGCTACAAGTCTACCCTGGCAAATTCGCCTCGAAACACCCCCTCCATCTCCATCATCTTCCTTATCCTCCTCCTCCCAAACTACACCTACATCCCCAACAACAGCAGAAATAACAACGACAAATACAACAATATCAGCAGAAGAAACAATAACGACCTACGCCGCTCCGCGCGCCCTGCTCCTCTTCGTCTCCTCCCCCTCCTCATACATCCACGCCCACGCCTCAGACCCATACATATCTGTCCCAGCCTCGATCTGCCCCTTTCCAGAGCCCGCCCTCGTAGATCTTCTTGCATGGCTCACTAATAACACCAACAACGCCAATGAAGCGCCGTGCCAGATTGTCATACCGCCAAGCCCGGTCATGGCGGTCAATTTGTATCTGCTGGCCGAGCGGCTGGGGGTGGGCGAGGCAGCGAATCACATCTTTGAACGTCTCAGTCGTCGGCTTAGGGCTAGCTCTCATGATTTTGAGCCGCTCCCAGAGAAGCTAGTGGACGCAATCGTGGGATTTTTACCGTATCTCCCGAAGCCGGATCGGTTGCTAGAGTATACAATGAAGGCGCTATTGTTGTGGGCTATAACGAGGCTTGACGCGCGGGAAGGAAGAATGGCAAGGCGGTTTCTGCGTAAACGACCGGCGCTGTGGTGTACTGTGCGTGCGATGGACGTATATAAAGCTCTCATACCCCTCCGGACGCTGGACCAGAATCCATCGCTCTTGTACCCTGACGAAGAATACTACCGCGCCCAGGGCACAGAGCTGCTCGCCCAAGCCAGAGAAAGAGAAACTGGAGAAAGTAGAGAAAGTAGAGAAACTGGAGAAACGGGAGAAACGGTAGAAACTGGAGCAACTGGAGCAACTGGAGCAACTGGAGCAACTGGAGCAACTGGAGCAACTGGAGCAACTGGAGCAACTGGAGCAACTGGAGCAACTGGAGAAGAAGCCAGAGAAGAAGAAGTCATAGCAGAAGAAGCCACAGCTGAAGAAGCCACAGCAGAAGAAGCCACAGCAGAAGAAGCCACACCAATAGGCGCAGAAACCACCGGAATCACCGAAGCCAAACAAGAAGAAGAGGAAGAAGGAGACGAAGAAGAAGGCATACTAATAGGCTCCCAAACCGCGGAAACCGCAGAAGAAGAAGGAGAAGAAGATGACGACGAAGTCACACTAGCAAACTCCATACACAGCGAAACCGTAGAAGGAGACGCAGAAGTGGACCCAGAAGAAATGGAAGACCCACCCCTGCTCCTGGACGAGGCTCCGCTCCTCGCACACGAAAGACCACCTTGCGCCCATGAGCCGGAGGGTCATGCGTTTGGCTGCCGCTTCGCGCATGGCGGGATGGCGCCTCCGACGGTGTTGGGGTCGGGTGTTTTTTGGGAGGAGATAGTCGGGAGGGAGTGTGGTGGCGAGCAAGAGCAGCAGCAGCCGGAGAGTGAGGAGAGGATGCATACGGAAGTGGATGTGGATGTGGAGGAATGGGGTTTAGATATAGGGATGGGGAAGAGGAAGTGGGAGGAAGGGTGGGATGAGTGGGTGGCGGAGCAGTTGGAGATTTGGGACGAGGGGCGCTAGGAGGGGCATGCTGTGAGGATTGAGGGTTGAGTGAGGGATGAGGGTGTTTTTACTGCTTGATATTATTGGGTTTGACAAGGTGTGCGTTCCGTGTGTCTGTGTACTTAGTGGATGCTGGAGGTTGTCTATTATTTCGACTGTCTGCTCTGCTATTTGCTTTGCATGCTGTGGATTCTGGCTTGCTTCCTCGTGCGTGGGCTGGCTGCTCCTGTGGGTTTATATATGTTGACGCTGGCAAGTGATGGTGCCCGACTGAGTGAGTCGACGTGCGCTCCAGGTGTTGAGAGGTCTTCATCCGCGCAGTATGCGGACGTCAGGCCCGACCTCACTCCCAGACACTCACTTCCTCGCATCCCCCCCTTTTCCGCACAAATCAGACACCCGTCCATATAACACACCACCCCTCACCCCGCCAACGGATTCGCATGCACCGTCACCCCCTTAACCACAACCCTCCCCCTCGGCCTCCCCTTCCCATCAACCTCCACCCGCTCCAACCTCCCCAGCACATCCCCATCCCCATCCCCATCATCCCCCGCCCCCTGAATCACCCTCCCAAAAACCGTATTCCGCCCATCCAGATGCGGCGCGGGCGCAAACGTAATAAAAAACTGACTCCCATTCGTGTTCGGCCCTTTATTCGCCATACTGACCACCCCCCGTGCGTTGTGCCGTAGCGTGGGCCGGATTTCGTCGGGGAAGAAGGGGCTGGTGGACGTGTTGTTGTTGGTGTTGGTGTAGATGGAGACGGAGGATTTGGACTTGGGGTCTGTGGCCGGCGAGCCGGTTTGCAGGATGAAGCCGGGGATTAGGCGGTGGATGGGCGTGTGGTTGTAGGCGCCTGAGGCGCAGAGGGCGAGGAAGTTCTGTTGTGGAGGGCGGGTTAGATGGTGGGAAGGGAGAGGGGAGAGGGGACGATGGGAATTTGGGGGGATTGAGGGACGTACCTCTGCGGTTTGGGGGACGGCTTCGCAGAAGATTTCGAGCTTGATGTCACCGGCGTCTGTGTGGAGCTGTGTTTTTGGAGAGAGTGAGTGAGTGGGTGAGTGAGGTTTGTGGAGGGATGGATTGGGGGTGAGCTTACCGTGACTGACATGGTGGAGGTGGTGAGGTACCACAAGTCGCATAGCTGTGGTATTTGCTGTCGCCGTCGTCGCAAAGTGTATTTATACAGCAGACGGTGACATTTCTTCTGCATGTGAAGTGAACCGTGTCCGTGCGTTAATTAGGGCTGGCGGCCTGGGGCTTCTTCGGGAGCGCTAAGGCTGAGCGTCCGGATCCGGATAAGCAGCGCCTCCCAATCGTCCCTTCCACCTAGGTATGAGGCGCGCCTTCCCCTTCCTCCAAGCTTCTTTGGCTGCTTAGTACTTACTACTTGCCTACTTCCTACCTGTGCTCTGCGCACGCACGCACGCACGCCGCCCCAAATCAGGTCGTCGTCGTTTGTCCTGCGAAGGTTGCGTATTACTTACTTACTTGCTCACTTTACCTGCCTGGCTACTCCGCCTTTCGCTTTCTCAACACCACCACCACCACCATCTATCCTTATATATCTAAGCTGTATAGTCCTCTCTTCCAAGGCTCCCTCACTACGTCGAATCCCGCGTGTCCGCTGTGCGCTCTCTCTCAGCCCGCCGCTCCTCTCGACCAGAGACCACCCTCAAGGACCCCCACTAAGCTCTTGATATCCCCGTCCAACACCACACACCACCGTCCTCCCACCTCACGCCTGGTACCAGCCTTGGAGCATCCTGTGCCTTTGCCTCGCCCAAGGGGCTCTTTGCTCAAGCCGCGCTGGCTCTCGATCTCGATCTCGATTCTGCGACGGCGCTTTTCATACACATATCGACATCCACACATCAACATTCACTCCCTCGCTCGTCTGCCTGTGCCTGGTCGATCGCACGACATACATCACACGCACACGCACACGGAAAGCATAAGCATAAGCATATCTACCACGCGGGGGCCCAAGGCGACAGAACGGCATTGATTGACCCATGCAGTCCTCACAGCCCATACAGGCCTCCCGACCCTCCTCGATAGAATAGGAACAGAAAGAGAGAAGAGGGGAAGAAAAAAAAGGAAGGATGGCGGCTTTTGTGCGCGTCTCTGGGTCGCCGAATAGTAGTTTCTTGGTTGGTTATCCGGGGATATCGGCGACGCGGGTGGGTGGTTTTTCCTTTCTTGTCTTTCTATCTCCCTTTGCCCCCCTTCCGCCCCTTTCCGCAAAGCAATTGTTCGTGGTCGCATTGTCGGTGCTTCTTGTGGCTTTTTACTACTTTGCATTGCACGTACATGTCGTTGTTCTTGTGTGCATACTGACGGCGTAGTCAGCCCCGGATAGTGGGCAAGGTCGAGATCAGACCTCAGCAGGGCATCAGTGCCCCGGTACTCATTTCCCTCGTTACGATATGTCTGCAGCGTCGCGAATCGATACACCCGTCTGCCGAGTCAGTGACGAAGAGGCATCTGGCGGCGCCGCGGAAGGATATAGCTGATACGGTCGGGAAGGAAATGCTCTTATACCGGTGTGCGACTGGCAGGGAATACGACAGCGTTCTGGTGATGGACTTACCATTCATGATCTTTATCCCGTTTGGCAGGGGTGGCGAAGAGGTGGCGCGGAGGGTACCACCGGCCAGTCTACAGCTTCCGTCCAGGACGGTGGAGACCTTCTACGAGCTCGTCGTCACCATTCAGCAGGGCCCGTCAGAGCAGAAGAAATACGCATTCCCGGTACCAATAATGAGATACGATACTCTCTCCACCTTCGGCATGTACAACCGGCCTGAGTCCGCAGAGGTCGTCTCGGATCACCTGGTGACGTTGGGCATTTCCCTGCCGCGGTGGTCCTACGGGCCTGGCGATCCTGTCAGCGTCTACATAAAGCTCAGCCCCAACCCGGACTGGATGGCGAAGGCGAAGAAGGTTACGATACAGAAAATCACCGTCGCGGTCGAGGAGGAAGTCATATACAATCACGAGGGCGACGAGCCGTCTCGGAAAGTCCGGACGTTTGCAAAGACAACACAGGCCATTGGAGTCAAGATGCCAGAGGCCGGCTATTTTACGAATGTGGGATTTGTGTTCCCGGCAAAGGATCTACGCGATAGTGAGGGTGTGCTGCCGCGAGGGAAGAAGGAGTTTCCGATGTATCAGATCAATGGCTTCTCAACAACAGGGACGCTCTACAAGATTGAATATTATCTGACTGTCAAGGTAAGCTCATTTCATTTTGCAGTTTAATCACCGCAAGTTTCTAAACATTCATTCGTCGGCAGGCACAAATGGGCTCGGCCAAAGACATAGTCCTCCGAAAACCGATCGTTGTCTGCCCCTTTGATCACACCCAGTGCAAGGAAGAGATGGAGGCAATCGAGCATGCTGCCAGAGACGCAGCCACCGTCAGTGAGGATAACCCAATGCTACCGGCACCGACGATCATCGGGGCCGACAACCCACATGGGTATCGGGCGCTTGGTATAGCTATGGTACAGGGCCAAAGGAAGCCCCTGATTGAGTGAGCTGACACGACACGCGAGTTGTGATTCCACATCATCATCGTCACGATAGCCTCCTCGAAGCATATATATATATATATACTAGGGTGGCCTGCGGCCGGCAGACTGCGTGCAGTCTCAATTTAAGGCACTAAGGCACTAAGGCACGCCGGAAAATCCACGGCTAAGACGTGCGAATTTTCAAGCTGCTACCAAACGCGATACCAGAGGCTTATAAACCTATCTCGTCCGTGAGTATAGCCCTGCAGAGGATAAAAAGTATATGAAAATACTCGTCGTAGGCAGGGCTACAAAACTGGGGACCAGATTTTTGAATTAGGGCCTGGTTAATTTAATATGTGGCAAAAGGTGAGTTTTTAGACGTGATTTTGGTGAGGGCGCTAGCGGGCGCTAGATAAAACATTGCATCTTTTTATGATTCCTTTGGAATATATGCTAGCTACAGAGCGAATGAGCCGACACGACAGGCCGCTCGGACTACCAGCACGACAGACCACTCGGACTACCAGCACGACAGGCCATTCGAACTCCCAGCTCGCAACCTTGACTTCGAAAAATCCACCTCAGCAGCAGCACCGTGCCGATTCGTCAACTTCAATATCTATATACCGTCCTAAAGGCGGAGATCCAAGCGGATATCAAAGCAAACATGACGAATCTTGTGGACAGTGTATGTAGGTGGTAGAGGTAGCTTTTGAAAGGAGTAAGAGGAGAGGAGAGGAGAGGAGAACAGAAAGAGATGTGGCGAGGACGATCTTGTAGGTGTTTTTTGGAGTCCTTTCTTTTCTTTTTAATTTTTTGGCTTGTTGGGCACACACGGGAGAGGACCTGAGATACCACTTTTCGGCAGCAACAGCAGCAGCAGCAGCATTACACGGGAGTTTTGTTTTTACGGAAATCTTTCCCTTACTGGGGGCTTTTACATCGATCTGGTTTTTTTTTCTCGAAACGTTTCTAGCGAGCCCAATCTTGGAATCGCGCTGTTTTTCTCTCAGGTGTGTGTCCGTTTGTGTGTTTGTAGCTATTTCTGATGATGGTTTCGAGGAAAGGGGGGCGCGCATGCATTGGTGATGTGTATGGCTTGATTCTGTCTGCGACTGTGTGTTCATGACCAGGGAGTGGGGAAGGGAGGGGGGAGGATAAAGATGGTCTGGCTGAATCTCTCTCTCTCTCTCTCTTCTTGGATTCTGAGATCCAGGTCTGAGGTCTGGGGTCTAAGACAAGCGAGGACAAGCGAGGATGGACAACGGTCCGCGCTGGTAGTTAGGTATGAAGGAGGTAAACAAGCCCGTTATGGCAGCGAGGGTTTGAGGAGCGATCTGTTTGTAAATATATTATACTTTCGTGCAAGAACCTGGTTTTGCGTGCATGTATATGTGTATGTATGTGTGTATGCAGCATGAAATCTTGGGACAAATTTATTTTTCAAATCTTTTACGATCTAAACATGCCTCTTTTTTTTTACTGGAGCGTCTCGTGTTTGCACGCTTGCTCACTTCTCACGACGTCCCATTTACACCGTTCGTTTCTACTTTTGGGGTATCATTCTCATCATCATTCTGCACCTCCTGCGCCTCCTGCACCTCCTGCACCTCCTCCCCCTCATACCCCTCAGTCTTGATATCATTCAAGCCAAGATGCTCCAGCTCCTCGTCCGTACGCTCGTAGTCCTCCACCGTCATCTGCGCATCCGGCATCCCATCATCCGCCAGACTCTGCAGATAGCTGCTCGCGAGGGGATCCTCGAGGATAATCTCAAACGGCTGCTCGCCATTGATAGCAGCGGACAGTTTCGCGAAGAAGCCGTCCCATTTCTCCTTTTCCGGGCCGGCCATGCTGTCGCCGCCGCCGCCGCCGCCGTCCGAGAAGATGGATGCGCGGAGGTCGTCGCGCACTTGTGTTAGTAGGCCCTCGATGGTCGTGAAGCGGCCGCCTAGTGTGCCGGGTTCGACTTGTAGTGATAGCTCTGGGCAGGAGAGGGCGCAGCTCTCGGCCTTGAGGATGTCGCGGGACAGGTCTTCCTTTGAGCGCACGTGGAGGGTGATGCGGCGGCCGAGAGGGGGTACTTCGCCGCCGGTCTTGACTTCGTTGCTGCGGTAGCCGCAGGACTGGCAGACGGTGCTCATGAGGACGACCTGTTTGAAGTGCGGGATGTTGACCATTTTCATGTTTGTGGCGCAGGGCCGGGTGCAGCCTGGGCAGGTGGAGGGGAAGGAGTAGACTTCGCCTTCGACGATTTCGGCGTCGTCGACGTTGGCGGGTGCGGTTGTGCCGTCTGTGGGCATGGCTGGGTACATCTGGTTTGCGTGGTATTCGGGGCGGATCTCCGTCGGGGGTGCGCCGTTTGTTTCGGTGGCTGTGGTTGTGCTGGGTTCGGCGGTATCTGTGAGGCCTAGGGCGGCGTTTTGCTCTGGTGTGCGGTCGAATTCGCGGCGGTGGAATTTGCCGGCTGTGTCGGAGGTCGAGGGCTCGATGTATGAGTTGCCGGCGGGATCGTCGACGGAGATTGTAAAGGGGAAATGCTTGCCGCTTGACATGTCGTCTAGTTGCCGTATTATGGTCTGGATCCTCTCAAAGACTTCTGGTATCTGTGCTCGGCGCTCTTCCTGCTTGTCCCCAAGATCCGTCGATATCATGCTGAGTATGCCTTCTATATTGGTGAGTTGACCCCTGCCTGGCGGAATCTCCAGATCCATGTCCTCTACTCGAAGAATACATGTGTCGCTCTTCACTATTTGTCTATTCAGGTCTTCCGGGCGGTCGGCCTTTAGTGTGATCTTTGCGCCGCGCTGTTGTATTTGTCCGGCAAATTGTACTTCAGTGTTTTGAAAGTGGCAGTGGTCGCAGTGGAACGACATTATTATGATCTCGCGGAAGAAGGGAATTTTTGTGAGCAGAAGCCGTGTTATGCCCTAGAAGCTCTGTTAGCAATACACCTTCATAAAGGCCTCGTGGTACATACGTCGTCCTTGCAATTCATGCATAAGCTTTCGATCTCGTCGACGACTTTTGAGTCACCGTCTTCGATATCATTCTGTGCGCTTGCCTCTGCGACTTTGCGACCCATATCCTCGAAGAGATCCGCCGCCAGACTCATGTTTGGCATCGCCATGTTGGAGAATTCCGGCTCGCGCTTCGTAACAGTAAAGCAGTGTCTTGTGTATGCCTGGACTCAATCTTTATATCTCTCCTTCGACGGTCGTGCAGTGTAGAATGGTACTCGTGTATAGCAGGTACTTAGATCGAAAGTAAAAATTGACAGTCAGCGGGATGACGAAGGGCTCTAAATTCTTTGCCCCTCAGTCGCGTAGTGGGGCGGCCGCACTGGCCTGTGCGCCAAGATATACAAGATATTTTACCGCCTGAACATGAAGAGTCAATGAGATATTACAGAGACTTCAGCTCATTAGGTCCATCAGATCAAGACCAAAGCCAGAGCTGCTTGGCCTGGCCGAGGATTGATCCTTCAGCAATGCTTGTAGTACACCTTGCTTTCGAGCTTTTGCACGCTTCTTTCTGTTCTCGGGCATTGTTGACGTTTTCGATTCCGCTGTCAATGCATACGTTGAAGTAGATTCATTAGTACGGATAACCTTTTCCATCACCTCCGCGGGCTTTGGAAGACTCGGGACAGTCTGGGTGGTTGTTGCGCTGCATCGGTGACAAGAGTACACCGTATACCTGCTGAGTGTGGTCTTTTCCTTCTTGGCCACTTTGGATCTCGGCCGCTCTCTCGATTGTCTTACTTTGTATGAGAGACCCGGAACCATGATGTTACCGCATCGATTGCAAAATTCACGTTGGCGGGCATCTCGCTGGACTTGAGTTTCATTGATATCTCCGTCTGAGTCGAGTAGGAGCTTGCCATATTGAGCTCCGAGGTAAGATGAGGTGGTGGGTGAGGCAATGGCCAGTAGACGTGCAGACTCACGTAGATATGCAAGCCTTGCAGGCACTGGATCTCCAGTAGTGACCATAATCGATGTCTGATAGATGGAGGAATACTGACACGAAGATGGTTTTAGGGTACTGGTCAAAGCTCCACCTGCAGAGGGCTTCCAACCTTACTAGACCTGTTCCGGTAATTCCTCCAACTCTCGGCTTGGAGGCTCTTCACTCTCTACAATCTGATACAAGGCACTTTGGTCGTTATTGAGTTTGAGTTGACTGTTAGCCATGCTTTAGGGTTTTTTTAGATGGTCACAGGATATACTGGAGCGCCATTCACTGTGGGGACTCGCAAGATCTTCCTGACATGGTAACAATGAGCTATGTCTACGTTCTCAAGCTCACGATATATACATGACATGACATGGCAATGCGGGCCGTCTACCTGCGCACAAATTACTGGTCTCGATGATACAAGTCATAGTTTCTACGCATACCAGGAGGACGCTATGCCAGACTCCGAAGCATCTGACTCGGCAGAGCGTCGAAGATCCTGGAGCCGTTGTTCTGGCGAGCTATTCCCCGCACATGGTTGGCAACTATATGCCGTGCCAAGCCATTGATTCATGATCCTTTATAACTGCCACAACTTCTCTTGAGATCGAGTCCTGTTACCATTGTTCCTTGAATCCTCTCTTCTCTTTCACTATCATTTGCTACAGGAGATGGCGATTCAAACCCGTCATAATGGCGGGTCCACCACAGCTGTCGTTGAGCTTGATCAATTGCCGGTTGCTCAGCATCACATAAGCAATACCGACAAGTCGTCGTCACCACAGAGTGTCCAGCCTATAGATACGGGCTCTCCTGGACGAGTACTTGGATCCTCCAAAGATCCCAATGACCTGCTTCCATCACCAACAACAGCGTCCGTCAGATTACAGAGATGGAATTCCTCTCGAGTGAATGTTCTGAGAACTTTCGCGACCTTTTTTGCATTTCTGCTAATGGGGGCCAATGATGCGGCATATGGGGTAAGCTGCGACTTAGTTTGGGACTGCAGAGTTACTGATGACTATTCCAGGCTCTCATACCATACGTGAGACTCCCCGAAAGTCGAATACAGTATAGCACTAACCTATTTCCTAGTTGGAGGCATACTATGATCTCAGCTACACTGTCGTATCGTTAATCTTTCTCTCGCCATTCATCGGCTATGTAGCCTCCGCTCTCTCGAACAACTGGATCCACCTCACTTTTGGTCAACGAGGCGTAGCTTTTCTCGGACCAATGTCTCACCTGATCGCGTATGTAATCATTGCTGTACATCCGCCATATCCCGTCCTGGTCGTTGTGTTTATCCTCGCTGGGTTTGGCAATGGTCTCGAGGATGCTGCGTGGAATGCCTGGGTGGGAAACATGGCAAGGGCTAATGAGGTTCTCGGTCTTCTGCATGGCTTCTATGGTCTTGGAGCAACAATCTCTCCCCTGATCGCGACGAGTATGATAACGAAGGGGAAGCTTCCGTGGTATGCATTCTATTATGTGATGGTATGCAGCTCCGAATTTGCCTCAACTTAATGACATATTGACTTGCTATAGATCAGTCTGGCAGTCATCGAGCTTACCACTTCTCTCTCCGCATTCTGGAATGCCAGTGCTGAGCAGTTTCGCGCCGAGAATCCTCGAACATCAAGCCAGGGCAACAGCCGCTTGAAGCAAGCACTTCTGAAGATGCCTGCTGCCCGCGTTTCATGGCTGATCTCCCTTTTCCTGCTCATCTACGTCGGTATCGAAGTTGCGCTTGGTGGATGGATTGTCACATTCATGCTCAACCAGCGACAAGGTACAGCCTTTGCCAGTGGAATGGTAGCAACAGGATTCTGGCTTGGCGTCACCGTTGGCCGTGTCGTGTTAGGGTTCGTTACGCCATTGATAGGCGAGCACACCGCAATGCTGGTGTATATTCCCATCACTCTTGGTCTAGAGTTGTTGTTTTGGCTCGTACCGCAATTCTATGTCTCTGCCGTCGCCGTCAGTCTCCAGGGATTCTTTCTGGGACCGCTGTTTCCGGCTGCAGTTGTGGCGGCGACGAAGCTTTTACCACGGGACCTACATGTCAGTACAATCGGATTTGCTGCAGCCTTCGGAGGCTGCGGTGCTTGCGTATTTCCATTCGCCGTAGGTGCTATTGCGCAGGCGAGAGGCGTGCAGGTTTTGCAGCCAATCATTCTTGCGCTACTCGCAACGATCTTGGTCCTCTGGCTTGCTCTCCCTCGGTTCAACAACAAGAAGAGAGAATGAAACAGCACGATGATGAAGATCATGGGAACAGACAGACCCGGGTTAGCAGAAAGTACTAGCTGGCTTTCATTTATGACATAGTACGCCTTCAATATAACACAGCATTACTTGGTTTTGTACTTTCTGCACAGCTCTAGGATGTCCTCTCCAAATGCAGGTTCTTTGTCCTTCTGTTCGGGGTATGCTGATCCAGTCATCATGGCTAACATCCCCGGTGTAGTGTCCAGTATCAATTCCGTGGCCATCATTCCTCTGCTACGGACATCATTCCAGGCGTTCTTCGATGCCCTGGTCTCGAGTTTGAGCTCCGGGTCGACTTGGTTGTATAGGTTGCTCTATAGATTTATCAGGATTCATTGATTAGAATCTTTGTCGAGGATACATACGAGTGTGCGCGACACAAAGTCCCACATGAAGTAGACACTGTTCTTCTCCGCAGCTGGAGTCATGTACGTCTGCTGTAGATTAGGCGCCATCGCGGGGTGGTATGCAAGTTTCGGGACGAGCGCCATCATATAGTTGAACTCCTTGAGCCAGTCTTTGTGGGCATTGTCAGGAACAGGATGGCTGAGTGCGTACTGCGTGAACTCCTCGCGTGTGTTCTTGTGTGGATCAAGCGCCGGCATGGTGCACGTATTTGGCTTTGGGAAACGTCGAGGAGTAGTTCGAGGTGAACGCGTTGTTGGGATGAAGTGTGATGTCTGAATTATGTCCGGACTCTGCAAGAATAATGATGCCTGCGATCACTGCATCGTGCCATGCATTACTTCGGTGATGATCGTCGATTCATCGATGACCGGACTTCGTTTTTCGCGTCGTTGTACATTTGAGGTTTAGCTTCGGCTGAATGCGGCAGTGTGTTTGCTCCTCGCGCGTCGAAAGGTGTCCATCACGGTTCCTGGACTGGTCTCACGTGTTTTAATCGCGTCTTTTGATCACATGTAGTCGGAAGAGATATGACCATGTTTGATTAGTCAATTCATACATTCATTCGATCTTTCTCAATGACGTCACGCGTGTCTTTGCTACCGGAAACAGTGGGCATTATGTGTAGCGATGACAATCGGGAGCCAAGCCAGGAAACGCCACTATAAGAACGGTAAGGAGACACCTAGCATTCGAAGAGTTTATTAAGACAAGGAGTAGGACCGGCTAATTACCGCTGAAAAGGTAGAGTATAGATTGAATTGCATGGATGTAACCCTTCAGACCTTGTCTGATCATCACCGCTAACCTGCACCCCGCCCTCTTTACGCAACTACAACCTTTAGCTCCGCAACGATGCTTAAGCGGTATTGCAACATGGACTGATCGCTGCGTTCCGGTGGGACAGCTATTACTCTCACTCACTGTGAGAGCATGGATGTACGAAATATTGCCTGGAATGGCGCATGCCGCTCGGTCGAAGTGTCCGCGAGATGCACCCCAGCAGGTTCCTCTAAAACCAATGTATATACAGGTAGCTGCTTCCCCGCAGATTTGCGGTTGGTAGACGAATACAACCGTTGGAGCTTCAATTGACTGTGGCTCACAATGTTGTTCTCTTTCAGTGCGCTGCAAGCGCTCTTGCTTGCATTCTTTGCAGTCAGGACTGCGTCAATTGCTATTGGGAGGAATCCCAATGATTGGATAGCTCCCTACAAGAGGGGCGAGGTCTTGCAAGACATCGTGTGTCCACTTCAGTACTCAGAAGAAGTACCTACTGACGCAGGCAGGTTACTTGGGATGACAAGTCCATATTCATCAATGGCGAGCGGGTGCTCCTCTTCAGTGGAGAAATTCATCCTTTCAGGTCAGCTGTGAGAACTCAACTAAAGGATAAATACTGAAACACGTGAAGGTTACCAGTACCTAGTCTATGGCCGGATATCCTACAGAAGATTAAAGCTTTGGGTTACAACTGCGTGTCTGTGTATATCGATTGGGCTCTTCATGAGGGAAAGCCGGGTGATTTCTCTGCTGAGGGCGTCTTTGCTTGGGAGCCCTTCTTCGATGCGGCAAAAGAGGCTGGGATTTATGTGCTTGCGGTATGATCATGCCATCTCAAAGTAAGCATGTTCACTGACCAGATAATAGCGCCCTGGTCCATACATTAACGCCGAGGTCAGTGGTGGTGGCTTTCCAGGCTGGCTCCAGCGTGTGCCAGGTGTGTTGAGAGACAACGACACGGCGTATATGGAGGCAACAAACAAGTAAGGACACGTCGTATGTTCCAGTACATTGCCACTGACGAGGACAGCTACGTTCAAAAAATCAGTGAAATTGTCGCCAAGGCCCAGATCACCAATGGTGGACCAGTCATTCTCTTACAACCCGAAAATGAATACCAGTCCTTCATTGATGGATTTCCGTTTCCCAACTTCAACTACTGGGACCAAGTCAAGGACCAGTACCGAAAAGCAGGGATCGTGGTTCCTTTCATCAGCAACGAAGCTTACCCAGCTGGCTACATCACTCCTACCACTGAAGCTGATATTGACATCTACGGCCACGACGGCTACCCACTCGGATTCGACTGCGCAAATCCAACCGTCTGGCCGGACGGCAAGTTGCCTTCTGATTGGTGGAACACACATTTGCGGCTTGCTCCATCTACTCCATTCTCATTAGTCGAGGTATTCTTTCTTGCAATCCTCGTCTAGAGCCATTGGCTGACTTTGTACAGTTTCAAGGTGGTGCTTTCGACCCATGGGGTGGAAATGGCTTCGACAAGTGTCTTTCACTTCTGAATCAAGAGTTTGAGCGTGTCTTCTACAAGAATAACTACGGATACGGAGTCACCATCTTCAATATCTATATGGTATGTGTGAGACCAAGTTGTAGATGCGACTCGGTGCTGACAGTTTTCAGACATGGGGTGGAACAAACTGGGGTAATCTTGGTCACCCAGGTGGATACACTTCATACGACTATGGTGCTGTGGTGGATGAGATGCGTCTCGTTAACCGTGAGAAATATAGCGAGGCCAAGCTCGAAGCCACGTTTCTGCACTCATCTCCGGCATACCTTGTAGCAGATAGGATCAACGGCTCCACAAGCTGGACAACTTCTCCCGATATCATTGTTTTCCCCGCGACGACGGAGACCACCAAGTTCTATTTCACAAGGTACGTGTTTTTGTGTCTGTGATGTTGTCTGTTTCTAATAATGCAGTAGACACACAAAGTATAACTCGCTCGATTCGACCAGCTATAAGCTTCACGTGTCCACTGCATCATATGGTAACATCACTATTCCTCAATTGAACAATAGTCTGTCTCTGAACGGTAGAGACGCTAAAGTCCACGTGAGCGATTACTCAGTCGGAGATTTCAACATCGTGTATTCGTCAGCCGAGGTGTACACATGGAAGAAGTACAACGAAAAGACTGTTCTTGTGGTATATGGAGGCCCCAATGAGCAACACGAGCTTGCTATTGAAGATACTAGCGAAGGGTACGGCTCCGCTGAGACTATCGAGGGATCAGGTGTAGCCATCGCACAAAAGACAGGATACACCGTCCTTAATTGGGCTACCTCAAGTGAGCGGAAGGTCGTAAAGACACCATCAGGACTCTATGTATACCTCTTAGGTCCGCATTCTCTACCATTCCATAAGAGTCCCATGCTAAACAATGGTAGATCGTAACGAGGCGTACAATTACTGGGTACCTGCCACACCAGCTTCTTATGGCCAGGGTTCTCTAATTGTAAAAGCCGGATATCTCATCCGTTCCGCAGTCACGGATGGAACTACACTCAGTCTGATCGGAGATCTGAACGTTACAACGCCCATTGAGATTATAGGCGGTGCACCTCAAGGGCTGACAGATCTCCAATTCAACGGAGAGTCACTCGACTTCAAGCAAGATGATGCAGGTGTTGTCACTGCCACCGCTGAGTTCAAGAAGCCGACCATAAGCATTCCAGACCTTGGAGCTGTGGAGTGGAAGTACATTGATAGCCTTCCGGAGATCAAAGCAGACTACTCGGATGAGACGTGGCCCGATGCAGACCTGGAGAAGACTTATAATGATAAGTACGAACAGCTCACCCCTACCAGTCTTTTCGCTGGAGACTACAGCTTTCATAGTGGCAGTCTCGTGTTCCGTGGCCACTTCAAAGCAAATGGCCAAGAAAGTAGCTTGACGATAAACACACAGGGTGGCTCCGCATACGGACACTCAATTTGGCTCGGTGACAAGTTCGTTGGCTCCTGGGAAGGCAATGATGTGACCACAAATTATACAAGCACAAACACTCTACCCAACCTTAGCTCAGGACAAGACTATGTACTGACAGTCGTCATCGACCACATGGGATACGATGAGAACTACGTTGTTGGCGAGGACGAAATGAAGACCCCTCGTGGCATCTTAGACTATACACTATCTGGTCATGATAAGTCAGATGTAACATGGAAGATTACTGGTAATCTTGGAGGCGAAGACTACGTTGACCGTGCCCGTGGTCCACTCAATGAAGGCGCACTTTTCGTCGAACGTCAGGGATACCACCTCCCTGCACCACCTGCAGATGATTGGGAGACCAGTGAAGGTCCCACTACAGGCATTTCTGCCGCCGGCGTAGGATTCTTCTCCACATCCTTTGACCTAGACATGCCAGATGGCTACGACATCCCCTTGTCGTTTGTCTTCACCAACGAAACCGAGTCTGCGTATCGCGTGCAGCTGTTTGTCAACGGCTGGCAGTTTGGCAAGTATGTGCACAATGTCGGACCTCAGAGGAGCTTCCCTGTGCCAGAGGGCATTCTGGACTATCATGGTACGAACTGGGTTGGACTGTCGCTTTGGGCGTTGGAGGCTGATGGCGCCAAGGTCGAGAAGGTGGAGTTGGTGCCGCAGGCTGTGATACAGACTGGGTTTGGAAAGGTGGAAAATGCGCCGTTGACGAAGTGGGAGAAGAGAGAAGGGGCGTATTGATAGTTGTACTTCACAGTATCACCCGAATAAAATGGACACGACGCGTCGTTGTGGTAAGGACATTGTAGCTTGCCTGCTTGTTCGTCTCTGGAAATGCTCGCTGCTACCGTGCATGAACTTAGACTTACAAAGGTAATAAGATCAATCGATTGATGGTCGTGAACGACTTATTGAGTGATATGTAGTATCGTGTACATCGATTACGAAAGTAGATGTATAATTGTATGATGCAGATAGAGTTTCGTTATGTATCTCGTCTAGCATATCATGCTTAGACTAATCGATTTATAAACTTCCTTGCTGTTGAAAGGGTCGCAAAAATATGCAGATCTACCTTAAGTGTGATTGGGAGGTGCGTGTGCTTCTAATAAGCTAGCTCTCAATGTGAATTTCCTGGTCGTAACGGCACAACAGCTAAGGATGATATCCAAGCAACTATATCACTTTGCCGTCACAGTCACCCTTAGCCCAGTCTACGTCCACCATCGTGGGCGTGCACATGAGGTTGCTATTAGCAACAAGACCAATCTGCGAATTGTTAGCACATTAGTGTCAACGACCTTACTCAACCAATCTACTAACATTAGTAGGCATGTCGTTCCGACCAAGAATGCGGCCCTTGAACCGGAGATCAAACGTGGACGTAGCTCGTTTTATGAAAGCACCATACTCTCGAAACAGACTCTGGAAGTGCTTGGCGGGACAGATCTGAAACCAGTGTCTCGTCCCCGTGAACGGATCCTCGATTGAGACTATGATGTTCTCCTTCATGGAACACTTGCTCAGGGCTCTGGGTGCCTGCGATCCCGCCCCGGATAGCGAATTGCCAACGTCAAGGCTCTTCCTGGCGAGAGGACCGGTCTTGGGGTCGTAGTGCGGCTGCTGGTAGACATTCACCACGATTTCTAGGTCACGGTTCGTGAAGCCGATCTGCGCATACATTCGTCAGTTTCTTGACATGGAAATCTGACTATGCAGGACTCACGGCGGCCGGAGTCTCGCAGCCGTCTAGGGTTTCACCGCCGAGCAGGAAGCAGAACTCGTCGAAAGGCTTCTTCCAGTCTTCGCAGTAAGAGGCAAAGATTTGGTCGAAGCGCATGGTTGGCCATGTTACGATGCGGAACTCGCTCACGTTGTCGTAGAGCATGATTTCTATCGATTTGGCTGGTTGGTCCATGGCTTTGAGTCGTCGTGGGTCGAGGCGTTTTTGTGGAGTGGGAAGGGAGAGGGAGAGATGGAAGGTTTGGACGAACGACTTGCGAGATTTGAAGTGGTCTGGTAAGAGAGGGGGTGTGTGGTGAACTTGCGCAAGTGAAGCACTGGGCGGGACAGTACAAAGTGAATCAATCAAGAGATGGCAGCTTTGACCAAATGTCTAATTCAAAGATAAGTACTGTCTACAGCAATGATGATGAGAAACAGGCCCATGCCACGACCACACCCGGTCGTTCCAATCCATCATCTATCTATTGGGGCTCAGCCATAATAGTAGAGCCATTGGTAACTCCATACTAAGACCATGTCAGCAGGACCCTTTTCCATATCTGAATGGTGGATACTTACGCTGGCCAGCGTGCGGCTCCCATCCAGCATTTGATTTCCCAGGTAATAGATCCATTGCGTAGGTTCATACCCTTCGGCAGCATACATCTCGTCGTAAAGCAGTCTCGCACTGTCTGTAAGACGCATCTCAAGTACAGTCTCCTGGGCCTCAAGCGTGTCGGTTACAACATATAGCTTTGCATACGGAGATGGTTTCTTGACCGGTTCGGGCTGGGCGTCGTCTGCGATACCATCGAGTGGTTCGGGCTTGGCTTGTTCGCACGTTTCGATTTCCATGTCGAGGTGTGGAAGCACTTTTATGGTGTCATAGTCTTCCATGCCGAACTACTCAGATAATATATTGGTCACCAAAAGTCTCCTCGCGGGATCAGTGTCATGGAGGTTAAACTTACGTCTGCAGGTGTCTCGTGGCCATGGATTGTTTTGCCGTCGAGTTCGAAGCTCAGTTCGGAGAAGGTCTTGTTTTGCTCGGCGCAGAATCTCTGGAGGATCTTCTGGAAAGGGATGTTGTTCCAGGTGACGATCTCGTTGTGGGGGCCGCTGACCGCGATCGAGATTGCTTTTGGCTCAGCCATGATGAATTGTTAGAGGTCAAGTGGTATGTGGTGTGTAGTGGTAGGTGGTGTGTAGTGGAAGGTGTAAGAACTGTGATTGCTATGGGCGGTGCCTGTTATATATAGTTCCTCTCAGATGGTGAAAGACTACAACAGTACTGTTCAAGAAAAGTAACATGGCATGTCTAGTGTTGGGCTATGATGAAAGCATGACCGTGCTGTTCAACTTAGTTATCAAGTGAAAGCTATATCCCTTTTCAAATCGGTGTCCAGAAACGTCTGTTTTGCCTCGCAACAGTGCTTGAACAGCGTCAACTTGAATCACTACTCTTGCCGACTCACACTACAAACCACTTGAATTATAACTCCTTATGCTCAACTCACCCGGCAGTCCATAGCCATCCTCATCGACGTTGACCGAGGATCCCACTGGCAAATTTCACAAACCACAACCAACATTGCGCATCACGTAGGACATGCTCTGTGTCATTTAGCATTTCACAGCCATGAACCGCCTACGAATAAACCCAAAACGTCAGGCTACGACGAACCCATGTCCCAACACCCACCCTGTTCCTCATCCATACCCCCTTAATCCTATCCCAAACCCCCATACCCAACCCTACTCCATACCAATGCGCAGCACATCCCCAACCCCAACCCCCCTCTCCAGAAACCATCAAACCCACAACCACTCCTCCGACCGCGCCACCCCCCTCCTCGACCTCACAGCCATCTCCCTAGCCATCATCTCCCGCGCAACAAGCATATCCTCCGAAACCGGCGCCCGCCGAGCCTCCTCCCCCAACCCCTGCTCCGCACACCACCACCTCTCAAAAAACCCATTCGCATACGCCCACTGGCCGCGCAGGCCATCGTACGCCTGGTTGACGTCCACTTTCACCGTGTCTAGATCGCAGAGTCGCGCCTGTGCGGGCACACGGGGGGTGGGGTTAGTTTTTCTGCTTCTCGTGGGGAATTAAAAAAAAAAAAAAAAAAAAAAAGCTAGTGCTGGGGGAAAGGCTCAGGATGGATGGAGAGAAAGAATGATGTCTTACCGAAGCAGCGGTCTGGTTGTACGCGAGCAGTGTGTTGAGGCGGCCGTGGAAGAAACATGTCCAGGCGGGCACGGTGCTGGTTTCGGTGCACCAGGCCTCCATGAGCTCGCTCAGGGGCGCGGTTTCGGGGAGGTAGGCGTAGCGGGTGCTGCCGGTGTTTGACATGAGTCTGATTTGGAGGATGCGTGGCATGGGCTTGAGGATGATCTGCTTCTGTTTGTGTGGGGAGAACATGTTGATGGTGGTTGCTTTGTTAAGTGTGGGGAGGAAGTTGTGTGTGGAGGAAGGTGAGGCCGGGGTGTGGATCGCAGGAGTAGGGATCGAATCTGGGAGGGCGAGAAGGCGTTGACAGGGCTGTTGAGCTTGTGTAGTTGGTTGTCTGCTATATTGGTCTGTTCAAGTCAATGTTCTCAAAGGCTATTATTGCCTGCCGGGTAAAGCTGTAGAAGGTGCGTGAAAACCACAGTCAAGTATTTTCGAGGAATAAGAAGACTTTATAACAAGAACTTAGGCGACCAACTCAAAGCCTTCACTTCCCACCGTCACATAATGTTATCTCTAAACAAAGTGAACTAGCACAACATGAGTGAATAGGATCTGGGATTGAGGGTGGCGGATACGATCAATATGGCGGGCAGTCTGCGGCACAATTATCATCACATTAACTGACTCCTTATCCGTCTGTCAAAACTCTCGTCCAGTCGAATTTCCTCCACCTCTTCCTGAACGGTTCCACCCGCCGATCCTCTCGGCTCCAGCGGCCTTGTCTCTTGATGACATCCGGGGCAGCATCGACCATGCCGCCGATAATCTCCCGCGCGAACAAGTCGCCCTTTGGCCATCTAGCTTCGTTCTCCACCACGTGTCCCATGCCGCCGTCCAGCTCGAACCAGACATGGAAGTAAGGCATCTCTTTCGCAATGCTTCTGCGGAACGCCACTCGGCCCATTCCCTCCCTCGAACGCTTTAGTGTATCGATAATCTTCTTGTGCTGAGACCACTCGTCATCTGCTGTGAGCATAGCCTCCTTGAAGAATGCCGGGGCGGTATCGCCGAGGGAGTATGGAATCGGAACGGCCATCATGGCTGCGTGTTTCCTGCGCTGAGGCGCGACGGCGTTTTCGTAGAAGAGTACCTCGCGCCCCTGATCGTGGTACATGCGGGTAAGGCACTTCATGAAGTTGCGAATCTCTTCCCATTCATCGTCGTCGCACTCTAGGAGATTGGTACGATGTTGGATCGGTACAATGACGGAGCCACCTTCAGTAAGCTCGGGTTCTGTGGCAAGGGTAAGGTAGACGCGGGTACCCAGAGAGACGATGGGCGCGACAGGGGGCTTATTGGTATCCTCATGGTGGCAGAGGATACACGAGTCGAGGATGCGGTTCATCTTTTGGAAGTCGTTGATGGCCATGTTTCGAAGGTTGATTTCCGACTTGGCCACGCGCTTCGCAAGCTTCTCGGCATTCTCGTCCATGTAGTCGAGATCGTTCTGCAGCACTTGTGAGTGGCTATCCAATATGGAGGTTTAGGTTTACTTACGTCAAACTTGCCATCCTTGGCTATCCTTTCCGCGAGCGCCATGCCTTCTCTACCTGCTTGGTTCCTCGTCCGTCTCTCTTGTCTGACCATGTCTTCTATACTCATATCCTCGTTCTCAACAACAGTACCGCGCTCTCTGCCCCTCTTGTTTTGCACTGCTGTCACCTCGCCCTTTCGACCTCCTGTTAGCATCCGATTGTCCATGGCACCCAGAACAACGACATCGGACTCTCTGGGATTTGCCGCAGCAGCAGCGACAGCATCGTTATATTCTTGTTCCAGCCGAACTGCATTCTCCGCACCACGAAGCTTCGCCTTCATCATTTGGGCCTTGAGCTTGTTCAAAGCTGTCTGATCGAGTATAGCCGTATTCACCGGCGCTGCTTGTTCGGGGACAATCTGACCTTGCGGTAAGTCCCCCACATCCAGTTGCTCGGAAGGTCTTGGTTCTCTTCGAATGCCCATATTCATCTTTCGCTCCTGGAACAGTTCTCCACTGGGCTTCTCTTTCCCGACATAATCTCTTCCGTACATATTCCGACGGTCCAGCTCTATCTCTTCTTCCCTCGCATCGTCAAACGCGCGCAGGTCTTCGTATCGCTCCAGCGCAACCTCCTCCAATGGCTGATCAGTCTCCTTCGCTTTCCGATACACCGCCTTGAGCTTCGTCATACGCCACTGTGACCCGGAGTCCCCAAATGTATAGTCTATTTCGTGCTGCGCGGGCTCTTCCGCAAGATCGTTTGCCTTCTTGAATTCTCCAACATTCTTCAGGAAGCTGTTGAGCTCGTTTTTATGGACCTTGAGGTTGTAGTCGTTTTGCGTGGCTTGGATCCTGTGCGGCTTCGCCTCCTCTTTCTTCCTCTTGTGTACGTAGTCTACGTCCAGTGATGAGGGGGCTTCCATCCAGGCATCGCGCTTTAAATCCTTCGTTGCGTATTCCTCGAGCTGTTGGTCTAGGATATCGTCGTCTGGGGGTGGCGCTACCTCCTTCTCTACCCACTCGTCTTCCTCGTCATCGAGAGGCTCTTGTGGCGCTGCTATCAACGTGTCGGAGGCTTCGCGATCCTTGTGAGATGGTTTATTGTCGTCATCGCGTCGCGAACGCTTGTGTCGGTGCTTGGAGTCGCCGTCACGGTCGCGAGAACTCTCTCTCCGGGACGAACGGTGCTTATGGCTGTGCCGATGCTTGTCATCATGCTATCCATCTGTCAACCTCTGCAATCTCAGCAGCGTGTTTTGGTATACAAACCTTTGAGCGATGGTGATGTCTGTCCCTACTCCGGCTCCTGTCGCGTTTCCGATGCGAATGCGACTCTTTCGCTTTGCTCTCGGCCAGCTCCTTTTCAAAGTCGTCCAAGCCCATTGCGTCTTGTGTGCTCTGGCGGAATTTGTTGGTTGATGCAAGCTTGAAATCACGTTCGCGGATGGGAGGGAGCTAAGCTTCGGACGCTAAAGTTGGCTGGCTGGCTGGCTGCTCTCCTCCGGCTGCTTCGCCGACGTCCGTGCGCAAAAAGTCAACTTCATGTGTCGATCTGAGGGGCCTTGCTTGTGATGTCGCGACAACTCCAACAACGCTACACCAAACGGACTCGAACTGCCAAAGGACACAGAACCGGATACAAAACCACACCTACAAATCCATCGTGAGAGCTTCCCAACATACCTCACGCTCGCAAGAGCTTCTCTCTCTCTCCCCATCATGGCCACCTCCACCCCCCCAAACCCCACGCCCTCAACCACCACCCCTCACACCACCGACTCCCCCGTGGCAATAGTCTGCGTAGGCATGGCCGGCTCCGGCAAAACAACCTTCATGCAACGCATCAACGCGCACCTCCACTCCAAAAAGCAGGCCCCCTACGTCGTCAACCTCGACCCCGCCGTCCTCAACGTCCCCTTCGACAGCAACATCGACATCCGCGACTCGGTAAACTACAAGGAGGTAATGGCGCAGTACAACCTCGGGCCCAACGGCGGCATCCTCACCTCGCTCAACCTCTTCAGCACCAAGATCGACCAGATCCTCGCGCTGCTGGAGAAGCGCACCGCGCCCGCCACCGCCACCGTCACAACACCTCGCATCCGCCACATCCTCGTCGACACGCCGGGTCAGATAGAAGTGTTTGTGTGGAGCGCAAGCGGGGACATCCTGCTGAATGCGCTGGCAAGCAGTTTCCCGACCGTGATCGCATACGTAATTGACACGCCGCGCACGACGGCAACGAGCACCTTCATGAGCAACATGCTGTATGCCGTCTCGATCCTGTACAAGACGAAGCTGCCCATGATCCTCGTGTTCAACAAGACCGACATCGCGGACGCCGGCTTCGCGGCGACGTGGATGGGCGACTGGGAGGCCTTTCAGCGGGCGCTGCGCAGCGAGGAAGACGCGGGCACGTTTGGCGGCGCGGAGGGCAACGATGCGCTCGGCGGTGGGGGAAGCGGGTATATGGGCAGTCTGCTGAGTAGTATGGGGATGGTGCTTGAGGAGTTCTACAAGCACCTGTCTGTGGTGGGCGTGAGCAGCATGACGGGCGACGGGATCGACGGGTTTTTTGCGGCCGTGGAGACGAAGAAGGAGGAGTTTCTGCGCGACTACAAGCCCGAGCTGGAGCGGCGGATGGCGCAGAAGGGCAGGGATAAGGAGGAGCGCCGGCAGCGGGATCTCGATAGACTGATGCGGGATATGAATGTGACGGAGGCTGGCAAGGGGAAGAAGACGCGGACTGGCCCGCCTTCCAAGGAGGAGCCGGAGACGGTCAGTGAGGCAGAGGACGAGGAGGAGGACTTGAATGAGTTTCACGCAGGTCGCGTTGATGATGATGATGACGACGATGAGGAAGACGAGGACTTTGGAGGGGCTGGCACGCAGGACGGGTTACAGCAGCGGTACATGCAGGCCTTGAGAGGCGGTGATCAGGATGACCTGATGGAGGAGGACGTCAGTTTCGAGCGTTTCATGAGCCAGGTCAATGCCGGTGGACGGGCGTAAAGCAAGAGAATCTCAAATCGTGATTGATGTTGGAGTTATTGGGGGGACATTGCATCTCACGGCGTCAAGGTCTGTCAGTGGACGCGCAGCAGGATAAACATCCTGCCTCGAAAGTAGTCCAGATACCACACATGTATTTCACTGTGAAACAAACAATATAACATATCATGAACCTCACATTGCACTTTTGACGAAACAGACCGTATATAATAATAACATGAAGATATATAATACACTTGGGCGGATGATTAAGCAAACAGATTCCAGTTCAATCAAGCAAAAATACAAAACATTCAGCAGTGGGTATTCGCTAGTGGTCACCCACCTAACTACTAATCCACCCCTAACCAACTTAAATAGGCGGGAGCGAACGGGACCGCTTGCTTTCTGGTTGGTATGGCCGAATGTGCTTGAAGTCTGCAAAAATGAGATTATATTAGAGCAGATCAGACCTCGTTGCTTGATGGGGGTTGGAGACGCTGCCGTCGTGTGGCCAGCTCAGATAATTATTGGGAATCTTGAACGCTTAATCTGGATCAGACAAACAGTATAAACTGAATCCCCTCCCCAAATACTTCAGCATGAATATCGCAGAACCAGTCAAAAGTCCCAACTACCTCTACATATAACACATCACATTACTCCCATCCCAGCTCAAAGCAACCCACCTCAGCATCGCGCCCAAAGCCACCCAACGCCATACTACGAAAAGCAAACAATCCATATCCCTTCCTCCTCCCTGCCTGGCGGTTCAGATCGATGATGATCATGCAAACACAAGCTTTCTTCTTCCTCAACACCGTACCATGTCCATAACACCAGGTCCACGCAAAGAACCCTGAACCACACCTTCATGATATAATACTACCAACGAACGCCACAGCAGCACGACATAAAATCCCCGAATACCTCAAGCTCCCCCCAGCAACGGCCTCAACTCACTCATTCATTCAAACCCATCCCGCCCAGCCACAATGTACACACACACCCGCATAAATCCCCCGAAGACAATCCCATCATCGTCATCATAACCCCATGCACCGAGTATGACGTAGTAGCCATATTAAAAAAAATTCCCCATACAGACCACGACCGACCGCAGGACATATATGCGGGCGGGCGCACGCACGCGCGCGTGTGCTCAGGTGCTCGTGCGTTGCAGCTAGCATATGCAGCAAGACGGAGATCACGCATGATATTCGATCGGCATCGAGAAGAAAAGAAAAAAAGAACTGCCGCTTGCCGCGCAACGGCAGGCGCCTTGCTTAGGCAGGCACGCGGGTGCGCGGACTCGGAGATGTGGCAGATTTCTTTGGGGGGAGGGAGGGGGGTCTATGGATGGCGGGATTATTTTTTGCATGGGAGATCAGAGCTGGTGAGGCGAGATCTTGGGGGATTTATGCTGGGCTGGTGGTGGTGCTGGTGGGCGTTGTCATGCGACTGACTTACTTACCTGTCTTGATGATGTGCGAGATCGTGAATCGTGTTTGTGTGTTGGTGGTTGTCGTGGATGAACTTTAGCAGGTCCCGCGGGGGTGTATGTGTGGGATGGGACGGGATGCGTGTGAAACATGCCTTGCTACTATGGATGGATGGTGTGTGTTCGTTGTTGTCTCAGGTCTGCGTGTCCCGGCCTGGCTCCTGGGATAGTGAGGCTGTCTTGAAGCAGGTTAAGACGTGGGTGTTAATGCTAACTAATTAGGAAATCCTGAGGTCGGCCGAAGATTCCATGCTAGGAGAGGACGAGACTGATGAAACAGCGTTCATGACTTGTGTCGATGGGCATGGGAGGGAGGGCCTGGTGGACCCTGCTATGAGAGGCCCGCTGTCCTGCATGTTGTCTAGCCACCAGGGCTGGTACCTATGCACTGACGTCATTTGTGAAAATGCTTGCGAGGACTGATAAGAACGGAAATCAAAGTTCATGATAGAGGTAAGAAAATAAGTCTTTGTTGAATGCATAGTCTGACCTGATGCCCTAGCACTGCCGCCTTGAGGGTCATCGTGGATCGCGCATTTGCAAAGACGGGACAAATGGACCGATCGTGATTGCAGACCAGGTCGCAAAAAGTAGGTAGAAGAAAACAGGTATACAGTAGATAGAGCGTATTAGGAACCCAAGGGGCGGCTTTACCGCATCTGCATGTCTCACCAGGAGGCAGGTGTGGGTGTTTAGCAGGTCCGCCTGGGCACGGAACACCAAGACTGCATCGTCAGATCGAAAAGTGGCTGTGGATCTGGTGTTGAAGAGCCCGTGAGATGGGCGGCAGAATGAGATGAAAGGTCAGGAGCAGTCAAGTCTCGCTGCGAGTCCGTGACCACGATCTAAAATGCACAGCTCTTCTTGTGACAATGACATTTGTTTTTACGACCGATAACGCGCGAAACAGACCAGGGTATTATGATCAGAAACCAGGACGACGCGGTAACAAGATTAGGATCTGGGAGTCTTCCAGGGATGCCGCTTGTCAACGTGGCAGGGCGTCGCAAAGACGTAGGGGGGATCTGTCAGGTAGAAAGGCTGTAGATTGGTATTACAGTAGTCAGCAAGCAGCGATGCAGTAGTCATCATGCATGCATGCGCACTGACGATACGGTTTTTGACCACAAGGGGAATCTTGAGGCGATCATGGGAGTTGGCATCGAGATTTAACATTTGCGATCACCGATCTTTGCGACTCGTGGTGTGGGGCAAAAGACCCTCACGGTCCATCGCAGTCACGAGATCAGCGCTGTCCACAACGGTCCAATGTCAACAGGCTGCGCGACTTTGCGCACAGGGCGTGAAGCAGGGTCCATTGAGGCTCAAAATAGCAATATGAGCGTTCTTTCGATGTCTGCAGCTTTATTGACAGGCCGAAAGATCGTGAGAGTAGCTTGGTGTTGAGTGCTGCGTTCTGATCAGTGCGCGCTCACGTTGCGACCGGGCACACACATCCCTGGCTGGCTGTTGGGAGCGTGAGCCTGCCAGTGACGTGTACCCGGGAACCGAGGGTATATCCAAATCTTGCTGCGGAAACTGTCCTTCGACATCATTTTCTACGTTCGGCACAGAGCAGGAGAAGGCTGGAGGAGCAGCTCATCGTCGATTGAGCATCGTAAATCCCCATAGAATATTGGCGGAAGCTCTAAGCCCTTTAACGCCCGCTGGCCGCATACTATCATTCGATAGCATCGGACGAACTGCCTGGGATGTCGAAAATCACGCGTACCCTTGGTGCCGGGATCTCCCCCCCTTAAACGGTTCGTGCAAGACGCACCACTTCGATCTAGGGCAAATATGTACTTAGATCGGTCCTGAAGACGCCAGGTAATATTCAGAAGCGCATCAGGTCTTCGACAGGGTTGCCGGCCAACCTCGTTGCATCGTTTCTATGGAGCGGAAACGTTCCACCTTGGACGCGATGCGCCAGTAGCAGGTAATGTGATTTGATGCTCGAGAGGGGGATGTTGGACGTGGTCGTGCGGGGTCAGGCTCAGAGCTCTCGATCAAATGAATGACGCGTACTTGACTTCAGCTCTACGTGTTCCGTTGTATACTGCTGGCGTGGAAAACGAGCCGTTAGTGAACACCCGCGTACAGTAGACAACAGACGAAGATGAGAGGGGTCCAAAGTCCAGACACCAGACCGGTCAAGCCGTCCACGAATAACATCGCGAGGGACTACACGCTGCTAGCTAGCACACAAGGAAGGTCTGGCCAGGTGGAGGGGGGAAAGAAATGTGAAGAGAGATGCGGAGTAGGGAACATTAAAGTTAAAGCTTCTTTCCCAGCCAACCAGCACAAACGCGGCAAGTGGGCAGTGAACGGTTCTTTCTTGATTGGCTAGCCGGTCAGGAAAATCGAACGAGACCTGAGACGCTACCCCTCTCAGGGTCCTCCTTTGGCTGGGGATTTGAGGATTCAATCAAGCTGAAGCTCACATCTCGCAGGTAATGTGAGCAACACAAAACACGAATCAAACTCTGCTGTTGTCCCGCGAAAGGCTTCATTTCACATAATGCAACATGACCGGTCGTATCGGCGATTCAATGTGCGTCGTCGGGCAAATTCAAAAGTTAAACGCCTATGACGTCTGCAATAATTACCCGCTTACATGTCTACGCACGGCTGTTCAGCACACCGACAACAGGTATATCGTGTGTATGTCAGTATGATAGGTGTGCAGTATTGAATCAAGGACCTATTGGATCAGCTTCCAGGTATCCCCGCACAATTATGTCTCGTTGGTTCACGAGTCGATGTGTTGCGTCGTGCTGGCGAGTTTCTGCAAAGGTTCATATCACATAGAGTTCAGGACTTTTGAAGCAGACGTAGTTCCTAAGTTTGGAGAATATTGTTTACTGAGTTGTGTACCCGTTGACCGCGTATATGAATAGGAAGTTACAGTATGCAAAAAAAATAGAACAATTCCGGTGTGCTTCGCAGATGGCATTTGCCATACTGCCGATTCACGGGTATCAATATTCATAAATCCAACCACCCGTGCGACAGAATCGAACCCGCGCGATAGCAAGCAATCGCAACGCTGGATCCCGTTGGCCAATTCCGAATTTGAGATACATTGTGACCGGTATGCTTTTTCCCAGCCTTCCTAGAACAGATGCGAAACTTCGACCGGAACGCCGAATATGGGTATCGTAGATAACAAGAAAGTGACAGAACCCTGTTCTGAATTTTGACACTACACCGTCTTCTTGCGGGCTGTCGTACAAGAAGAGTGTCGATGTGCCCGGCTAGCGAGTATATAACAGTGGAGAGCCGTGAGGACATGCGTCTATATTACGTGAAGTGCGCAACAACAGAAAAACGGATAGAAAACTCGTAGCATCACAGCCATCTGATTCCATCATGTCTGCTAAAGTATCATGTTACTCGCTGTCACGCTTGTCAATCGCAGCCGCAGCGGCGAGAGTATCCAGGCCGAAAGAGGTCGACATGGACATTGGATTTATGGCACATTGTGATGGATCCGGGTACGTGTGACTCGGCATGTAATGTTGTTGATAAGGATCCATATGCACTTGAGACGCCATCGGAAAATTGGCTGTTGGGCTGATGGGTAGCTGAGGGAGAGCAGGATCAACAACCACTTGTTGCACAGGTTGCGCAGCCTGGAGAGGTGCAGGCTTTGGTCTCTTCATGTTCTGTTGCTTGACGACCTTCCTAGAACGGTCTTCGACAGCAGTGCCTTTGGTGGTGCTCCTGCCATTCAAGTGGGTACGACGATGCTGCTCCATGTTGTCCTTGCGAGTGAACGCTTTGTTGCACTCAGGGCACATCGCGTCCTTTTTCCCAGTGTGTTTCTTGGCGTGGCGAGCAGCATGTCCGGAGGTGGTGAAATGGTCACTGCAGTTGTACTGCTTCGCAACAGGACATGGATACTGATTCTTTTTGGACTTTTGTGCTGGAGCAGACTTGTTCTCGGCAGGAGGTTGGGCGTAATAGGCTGGCTGAGCAGGCGTGCTTTGCATGTAGGTCTGACTCAATGTTGGAGGCTGTTGTGGTATATACTGAGGCAGGTCCTTGTTGAAGTAGGCGGTGGAATCCGAGTAGGCTTGTGGGTGTGCATTCAAAGAATCGAGATAGCCAAATTCAGGTGTGATGGGCGAGGGAGTCTGCATGTCTGCCGTAGAGTCTGATGAGCGGCTGCGAACTAGAGACGGCGTTTGCGGAGATGAGCAGGGGGATGAGTAGCCCGACTGGAAGGATGACAGGCGTGTCACGCTGCTGGACGATAAGGTGTACTGTTGGTAGGATTGTGCAGAGCCTTGCGACGAGTAAGATGAATGTCGAGTGTTGGCGAAAGACTGTCGGTTTGGCAATGTTGTGTCGTCGGCGTTCAAGAGAGAAATTCGACGGCCGTTGGAGTCTTTCGCATCCATGGCGGTGGGCAAAAGACGAAGGAGCTCTCACAGGTTGGATGGACGAGGTGCGTGCGATCGGACGCCGAGCTATTTCCCGAAGCTGAGCCGGCGCAATCTAGCTGATGAATGGTGGACGGTGAGGAGGCTCGTCGTTGTATTTGTTGTGGAATATGGCCAAATAGAAATAGAATCAAGTGCTTCAAGGCTGGGGACGCTCTTTATAAAGTGTATGAGAGCAGTGTTGGACTAGGCAAAGGTGCGAATACTTTGTGCTGGTCGTGTGTGTGAAGCTAAGTAGAAACGACCCAGTTCGTGACGTTATGCTGTCGAAACCCTCGGTAGCGGCGGGTGGCAGTGGAACCACAGTTTGGTAGGAATGGTATAAGAGAGGCGTATTGTGGAATATGATGGGAGAGGCGAATGGTCAGAAGTAGTATGCAACTTTACAAACTGATCAAAAGGAATGATCACAAACAGACAACTCTCACGTAGGTCCCAGGTGGTAGGCAAGCACGAACGGGGGACGTGGGAGAGCTTTATGTCGACATGCGGCTGGGCGGGCAGCTTGGGAGAGCAGAGAGTAAGTTAGGGTTTTAGTGGTATATTGGGGGTATTAGGGTAGCTAGGTAATAATTGTCCCACTGCATCCACATATTCGCATGGTTTGGAACTGCGCAGACTGGGGGCATTTTCCTGCTCGGCCCTGGCAGGCGGTTGCTGTGCATTTTGCGCTGGGCGTAAGAGCGATGAGCAGCAATCGGGTTCGATCAGGAACAAGGGTAGACAGGGTTGCGACTGGGGATAGACCGCGACCCACTCGCTGCAGAGGATTTTTTGCTGAGCAAGGACTAGAGCATTTGAAAGTGTCAGGGGAGGGGGGGGGA